ATTTGTACTTTTCCGTTCTTCACTTAAACTTAAAATTTTCGTGATTTCATAATTCTTGCAAAGCTTGGTCTTTTTAATTTTTGAAATGATTAAAACTTGAAACCGAAATGAAATTTGACGTGTAAACGGAAAAGCACCCAAAAAACAAATACATGTATGTATGCTATTAAAAAAATTAAAGACCTTTAAATGTGGCGGAAGCATCTTTGCCACATTTTTAGCTTCTCTCATCTTTGTAATTCATCACCAATCTGTTCAAGTCCAATGCTCATTAAAATCATCTCGCAATTACTTGTCTTGGTGCAGCTGTTGATGTTTCAGAGCCATCTACCACACTTGTACGAAGAGTGATTGTTATTGAGGCACACATCTACATCATCCTTTAAAATTAGAAATGAAAAATTGAGAGGAATTAAATAATATGAGGCGTAAATTTAGTCCCAATGAAGAAACGTTTTTTGCGGAAAAAAATCCGCAAAAATCCGAAAGTGTTATTTGCCAACAATAAGGGATTTTGTTCCAGCAGAATCTTCGTTGTAAAAACTTTTCCCCATCGACGGAACACTTTGCCCGTCTTTGGAACAACATCCCCCGGTGTCAAAAAAAAAGACTCGTACCTACCTTGACTAGTAGGTACGAGTCAAACAAAATCAGAAAAACAATTATGAATCATAATCACTTTTCCTCCTTGAATGTTTAACAGACCAAAGATTAAAATTAACAAACCTTTCCTCCCGAAGCACAAAGCGAACCATCAGGCGAAACAGTAACAGGATTGATATAACCTCCATGCCCAATATGGTTCGTCTTCAACTGGCATGTTCCCAAATTCCAAACCTTAACAATTCTGTCCCATCCAGCTGACACAATGACAGGATTTGTATTGGACGGAGAGAAACGAACAGTAGAAACCCAATCTGTATGGCACTCATTCTTAAAAATTTTTTTGAAATTTTTTAAGAAAACGCAAAAAATACCACAATCATGTGTTTACACTGTACAAGAGTATTCCACAATTTAATCTTTTTATCACGCGATCCAGAAACTATTTGACGATTATCAGCAGAAAAGGCAACGGAAAGAACATCCTTTGTGTGAGAAACAAATTGACGAGTTGAACGGCCACTGAAAACAATGATTTTATTTAGGTGATTTTGTTTTTAATTCAGTGGATGCTAACAAAAACAAAGAAAACACCTTAAATTTTTATTTTGACCCTATCTGAATAAGAGGGCGCTTTGATTTTTTTCATCATTTCTTTCCTACATCAAATTATAAATAATGGTCAGTCTTTTCTTCCTCGTTCGATTCCACTCTTTTTACCTGTGGCATATTCAAATGAGAGGACAGACAAAACATGGACGGATTCAAAGAGGAAAAGACTGACCATGGACGAACTCGGACAGACAAAACATGGACGAACACAGACAGACAAAACTCGGACGGACTCGGACAGACAAACACGGACGAACACAGACAGCAAAACTCTGACGGACTCGGACAGACAAACACGGACGAACACAGACAGACAAAACACGGACGGACTCGGACAGAAAACTCGTGTTATATCTGTCCGTGTGTGTGCTTTGTCTGTCCTCTCATTTGAATATGCCACGGGTAAAACGAGTGGAATCGAACGAGGAAGAAAAGACTGACCATTATTTATAATTTGATGTAGGAAAGAAATGATGAAAAAAATCAAAGCGCCTTCTTATTCAGATAGGGCCTTTATTTTTCCTAAAGCTCCTCATGGTGTTTACAGTTTGTCATACTCAAGATCCAATGGATCAAAAGCAAGAATCAAGTAGGTAAAGAATTATGGAAAATCTCAATCAAATAGAGTGCGCACTTTCGAGATGCGGACCAATTTTGCGGGACAATGGGTGCTGCTGGGAATTAGCCATGGAAACTATCGAATAACTCTATGGGGATACCTTCCCGCGTTCCCAGGGAAATTCCTTTACATGAGGTCGAGGGTTAAGCCCCACTATCAGTTTAAGTTTCGCTAATGGACAAAATTGCAAAAATAAAAGCTTATACAAACGTGTTGAGGTCCCAAAGACGCAGTTTTGTCCCACGAGCCAGAAAGTGCATATTGCCCATCAGAAGACATTACAACATCAGAAACAAAATGTTCATGCCCATGAAGTGACTTTGACGGCTTGCCTGTTAAAACATATCCAGACTCATCCAACTGCCACAAAATAATTGTTTTGTCTAAAATTTAGAGAATTAATTTCACAAAAACAATTTATTGAAAGAAACCTCTAGAAGAAGAAAATAAAAAATTTTTGTACAATGGACTAGCCGCAATTTGTGTGACCCAACCATTGTGTCCACGCAATTGTCCTTCTAATTTCATTTGTTCTCCCATGATTACAATTAATTTTAATTTTTTATAAACCTAACAAACCTAAAAAAGAAAAAAAACACAATTTATGAAAAAAATTTGTCAAAAATCCCCTCGTAAAGAAAATCCTTTCCTTCTCTAAAAGAATTTTTGGGCAGTCTATAATCAACAGGACAGTCTAGCTAACGTAAATTCAAGGATTTTTAGAACGCCTATATTTCCGGAAAAGCTCAATAAATTCCGAAGAATTATATCGATACCGACAGCGTTAGCTTTAATTATTTTTCAAACGTTTTTAAAATGATATGTAGAAAAAAATTTAAGAAGATTAAGAGCAAAAAATTATTAAACATAACAACTAAAAAATGCAAACACCGGAAGCTAATGGAAATCGATAAGTGACGCCAAATGAATTTGAACTAAATATTAACGCAAATTAGTTTTGTTAATTTAATTTTGGAAAATGTCAAAGTGTCAAGTCGTTGTTATTCTGTCAATTACTCGAAAAAAATGAAGAAAAGATTTTCAAAGCCTAAAGAATTTAAAAATTTTGTTTAGGTAGACTTCCAGAAGATAACGATCAAGAATGTGGTGATATAGAGGACACATTTTAAGTCTGACCATTTTCAATATTTTGAGGAAAGAAAAAAGGGAAATGAAAGTAGAAAATGAGAGAAAGTAGATACTTGACATACAAATTGACGGAAATAGGGGTGCGTATAATCTGTTAACAGTTACTATTCGAGCCCAGGATTCGCTAATACTGATGAATAAATTATAAATACATAATCTCATTGATCTACATGTTATTTATATAAATTTTTACAATATGACAATTTATAAATATTAAACATCATATGTAGTTTGGTATCTCCTGCCCAGTCAGCAAACGAAACATTGATGTTGGCATTGTTCTGAATTAGATTTACTTTTAGAATATAAGCATAAACCCACTTCATATGGATCTCGCCAGTAGCTGTAGCCAGCATGTTGACAATTCGCTCATGTGTGACAGCCACAACGCTAGTCTGATTTATTTCAATAATACGATGACCTGAAATAAATTGTATATTGATCAAATACCTATTAATTTAATCTATCATTAGAACTGACCCACACGTATGCCACCTCGTTCAGCGATACCGCCACGAAGAAGCGAACAAATCTAGAAATTTAACATAAATTCCTTTCGAACACAATATACCTAAAAACTAACTATTCCGTTTTGAACGCTAAATCCAAGTTGATATTTTGTATCTGGTCGTCTTATTCGTACTTCTACTACAGGTGGAGTCGAAACAATTGTCAGTCGAACAGCTGTAGATGAACGAGCATTCTATATTTGCGTTATTTGAAAATGTATATTTCCTAACTCACCTTTATGTTTTGTTGTGCAGCACTTAGCGGCAATCCAACAAGTGAGATACCATTGACTCCAATCACCTTAAAATAAAGTATAAAAATGGTTCAACAATTTTAATTTTTTCGTTCTCTAATATATATACCGAATAATATCAGGTAGGTGTTTAAAACGATTTTTAAATCACCTGATCGCCAATATTTAACTGATTAGATCGTGCAGCAGGTCCACCTGGCGCCATATTAGCAATCACCTTAAATAATTATAGAAATTACAAAAATAGGTTACTATGAAAATTCAACTGATCACGGCTCTCTTATTTGTAATTTTTTCAATTTTTATCCTACCGATGTTGGAAGCATTGAGCCCCATCCTGATTCAACAATTACTATTCCAATAGGTTCACCTGCGCGTTTTGATATAACTACATCCTAGAGAATAAAATATACCTATATTTCGAATTATATGTATGATTGAGCATACATCGCAATAATCAATTACCTTTTGCGTCTCCTTACGCGCCAGCAGCTCCAGTTCTTCAGCCATCATCTCTTGAGAATTCAACACTTCTTGATAATCAATATCCCGTAAGTAATTTGGATCATCAATTCCATTTGCTCGCAGAAATTCCGTGTATGCAACTTGAAAGGCCTGCCCAATAGATTGGGCAATAAAATTAGCCTCTTCTGATTCAAATACGTGACAGACCACGCGAGGTGCTTTTCTTATAATTTCGGTACTGCAATTTTAAATTTTTTACATAGTAGCACAACAAACTAACTTCTCACTCTGTTCCTGTTGACAAGGCATTCGCCGGGCCATAAGCACAACCAAGTCTCCTATATCGGAATAAAAATTTGACTAGAATATTTAATATCCGATAAAGAAAGACAAAACTGATAAAGAAACGAACCTATATCTGCTATGTAGGAAATGGAACGCAATGAGTGATCCATAAGTATGTCCTGAAGAATAAAATAAAAAAGATTCAGTTTGAAGGATGGTTTTTAAGACAAACAAATAAAATAAACAACAAGGTAATTAACATTATAATTTCAACCACTAAAATGGGAAAGGCACAATCCAACAAATTACAATAACATATAAGCAAAAAATGCAAACCTGACGCACATCTGTTTCTGATATTCTCTGAAAAGGAATAAATATAATCAGTAGACATAACTTTATGACAGCGTAGCCGGGCAAAAAATATAAATTGACACCAATGATATAAAATCATATTATTAAGCTACATAATATGAGCATTCATTTAGTTCTGATACTTAGGAAATAAGGAAAACAACAGCGAAATTATAGATGCGATTTAACAAAATAGGGGAACATTTGAAATGTGTTAAGGAAAACAATTTAGATTATACAGGGCGGAATTTATTTGGCAAAACTACAAGCATTGCAAATTGGAAAATTAACATAAAACAAACCTGAAGATCTGTGTTCAAAACCATTATCTGTAAGAAACATACTTATTCAAAATTATGCATAGAAAGCTAAAAACCTTTTCAGTTGAGATAAACAAGTCTATTTCAGTGCTTGGTTGAGGTTCTCCTTCAGGTGCCTAAAATATTTAGATTTGAAATTTAAAACGTTTATCTACCTTCACTCGAGTAACCGCCTCCTGGGCCTGCGCCATTCTCGAACTTTTTGTGGTCCGTCCGTCAGAACTCATTTGAGTTGAACCAAGATATCGTGCTCGGAAAAGAACGCCCTCTTCGTTTTAACGTTAACAATTTTTACTAAAATCAAACATACCTATAAGCACCGCAGGTTCATGAATAATTACTATAAAATATAAGATCTTGAGTTGATCTACATTGGCCTTAATGTTCAAGGGCAAAATGCCCTAGACCTACTAGAAATAGGTTCCAATTCACGAATCAATTAATAAACTCAGGAAGTAAATTAGGTTAAGTATGTTATACCTTCTTTTTTGCTGCCCTTCCGACTTGCTAATCCATTAGAATTATCGGTTGCTTCTTCGCCACTTGTTCCAACATCATGTTTATTTTTGCATTCTTGGGTTGATTCCGTAGCTAAAAGCCTATCAGTTTCATCGTCATCATATTGTACGCTTTTTACTGCATCTTCAGTTTCTGTTAAACAAATCGGTACCGATTGTTCAGAAAAATCAGGTTCAAGCCGCTTTTGTTCATCACGTTCGCGCCTTTTCAGATAGGACTCCCTGAAGCAGTGGAAATATTATGTCTATTCTCTCAAAATTTTAAATTAATAGTACCTTAAAATTAAAAATTAATAGTACCTTACTATTTTTAAATAGTATACGTACAGAAAAAATAATTCTAACGAACCTCATAACCCATATTGATTGCTCAGCAGGTAGAATATTGTCATTTATGCTAGCCGACTCTCCAATAGTAGACTCTGTAGCATTAGTAGAATTCCGACGCCCGGTTAATCCTGTTAATTCTTGGTCACAACTATTTTTTTCGGTTTCCAATTGAACAATTTGATTCGAAGCAGAACAAGACTGCTGCTGTAATATGTCTGAATCAAAATTTGATGCCTGTGGCAGTAATTGAGGGAACACTATTTCTGTTGGTCCTATTGGTTGTTGGTTTAATTGTGATTCAGGTTGTTGATTTTGACAATATTGCGATGGATAAGCATTAGCTTCCAATGTTGTTGGTTGAGGATTTTGCTGTTGGTGTTGATAAAACATTTCTAACAATAAGACAAAACCAATAAGGAGTCGAAACCAATAAATCGGCACCAATAATAACAATAAGATCGAAACCTAGTCAGCTACAGTTCAACTTTCCTATTCGTTAAATGGCCTAAGTAGCTGAAACGGTACAACTTGCCTATTATTAACGTGCCTACTCGTTTTGCTACCCACAGGAATTTCTGAGGACTCTATCGTTCTTTTTTCGATAATTTACGCGACTGCATTGCGGCGTGTTTGCAGAAAGATATTTTTTAGACAGTGGAGCTTTTCAGTTGGAGAGAATAAAATTGAAAGACATGTAGACGGCATGATAAATGAAAAGGAGATTAAGGATATAAGAGAAAATATCTTACGATGTTAAATTTCATACGTAAAAATTAAAAAATCGAAGCTACATACTTCATAAAATTAATTTAAATACACTAATATTATATGAAAATTATAAAAGAAATTTAACTAGTATGGTCGTAGCTGTTCGTCTATCCATTGAATATCCGCCTTGTCCGTCCCGCTTTGTTCAATTAATTGTTCAGAGCAAGAGCCACCCTCAAGCCTTTTCATCGCTATCTCCAAAATACCATGATAGTGAACAGCAGCAGCCAATATCACAAAGATATGGAAGAGCTGGTGAGAATGACACTAAATTTTTTCAGATATATTAGTATTTGGCTAGGAATCAAAAACCATAATGTCACATTTTCCTGGACAACAACGCTCCGGAAATCGAACCTATAGTAAGATTAAGATAACTTATTCGATAAAAAAACAAACCATGTAAACTGCGGCACCAGTTATATACAGAAAACCCATTAACAAAAGCCAGTGAAAGGAAACATAATCAAACATCCACTTAAAACCGTCCGTTAATGCCAAATGCAACGCTGGTACAATGCCTAACAAGTAAAAATTATCTTAAACTGAGGAGAATCGAAAATCTATACAGTTCATAATCAGGAATTTTTAAGAACATAAGAATTTTGTGAAAAAATTGAAATCAGCTTACTGCTTAGTCCCATGGCTAAGAAAACGCCTCCACGAAGTGGTCTAAATTTTGGTTGTGCAAATTTGTCCCAAAGAGAAACAACGACTGCAGCTATTCCCAATACAACAATCATACCAATGTAGAAAGACATAGCGAATGCTCGACAATAGAAAGCGTAATAGATCCATGGTACGAATGAACCTAAAATCGCTCGTTTTAATAAATAATCAAAGAATTCTAATACTAGCAAATGTTAACGAACCTATAATCAGTAAAGATATACCAGAATAATCAAGCCTTAAATTTTTAAATCAGTTGCGAAAATTTTTTAAAGATTGCTCGTTCGTATCAAAGTTGTTCCAGGTTGACCGCACATCCTAAAACGTCTCGGATCGGGTACCCCGGAACAACTCTGATTTGTGACAGATAAAAACCAACTTGCTAAAAAGTCTCCCAACGTTTTCAGAGTGACATTGAACAGTGTGAAATGAAAAGGAAAGGCCCATACATAAGATTGCACCGACAAAAAATGCAGAAAAAATGAGCTTATCTGGCCAGGCCATAACGTTCGCTGGCCTGCTCAAAAGCCAAACAAACGCACCAGTGAAAGCAACACAGCCTAATAAAGTTATATTTAAGATTAATGTCATTAATATTTAGGGATCTAAATATAAAATCCGTTTTTTTGACTATTCTACACAGATGAAATAATACCAAGCAAATGTTAACTCACCATATATATGCGTCCAAATATTTCCAGTCTCAGTGTGAAGCGAAAAAATGCTTTTGAAACAAGAACTAAATGTACCCAATTCCGGCCTTAAAAATAAAGAAAATAAAAAATATTAAAAAACATACCGATGCCCAGAGTGTAGAAATTCATTGTCTAAAAATTAACTAAAAATAAGTATTTCCCCCAATAAATTAACCTTGTAACCAAGCCGGGAGCCCGGTGAAGTGTACTCCTTTCCAATTCACTTGCCAAAATCTTTTGTGCCTTTTGTGCACATCAGTGTTACCTTCCTCTCCTTCAGAGTGCTCAATTCCCTCGAATTGCATCATTTCTTCTTCGTTAATCGGAACCTTTAATTTCATGTTTAAAAAATATGATTAAAAAAACAATCAAAAAACCTAAAATATAATCACCTTGAAATCTTTGTCGTCTTCCATAACTTCAATAGCATCGAAATCCGGAGGATTTTGGCAGCCACTTCTCTGCTTAGACGCGGGCAGTTGGACATGTCTATGCGTTTTGTCTCCATTTTTATCTGACTGAAAATTGCCAGAGAACATTACAACGCCAATCACGTCTTTAAAATAAAAAGCTTACCACTTGCGTTTTATCGTTTTCTTGGTTTCGAGTGTATCGCTGTGATTGTTTTCCGATGTAATGCGACGGCATTGATTGCGCGCGTCGGTGACCCTTTTTGAATGAACGCGTTGATTTTTCACTCTTTTTATCTTCATTAATTTCCAAAGCCTGAGCCATCTGTGTGAATTTTAAGAATAAATAACAGAAAATTAAAAAAAGATCCTGGTAAAGATAACCGAGATACATTGTAAAAAATTAACAAGATAATTTAAACAAAAGCAAGTTTGAGAAAATAACAAAAATTCAGAAAAAAAGTCATTGAAATTTGAGACACATTTCAATAAATCAGAAAGCCTATTCAAATTTCCATTGATAATACATAACAAATAAGTTTCATCGTATTTATAACCATTATTTCGGTATTCTTCTAATCTCGTTTGATAACCAAATTATAACACTATAAAGAACCAGGGCACCGTTCTGATGAATTGACGCAATTGAAATTGGCACCTCATAGATCTATTAAGTGAAAATATTTATAAAGGCAATATGTATAAACTAACTAGAGTTCCAATTCCAAGCGCAGCTTGCGTGAAACATGCAGCCAAAAGAGTGTGCAATGCAAATTTAGCACGATTTGACAACTTAAATGTTATAAAATTTAAAAATAGAACAACTTAATTGTATGTCTAATACCACCAATATATAATTAAATCTTATATTTCCTTTCGATCTTTAATTAAATTACAGCTGAACTGACTATACATTTTATGTAAATTATACCTTCATATTGCGTCCCTTAAACCAAGTAAGTGAAACTACGATTAGCGTCAAATAGGCCTGAAAATAATATGACAAGATCAAAAACCAATATTGTAAAAATTTAACCAGATTTCGATGAAGAAATTGTACAGAGACCGGGTTCGAAAAGAATTTATCAATACCAAATATATCTCTAGACATAAGTTCATGTGGGATCCATTTTCCAGAGTATTTTGGCCAAGAATTATAGACTAATCCTGCATCTAAACCAGCAACAAATGCTCCTATTAAAAATTTTATAAGAAATGTTACTTTGTTACCACTTATTTACCAAGCAGAATTGTTGAGAATATAGCCAATTTACTTCCATGCACCTTACAATTAGTTAAAATAATTTTTAAATTAGAAAAAATGTTACCATTCCACGTAAACGACGAATTGATGCTACTTTTGAATGCTAAAATAATCTATTAGAAATCTTCAAAAAAAGGAACATCGAATGGAGTAAATAAACAAGAAAGACCATTCCAGAGAAGAACGCCATAAAGTATGAAAGCAAGGCTTAAATGGACCACAAGTCTAATTTATGATGAAAACTAATGAATAAAAATAAAAAAACCTATATTGAGATACTCTTGGCACAAAAGAATCATCCTTTACAGCCGTAGTTTGTTTAAGACCTGATTTAACCATCCACCAACCAATAACACCCTAAACATTTTAAAAATATGAAAATTAAAAATGCTCAACAAATTCAAAATAAACCTGCGCGAGAATTAACGACCCGGCAAATAACATTCTCCGCTTTATTCCATTAGAAAAATATCCTCGAAGCCAAAAATAAGTACAAGGAACAATAAAGATTAACCCAACAGCTCTTCCCCACCTGCAAATATTTATATCTATATACAATGAAAAATGCACATGACATTTATCTAAAAAATTAAGATCTAACCCACATTCTGTGGACATATTCCATGGTCCAAATGAATTTAAATTGCTCCAATGTTATTTCTTTTTGAGTGGTCGACTTGCTAAAAACAAAACTGAACAAAAATTTAGAAAAACTCACTGTTTATATTCAGGATATTTTTTATAATTTTCAAACTCGATTTCCCATTCATTTTGATTGAAAGGTGGCTTCATAGTTTTGATCAAATCCCATTTCACCATAGAGAGACCGCTTTCTGTAAGCCTGATAATTAATTTTTCACAGAATCAGAATGTATGAAAACGTCAACCTCGTTAAACCTCCAACAGCTATTGTACCTAAATATATTTTAATTTGTTCATTTTCTTTCAAAGATTACCATAGACCACTCCAGTACAACCAAGTAGCCACAAACCAACAACTTTATTCGTGGATAATGTAGTCGTCGTCAAACGTACAAACGCCCTACTCGAACAAAAACGACTAAAACGCAAAATAATTTTAAAACAAGCATAACATACCTAATTGTGCTTCTACTTTTTGCATAAATTAATTCAAGTAAAACCATCTGATCAGTTCGAACAAACAAGTTAATAAATTATAAATAAGCAATAGATAACAATTCTAATGTTTTCTGACGAGAGTCTGATGATATTTTTATAATGCTTTTATTTGAGCCAATACATACATGTGAATATATGTAGAAAGATACCAACAACGAACCCGAAAGAATGGCAGAAAATAGGAAGATGATATAAGGATAGAGTGTATGATTTAAAATCATAGATGATTGAAAAATATATCAGAGAAAACAACGAAAATGAAAGGTATAAAAATATAAATATGTATTACTATTGTACACATGTGTATTATGATCATTTCTGCAAATGACCCTTTGCCCCGTGAAAGAACTGCATCAATGAATAAGCATCTGAAGGGTTATTAAATTTATTAGAACAATCGAAGGATTGAAAATTACCTGCTGTTAATTCACAGATCTGTTGGTCATTCCAATTTTGAGTGGGAAGACTTTGCAATTTAAGCATTATGCCCTGAAACAATTACTATTTAATTCAGTTTATTTAACGACTTATCATTCAAGAGAAATTAAATGAGAAAAATGATACAAAAATATAAATTTATAAATAACCTGAAAATCCTTTTCGTTCTGTAACTGCTTAGACCAAAGTCGCAAGAATGCCCCACAAACATACGTATGAAACTCCGAAAACCCATCTTTTTCGCTCTAAAAATAAATGTTAATCGAAAAAAACCATTCAAAAACCAGATATGTGTCCCAAAGTCGAATAGTGGTACGTAAGGGAATTTCGCGCATCAGTAAATTGTTCATCCATCGAAATGAGAACTGCAGAAATTCAACACCGTTCGATTCGAAATGGGTGTATAAATTTCCTATTAATTAGTAAACAAATATTTTTAATTCAAAAAAGATTGTATACGTTCAACACGACTAATAAGCTCACGGAGATCATTCACTTTGCGTTGAATTCCAGGTTGAGCAAATGTGTAGTTATCTTGTATTGTGTCAAGAAGCGCAGAAACGCACCAAAATGAGTCGGCCTCCACAATTTCCACTTGCTCACGGTTTAGAAGAGATAAGTCAAAACTTCCAAGGTCTGTGTCTATTTTAATATAAATTCGAATTAAAGAAAAATAAGAACCATCAGGAATAAATTCAGAAAGGAACACAATGAAGAAGGGCGTGACCAAATCATTAATTCCTTGAACATAGCCACTTGCTGGATGCCTAATTGCCCAAATGTAGAGTACACGTTCAAACATCTTAATAATATTGAAATAAAAATTGCATTAAAGTACAGAATTCGATTTAGCTAGGCTATTAAAACATCCGGGAACCTTAAAATTAAATCTGTGGTTACACATTAAACTAAAATAACCTTAAAAAGAGAATATTCTTAATTTTAATAATAAACAAAACCTCCTGCACTTTCTTTTGTTGAAATAATGGAATCAGAGGACACATTCTGGGAATATCGATATGAATCTAAGAATTTTGAAAATTTAAGCTTCAAGTTTAACAAAAAAAACCTGACGAAATGTGATTTGATGCTGCTCGTCGTAACGAGTGTGAAAATACTGCTCTACATAATCCCAATATTCATCTCGTTTCCGTTTTAATGTCACCTCACGACGATCCAAATTTGTCGGAAGATAGCCCTAGTTAAAATTGAAAAGATTATAAAAAATAGAAAATCTACATAAAAGCAAATTTATAAATCTATAAACTACCGAAAGAATGCGCCATGCAAGCGGACGAATCCGCTGGGGGATTCCAAGCCAGCATTCCTTACGTAACTCGTTTAAGTCGACAATTGTACCCGGTGCTGGTTGCTGGTAATGATGGTTGCTATTGTCTAGCAGAATGCCCAATATTCGCCGTAGTCTATCAAATCGCGAGACATCGCCACTAGAATCTACAATAAATTGTTATTTCAATACTGAATTGCCTTTGAAAGTTATTTTTAACCTTTAGTTTTTTGCTGGCTTGTTACACAACTTAGTGACGGTATCGATTGCGAACCCGTGGTAATTGAAGAACTAATCGGCCTAGTCGTGAGTGAAACCTCAGGTAGCCTTGGATAAATATTTTGACGACCGACGGGAAGTGCAGTTGCTGATCCAGGTATTGGTTCTAGAGAAATGTAATTTGATAATTTCTTTTGAAATTTACATTTACCTCTCTGAGTTGCAAGCATTTGCATAGCTTGAGTTTTATGGTGCTTTGAAGGTGCAGAATAGCAATTAGGCATTAGGTAATCCTCCCTGAATACATCAGAAGACGGAATTTGTTGCTCAGCAGCATGCCGCTCAAGCACACAAGCTATTATTTCATTCGGAATAAGAATAATTAATCAAAAACCTGCAGTCGACAAAATGAGAGTGTCATCCATAGAAACAGCTGTATCCCATGCATCAGAAACACTTAAAATTTATATGTAAATTTTAGGAAAAAATTGTAAGAAAAAACCTTTCCTCGTAATTCCTGAACTTTAACTCCGTCTTGGATGGAGAGTTGCTTATTTCCGAATTATGCTTCAAAGGAGGATATTGAGCACCATATATAGGCTTCACACTACAACAGAAAATGTTAGTTTATTTGAGCTGAAAACACTTACCTTCCTGGCAAAGGTACGTTCTGTGCCCAATTGCGATGCATTAATAGGAATTTTAACGAAGTTCAAACAGCAAGAAAAAATAAATTCCTTGAAGAGAGATAAAAATAAGTGTTAATCTACACGTAACCTTTACCAACACGGTAATAAAGGCATTACGACGTTTGATCAGTAAAGCAACATGACATCAAGAGAATTTAACAGACGGTTGGACAGTAGACAATTAGCCAGCGTAGTCTGGTTAAATGGTGAAACTTACCAATATATTTCAGATGGGTTCAGATCCTCAGAGGAAATCTATATTTATTATTCAGCTATTCTATATTCCGATTCCTATTAAAAGGAATCAGAAAATCTTTCGAATTTATTTTTTAAATTTCTCTCGATATTCAATGTCTAGATATATAGAAAAAAGATCTTTTAACAAATCTTTAAAAAATCAGTTTTACAATTGACAATATTTATGCATAAAAGAAAATACTAATGAACATTAACTCATTCATAGAAGTGGAATTCTAACGACCTCAGTCGCCTGTATTTTTGCCGTTATTGCCTGAAAAAAAACAATTATTTTAAATGCCAAAATAAAGGTAATTTGTCAAGGATGTCAAAAACTTGCCGCCATTGCCATAGCTGTTGCTGCAGGTAGAACGCCAGATGGGTTTGGTGTTGCACTCAAATAGCTAAGTGCATCAGGTGGAGTAATAGCACGACATATGATTAAGCACTGACCACCAAAATTGAAGCTGGAAATTCAGCAGTTACATATAGTAAAAAACGTGACAAATAACCCACCCATTCATTCCTTCTACTGCTTCTTTTGCTGCTTGTTGGGTTGAGAACTCGATGTACCCGAAGCTCCTAAAAGTATTTATATTTTATTTAAACGTGATTTTATATTTTAACATATTTATATTTTATTTAAACGTGATTTCATCTTAAACAATGTAAAATCTACCATGTGAAATTGAAAAATGAACCTGTGTCGTCCAGATGCGTCCTTAGCCAACATACATTTCTGAATTTCACCAAATGCCTCAAAAACACTGCGCAAATCCTCTTCTAGCAACTCTGGATGAATGGAGGACACATATACGCGATTAAATTTGCGAGCCTCACTGACGATCATATCTAAAAAATATTCAGAATTTATTTTAACAAATCGAGAACCAATAATGGATTGCGCTTGAGGCATATTTGTCGGTCTCGTAACCTAAAAATAATTTAACCACAAAATTATTGATGGATTAAAATTATACTGGTGAAACTTTAATGCTTCTTCCTCCCATCATTTTTCCATTCATTTGCTCTTGCGCAAGTTGGGCAGCCTCCGGCACCTCATATTCGACAAAAGCAAAACCTTTGTGACTCTAAAATTTAACGATAAAAGGTAAAATAATTTGCAAACTACCCCAGTTGCTGGATCTCTACACATGTTCACAATCTGTTTTAAATTGAAAAATGTGGACAAAACATAAATCTCAAACACTACCTTTATTGGGCCAAACGGAGAAAAATTCATGCGGAGATGATCCTCACCTATATCAAAATTGATTGACCCAATGTAAATGCGAGACATCTTAAAATAAGTATTTCTCTGGGATAAATTAATTTGCTTACAATCGAAAGTGCCTGAGTATACAAGGAGATTTTTTGTTGCTGAAAATTAAATAATTAAATTTTTGAAAAATATGTATTAATAAAAAAATGTTAAATCTATGTTGAGATAAAGTAAACAACACATTTCTTTCGATTTCTTTCAGATTGAATGTTTGAGTGTATGAATCGGCCGAGCTGCTGCAGTTTTCTTTACTATTTGCGTTGTCAATTCTGAAGGGGGAGGGAGAGGGAAAAGGAAATCATGAAAACTAGCTTCGATATTTATTAAAATTTTGAAAGGTGAAACAATCGTCTTAATTGTCAAAAACTATATTTCCATGGTTTTAAAGTAAATCGAATAAAAAATCTAAATTCTTGTAATAGTTCAATGTTCAAAAAACATTTGTAATCAATAGAATACATATGGCCTCTACAAAAAGTATAGCCATTCTCCTAATTCGTGAGAATTATAACTTAAAACAAAGAAAAACCCATATAAAATTTACTTGTTGTTGATGCGCTTCTCTTTGCTTTAGCATAACAAATTTTACAGACTGATCAAGAGCATATCGTTTTGCGCGTTCTATATCTTCCCTCTCAAATGTTCTCAACTTTCTAAGACCAAGCCCAATTAGTTGAGCTTCTCTGTGCTGGCCCGGCCCAACAAACACCTATCAAGAAAAATATAAAATTCAAACGCATGTTTAAAAAAGGGAAATTACCTTGCCAGTCTGTTGAAGCAGTGGCATAGCCACAAATTTACCAGTTACCGTTGCTTGTGATGATGACCCCGAGTATGGAGCAAATTCTTGTTTCATTTGGCCTAAAGTTGGTTGTTGTTCCTGTCTTATTCCATTTTGTTGAATCATATAATTAGCATAAACGTCCATGGCTAAAAGTGCTCAAAAAATGTAGGAATCAAAAAGTGAAAAAACAATAATCATGGGGGCATTTGAGTCAAGCCCATTATTAGACAATCTAAATAATATAGATAGCATAGCATAAAATTTATGGCAACATATTACAAAATACAATATAGAAAATGAAGCATTTGTAGATAAAAGCACCATATATGTATTTGGTATCGTTGGAAAATTCATTCGGAAAAAATAAAATAAGGTGGTCTGATAGGAGGTTAAAATTTAGAAAAATATTTTGCGAATAGAGGATTTTCATATGTGCAAAAATTGTAACATTATAATAATCCTAGATCAATAATGTAAAAACATAAGACTGGAGAAACAGAACTGATAAATATTCAATTAAAGTTTTAGAAGTGTTCCACAAAAAAATTTTCCGTTGCTACCCCAACTCTTCCATTTTGTTGAGACATGACTTGTTGTTGAAAAGTACCATTGATACCACAGAACCTGTTCAGCATCATTGAGTTCACATCGTCAGGAGTAGTAGGTGGAGGGCCAGTGGGTTGAGAAGTCCTATGTATTTGTCCTTGAAAAAATTGATGGGGTTGAAAGTATTGTGGTTGTCCGATAGATGTCAATGAAGGTGCTGGCGGTAGCATAGCCCTAAAAATGTTTAATTTTGATTCTTTTTATTAAGAAAAGGAGTACTTTCTTCGATGCTCCGATCCACTTGACTCCTCGTTAGAGTTATTACTAGCTTGACTATTTGCACCAAATTGGTCAAAACGGGTTTGTGTATGTACTGGATTTTGTGGAACTAATTTATGTAGCTGTCTCTGCTGAGTTGAATATTCCAATGTTGTTTGCAAAGGAATCCCCGGTGGTGGATATGGTGATACAGAAGGCATTGCATACTCGCTACCCTAATGAAAAAATAATGAACAAAACTAAATTAATATAAAAAAATTAACCCCAAAATTTGTATGCAGCATGTATGGTACTTGTGTTCCGCAATCGCGATCGTTTAAAAATCTCTGGTTGGCTAATAATGCTTGATTTTGAGGATTTCGAACCAGAACTGATCCATGTTCAATACCATTTCGAAGAAGTAACAAGTCTGAAAATGAATGGAAATGCGTAAACAATACGTTGTTTACCTGAACAATTATCTCCGAAAACATAGTAACATTGCTCCGTGAATACCTAAATTTAAAGTACGTGAAATAAACTCGCGAAGCATTTTTCCCCAAAAAATTTATTCGAATAATATACTATTTACAACTAACCTGCTTATTGACAACATGAGCAATAAATCGTTCTTTTAGTAGATCAGACGCATATTTTCGAGCTTCTTTCCGAGTTTTCAAGCCATCCACATTTTGAATCAACCAATCAACCAAAGAACTACCTTAAATAAAAAAAGTTACTGAAAAATGTAATACTAAAATAATACCTAAAAAAGACATTGGGATTGGAATTTTTAGCCAAGTTCTATCACGAATTTCCAATCCGGAACCGATTGCAATCATTGCCCGAATGATCATTCGTTTGTCAGAGTTTATGTCTAGGCGAGGTTGAACCGCCAAAAATACACCACCCTGCCCAAGTACTATCTGAGGAGCCACACCACCTGAACCATTTGTTGAAGTAGCTGTTGTATTGCTACTACATGCCGATCGTTGTTGATGTTGAGCGATGGAAGTGGGAATGTTAAGCATATTTACCATTTGTTCATGCGGATGATACTGGTTGTGAGCGGGAATAGGCGTTGGCGCACCTTCAGAGCCTAAATATTATTATTTTAGAACTTTTAAAAATATGCAAATTAAATTTATAAACCTTCTGGGATAGAGTTCATCGCACTCACAATTGTACCAACAGCCATTCCCCGTACAGCATTGGTATGTTGCACCCAAGCGTGTGTATCAAAAATGATTAAAAAAATTGAACATTAATAATTTTTGGCTATTTTTAAAAAGGTAAAATGTGGGCGGAAACAATATTTTATAGTTTAATTAATTTAAATTTAAAAAATTTTTAAATACCAATTGGGCGCACTGGTTCACGAACTGGCACAGAAAAATAATTGGCTCGACCGGAATCAAAACTTTTTGCAACTGTCAATTTAATTGGCCTGAAAAAAATAAGAAATTATAACTCGACAAGTTATAATTGAGCAAAATTAATTGTTCAATTCTAAAAGTTACCCTTGTCTGTTGACTGCTTGCTTGAGAACTTCAACCGCTTTATCATTTTTAAAATTTTCAAAGGAAACATCGTTCACTTGTAAAATCATATCTCCAGGTTCAATGCGACCATCTAAAGCAACAGCACCACCTTTTATAACGTTAGCCTAAAGACAAAAAATGTAATTTCAATTAAATAAAATTGGCACACAAGTTATGGACAATTCAAAGCCAATAATTAAATAAAATATTTTCGGTATATCAAAAAACAGACCACATAAATTCCGTTATCACCGCGTGACGAAGATTGACCCACAATGGAAATACCAAGAAAATTAACAGCAGAGTCCATATTAAGTGTAACCTATAAATGTTATAATTAATTGAATTTCTTAAATTTTATAAAATTAGTACTGTGATAACTTCCAGTGCCATTGAGGTCTCAGTCATTGATGAAAGTGAAGATGCACGTGAGGGCTTACGCCTGTTACGCGGGGCCTGGCGACGTCGACGCCGATATAAATTGTAGCGCTGCCTTGATACAGAAGTGATGTTGTCGGTTGACGTGGAAAGACTAAAATATTATTTCATTTGATAAGAAAAATCTTAGAGTAAAATAAAAAAATTTGAGGATTACCGTGATTCATCATCAGAATAAAGGCGGTGATCAGTCTCATTTGTATATAGAGTGGAATCGTCAAAAGGTTGTCTTGTGTGATTACCTATAAAAATTTTAAATTGGATAGTAGGTTTGAATCACAGTTTGAATCACATCGATTGCGTGGACGATAGTGCTGTGAACTCGTGAACGGATAAAGCGCGGTAGGGCCCAAAGGTACCTTAATTATAGTACGCAGTTGAAAATAAAATGATCTAGAACAAAGAAAAACCTTCTTCATAGAGGCAAGTTTGGAAACGCCAGAAGAGTTGCCATCAGAATTTGAATTTTCCGCTGTTAAAAGAAAAAGTTCGAAATGACCATTAGAAGATCGTGTAAGCTGTTGAGCATCATCACGTATTTCGGCTTTGACTTCGCTTAAAAATAAACGATAACTCAATGATATGTCAGAAACTCGAATGTAAAGTATATTAAAGTTAAGTAAGAATGCATTAAGATTAACATATTTACTTACCCTCCAACTTCTGAATCAATTGCTTTGCAATAGTATTTGAAATTAGTTCTGTTGAGAACCCTTTTAAAATCGCCTAAATTTTAAACATAACTCCTCTATTATTAATCGAATAAAAAACCTAACGTAACACGATTGTTAGGTACTGGCAATTCAGTGCAATAAGGTGTTTGTTCATCGTCTATGTGGTAATAAACCTGAAACATAAACATCGATTTGGGCAATCCCGGAGAATTGGGGTTTCTTCGAAAAAAAAGTTTAAAAATAAGAAAAAGGGTTTTTCTAGGGTAAAAAAATACGCTGATTACGAATCTGAACTCGGATTTTGAAAAAGTCGAATCCCGAACCCGAACCAAATTTCGAACCCTGAACCCGGATTTCGAATAGGCAAATGATAGCTCATTCGAAAGAGCTCGTCGAGCTGCATCGAATGAAACCAAAATCAACGTGATTGGACAAGTTTAGACAAAGTTATGACATAAAGTATACCTATGGGAGTACTGTAGGAGTCGGCGACTTATGTCATAACTTTGTCAAAACTTGATAAATTACTGTGATTTTGGTGTCATTCGACTCATCTCGACGAGCTCTTTCGAATGAGCTATTATTTGCATAAACTTTTTTTTACTCCAAAAAATCACCCCTATGGTTTTTCAATATTCCGGGGTCTGTATCTCGGTGCAATCACGTCGGATTTCATCGATTTTGGTGTCATTCGATGCATCTCGATGAGTTCTACCTGCATATGGAAGACTGACAATGTCCGACAATGTCCGGGGTCAAATTCCGAATACAATGTCCGACAATGTCCGGGGTCAAATTCCGAATTCGGGTTCGGGATTCGACTTTTTCAAAATCCGAGTTCAGATTCGTAATCAGCGTATTTTTTTACCCTAGGAAAACCCTTTTTCTTATTTTTAAACTTTTTTTTCGAAGAAACCCCAATTCTCCGGGATTGCCTCGATTTGTATGTATTATATAAATAAAATATAGAAATAAATTTTAAATACCTTTGTAGCTCCTCTGCCTGCTGCTGAACTACAAACTGACATTGAAGAATGCGTCAAGTGAGAACTAGCGTCGGAAACTTTATCAATTTTTTCTGCTTGTGAATTCAAATCATTATTAGTATTTATTGATTTATTGATATCCAATTGTACGGTTTCTTTTTCGAGCATACGCACTTCATTAGATTCATCATTCTCCAATTTTGTCGTTTCCATCATGACATGATCAAAAGAAGTCAAAGATTCTGAAATTGAAAGTTATTCTGAAAATTGATTTCTCGTTTGAACGACAAAAGGAGTGTGAGCAATTGACAGAGTAAAGCTCTCTCGTGAAACTGTCGGACGATGCAAGGGGACACCTATATAACCAGACTCATAACAATGCCAGACTTTTTTGGACCTTATTTTTTATTTTAAAGCCTCGCGCCATAGTGGGCTTGCGCCATAGTGGCCTGCGCCATTGTGGTCGCGCCATAGTGGCCCGCGCCATAGTGGGCCGTACCCTATTTTGAGCCTTTATTAGTCTTGATAAATTTCTTAAATCAATTTTTTAGGTATAATGTCGTCGATGCCCCAGCTATCCAACGATATTTTACAAATTATATCTGAAAAGTTACTTTTTAAAAAACCACCTGATGATAAAATGTTTAATCAAATGGATCTGCGATCATTGAATGCTTATACTCTTTTCATGGTTTAGTTAATTTTAATTTATTAATATTTTTATTTTATAGTATCACAGTGTAAAAAACATGCGATCTTTTCTCTCCAATTTTACTAAAATGAAACGTCTTGAACTTCTTAATAGTGGTGACAATTTTAAAATTAATTTGTACAAAGACGAAAGTTTACCATTTAATATGATTAATAGTGTAAGTAAATATTTTTTAAACCATTTTTGCCTTCTTATTGTTAGAATGATTTTACTGGACCATACTCCGTTTCTAAGCAATTAATTTTGGATCTTCTTTGTGCTGGATTACTACGTACTTCATTCATTAGAATAAGTCATGCTTTAGAGGAATTGCCAGATGAAATACTTAAACACTTGATAAATCCAAAAGGTATAAAATTTTTTTATTGAAATTTAGGTGATCCTATAGTTTACTCATCCCTAGAAAAAAGTAGGGAGTGCTTTTTCGATATTTTTGAGCGTTAAAACTCAAAAATGCCGAAAAAGCATTCTTAAACATTTTTTCTAGGGACCAGTAAACCACTAGAAGATTACCAAAATTTTATAAACTATTGCCGTTTTTATTCAGCTTTAGATACTAAATTATGTCCGTCAACTTCAAACTTAAGCATCTCGAAAGTGGAAGTCGACGAGTCTGCAGCGACTTTTCGTTAGCTTTTTTAATTGGAACCTAATTTAAAAATTTTTAACAGAAAAGCATCTAATTACTTTGCTTTCCATTAATGCGGAGAATGTTGAATTTTGCAGTTTTTGGGAGAATCTTATTTTTGAATGCAGTTCATCCAAAGTGTAATTTTTATAATATTTATACTCGATTAACTTGCAATTATTCTTAGACCTCCAATTGTTATTGAGCGTACAAAGAAGATTTTAACCAAATGTAGTCTTGACATGGAATCGACAAACAATTTTCGCGACAATTTCAAAAGTTATATACAATTTCTGCTTCTTTGCTGCTCAAATCTTGAATATCTGGAATTTGAATGTACTTCAAACTCTACTTCTCCCAACGACTATATTATAAATTTGGAGGCCCTTATAATTTCAATTATAGAAGATCTCAAACATCAGCATCGCGGTAGTAAAAATTTGAAGATACGAATTGAATTCACTGCAAATTTCGAAGAGGTTTTATTCGAGGTTGCTTTAATTTGATTTAATAAGGTATATATATTATATTTTTAAATTTTTAGTCGATTTCGAATGAACATAAAATTTTCACGTTGGGAAATTCATTTGTCATTGATGAATTATCTGATGATTCTCCATACTTTGCACGTAGTATAAAATTTAATGATTCAATTGGGAGACAGCATGAGTGTTTATTTCAAATCTTCTCTGAAAAGCCAGATCTTTCTGATTGTATGTTTTATAGAAATTGTGCTTTTCAATTCCAAAAAATATTTTTTGACAGATAATATAACTAATTATGATTATGATGGAGATTATGATAACTATGGAGATTCTGATCATACTGAAGATTATGATGAATATGACTTCGATGAATATGAGTATTGAACATTAAATCTCATTAATTTATTCTGATGATTTTTCATTGTTTTTCCGTTTCTAGGTATAAATTATTTTATAATTTTCAAGTATATCAATTTTTCGTAAATTTCTCGGCTTCTTCTAAGAGCGAAATTCTCAATTCCTCTGCGTCGAGTTTTTCGATTGCGTCTGCATCAACCCTAACAGCTTGAGAACCACACGGTTCATTATTCGAGTCATGGTATCTAAAAACGATACTAATATAGTTGGTTTGCCTTACAAGCTCAAATAGGGATGTTCCAATGCCTCTTTTGCTGAATATCGTTTCCATGGTGCAATTTGCATCATCTTGCGTTGAATTTTATTTAGGCTGATAATACGCATTTATTTACCTTGTTGATCAAGTTTAGTCCTTTACTCGTTGCGTTAGGCAATATTGTACTCCACGGTAAAGGCGCTCTCTGTCCACACTTATCGATCCAAACGCGTACCGAAAAATAAAAAAATACTGTGAAAATTTACGCAAGGTACCAGCTCTGAGCTGATTTGTTGCATCACCTAAGTTTAGATTGTGAGTTAAATAATTTAAATGGTTTTACCTCAGCTTCTGGAGTTCCAAGGTAAAAAACTATCATCTTAATTTCAATTTTTTATAATTCTCAAAGATGTTACTTTAATTTGTGTAGCAGCGTCCCTTCCAGGGAACAATTGCCTGCGTTGTATCATCTCCGCAAAAATCGTTCCAACTGACCAAATATCTACCCTGTCAATTTTCTGATTAGATTGGACTTTCATTAGTGAGTAACATTGTGCCGTAATCAATAAGTGAAAAAAGTAACTCTGGCGCGCGGTACCACCTTGTAGACACATATTGCTGTATCAAATGATTAACTCTTTATTTCTAAATAACAAACAGTCATAATTGTCCCCTCTTCACGAGCACATTGTTCCACGGAACGTGCTAATCCAAAATCAGCTCTAAAAAGAATAAATTTCTTAAACATGCAATAATAAGATCATAAATACATTTTTAGTAGACAGTCTCCATTTATTAGTAAATTGCTCGGCTTTAGATCCCTATCGATAAAATATAATATTCGTGAAATATAATGATACCGATGAACAATGCCGACAGAGTGCATGTACTACAATAGTTTTTATTTAAATGGGATGTGATCGTTTAGATACCTTTAACCCGCATAGTATTTGATAAAGAAAGTACTGATTGTGTTGGTCCGTTAGTTTCTGAGAAGAATGTATTATCTGATGTAGATCAGTTTCCTGAAAAGATAAAAAAGAAAGTTTTTAGTTATTTGTTACCATCAAATCCATCACTAGATAGATATCTTTGCCTTGAACATCATCTCCAACGGAAAAAAGGTTCAAGACCTTTATGATATTTTTATGCCTTATATCTCTAAGGATTCTAACTTCTCCTTAAAAAATTTTTTTCTTGTCAAAATAATAAAAATAACTCAAAGTGCGTTTCACCAATGTCAAAGCAGAGAATGCCTTAGTAATCTTCTTTATTGCTACTTTTGAGTTTGTCTCCTGTTAATTTGAAAAAAATTCAATTATTTTCTAAAACTCAACCATATCATGCGCCATCGCCACCGAGCCATACGCTCCTGAACCAATGTTTTTCCCCAAAACATATCTGAAAGAACAATGAAAATTTAAAAGCGTCAAATTTCACTGGACCTATCTTTTAGTTGAGAGCTCATCAATTTAGAACAACAAAAGAATTAGGTAGGTTTGTTCAGTGGGACGAATCGATGATCTTGTTCATTGGGACGAATTGGGATTCCACTATTGTTTGAATCTGGGCCGTTTCCGTTAATTGAGTCTGGACAGTTCTTAAATTTTTTAGTTACTACAAGATATAATACAGAAATAAATGTCTTCAATTCCTGAAAAATTTCTTGGAAAATTTAAACATGAAAAAAGTGAAAACTTTGAGGAATATTTGGCTGCTCGTGGTTTGTAATGGTTTTCCCTTATTTACATATGAACAATCTATTTTAAGGTGTTTCTTGGATTTTCCGTAAATTAATTTCTTTCACTTCAATTACTAAAGTCTTTGAAAAATCGACTTCAGCTACAGGAAAATATGATGCACACAATATTAGTTCTAAGGGTGATACACCATATATTGGCTGGACGCTTGACGAAGAGTTTGAGGCTAAAGGATTGGATGGAAAACAACACAAGGTTACTAACTTTTCTTAGATTAAGATATGTCATTTATTACTTAAGATCACATTTCAAATGGATGGGGAAGATACACTCACTGAAAAGCACATAAGATTGGATAAAGAAGGTAAAGCTGAACCTGAGGATGTTGGCGAAGTCTATCGCTACTCAATCGACGACAATGACAAATTGGTTTTGGTAATATTTTTTTTTCTCAAATTTTTTTCTCAAGTTACACGATATTCCAAAGTTTTAATTTGAGTTATTCTACTATCCTAAAAACTAATATGTAGCTCTCACTTTTAGACACTTGAGAAAGATTCTATTACTGCCCGACGCTTTTTTACAAGAGTTCAATGAAGAAAATTTAATCATGGGCAAAAATAACTTTGATTATTAAATTTGTTTTAAAATTTTCTAATTTATCTTTTCCTTCATTTTATTCTGCCTTGATTTTTTAACATGGACTTTCGCTTTTGCTAAAATAAATTTTATTTTTCAAATTTACATATCTTAAATTTTAAACATTCGAGATGTGATTAACCCGTTAGACAATCAAATAGACTAGTAAAAGTGATATCCATTTCTGAGCTTTCAATTTTACTAGCCGTAAAATATTTTGACATTTCCTTCAATGTTTTGTGCCGGAGTCATTACAGCATTGGTACCATTTATAGCTAAAGAGTAAGGTTGTTCCTCGAGCGTTGGTGATAACTTGGGAAGATGATCATGTATGACTTGATGATGATTGTCATACATTGGAAGGTGGAGACTAAAATGTTAAAATTTCAGTGCGTTCATTATCGGTAATTGCTTAAACACCTCTCATCCTCAGAAAGTCTTGTTATCATTGTAACAGCACCAGAGAGTCTGTGCTTGTCCAGGATTGTTTGTTTAGGTTTCGATTGCCTAAAAGGTTGCCTCAGCCGTGGTGTCCTTGTTGTATTCGTCTCGCCGGCAAGTCGACTACCTGATTGATGTGGATATCGGTGATGAACGCCCGTTCCTCGGTGGCTACTTTTCTGCCTTTTACGTCGTCTGTGTGATTTTCGGCGTAGATCTTCCCTGGCATGATTTTTTCTCTTCAATTTTGATTTGAAGAGAATGCAGAAGAACGAGAAAATGAAGAGAAAAATTACTCCAGACACTATATAGGCGACTACAATTGTTCGCATGTCTGTCAAGTTGTCGATTCTGGAGCCTGAGTTACAGAGTTAAAAAAAATTCCAAACAGAGCAAAACGATAAAGATCAGTCATTTTTCAGTTCAAAAATTCTGTAGTTTCTGAATTAGTTGAACAGCAACTTTCCAAAAATTTAGTAAACTTTCAAATAACACTTCAAACTTAGAAGAGGAAGTTGAATTTATTCATATATGTATGTACAAATACTTGTAGCAATATCTATTAAAATCTAATTTTGAGTATCATATATTGGCATAATATTGTAGGGATGAAAAGGTGCATATCAACTGGAAAATTAGTGGCAGCATTTTGTCTCCAGCCTTCATAACCACCGAAAGTACCGAAAACACAAAGTTACAAGTATTAGTAAGCTCACATCAAAAATATTATAATTTAAAAATAACTTACAATGTGCTTCGTCACTATCATCATTCTCGCCACAATTATCTTCACCATTGCAACGTAACTAGAAAGAATCAACGTCAGTTCAATTATATTTACATCTATCTCATAAACCTGGGCATCAATGCATAAACGTGAATAAGAACATAAATAGAATTGTTCTCCTGTACATTCGCTATCACCTTAAAGATACTTTGTATTTAACTTTAAAATTTTTAATTTCCTTACTTTGAACGCGACGAACTTCTGTCCATGAAAAATTAAATCCTTGAAGGCCATTTACTTTGTCAGGGGAAGTTAGAAAACTAGTAAAAGTTTTTACAATAGAAAAAGATACTTTAATTAGGTATATCACCTCATTCGTATAGAATTTGATGGGGAGACAATCTAAAAACAAAATTCACTAAGAATTCCAAATAATTTACCGGGGGAATCATTTGAATGTTTTCTCCACAAAGTTGCAAATCCCTGATAAATAAACCAAATAATACAATATTTTTGAAAGAAATCTAACCTGCTACGATTTTGCATATCCAGATGGACACGAAATACAGCACTTACAAAATACGAATTACAAAATAAATATTTTTATAAAACCTCATACAGTCAATTTTCTCGTCTGTCATCTGTCCCTCAATATTGAAAGCATTAGGGCGAAGTAATACCTGATGGCCTGATCTAACGCGTATTTCCCAATCACATTGTTTATTTGTACCATATTTAACTGGATAGCCGGGAGATTCTGTTTTAAAATACTATAAATAAATAGAAAAAATATTAAAAATTAACCAAAATGTCCAGTAGTCAACTCTTCATTTGCTTGGATTAATTCACCACAATGGCGTTTATCCTTACGATGAGGGACCTCTTCTTCAAAAGCATCACGAATTTCATAATGTGCATCGAATCCATTAGCCGTTCCAAACCCATCAGAATGAAAAACAACACGCATTTCGTGTGCTCCAAAAGATGAAATTGTTGGTCCAGGGAATACATTCCAACAATGCTGTGCCTGAAGTCGAAGTGTTTCTGAGCCATCTGATTCGTAAAACACATCAAAAATTTTTAGCCAGTCATTGCATCTGGAAGGGATAAAAATTTGAAGTATCCGAGAAAAATATTTTTTACTCTTTGTCCTCAAATAAGGCGAATTGCTATAAAAGTAAAAAAATTTTAAATTATTTTTAAGAAATACCTTGAAATGCAGCAAAATTTGTTTGTCAGATATCCCTGCGATGTGTTGTTGAGTACTTGCCTGTTTTAAGTAAAAAAGGATTAGAAGCAAAAATATTTTATAAATAATCAATTCATACATGAACAATGTGATAGGTGCATTCAGTATCTAACGGGTAGTTAGCCTTAAATAATTAGTCTTGATGATTTTATTCAACAAAAAGTTACTGGATATCGTGGACTATTGAATGATCCAGTGGGATCGTGAAAGCGAAAAGCACATCGATTAGATCCACCAATACTTTCTCCAGCAATACCAAAATCTAAATGGATTAGATGTTCATTATTAAGTTCATTAACTGATAAAATCAATTAAGGAATTTTATTCACTGACTTACCAGTTTTAAATTCCACTCGAGCTCTGAAGATGAGGAAATTTTAATTTCAGAAACAAAATACCTAAATCCACGTGGATTCGTTGATGATTTATTTGAAGTATCGTGAGATTGTTCCATTGAGCTAAAAACTAAAACAATGCGTGGTCCTTGACTAACGAAAGATGGATTGTTCCCCTAAAGAAGGATAATTTAGATTTTTATACATCATCAAAGAACCTGCGAAAGTGTATCACATAGAATAGCATCGTATGAACTTTCCTCACTGTTGGTTAATGCTGACTTGATCTTAATAGCCAAATTAATAATTTATTTTTGTTTCAATTATTAACTGATGCTGCAGTTGTGGCAATACCAACAAATGCACCATTGTTGCAATCGTCATTCCCTGAAGGAGAATGTTCCATTGATTTAGAGGTATTAGGTGCGAGGGCACTAGACAAAGGCAATATATTTTCAATGGAGGAGGGTGACATAGCAACAGCTTCAAAATGGAGTAACACTTTTTCAAGATTCTGATCGCTTTGAAGACCGTCAAGTACATATGTGCATGTTGTATTTAATGGAAACATTTCCGGAAACTAACAAATTTAAATTAATAAGCTAAACAAATTACGTTTGGCGATTGGATATAATGAACAGATTCTCGATTGGAGCGTACCTTTTACGTAAAATTTTATAATTAAATTTATTAAGAAAATTATCACCCTAATGTCACATTCCGATCCTCTAATATGTGAAATTCTCCTCTGCGGGCCAATAAGCCGAACAATATCCACAAAACGAGTAGAGAATTCGTAATCAATTGCAAAGCTGAAAATGAAAGTTTATAAAAGTATCAGTTTTAAAAAGACTAACCCTCTCATGTCATTTTTTGGCGGTTCTGTAGTATTAAATTCGAGCAACAATGTCGTGCCAAATGAAAAAAGTTCTAAACGTTGTTGAAGGCCTAAAAAATTCAATTAAGAATTTATATAGACCTTTAAAATTTGATACCGCATAGCTTTCGTAGGATAGGTTCAGAGTTTGTATCACCGTCATATATGGTCAACGAGTCATAAGGACAACTAGAATAAAATTAAATTACAATAAAGTTAGAAATATTTACTGTTCGCCGCCAAAGTAAACATCAAAATCCCTAAAAATTAAGGAATATATGTATTAGCCTAGAAGAAAATCAAACATACTTAAAATAAAGACGGATTCGTTCTCCTTGTTTCCCCCTCAATAAATAAACGCAATGAAAATTCTAAAAATAATTTAAAAGTTATTAAATTCTTTGAAAAACTAAACGCTTGGATAAGCACCCGGATATGTAGGAGACAGAATTGTGCCTTGATTTCTATTTGATGACTCAATAAGAAAAGCACATCCTTTTCCATCGGATGGACCAAATGGAATGCCAGGTACGAATTGAGCTTCAGGAATGAATTCAAAAGTGCCAGCGAGAACAAAAGGATCACCTCGACGACGACCAATACGAGAATGAAGTACAAGAACAAGAACTTGGTGCAAACTTGAAAAATTCAATAAAAAAATTTAATCAGGTCCAATAAAATACTACCTTATTCGAACATTTGGTGCAACCGTTCCACAGTACCGAGCATCTAAATTCGCAGAAAGCAGGTCCTCTGTAGGGTCTTCCAATTCTGAGTAGACATCCACATATTCTGATTCACAACTTAAAAATAAAAAAATATAAAATCAAAAAATATCACGCACTGATTCGCAGTACCCGCTAATTGAAAAGAAGTGAATTGAAGCCTCACACGTTCTCTTGGCTTCGCCATAAACGTGTAAATACACTAAAAATAGAAACGTTAGCATCATAAAAATTTAAAAACAAGGGAGATTAATCTTGCAGAATATAAGTGAGATAAATGTGCGAGAAAGTTAATTTTAAACCCAATAGAATTTTTATTGTTGTAAAATTTACTCAATTTTATCCTACTTGAATGTCGTCTGGCAACGACTGATAGTGAACAGCACGTTCATTATCTTCGATCTCGTTGCTGTCATCAATTGAGATTGTTACAAATGGAGACCTAGTGATTTTATTATCATTGTCTTGTTCCATTATATCACTTTCTTCGTTTTCAATATCATCGTTAATATCAGGCGCCTTAAAATCAGTGATTGCCTCCTTTGGAAAAATTGGGAGTGAGAAATGACCCTGGCGAAGAGAAGCATCAAATAGATGATCACAATCGGTAAATTCTGCATTGAATACATAAAAAGAATTAAGTACGTATTAAAGGCCAATCCGTTTACAAGATATTTTTATTATACATATTGTTATTAAAACTTTCTCGCACAACATCTCAATTAATAATGGGTGAAATATATTCTGGAATAAAGGAAAATAAAATCAAGCCACCCTATTGATAATTAAAATACGTATTTACTTGTGATATTTGAAAACACCACGCAGCCAAAATACAAGAATAAAAAGGAGGATTAAACCAACGATGAGAGTAAAAAGCAAAGCAAATCTAAACAACAAAGGTCATGTAAAACTATTTCAAATAATAATCTACATGATTTCGCAGTCCAATGAACGGCAGAAAGGGCAATCTTCTCCTTGTAGAGAAGAATTGGCAGAAATAACTATTGCCTCTGGTTGCACATCTCCTGGTGCGCTGTTTAACGATACTCCACCACTTAATATTTTCGCATTGTTGAGGATTTTTTCCCGTTCTTGCAGTCCGCTGTTTGTTTGTTCTTGTTGTTCCTTTTCTTGCTGCTGATCTGCTAAAAGTAACATTCCATTTCCGCTCTGTTCCGTTGAAGGTGGAAGTAATTTTGCATTCGTAGTCATATATCCAACACCTTCCAAGGAGCATTTTTTAGAAGAGGAGGTATATGAAGATGAAGTTCCAACTATATTCTGATGAATACGATTATGCCCCGTTCTAACTGCCGAACTTTCAAGTACTAAAGATTCTGAGCCTTGAAGAAGTGGTTGAAGAGAAAATGATTGTGATAAAGAATAAGGTGAGATTGCACTTGAGGGAAGAGGACGAGGTTGATGAGGCACTGCCCTTATCACAGTAGTTACAGGAATATTAACGTGTTTTTGTTGATGGTGCCCGATTGTAGAAGAAACCTGTCGAATTTCAGAAGGGCAGAGTTGGCTTGTATTTGAAGACGAAGCGGCATTATTCATACTAAGCCGTTGCTCATTAACTGTTAAAGGTTGCGGAGATTCTATTTGTGTTGGTCTAGAAGACGCAGAACATGTGCATGAAGGCAGAGGATACGGCGGATTATCGCCACTTTTTTTTGAAGAGTTGGAATGAATTTTAATGGAAGAATGGGAACTAGTAATACATAATAAGAAAAATCAACAAGGAAATTCTAAAACTAATATCTTAGCTTTTTAAATCGAGTGAAATGAAATTGACTAAAATATTTTTCAATCGATAGAATTTCTTCATACGTCGGAAAAAATTGAAGTCTCACATCAAAACAAATAACAACGATCAACCAGTCAATTTTTTGATTAAATATAAGCCTGCGCAAACAAATGAAACGCCGCCTCACTCTCCCTCACAAACTCAGTCAACGCGCATAATCGGTAAAAGTAAACGGATTGGCCACTAATTCAAAGTAAAAATAAAATAACCTACGGAAGTCTGCCTCGATTTCACCAATCATCTCCATGTTCTCTCCAACTGTTTGATCATGATTTTGCTGAGGAAATGCTGATGGCACAACTGTCGAATAAATTCCACCAACAAAATTAGTAAGTATTAAAATTGATGTTAAAGAAGTTTTTATGCTGCTATAATTTTCATCTATGGTAAATTTTTGATCTTTCCTCACTCTTCTCATTGCAGACTCCCATGTGGATTAAATATTGTCCTAAATATGTACAAGTTAAATAAAATGGCCCTGAAAATTATCTTGAACGAAAAACTTGCAGTAAAAATTTTTGATAGAGAAAAATTAATAAAATTTAATTTTACGATTTTTTAACTTTATTATATTTTTATGCAGGATAAAATTGACAGAAAAAAACACATTGTAAAAATTGTGCAAAAGATATAATCTAAACATTGTTAAAATAAAACGGCAAAAATAATCTAATTTAAAGACAAGTATTCTTTTTCAAGCTAGGAAACACAAATTTTGTGGTCGGGGAATCCTTATGGGGAATAAACTGTGTTGAAGGAATTACAAGGATACGAAAAAATAAATTTAATTTTTGCAAAAAAAAGATAAATTCATTGATCATTCAGCCACCCTAGATTTAACCTAAAGAACAGAAAAAACTAATTCCTGTGACAGCTGTCGCCATAAGTCATTGTTAAAGGTCATCTTTATATGTACTATAATCCCTTCAAACGAAACACTCATTGAGTAAGAAAGAAAGTTAATAATCCTCCCACTATTGTCTCATAATTCGAAAATGAAAATAACCACCTAACTTTTAAAAAATAATCTATTTTTAAAGAAAATCCTAATAATTGTTAAAAGACAAATTTGATACATAGAAGTGTTTTAATAAATAGAAGAACAAAAATGTACATATATACATATAATATTAAATTTTAAAAATTTGAAAATCAACAACCCTTGCCATTAAGTACCACGCTTCTCACTATAATCATGTGAAGGTAACAAATAGTAATTCGCCTTCAAAGCAGCCGTTACAAGCGAAAGTACTCTCGATTGAAATTCATAATAAATCGTTGTGTGAAAGAGTCCATTGAACAAAATCAGTGAATATTCAGCCAGCGCAAAGAGTGTATACATTCCAGGTTCGCAATAACGATTATGTCTATAAAAAAAGTAGAGCGCAAAGAACAAAGAGATAATTTGTCCAACGCAACAAAATGCTTTGGTTTGAAACGAGATTTCGCCCTGTAAAATAAGGGATATAGTATTTCCAACTTTACTTTTATTCAAAAAATTACAATTTTGCTGGAACGTCTTCTACCAGATAGGTCAAAAAGCCAAGTAACAATCACCATATGTAAAGTGCCACATATAACGAATGCGTTAAACATAAGCATATGTAAAACTGGAAAAAAAGATAATAAAGGATCATAACAAAAGGCTAGCTTTATGTTTTTTACTTACAATGGTCTTCAACAGAAGAAATCATTGCAAGAAGAGTAAGTGACACAATCTCGATAACCTGAATATAAAAATGTTTAAATTTGTAATAACATTTGTTAGACTCGCATTGAGTGCACAAGCAAGATGACAAGCCCAACGGAATCTGCTTAACAGCGGAAGAGGCCACAGGCTAGAGCTGATCAAGTAGTTTCTATGAAGGTTATTTTCAGATATTTCAATTTCATAATAAAACAAACCTGAAAGCAAAGGCCATTGCAAGACGCGGCGTGCATGAAATTCCAAGGAGAAATCTCCAAATATAACGTTCAGGTGCATAGGCTACCACGGCCGAAAGTGACGGTAGCCAATTTGGAACTCCACAATGCGTTGATACAGCCTAATATAAACAAAAAATTATAAGCATAAACTTTTTTTAAACTAACCATTTCATAATGAAGAAAAATAGAAGTTGAAAGGCATAAAACAAATGCTAACATTGGACAACCAGTCAACATAAAAACCACAACATGAAAAGGAATAGAGAGCACCTAAAATAAAGCTAAGGAATTTTGTGGACAAAAATGATGTTGAATCTAATCTTAAACCTATCCACCAATGATTTTAAATCTAATATTATTTGATAACCTCCTCCTCTCCAAAAATATGCATCAGCGACAAGAAATATTGGAAAAGTTAAATTCAATCATTAAAAGAAATTACAAAAGTAACAAACATAATTAAGAATAAGACGCAAATTAAAGAAAAATACAAGATTTAGAACTATTTAAATATTATGCTAACAATAAATTCTTAAGATTTATGACATTTTTGCAAAAAATGATAAATAACAAAAAACTAAAGATTGAACTAAATATTCTACTTGTATTTGCATTTCCAAATAACATCATAAGGAGACAGCCAATATTGACAACCCTAAAACATGAAAAGATACTAGGAAATAAAATAAAAATATTTTGAACCTGCATGTTGTACTTAATCATAGTTTCCCAGTCGAATTTATTTTCATTTTGTTCTTTTATTTTAACTTCAACATCTCGTCTTCTTTGCAATAATTCATCGCTAACAAATTCAATAGGAAATGGGAAACGCTGCAGACAAGTCATTAATATCGCACGAGCCTAACAGTAAATATGTATACTAAATTATTTAAAAAAATAAACCTCAGCTTCAAGTATGTAACCACCAACTTCAAGAATTATACGGCCTGCACGAACAGGCGTCTCAAAATGATGGATAGGGCCTTTCCCACCACCGCGTTTTGTGCCTCTTAAACGTCGAGTCCGTGGTAACCTATTTTGGAATAGGTTTTAAGTTAAAAAATAATTACCATGGAGCATCAACACGCCAAACTGCAAATTGATTCTTCTTTAGCAATTTGTTGACATGCTCCTATAGAAAATTTGATAATTTTAAAAAAGATGTTAATAGCTAAATATCGAAAAGATAAAAAAAACTCACTTGAAGATACGCAAAATCAGCACCAGTTATGAAGCCACCACTGATAGCAGCAAGTCCAAATTGTTTGTGAATCAACTAACAATAAAATAAAATTTTCATACAGAAACAATACATAATTGATACAATATATTTAGAACACTTAATTGAAAAATATACCTCTGTGTGTATAGGTTCATAACCTCTTGCCTCAATCATACGTCTATTCAATTTTTTCTTAACCTCGCCAAGTGCTTCATCATAAACGGGTTCAGAAGGCATAGCAGGTAACTGAAATTTTCCATCAGGCGGAAAGACTACTTCTGAAATAGTAAAATGAAAATTAAAAACGGTTAAAAAACAAACTTTCGAATGTTACTGGATAATTATAGGAATTCCTGATTTGTTGTAAATATCGATAATTGGTAAGCAAAGATGTCACACAAATCCGGTTAAGTTTATTCATTGATATACGCTAAAGTTCACAACAGCTAAATAGACTGAAAAAAATCACAGAGTGGGACGAATCGGGGTAGAGTCAAATCGAAGTGGACGAATTGGATTGTGACGAATTGGGGCGCAGCTGAAAAAAGTGCTTAATTTCAAATTGCTAATTTTTACTTTAGCAATTCTTGAAATATATATTCGACTTGTTAATTCGATTCGTAATAATAAGATCTCCTAGATTACTTTTAGGTTTTACAAGTTTTAAGTTTGTTCTATGCTTTAACGCGTTTTTTTTATTTCAGGATTTGAATGTTTTTATAAATATTTTGATATTTAATGGCTATATTTTGATTTACCACAAAGTTCAGAATGGAATACGGAGTTCAAACACACAACAAATTTGCTTTTTTGGATGGTACATTAACATTAATTTTATTTTCTAATTTTATTTTATAGAGGACGTTAGTGATCCGGAGGAAACTTTGACAAAAGCAGAGGAAGAAAAAAAGAAAGCGGCCGCTGTTCCTCATAAGAAAATTTCAAAACCTCTGGTTTCTGCGAAAACTTTGGTCACTAAAGATGTTGCTAAGCCAGTCGTTGAGAAGAAAGATGGAGCTGATCAACCGCAAAGACAAACGGTTCGATTCGGACCTGGTGAGCGAGGTGGGGCAAATAATCGTGAGCCGCGTAATGATCAAGGAACAAAATGGATTGAAAATCGTCCGCAACAGCGTCGTCCTCCAAATTCGCAGAGTATATTTACCTATTTTAAACGTTATATTCGAATAAAATCTTATCAATGTTAAGGAGATGGTACTGGTACTGATGGTTTTACTGAAAAGCGCCTTACTAATGGTCGTCCGCCTCGTAATGATGGTGGTCAGAGGCGTGAAGTTAAAAGTGGTCCTGATGGTGAGCGTCCACCAAAAAGAGGTGGTCCTCAACGCGGAGTTGGTGGTGGTGGACGTGATGGAAACGATGGTGGCTTCCGTGATCGTAACTTCCGCCAAGGTGGACAGCGCCGTCCGCGAGTAAATGAAATCAAGGATGAAAACAGTATCTACTTTTATCTTTTAAATATAAGAAGTATTTTCAGAAGATGAGAAGAATGCTTTTGAAATAACTGAGCATAAGCCGGTGGAAGATGCTTTCGCTCCGAATGAGAAAATTGATGGCGATCAGAAGGAAAATGCTGAAAATGTTGAGAACGATGTTCCTAAGGATGAAGAAAAGGTATTGGTTGACCATAATCTTTAGTTCCTATAAATTTTAAGAAGAACGAAGATGTTGCGCCTGAAGAACAAGTTCCTCGCGGAAAAACTTATGAAGAATGGAAAGCTGAGCTTAACCAAAAGTCTTTGGAAGCCGTTCAGTTCAAGACTCGACAGGCAGGCGAAGGAGCTGATGAGAAGATTTATCAAAAGTTGGTTCCGCTTAAGAAGGATAAGAAATCGGCAGAGGGAGGAAAGAAGCAAGAGGACGACGAAATCGCTCAGCATGTAAATCTTAAGTAATCAATTTTAATTTCCTTTTTTGATTTTAGAAGGAGAAACGTGAGAAGATTATTTCTGTTGACCTTGCATTTGCGGATAAGCGCTCTACATTCGTTCGTCAGGACTTTGGTGGGGATGGACGCGCATATGGCGGTGGTGATCGGCAGAACCAGAAAGGCGGTCCTCGCGGATCTGCGCCTCGTAGCGGATTTCGGAACAACTATGGTGAGCTCATTCATCCCGTGTATCTCTAACTTTTTAAATTTTTATTAAAGGTGGTGCTGGTTCTTCAAGGCGTCCGCAAGGCAAATCTGCTCAGGATGGATTTATGTTAGAGAGTGATCAGTTCCCTGCACTCGGAGCCCATTGATTGAGGAGAAATTTTTAAATGATTTGATTTGTCTGCCGTGTTCTCCTGTTCTCCCACACATATTATATTCTCATACGAAGATTCTGGGATTTTAGTACTCTGAGATTTTATTGAATGCAAAATATTTAACCCAAAATCTTCGTTTCTCGTTCTTTATTTTATGAAACAATCCCAAGGAAGATGGAAGTTGAGAAGTCAAATAAAACCGGCACTACCTACATTTTGATCTCTTCTTTCCCTTCCGATTTTATTTTGTTGTTTCATCGTTATCCTTAATACAACCGCATGGAACTATTTTTGTTGACGTATACTTTAAAATCAATTTTTATTCAATAAACAAATGAACCCTTTTAACATTTCAAAATTTTTAATCGACCTCTGAACCCATTGTTTCTTTAGATTTTTGCTTCCTCGGATCTGCCGAACATAAGATGAATTTTCTACGACTTTTCTCCATTTCATGTCGCTGGAATTTAATTTGTAATAGATGGTTTCGAAATTAAAGTTACCTTCAGAACCCACTCGTATTCTCCACTACGAGTGTCATATGCTCCTTTCTGTAGCCATTTAAGTCTTAAGGTGATTCTAGGCCCTAATTCGTGGAGTGCTGCCTTTGTTCCTTCTTTTTTGAATTCATATCTAGGAATTAGAGAAGTTATTAGATTCAGAAATTGATAATTGTTTTTTAGTTTTACAAAATTCTTTAAACATAAAGTAGATTATCATACCGATGGTGTCTAAAGAATACGTAATCCCGCTGATTATGCAAAGTAATGACTCTTCTGCCGATGAAGTCAGGTTTTTGTGGAAAAAGACATTCGAACATTCGGGAAATTGTTTTTCCTACTCTCGTGCGGAAGTTGTTAAGAATTATCTCGGGATAATGGTCCGTCGATTCTCCGGCATCCTTAAAGAGACTATGTTAAATTTATTAAACCTTTTCGTTTCATTAACCTTAATTTCTTTTGTATACTTCAACGAATTTATTTTGAAATAAGCCGTTGGTCCTTCAGGAAGGTGAATGAGAGCAATTCCATTTGGCCTTTTACGATCTTCATGTACAACCTAAACATTAATCAAAAGTTAATAAAAAAATTATTTTACAATGATGTCAGTAAACTTGTGCTCATTTGCTTGCTTAACAACTCTCTTCATGGCTACATTTTTCCGCGAAAAAATTTCCACGCCTGGTATACACTTCTTAAGCTCAAAGCACAGCTTCCACGTTCGCTAAAAATTAATTTATAAAAGTAATAATTAAAAATAAATTACGAGTTTTGCTCTAGGCGAGGTTGTAACCAAGATTTTCGGGACCAACTCGCTTTTAAAATGTTCGCTCATTTCATCATTTACAAGATCGTCAAGAACCTTAAAAATAATCCTTAATAATTTAATATTTTATTAATAACCTCTTCATCATCTGAATATACATACGTTTCATCGGGTTCTTGCATACTCTCAATGGTTTTCGGAACTTGTTTAGGGACAGCCTCCTCCCCATGCTTCTCACGCTCTTCCTCTCGCTTCTTCCTTCTTTCACGTTTTTCCTATAAAAAATATGTCAGTTACAACTAAATAAAAACTCATACCTTATCTTTTTCCGCTCTAATCTCAAACCCTCGCTTCCGCGGCTTCCTAGTTTCTGGCATCTTTCTGATCAAGAAAATTTAGAATGTCAAATTACGGAGTCATGTAAAATACCGAAAAAGTTTTTCCTCATTTGCTTGCTTAACAACTCTCTTCATGGCTACATTTTTCCGCGAAAAAATTTCCACGCCTGGTATACACTTCTTAAGCTCAAAGCACAGCTTCCACGTTCGCTAAAAATTAATTTATAAAAGTAATAATTAAAAATAAATTACGAGTTTTGCTCTAGGCGAGGTTGTAACCAAGATTTTCGGGACCAACTCGCTTTTAAAATGTTCGCTCATTTCATCATTTACAAGATCGTCAAGAACCTTAAAAATAATCCTTAATAATTTAATATTTTATTAATAACCTCTTCATCATCTGAATATACATACGTTTCATCGGGTTCTTGCATACTCTCAATGGTTTTCGGAACTTGTTTAGGGACAGCCTCCTCCCCATGCTTCTCACGCTCTTCCTCTCGCTTCTTCCTTCTTTCACGTTTTTCCTATAAAAAATATGTCAGTTACAACTAAATAAAAACTCATACCTTATCTTTTTCCGCTCTAATCTCAAACCCTCGCTTCCGCGGCTTCCTAGTTTCTGGCATCTTTCTGATCAAGAAAATTTAGAATGTCAAATTACGGAGTCATGTAAAATACCGAAAAAGGTAAAAGATAACTTGTTGAATGAAACTTGAAAATTATAATCAGGTTTATGAGCATAAAATTTTTATAAGTGAAAAATTAAATTGGCACATAAGTACTATACATGAAAAAAGAATACAAATCAATTATAAATATTTATTAATATAAATTTTAAAGATCTACCCAAAATTTTACTCAATTTCGAACGACGCTTCTGTTATTCCACTTATTCCAATTACAAGTTTATCGCCAGAAACACATTGAGAAACACCAGACGGAGTGCCAGTGAGTACAAGATCACCTATTAATAAATGTATTTATCGTGAAGGCTTTGTAAAAATCCTTACCCGGTTGTAGAGTAATAGTACGAGTTATGTACTCCAAAAGCGTCGGTATGTTGAAAATCATACAATCAGTCTTTGACTTCTGACGAATTTGACCATTAACTTAAGAATAAAAATATAAAAGGAATCTAATAAAAAAGTACCAACCTAAACAATATATTTCTAAATTATGAGGATCCGTTATTTTCTTCTTATCAATAAACTCCCCAATCGGACAAGAAGAATCAAATGATTTTGCGAGGTACCAAGGATGTCCTGCTTTCTTCAGATCATCTTGTATATCTCTAGCAGTCATATCTAGGGCAATTGTGTAACCACCAATATAGTCGTAAGCCTTTTCCTTTGATATTTTCCGAGCATTTTCAGAGATAACAACGCCCAATTCTAACTATATGAAAATTATCTTGGATATTAGAAAACAAAACCTCATGATGTAGGCATAAACAATCAGAAGGTGCTCTAATTTTACCACCAACAAGAACAAAGGCGTTGGCCGTTTTAGCAAAAATGAGCGGTTTTTCAGGAACAGGATTGTTTCTGTCAATAAGGAAGTTAATGAAATATTTTCTTAAAAATCATACAATTCCAAGGCATGTTCTCGATAATTTCGGCCAACGCAAACAATTTTCCGTCCAAATTCGTAAAACTTTTTTAAATTATTTGAAGCCATCTATCTGTAAATAAATTTCCAATTAAGATACATGAGAAATATAAAATGGATAAATATCAAAATCGTCGTGTACCGGTACTACAATTAACAAAAAATTTATTGCTTATTGTTAGAAAATATTCAAAAAATAACAAATTGGAATTTATACATGATAAAATTACACATAAGTGCTAGAATCAATTTAAGGCGATCTTTGGACAAAGAATAAATAAAAGCAAAGAAACCAGATTAATCAACAGAACCAGCAAAATATCAAAGAAAATCACAACACAAAATAAGGAAAATAATTGAAACAGATGAATTTTTATTATTTTGGAGGGATAACACATTGATGACAATTTTCCATTTCAGGCTTATAACCTTCAATCTGCACAGTTGATTCATGAACATTAAAATCTCGCCTAAGCATTGTTGTTGTTGCTTTCAGTATTTTTTGTGAGTCAGCGCTTGGATCAATTTCCAAATGTACAGATATCGCCACTAATATTGAAATTATTAGAAAATAAATAAATTAGTAAAATCTACCTTTATTCATTGTCAACGCCCAAATTCTAAGATCATGCACTTTTTTGACCTTAAATTGAATTTATTTTAAAAATTATTTGGAAAACTTATAAATTCTAACCCCATCAATCCTTTCCAAAGCATCGAAAACCAATCTAAAATCGATATTCGAGGGTCGGCCTGAAATAAAATCATGATTTTTCATTTAGAGTATGTATAATATATACCTTCCAACAAAACAACAAGTGCATCACGAACAATGTAAATTGTTGTGCTGTAAAATTTTTGTTAATTTCGTGCTAAATTATCTGTTGCTATGAACAGAAATGTCTTACCTAAGAACAATTATTGCGAAAACCAACGTGCATATTGGATCAAGTATTTGCAAACTTGGCTAAAAATAAATTATTATTAAAGTCACCTGCTTTAAAAAACCTTCCAGAAGATCATTAGACCGGCAAAAAGTACCCCGCAGCTTTGTATAAGATCACCTAATAGAAAATTTTCCAGAAAAAATTGAATAAAAAATCAACCTAAAACATGAATAAAGGCAGCACGCACATTAATATTTGCTTGATTGACAGAATGTAATTTTGTTTCGTCGTTGATGTTTGGTTGAACGAGAGGAAATCGTTCATCCTCCTCAGAAAAATTAGGGTCAACATTCGAATACTCAGAATCAATCTCATTTCTACGTCTACCACCATTTTCGTGAGCGTGTGTTGTTCCGTTATGTGAGTGAGAATGTCCACCAAAATAAAGCAGAAAGCCCATTCTATTAAATAAATTTTAATAATTTAATTTTTTTAAATTTACATGAAATTCACTCCTACTCCAATTGCAGCGGTTATACTCATTATAGTAGCATCAATATCATAGTTTCCTGTTATCATACGGTCAATCGCTAGATAAACTAAATAAAAGAAAATATACAATGCGAAAAATATAAATAACCTAAAATTCCAGTAACAACCCAAATAAGGCATATTGATACAAAGGCGCCAAATACTTCTAAAGATGAAAAAGGATTAACGTTTATGAAAATTAAAACCTGCTCTATGCCATCCAAAACTCATTCTTTGTGAAGCGGGACGGCTTGCAATATAAATTGAAAATAAAGAAATTAGCATGCTCGCTAAATCAGTTAAAAGATGCGCTGCATCAGTAATGATCTAAAAACTAAAATAAGCATTGACTATATTTAGAGACACAAACAGCTAGTGACTGAGCCCATATACCGCCAATAACTTCACAAATCTAAAAACAGAATTTTTAGAAGAAAGGAACTTGCAAAATTTTTAAAATACCATAAACAATAAGCAAACTCCAATTGACAACCACAGCACTCTGGTAGCACGCTTGCTTATTTCATTAGCAATTGGCTCATTCTCAAATCTATTGTGGCAATGAAAAGCATCTGAATTGCCGTTAGCCATTATTGTTGTAGGTAAATTCGAAGGCACAGAGGTTTGAGGTGGAGGCATTTGATCAAAGGAAGTAGAAGCACCAGAATTAATTACAAAATTACCCCTTAAATGAAAAATTTAAATAATTGACATTTTCGCCATCGAACATATTTAATGGAGAAGTAGAAAATTGATTTGTACCATTCTCCGTAGCTGTTATCGACATCACTGCTTCTTTGCTCATTGTGGTCGTCCCATACGATTGCTAAAATAAAAAGATAAGAATTTTTAGGAAACACCCTTCCTATCATTAATATTTTAACAATTGTTTTATCAGTAAATTTGGGAACATTTGAGTTTCGATGAACAGGTCAAATATATTGAGAAAAGCAGTTAGATATTATTCCAACTCACATAATTTCCTAAAAGTCGTTTCATTAGTCATTAAAAAATATGATAAGGGAGAGGCATGAGACAAAAACATGAGACAAAAAAAAGGGAATAAAGGAAAATCTCTATTACAGTATTTTATTACAATTAAAACCTGGTAACCTATTATAATTGAATTTTTTTGAAAAATTAGCTTGAATGATGAGGCAATGTTGGAAGGATCCAGCGATCGCGTAAAAATTGATGCATTCTTAAATGAGAAAGTGGCACAAACTTGCCTGAAAAAGATTACAATTTAAAATTTTCAAAAAGAAAAGGTCACAGAAAAAAATAATCAAATATGTAGCATCTGGATGTGATAAAGCTTGTTGCAACATAATCAAGATATGTTAAGACTCAAATGCTTAAGACTCAAATAGAAAATAAAAATTTAATGGGATGAATTGTCAATAAACAGAATGCCAAAAATAAAATTTAAAGACACACCACACGGAAATATGTCTAAAAATCCAATCCAATTCTCCCGGGCTTCTTCCTGATTTCCCCATAATTTAAAAAAAACCTGTCTTTTCATCCAATGAAGAAATTCTGATTTGTCCCTACACATCCATACCACATGTTGATTTCTTAAGATTGAGAAAAGAACAAGGACAAGAAAGACAAGGACAATAAAACAAGATTGTGAAAAGATAAGGTCGTTCGCGTGCGTATTTTTACAGCAAGCGATTTTTCATTTAAAAATCTAAAGATTTACCAGGTCATAAGTTGATGAGGAAAAACCAGAAGCTGTTGAGGAAGAACATGAAGAGCAATCCATCCAATCCAACAAGAGCAACCAGGCCAGTAGAGAAACTAGCTTAAAAAATACCCGCCCTCCCTCCCTCAATTTTTATTTAAACAAAAACCACACCGTAGAAGCAAGCCGCCAACCAAAAACATGCCACCAAACCACAAAAGCAAACCAACAACCACCAAGAGCAGCCAAGCAACTAGAAAAACTAGCTTTAAAAATACTCACCCTCCCTCCTCAATTTTTATTTAAAACGATACCGTAGAAGCGCCACCACCAAGCCATCACTCCAAGCACCACCAAGTCATCACTGCGAGCCACCAAAGCACCACCAAGTCATCACTGCAAGCCACAATGTACCACCTTCCAAGACCCAAAGTAAAATTTTAAAAATTAAAACTAGTTTAATTTTATAAATTAAAAAAAACCGCCACCATGAGTTAACCAACAGCATATTCTTTAACCAACAGCATATTCTTCAGGAGACAACATAAAAAAAATAAGATTTATTTTTAAATTTAAAAAGTTAATATAAACTAGGAAAAAAATAACCGTTTAGATGAAGCCAACATGTAGAGCATTGGAGACGCACCAGGGCAGCAGGAGAACGGGCCTTTAATTTGAAAAATAAGAAAATTTTCAACAAATTTTAAAAATGTATTTTTTTTATTTTTGCGTGCTCGCAGCAAGGGTGAAACGATAAACGAATAAATATTTAAAAAAACAGATGAAATAAATAAAAAACAGATGAGATCAATGAAAAAAACAACAAAAAAACGTAATCTCCGGAGATTAACAAAAATCGATGAAAATCCAGAATTGAAAAAAAATTGACGCCAACTATATTTGAACTAATAATTTACGCTAACAATACAGAATTAATTCTGTTAACTTTCATTCTGGATAATGTTAAAGTGTCGATTTGTTGTTGTTTTGTCGATTAATCGAAAAATTTTTGGACAAAAATGCATCTTTTCGCAACTGATTTCAAAAATCTAAAATTCTTCGTCAAAAATTCTGTTTTTTCTTTATTAAGATTTATTATCAACTCGAGATTATTATCTAATTGAATAAAGTTTTCATATTTTACCAATTTTGGTCAAATAGCAATGGCCGGCGTTTTCGAATTGGAGCTAACTGATCATAATCATTTAACACCTGTTGGCGAATTTTCTGATATGGATGATGATGATGAATATGTAGACGTTGCTGATGTAAGATTTTGGAAAAGAATTTTTTTTATTAATTTTATTTTAAGGGAGAAATTTCAACTCCCCCTCCTTCCTCTTCTTACATGTATGTATTTATAAAAAATTTTATAAATTTTAAAGAAATGACCGCTAATTTTAGAAATGACCCGCAAGTTGAAGCCTTAGAACTTGGTGAACATGCCGAGCTTGTCAATCCTCCTAACACTAAAGTAGGTCCAGAGGACTTTCAATTGCTCAAGGTGTTAGGAAAAGGAGGATATGGAAAGGTTAATATAATTATTTATTTTTATTTCTTTGCTTTCTCTAGGTTTTTCAAGTAAAGAAAGTCTCAGGGACAGACCGAAACAAAATTTTTGCGATGAAAGTACTTAAAAAGGCAACAATAATTCGTAATCAGAAGGATACTGCACACACCAAAGCTGAAAGAAACATTTTAGAGGCTGTTAAGGTTTTGATTTTAACTCAATATTTTACTCATTTTACTTTTAGTGTCCTTTCATTTGCGATTTGCAATATGCCTTCCAAACTGGCGGGAAGCTTTATTTAATTTTGGAATATTTAAGTGGTGGAGAGCTTTTTATGCATCTTGAACGGGAAGGTATTTTTCTCGAGGACACTGCAGGATTTTAGTTTGTCGTCTGATTTTTTTCAAATTTTATATTTTTATCTAAAGCTTGGCAGAAATTGTTGTTGCTCTTGAACATCTTCATAAACAGGTTAATTTGTGAAAGGATTTTTTGTGATAGTTTTGAATTTAGGGAATAATTTATCGTGATCTTAAGCCCGAAAACATTCTCCTCGATTGTAAAGGGCACGTTAAATTAACGGATTTTGGTCTTTGCAAAGGTTTTGTTTTTAAATTTAAGAATCCTTTTTAAATGTAATTTTCAGAAGCTATTGAAGGTGACCAGAAAACACACACTTTTTGTGGAACTATAGAGTAAGTTTATTTATCAGTATTTAGAATAATGTATTTGATTATTTAGGTACATGGCTCCAGAGATTTTGATGCGAACTGGCCACGGAAAGGCTGTGGATTGGTGGAGTTTGGGAGCATTAACTTTCGATATGGTATTTTTATTGAACTGTTTAAAATTTTTGTTTTATTAGCTAACTGGTGGTCCTCCGTTCACGGCAGAAAATAGGAAGAGGGTATGTTTAATAACATTATGTCCAAATGCATTGTCATATTTCAGACTATTGATAGAATTCTGAAAGGAAGGCTTACATTACCACCTTATCTGAGCACAGAAGCGAAAGATTTAATTAAACGATTATTAAAAAGGCACGTCGACACTCGATTGGGTGCTGGGCCAACAGATTCGGAAGAAATCAAACAACATATCTTTTTTCGTCATCATATTTCTAATTGGGCAAAAGTTTATAAAAGAGAGGTTTATTTTTATTAATGCACAGAATCTTGGTAAAATACAATTTTCAGTTGGAACCTCCATTTAAGCCAGATATTACAAGCGATGAGGACACTTCACTTTTTGATACAAAATTTACAAAAATGACTCCGGTCGATTCTCCTACAGCCGATATTTCACCTACAGCTGATCCTTTTATTGGATTTACATATGTATAATTAGTTTTTTTTTTATTTTTCTAATTTTATGACTTTAGGTAGCGCCATCCTTATTAGAGCAAAGTGAGCAGCCGACTCTGATCAGACCAAGGCAATTTCGAAAAATGTAAAGGTTAATTTTTTTATTGTCTAAAACTTAGAAATGTATTAGAAATGCTCCAGACCGTACACTTGTTGGTTGTAATTCTTCTGGTAAAGAGGAACCAATGGAGTAATTTTGAATCTGTTCTCCCCTTTCTTAAATATAAAGTCTAAATTGTTAGAGAAAAATTCAAGTTTGTCAAATTTCCGAACATTTCAAATAAATAGTGGATTTGGGAGAACAGTTTTTCTCTTACTTTATATAGGAGGTGGCAAAAGCTCAAATTTAATTCTATGAACTACGAAAGGCCAAAAGTTTACGTTAAAAAGCAATTCGCTCATTCATAGAATAATCCCATCAATACTTTTCTATAAATAGTGTTTGTCCTCCACCCTTCTATTTAATTTTTTAAATTTTCATGATTTGTTGTTTATTTACTTTCTCAAAAATTTTGCCGCTTTCTACTAAATGCTATTTCATTTTTGTTTCATAGATTTAAAATAAGAATTCTATTCAGACGTTGTATACGTTGCTCACAATGATCATTTTAATGGCCTGTCCTCAAATTCTTAATCATATTGTAGACCCTTTATTATTGCTTCCTCAATATTCAAAAAAAAATTTAAATTGTACTCTGCTTTCTATTTCTTAAATTTTGAGGGTGCTTAAATATTTTTAATATCCCTTTAATTTCATTTTTATGAATGAGTTATGCATGAATAAATTTTGATAGTAATGTATGTGCGGAATTAATTTTCTTTTGATTCTCCATTCGATTCTCCATTTACACTGAATATAGATAATAGTTGATCGGATGAGAAATTTCCACGATCAGTAAGAAAACCAGAGATCAGATTTCCTGGGGTTATGTCAAAAGCGGGGTTCCACACCGGACAATTTGTTGGACAATGAGCTACTCCTAAAATAAAAAATTAAGAAGAATCTTTCAAAATAAAAATACCAGCCCAATGAGTGAGCTCTTTGCTAGGCCTTTCTTCAATATGAATTCCATCTCCACTTTCAAGCTTGGCGTTTACTGAAGCCACAGGTGTAACGATAAAAAAAGGAATTTTATGCTGGTGTGCACAAATAGCAAGAGAATAGGTGCCAATTTTGTTCGCAGTATCCCCATTCAACGCTACTTGATCTGCCCCTGAAATACTATCATAAATGAATATTAAGAAAAATAAACCAGCTAGCGCAACATTCACTTTAAAATGCCGGATTGCAGCAGCTGCCTGTAAAAAGTGTTAAATAAATCTGAAAAGTTGTTAATTTACATACCGCGCTGTCAGCAATTAGTAGGAATGGCACACCACCTTTTTTAAGCTCATATGAGGTTAGTCGAGATCCTTGGTTGTAAGGACGTGTTTCGAGCACCAACGCCAACTTCAAATGGCCTAATCGATGTAGCATCAGAACTACACCTTGAGTGGATAGATTTTAAATAATTTAGGTCTCATTTCAAACCAAGTGCAGTTCCAAAAGAGCTAGTGGCCAGCTGTCCGGTATTACAAATACTGAAAAAATTAGTTTATTTTAAACTTAAGAAATTAAAACGTTATCGCTACAAGGCGTTTCTTTTCGCCATTGTCGATTTCTAGGTTCCTTGTTGCTGATAAAACAGCATGAATTGAATTTCTTAGCAATAAATCATTTTCCATCCGTTCTCTTGCTTGCCATTCAAGGATGAAATTTCTAATCCTTTAAAATGATGTTTTTCATAAATAAAAAATTATTTTACTAACCCAATTTTCAATTTTATTACTCCTGCTCCCTTCAATCCTTTTGCATATTCTCGAAGTTCGGAAAATCCATTTGAGAGATTTATTGCGGTAGGACGAGCACTCAGAAGAAAACTGCAATTTTGTTCCAACTCCTTCAAACAACCTTCTACATCCCCTATAACATTTTTTCTAGACTGCTCCACTAACAAAGTCAGCTGAAATAAATTATTACTTGTCAGATTAATGAATAAATGTACCATTCCAACAGTGGCAATCAGCGGTGCACCTCGGACCTGAGAACAGAACTTAAGTTTCTGAACTATTTTTAAGCTACTAACCTTCATTTGTTTGATTGCGTCGAATCCATCATTAAGCGATCTTATGGGCACGTAAACGCTCCTGCTGGGAAGTAGTCGTTGGTCAAGAACCTCAAGATTAGAATTAATTTGTCGTATTAATATAAAAAACAAACCGAAAGTGTGCATTTTTCTGGGTCGAATTGGTGTGCTTTAAGCGGAAGCGGTTCCTTCGCAACAGACTTCCATTGATGAATTTTCGAATCAAAATTTTCTAGCTTAACTTTCATTTTCAGATTTGTTTTTGTTGCATTTTATTTTTTAGGAATGGAATCAAATTTCCAATGAAAAGGGAATCAATATCAGCGCTTAAGAGTGAATGGTGGTAAGATAACAACTTGGAAGGAAATGGCGCTTAAGCAAAGAAAATAACTGTCAATGTGTTATAATTAACACTGTGAAAAGTAATCTTTGTAATTTATAGTTAGTTTTTTTAAAGAGTTCCTCGGTCTACTATCACAAAATTAAAAAGAAAAACGAATTTTTTTGGTAAAATTTTTCAAAAATTTTAAGTGAATAATTAAATCAGAACAAATAAATCGCAACACCGGAAAAAATGAAAGGGAAAACATTAAAAATGCTTTTTTCATTTTTAAAACGTCTTTTAAAAATGTCCATTAACTGGAGGCGTTTGTTAAATCATTTTAACACATTAATGTCTTTAAAATAAAAGGAACGAGGACCATTAGTGTTTTTAAATTCGATTTAATTTTTTAATCGGAATTAAGAACAAAATATAATTCAAAATTAAATGGATTTTTTTCTCTACTTGGGTTTCGGTTTTAAAGTAAAAGAAACTTCAAAGAAATTTAAATTATCAAAAAAATTTTATCTCAAATAAATTTGCATGAAATTGTTGACTAAAAATATCAACATAAATTATAAGCTGAAGAGGAGGGAAATAAATGTTTGATTTTTTGATGTTATCGGTTAAAAGATGTTGAATAAAAGATTCTTACTGATTTGCCATTTCACACGCATCGATCCAATCACTGTACACATCAATCGGCTCAGTAAGAGAAGTTATGTTCGACTGGAAAATAAAGGATATTAAACAGATTTTTTAATAAAATGAGTGAATTCAACCTGAAAATCCTCCATGCAAACACGACACTGAATGAAGCCAACATTACGTTCACGATCCCTGAAAAGTTTTAAAAAGTTGAAAAATGTGTCCATAGATAAACCTACATTTTAACTTCGCACACCTTCTCGTGATTACAGAAAGGACAGTTGAACTGAGTATCCAAAGCAACAATATTTTTAACTTTTGGCGGAGGCTTTCGTTTGGATTTGCGTTTACCCATTAGATCGTTAGATAAATTCCAAGCTTCTACAATAAAATGACTGAAAAGAAAAAAACATAAATCTCGCTAACAATTAAAAATTGGAGGCAAAGGATTAATTAGCGAAACGAAAATTAAAATTATAGGCTGAACTATTGAGTCTCATTAATCTGTTTTCCATCATGTGGAAATTGTTGAGACTCAAAAGTCGGATTTTTCTTCGCGCTAAAATCTTTCGTTGTCGCGTTTTCTCATTATTTTCCGGTTAAGGACGATTCAGTATCGCCGATTCAGTCTCGCCGATTCAGTATCGCCGATTCAGTCTACGCCGATTCAGTATCCGCCGATTCAGTATTCGCCGATTCAGTATAGCCGATTCAGTATACGTGGAAAAGGGGACGATTCAGTATACGTAGAATAAAATACCCTAAAAATAGAAATTTTTGGAAAGTAACTGATTTATTTTTTCGTTTTAAGCATTTTCTTTGTTCTTTAGGTGGTCTACCATAACAATTAGCAATAACCAACAACAATTATTAACGAAAAAAATAATTTTTATGGAAAACTTAGAATTTTTTTTAATTTTTTAAAATTTTTAAATTTCTTCAATTTTCTTAATATCTCAAGACGGCGAGAATTCTACAGTGAATGGCGAGGTTTCTACTACAGACACATGGTTTATTTTTTTAGTTTTTTGGCTTTTTGAAATTTTTTTTATTTTCCCCATTATTTATAAGGGGGAGCTATAGCCCCAGAAGCTCCCTGGCCTTTATCCCTACAAATTTTTGCGGGCTTTTTGCGGAGATTTCTTACTTCCCAATTCTACTCCCCATTCCATTTTTTATTTTTAAAATTTTTTTAATTTAAGACAATCCGGTCCTGGACTTGTTCTTATTTGTGTCGAGCAGCTTGCTGTTGAGGTGGTTGCCTGGTCCTCTTTAGGGCAACAAATCTAATGAGTGAAATGTAGACCTTGTTCTTATTTATTTTTTGATAAATTTTTGTTTATTTGACTCATTTTTAAAAAAATTTTTGTTCCCCGAAGAAAAAAAGTCGAGACCAAAACCTCACCCTAAGCCAGAAAAAGCCTAAGAGAAGCCTAAAATTAAGCTTTAAAGATGTTCTATAGATCGTAGAAAGTAAGAAACACGAAAAAAATCTACAAGAAAAAAGATTTTCTAGCCCAAAAATATACGTATACTGAATCGTCCCCTTTTCCACGTATACTGAATCGGCTATACTGAATCGGCGAATACTGAATCGGCGGATACTGAATCGGCGTAGACTGAATCGGCGATACTGAATCGGCGAGACTGAATCGGCGATACTGAATCGTCCCCTACCCTTATTTTCTAACTCTTTAGCCTGCTAAAATTTTTTGAAATTTTTAAAATTTTTTATTGATTTTTAGATTTCTCGAAATTAAATCTATTATGAGTTCACATTCTGACGAAAGTGACAACCCTTCAAGAATATCAGTTAAAATCATCGAACAAGTAAAGAAGTCTGGAGAATTCGATAAATATCGCAAGGATCTTGTTGACAGTATCGTTAACAGTGTATTATTTTTGTCTTTATTAAATTTCTTTTTTTGGTTATAGAATGACATGCAAGGGCTTTTTGATAACTGTAAACAAATAATTGAGGAATGTTTGGCAGCCTCACCAGATGCCGATTTACAAAAGCACAGGATTGCTTTTATGCGCGACTATGTTAAAGACGAAATAAAAAGGCGCAGAATTGTTGATAATTCCATGAGGCATGCTTTCAACGATGTATTTTTTATTTTATTTATTATTTTCATATACATCCATTGGTAATTCTTCGGTTTGTATACCCTCCTATTTGTGCCCCCCTTTTTACCTTTACCATTTTTTCATTTTTCCTCCTCTTTCTCCCTTATTTTTCATGAGGCAAGTATTAAAAAGGATTATGAGGGTACTTTTCCGTTCTGCCACACCTCCTAAATTAATGCTCAAAATGTCGTATATAGGGTGATAAAAGGTGCTGAGTCGAACAGTACCACTCTTTTTCCCCTTAAATGTCTTTGGACCAAAATATTGGACTCGAAATGGTCAAAAACCATAGAGGAAGTAATCTCATTTTTGGGGTAAAAAATTCGAATATGCAAATAATAACTCGCCAAAATCGAGCTTACTCCCCCTACGGTTTTTCGATTTTCGGGGACCTTTAACTCGGTCCAGAATCATTTCCTAAAATTGGGAGTGGTACCATTCGACTCAGCACCTTTTATTAACCTATATACGATATTATGAGCATTAATTTTTAATACTTGCCCTTTTTAATACTTGCCTTATAAAAAATAAGGGAGAAAGGGGAGGAAAAATGAGAAAAATGGTAAGGAAAAAAGGGGGGCACAAAGAAGAGGGTATACAAACCGAAGAATTACCCATCCATTTAAGCATATGAAGCGGGTTGAACCTGTATTAATTTCAAGAATGGAGGAGATTGTTCGAACTGAGCTGGGAATGCCTCCTCCGACTAAGGAGGTTAAGCAAGAATTGCCTGACGCCAACCTTGAATTGATTGATATGGAAGTTTCTAGCGGTGGGCCCTCGTCAGTTTCTATCTCTCCAGATGCCCCATCTCCTCTTCCATCTTGCTCATCAAGTGATAGGGCTAAAACTGATGATAAGGTTGAGTCTGAAATCAAGGTATCTTCTCCTATTAAGCTTCTCGGAATTAAAATAATAATTTAGGCCGAACCCGAGGACATCAACGACGATGCTACTTTGGAAAAGTTTGCAGGTTCATCGTGCACCTCTTCACTCTCTTGTAATGCTTCCGATGATGGAAAAAATTCAGAAAAAAGTACAGAAGCAGCCGATGATTGAATTTTGTTGTTCATATTAATTTTCAATTTTAAATAATTTATTAAAATAAATTTTCTAAATTATGTATTTTCTTCTACTGTTTCATAAATTTTTATTTCTTATAAATTACTTGAATTATTTTGCGTAATTGCGCTTAAATTATCACTCATTTTATTAGTTAATGCATCTTACTTTAAAATTTTTGAATCAGCAACCTAAAAAGTTCGCAAAAAGATTGGCCAAGCAAATTGCCGATTACGCTGCTGGTTCTCTTATGGCTAAGAAACAAATTAACATCCCAGACTCCGATACACTTATTGATCGGTTAAAACTTGAGGATTTATTGAAAAGGCGTTTCTTTTATGATCAAAGTTTTGCAATCTATGGAGGCGTTGGAGGTTTTAATTTTAATCTTAACATTACGTAATGTGGTTCCTAGGACTTTATGATTACGGCCCGATGGGGTGTGCTCTTAAACAAAATATGATCCAGCTATGGAGGACTCATTTTATTTTGGAGGAAGCCATGCTGGAAGTTGAATGTTCATCTTTAACGCCGGAAAGTGTGCTGAAGTAATTCTTTAATTCTAAATACTCTAAATATTTCATCGAAATTAGGGCTTCTGGACATGTTGATCGATTTGTTGATTGGATGGTTTGTCTGCTTTTAATTACAGATTTTGTTGAATTTTTGTTTAGGTGAAAGACAAGGTGACTGGCGCCTGTTTTCGTGCAGATCATTTGATAAAAAATCATGCAGAAGCGATCATTAAGGTTGTTAACTTTCATTATCTCATTCATTATCTCATTATCTCATTAAGGTTGTTAACTTTCATTATCTCATTAAGACAGGTAAATAATTTAGGACAAAAAAGCACCTGAAAATATAAAGAAGGAACTCGAAAACGTCCTTATTCGTTTGGATGGAATGAGTTGTGCCGACTTGGGTGAAACTATTCGGAAATATGACTTTAAATCACCGCTCACTGGAAATGATGTTACCGAGCCTGTATCTTTCAATCTAATGTTTCCTACACAGGTTTGCTTTTCTGAATTTTCATATAATTAAACGAGAAAATATTTCAGATAGGGCCAACAGGCGATTTTTCTGCATTTTTGCGCCCTGAGACTGCGCAGGGAATTTTCATTAATTTTAAGAGACTGCTTGAATTCAATCAGGTAAAAATATTTTACTTGATTTTGAATATTATTCCTATGATAGGGTAGACTTCCCTTTGCTGCTGCTCAAGTTGGAACTGGATTCCGAAATGAAATCTCGCCTAGACAAGGACTTGTCCGTGTTCGTGAATTTACAATGTGCGAGATTGAACATTTTGTCGATCCGTCTGATAAGAATCACCCAAAATTTGAGAAGGTTGCCGACGTTGAATTGACACTATTCTCAGCATGTAATCAGTTGAATGAGAAAGGAACAGAAAAGGTATAATATTTTTTCAACTCCATCAATATTTCTTAAGGTAAAAATTTGCAATGCAGTGGCGAGCGGCATGGTTGACAATGAGACTCTTGGATATTATATGGCTCGTACTCATCTTTTCCTTCTCAATGTTGGTATATCTCCAGATAAATTACGGTTTCGGCAACATTTATCTAATGAAATGGCACACTATGCAAAGGTTTATTTTTCCTCACAAATTTAATTAATTTTACTTTAGGATTGTTGGGATGCTGAATGTTTAACTACTCACGGATGGATTGAAAGTGTTGGCATTGCTGATCGGTCATGTTATGATTTGCATCAGCATTCAAAAGCTACTGGAGTCAAATTAGTTGCTGAGAAAAAACTTGCCGAATCAAAACAAGTTGATGTTGTAGAAGCAGTGCCTAATAAAGCTGCTATTGGAAAGTTGTTCAAGAATGAGTCTAAGAAGGTTACTCTTTAAAATTTACAATAGTAAATTTTTATTTCATAGATAATTGATTTACTAAAGAATTTATCTCTAGAGCAACTCGATGAATTGGAGGATTCGCTTAAAACTAATGGGTTACTTTTAAACTTTACTTCTAAAAATCATTTAATTTTTAGAAAATATTCTGTAAAAATTTCTGATGATAAAACAATCGAATTGGACTCTACGCATGTTGAAGTTAGGAAATATTTAAAAACTGTTCACGTGGAAGATGTTACTCCATCAGTCATAGAGCCTTCATTTGGTATTGGTCGAGTGATGTACGCCGTCTTGGAACATTCATTTAGACAAAGGGAAGGTGATGAAAAGCGTTCGGTAGGCGTCATGTAAAAATATATTTTCCTAAATTTTAATAATTAAGTATCTTGAATTGGCGCCAAGTATAGCTCCTATAAAGTGCTCGATTCTTCCTATAAGTTCAAACAAGCGATTAGACCCAATAATTCAAGCAGTTCGAGAAGAGCTTACAAGTCGGGAAATCAGTTCAAAAATTGTAATTTTATTCTTTTCTATGCGTGTGAATTATCGATGTTTTTACAGGACGATAGTATGGGCTCAATTGGAAGGCGGTATGCGCGAACTGATGAAATTGGTATTCCATTTGGTGTGACAGTTGATTTTGATTCGGAGGTCGAACCATGGACTGTTACTTTACGTAATTTGAATAATAACGAAATTACTCACTAACATGGTTTTTATATTTAGGATATAGTGTCACTATGCAACAAATTCGTCTTAAGGTTAGAAAAATCCCATAAGAAAATTATTATATTTTTTAGGTTACTGAAGTTGGGGATTTGGTTGCTCAACTCGTAAAAGGGAAAACGAGCTGGGAGAGCGCGTGTCAAAAGTTTCCAATTTTTAATGCATCCCAAGACAATGATTGAAACATTTGAAGCAGATTTAAAGTTTTGTAATTAATTGACGTTATTTATTATACTCTTGGCGGGAAGTTGGATATTAAAACATGGGGGTATTTATTTTTAATTGTTTAGGGCTTTTGTTATTGGTGATTTTCCATATTGAACTACGTCTAAAGATTTTATATTTAATGTTACTTTTTGCCGTTACTTTTTGCATTTTTCCTTCCAAATTAATATAGTAGGATCCTTTTTTCCTGTATTTTTTGCTTTCCTTGCTTTTGTTTAAAGTAGGGGTTAATAAAGAACTTAACGGTGAATAAATGGGAAAAATAACGGACATGTGAAAGAGTTGGGAAAATTGGGACTCAATTGGTCATAAAGACTTTCTTGGCTTTGAAAGTTAAAAAGGCCAAAAGTTGACGATATTAAATATTAAAAGATTGCTTAATATGTAATTTCTTGTTAATGTTGTATGCATTTTATAGTAGAATAAAAACATTGATGTGATATTTCAGTTTAATATTTTTTGTTCTATCGATTTTTTACCTTAATTTTTGGCTTTATATTGATTTCTAATTTTGTTTTTAGAGAATAACTAAAACATACAAAATGGCTAACGAGTTTTACTATTCGAGCAAGTACGAGGACGATGAATTCGAATATCGACATGTACACGTGACTAAAGAGGTTGGATTTGATGATTTTAATTTAAAAAATTTTATTTTAAATTTTAGGTTGCTAAGTTGGTTCCACACAATCGTCTTATGTCTGAATCGGAGTGGCGTAGTATTGGAATTCAGCAAAGTCCAGGTTTCAATATTTATTTTTTACTTATTCATTTTTGAATTAATAGGTTGGATTCATTACATGATTTGGCCAGCGGAGCGTCATATATTGTGAGTTTAATTTTTTGGTATCCTTAAAAGATAGGTTGTCTTATTGTTAGACTCTTCCGGCGTCCTAAGACACGTGATCACCCACCAATCAAAATTTGAAATGCTCAGAATGCACATAATTGGAAGAAACTTAAACTATTATTGACCTTATGCTCCCAGTATTTTTTATTGGCTTATGAAATTTATTCTTATTATTTTTGTTTAAGGAGTTTAAGTCTGTTTCACGAGTCTTTGTAAAAATAAATTATTTTAGACTCATTTTAATAAAAATATTTTTGACTTTTAATTAACTTATTATGTTGCCTTTTGCTCCATTAAATCCTCTTACTCTTTTAACAACTATTTTACGCGTATGCCAATTTTCTGGCGTAGAGCTGGCCTTTCATACAAATTGTTTTTGACACTTACTATTAGTAACATCGGGTGCTAGCTTTTCCTTGTATTCATTCAATCGGGGGAAAGGAGGGATGTGGCGCGAGAATAGAATACTTAATTAAATATTTTCGACCCCATATGGTAGTATTTACAGCCATTTTCTTTTAATTCAATCCAAAAGTTGGCCAAAAATGAGACATTTGGTGAGGTATATTCTCCTTTGGCATATTTGTCTTTAAAACAATTTTTTCTTGGAATATGCATGCTTGGGAGGATATGCTTCTATTGTAATTATGAAATTTATTTTTTTCCATTATAAGATGCCAAGTATTTTTGTCCAAAATTTGTCTAAAAATAGACGAAATTTTCCGCATCATTTGAATAGGCATCATGATTTTTTCCGATGATCTAAGAAATATAATAGGCCGTTTATTCTAATTTTAGTATTAACTTAAAGAAATTTATTGTAAATTCTTATATTTTTGGATTTTTGGTTATTTTGGGGTTATATAAATTTTTTATTGAACTAATCTTTAGTGTTTTAACATCAAAATAGCCAATATGAAGGCAAATGTTTTCTTTATCCGTCCTATAAAAATCATAAAAAAATATAGACCATTTAGCACATAATTTAACAAAAAATATCCCATAATATTACTCTTCCAAAGTAAATAAAACATAAATCTTGATGATTTTTTTTGACTTGAGGTTAAATAAATTAATAGTGATTTAATGAGAAGACAGAAATTCTCTTAACAAAAACCCTCTCAGATTTTTCCAACTTTTCTAAAAAATATTTAATCCCCTCAATTTGCTTTCTGCTTCAAATTCCGTCTACACAAAAATTTTTAAAATCGTCATTTTCTGTTCTTTATTCTTTTAAAGGGAATGAATTTATCCAGCCATGAATTCGTTGGTCGTAAAGGGAAATTAAAGCCAAAAGGTACACAAGACTAACACTCATTTTCATATCAATGTTGGGGAAAGGGGGGAAAAATTTTTGGGAGGGGACTTGCTGCCAATTTGAACGTGCCAAACGGTCTTATGCTACCACCAAAGGTCGCTACTTTTTATTCCACCATCCGCATTGAGACCAATTCCACTTTGAATGAATTTATTTATTAGGAATGAAATTGCTTCTCAAGTTTCAGCCCCCTCACACCTAACAAAAAACCTTTATTCGGCTTTGCCCCCCTTTTTTTGGTGAACGAACGTGTATGTAACATGAAGCTAATATAAGGGTCGATGATCGAAAAAAAGCTTGCCAAAATGCTTAAATTTTAAGAAATTTTTTTTGCTTTTCTAAATGTCCTTGTTCCTTTTCTAAAATGCCAAAATTTCAGCAGTTTAAAGTTTTTTTGTTAATATTTTTATTTCCATTCTTAAAGGGGAATTATTTAATTGCGGAAAATAGAATAGAAATTCTAACAAAAAAAACACCAAACAGACAATAATTGCTTCATAAATCATAAACGACTTTTTAAAAAAATTTCTTTTGAATGTCTATTCTATTTTTTAATTCGCTTAATTTCTTATATTTTTAAAGGATTAGAAAAACGTTTGTCTCTTTCTTGCTTTATTTTAAAATTCCATTTTAAATTCCACAAAAATTCCAATTTTTGTACACATTTATTTTTAATTATGTTATTTTTAAGTTAGAAATTTTTAGAAAATCCGATACGTTTACTCAATTTATGTGCATTCCATTCCCTCTAGTTTTAATGATAAATAGGGCAAAACAATAATTAAATAAATAAAAAAACATCTAAAAAACTATTTTCCAATTCCCCCCTTTTGGCTTTAAATAAAAAAAAGTTTAAGGTCCAATTTACTGCTTCTCCCATGGGGGAAATTGTTCCTCTAAAAACTCATCTTTTCAATTTTCGTTTATTCATTAATTTTTTATAAAGTAATTTAAAAGAAAAACATTGAGGAAAATAAATAAATAAAAATTAAATATTTTTATAAAAATCTGGAATTTTTTTATTTGTTTTTTACCCAAAAACTTTACTAAATTTTTCTTTATTTATTCCTCAGGCATTTTAAAATTCTAAAAAGCGGGGGATTTAATAATGGGGACTTTTTTTCAATCTCATTTTCGCAACAGGGAAAGGGGAAAAATAAAAGCTCTAATTGTTTCGCGCCGTTATTTGATGCTTTTCTTGTTATGAATGTACTTGACGGTGTTTTATTAGAATAATACTATTTTGAGTGTTATGGCACTTTTTATTAATATTTTTTCTAGCTTATTGTTATTTTCTATTTTTGAGGCAAATTCCATTAAGTTTATGAAAAGATTTAATTTTATAAGATTTTGTATGTTGAATTGTTTAAAATAACTTTTTATTTTGACAAAAAGGATTTTTGAAGTTAAGATAGGAAACGGAAACAAAACAAGATTTTTTTTAATTTTTAGGTATTCCTAGATTAAATAATAAAAAGTATAATTAAAAAATGAAACCTTTAAATTTAATTTTTTAAAGATTAAACACGATTTAGGACTTATAAATGATTTTTTTGCAAAATCTTTTGGGATTATCTTCGCTAGATTTAAAAATCCTAAAGGCTAAAATCCCTAGGATTTTCTATTTATCCCAAATATCGTAAAAGCCCCAATATAAGTCCATCTCTATTAGAAGTCCATATTTAATATAAGCTCAATCAAGGTGACCTATTGAAAAATATAAACCCAGGGCTTATATTAGTGCGTTTAATATTCAAATTAAAATCCCTCTAATATTACATAAAATATTTAAAGTGTGCCGTTCTTATTTTTTTGTTTTTTACATTCAACCCTTCTCGTTCATCGACCATAATTGTTTTCAAAAATATTTAGCACTTACATTAAGCTTAAAAACAAAAATTCGTTCCTTTTTACTTCTCCTAACTTTATGAAAAAAATTTTTCTAATTTATCTTTGTGAACCAAAATATTTTTTTTCAACAGCTTTTTGGACTATTGCCTTCTTTTTACTTTCCTATTTTCGCTTATTAGTTCCGCGCCAATAGTCCTCCGTTCTCTAACTTGTTCTCTCCCGCTTCGCCGCTTCCTTTTGAACATTTATATACCTCCATTATACTTTGTTTTGCTTTTAACATAAAAATATTTATCCGCTTATAGTCTAAACCTGAGGGCATTAATGTAGAAAAGGTTAAAAATAATATTTTTGTTAAATTAGGCTAAAAAAATGACGTTTCTTGGAGGTCCCCCATTAGCATAAAAAAGTGAAATTGAAAAAAAAATTTGGAGGGTTTTGTCGTGGTTCCTTTTAACTTTCTTATATTAAAATACCTAGTGCCTTTCTATTCATTAATTTTTTCTTTCAATTGCTTTAAAACTTAATTGTAGACAATTCAAGTAAGCACAAAAACCGCTTTTTGTGCTTATTTGAATAATTAATTGCATGAAAATAAAAAAAGAATAAGCAGCTGAAAAGCATTTTTTAAATAGTTTGCAATTAAATATTTTTTCTTCCTTTTTTTTCAGCTGTTCTTAATTCTTTCAATAATTAAGGAAACGATTAAAAAATTCATTTTTTATTATTCTTATAAATTTCTATTCAAAATAAAAATGAGTCCGCCTTGGCAACTTTTGATTATCCTTGTATTGGCTGATTATTCACATAGAAAGGCTTTTGCAAAACGGAGAAAATGCCCAGGTACTTGAAAAATTAAATAAGATAAAAATAATTATTTTTAGGTTCCCTGTCGGAAGACAAAATAATTGCAGAACTCTTTAGAAATTATACAAAAAAATTGCCGGAAAGTGATGAACAAGATGAAAGTGTACATGTTCAAATTGAGGTCTGTTCGATTTAAAAAGCTTTTTATTAAAATTAGGACGTCACCCTGCCCCACGAAACCCCGACAATTTTCAGGGCAAAAACCACGATCCGAACTCGAATGCTCTACCCGGGAAGGCTCTAACCCGACCCAAAAGTCAACCCTTACCTCGAACCCAGACATATCCTCCCCCGCAAACCCCGATCCCCGACACTACAGACCTCGAGGTGTCGGGATGCTACCCTAATTAAATCGAATTAGTCGATCGATTAAGAAAATATTTTTTCTCAGATGCATGTGCAGGATATGGGCTCTTTAAATGAAATTACTGCAGATTTTGAAATTGACATTTTGTTTACTCAACTTTGGCATGATCCATCACTTTCTTTTTTAAATTTAAGTAGTCAATGTGTTAGAAATATAACAATGGAATCTCGTTACCTTAAAGATATATGGACACCTAATACGGTTGGTTAATTTTTAATGAAGATTACTCAATTTTTTCAGTGTATAATAAATGCAAAGAAAACGTCAGTGCATGCATCGCCTACAGACAACATTATGTAAATTATTTGTTTTTTTAGAGATCGAGTTGGATCTGGACCCAGAGTCCAATCCAGGGAATTTTTCTGAGTTCCTTGACTCTTCCCTTACAAGGTCCAGATCTGGTTAAGGCCCTTGACTTTTCTTGACTTTTAGGAAATCTTAATCTCTAATATTTTTAAATAATGAAATTGATACTTTATTTAATTTTAGGTTTATCCTGTATGAAAATGGAACTGTTTGGATAAACCATCGGCTGAGTGTCAAAGCGCCCTGTAACCTAGGTGGGTTTAGAAATTATTGAGATAAAAGTTTGTTTTATTTTTGATGTTTTACAGATCTTCGTACTTTTCCTTTTGATACACAAAATTGGTGAGAAATTTAAAAATTTATTTGTTTTATTTTTTAATTTTAGCGTGCTTCTGTTTGAATCATATTCCCACAACAGTGAAGAAGTAACTTTGCATTGGATGGCTGAACCAATAACTCTAATGAAGGTAAAATTTAAACTTTCGAATAAAACTTTCGAGAATCTTTTCGAAAAACCGTGGCTGTCTTATTTAGGAGTTGAGAAAATTTCAGCCATCGATAAGGAATCGAACCTGTTATTTCGCTCACCACGTTCATATGCTCTATTTACTGACATTTGAACGATGAATCTACTTTCCCTTTTTTAGATCTTTAAACATTCCCCTGCCTTACTTTCTTTTCATTTTCTTATTTTAATTTACATTTTTAGCAAATAACTCTGCCTGATTTTGATATGATTCAATTTAACCCAAAAGGGAGGGCATTGCTTTACCCAAACGGAAGATGGAGCCAATTAGAAGTGGGAAATATTTAAAACTAAAAATATAAATTTAATGAATTTCAGGTTGGATTTACATTTAAACGTCGTTATGGTAGGCGTTTTAGTTTCTATAATAGTTTGTAAAATGTTTATTTTCCAGGTTTTTATATTCTACAGGCTTATGTGCCCACTTATTTAACAATAGTATTATTTTTTAATTTTGGAATAGTTTTTTTTATTTCGTTTTAGATTGTTTCTTGGGTGGGCTTTTGTATGGAACCCAAAGCATTGCCTGCTAGAACAACTGTGGGTGTTTCTTCTCTGCTAGCACTGACATTACAGGTATACAGTTAGCAATTTGTGATGATTTAAGAAATTTAGTTCGGAAATATTCACAAAAATCTTCCAAGAGTAAGCTATGTAAAGGCAATGGATGTCTGGATGTTATCCTGTATTTCATTTGTATTTGGTACGATGATCGAATTGGCTATTGTCTGTTATATTACAAGGTTTTAAAATTTTTATAAATTAAAATACATAAAAAGTCTAATAGAAGCCCGTGTCTATTAGAAGCCCGCTTATGAGACCCATTGAAAAATAAAATCCCAGACCTCTATTAGAATATTTACGGAGTTTTTTCCATTTTTAGATGTCAAAATTCAAAAAAAGCTAAAGCAAAAGCCATCACTAGAAGAGCTTCAATGGCCCCTCCTCCTGAACTTGTCAGATTTGATGCACCTGCAAGTCAATGTAGTAGTGTTCGTTTGCATGCACTGCCCATGCGAAATGGTTCTGTAGCACTTCAAAGACGGGTTTCTAATTGCTCAAGTCTTGGTTTGCTTTTTATTTTTTAAATTTTTATTTTCCTGTCTTTAAGGCCCATTACTCTTTAATAGAAGAAAAAAATGGTGTAGCACAAAAAATAAAGGAAATGGTGAATGTACTGGAGGTGTTGATGGAACAACAAAATTAATTAAAGAAGAAGAACAACGTCCATTAAAATTAATATTGCCTAGAAGTGAAGGAACTAGAGATTTGAGGAGAGTTTCTAATGCTAAAAGTGAATCAGCAAATAGTTCAAGTTTTGGGGACCAATTTTCTTTTCCTGAGGTTTTTTTAGAAATTTCTGAAACTTTTCTAAAAATTTAAATTCAGCTTCATTCACCAATCATTTCGCCTTCAAGTCGTAATGCTCATTATATGTCGTTTGGAAAAGGTTTGTCATTAACTGACGAAAATTGGCCGGTTGTACAACCTGAAAGTATTGACAAGTTTGTTGTTTTTATAAAATATATTTTTTAATTTAAAATATTTTCAGGCTGTCGATAGTTATATTTCCTTTAACTTTTACACTTTTCAATGTAAAAATTTTTTTAATTTTAATTTTTAAATTAAATTATTTAAAAAATTTTAAGTTAATTTATTGGTGGCATTATCTTTTTTCTATGAGTGGGCAATTCAATGGTGGAACTCAAAACAATCCTTCCTCATCATCTTTAGGCTTATCTCCGCCAATAGCAAGCCTCAAACCCTGAACGTTTATTAATTGTGATTTATTTATTGTACAATATGTTTAACTCGCATACTTTCTTGCTGCTTTTTACATTTTTTAGAATTTTGCTTCAACGTTTTCTTTTTTAAATTTTATAAAAATAAATGCTGAAAATTTCTTTTTTTTTGTAAATTAATATTTATTTTAAATATATTATCATATCTATCAAAAATAATCTGTTGAAAAATTTTAAATGATGAATATCGTGTGGTTAACATGGCAAAGTATTAGAAGGAAAGTATGACAAATTTGGCAAAGTATCAACACTTACAAAGTGTTCAGATGTTGCTGTTTATTGCAAAAACAAGGATTCTTCTCATTTCAGGCTTCAATGGTATTTTTATAATTTTATTATTTTATAAAGAATTTCCGTTTTAATATTGTTTTTAATTCCGTTCTCAAAATAAGGTGTAATAATATTTTGTGTGTAAACAATTTTTGGGGGAAATTTTGCAATTATGAACTAATAAGTTTGTGAGGGACAAATAAGGCGAATTTCCAATTTATTCATCGATTTATTATTTTATTATCATTTTCTATTTTTCATTCGTTTCCTTCGCTCATTCACATTTTTTAAAACTCATTTTTTACATTGCGCGCAGTTAAAGATACAAACTTTCTCTCGTTTCTGTCCTTATGGGAAAGCATGTCTGTCCAAATTTATTTTCTTTTAGTTCCTAATCCTTTACCGATTTCAAATTTTATATTTAATTTTTAAAAATTTTTTTTAATTTCTCAGGTAAATAATGGCCAATATTTCCGTCAATGGAGTCGATGATTTGTTTGTTTTAAAGGAAAAACTAAATTCAATCCGCGAAGAAATAAATTTACTGCGATGGCCACCAAAAGAACAACAAAATCAGAATGCCTTTTTTCACTGTTTTATGGCCCTTTTTATTTTTTTGATGCAATGTGGATTTGCTTTTCTTGAAGCAGGAGCCGTGAGAGCGAAGAATATTACAAATATACTTACTAAAAATGTTCTTGATTCTTTGGTTAGTTTTCTTAATTAGCTTATAATTTCAAAAAAAATTTAGATTACAATTATTTCCTATTGGTCAGTAGGATGGGCTTTAGCTTATGGGCCTAATGCTAACGAGGCACTTTCTGGCCTTTTTGGTTGGTCACAATTCCTTGGTTTTGGACTCGACAATTTTTCTCGTTTCTTCTTTCAATACGTTTTTGCTGCGCGTGCGTCAACAGTATTTCTTTTATAAATGTTTTTTTCCTAAAAATTAATTCAGATAATTTCTGGGGCTGTAGCAGAGAGAGCTGAATTTACAACATTCCTTGCTTATTCATTATTTGTTCCAGGTTTATTTTTGTTTGGATCTTTTAAAAATTATGTTTTTAGCTATTGTCTATCCAATTTTAACTCATTGGGGGTGGTCAGATCAAGGATGGTTGGCTCGAGGTATTCGCATTGATTCAAGTAATTATCACACAACTTACATGGTTTGTTTCTTATTTATTTTTCTGACATATTTTACCAAAAAGGACTTTGCTGGAGCTGGAGTTGTCCATCTTTGTGGCGGAGTAATTTCCCTTGTGGCAGCTTGGATGATTGGCCCTCGAGTCGGACGTTTCTCAACAAACGGCCATGCAACTCGTATAGAGGGGCATTCTGTACCTCTTGCCTCGTTGGGTGGTTTTATTCTTATGCTTGGATTCCTTGCTTTCAATGGAGGTTCAGCTGTCGATATTGCTCGTCCTGGTAGTGGACAATTAGTTGCTAAAGCAATGGTTATAACCTTAATTTGTGGCGCTTTTGCTGCTATAGTTGTACTTATTGAACACAAATTATGGCATGATAAATGGACTGTTCTTCTTACAATGAATGGATGTTTAACTGGAATGATTTCCTCCTGTGCTGGATGCAACCAAATGGAAATGTGGGGAACTGTAATAACTGGGATGGGTGGAGGACTTTTTTACATTGGATTTTCTAAATTATTGCTAAAGTATGTTTTAATAAAAATAAGAGATTAGGCAAAATTTTAGGCTTCGAATTGACGACCCCCTCGATGCATTTGCGGTAATTTACTTGCAAGATGTGTTAAATAAATTTTTGCTTTAGGTACACGCTGGTGGCGGTCTTTGGGGTCTTATCTCTGTTTGTATTGTTAGTAATCAGCCTGGTAGAGGGTTGATTTATGCTTTGTTTAGTTGGTCATTAACTACAATTTTACATGCGATATTGGTAACTTGAAAAGATTTTTTGTTATAAATTAGCGCGAACTTTTAGCAATTTGGTTGGCAACTTTTGGCTGCAATTGTCATCATTTTATGGTCTGGATTACTGGTTATTCCATTATTTGGGTTTCTTAAATTAGTGCACAAATTTCGTGTTCCTGCCGATATTGAGCGCAAAGGAATTGACATCTGGAAACATGGGGAAGATGCTTATCCATTGGTTTTTTTTAAATATTTTTTCAAAAATATCAACTTGAAAAATTTTTAGGTAGCTTATGGACATGGTTGGGATGAAATGGAAGGAAATATTGAACAAATGATTAATCAACACGAAGTTGAGAAAAAATTAAAAGATAGAATGCAACAACATCCTTCAACAAATACATCAACCAGTCCTCGATATGTTGCTACGATTTGGCATGATCCGGATAAATATGGGACGTTGAACCGAAGGGTTAGTTTATTTAAATAAAATTTATTGTCAATGGGGCTAATAGTAAAATAAATATGTCCCAAAATTTAGAAGCAAAATGCTGATAATGGACAGAACAATGGAGTGACCACAATACTCTAATTAATATTTTTTAAGATCTTTCCCAAACTTTTATACATGGGGCCTTGATTTAAAATAGTTTAATATGTCCCAATTTGCCTTTGAAAGTCCCGGTGATTTTTTTAATCTTTTGTCATTTTATATATCCTTAACAATAAATTAACATTTTTATTTATCTTCTTCAATTTATTTGCAATTTAATTTTTAATTGCATTTATTATATCCATTTGTTCTTGCATTATTCTCATTACATTTTTATATCTCTTTTCTTTCTAAAAATTGTTGGATTGATTTCTCCCTTGCTTTTGCAATAAGAATTATTTGGCCAAAAGACGTCATTGACCACCACAATAGAGTGGATTATATCCCCAAAATGCACTTTCCTCATCTTCTCTTTTATTATTTTTGGTGATACTCTTTTTAAATTCTCTTTTAGAGACTTGGATTTTAACAACTTAATTTTTTTACATTTTTTTCTTTTGAGGATATTTTGTCTTGGACTTTAATTTTCTTTTCCTTTTTTACTCTTTCTCCATTTTTATATCCTTTGGGTTTTTATCCTCCGTTCCGCTTTTTTCAATTCTTCGGCCAATTCGTCCATCCTTTTTTCCTCTATGTTATTGACTCCATTCGCTTTTTTATTGAATTCCTTCAACAACAACAAAAAGCCTCAAAAACCATCATTTCTTCTCTTTTTGAATTTTTCTTTTGGGATTGACTTTTTCTCTTTTATAAATTCATCATTTATTTATTGAACTTGGTGAAGAAAATCAAATAACAAATGAAACGTCAGAATGTTAGAACATTATCGGTTTATTTTAAAATATTTTTTCAAAATTTCAATTTAAATTTCAGTTAATTGTTTGTACTCTTACTTATCTTATGGTTGGATCAGCAGTTTTTGATGCGCTAGAAAGTGAGGCAGAATTGAAACAAGTCGGTCTTTTTTAACTTAAATCCAAAAAATTCAAAAAAAAATTTTTTAAGCGTCAGCAAGTGGAAACGATCAAAAAGCGTTTAGTTACAAAATATAATATTTCAACAGTTGACTATCGCTTGCTTGAGTCAATAATTGTAAGAGCAATTCCTCATAAAGCTGGACATCAATGGAAATTTGGCGGGGTAAAATTTACTTTGAAAAAAATTTTTTTATATTCAAATTTAGGCCTTTTATTTTGCAACGACTGTGATAACAACTATAGGTTAATTTATATTTTTTCGAATTTAATTATAAAATTGTTTTTAAGGATATGGACACAGTTGTCCAGTCACTATGGGTGGAAAAATATTTTGGTTTGTTTTTTGGATTTTTTGATTTAGAAAAAGTTTTTTTCAGTATGTTCTATGCACTTGCCGGCATTCCTCTTGGACTGGTCATGTTCCAAAGTATTGGTGAACGTCTGAATACTTTTTGTTCACTTTTATTGCGACGAGTTAAATATTGTAGGTTTATTAAAATTAAGTGTTTATTCTTTATTTATTTTTAGTTTTTGGACGTCCACCATTAGTTAGCCCAATGGATTTAATTATTGTTTGTTCTCTGCTAAGTTCGGCATGTATTGCAATTGGAGCTTGGATATTTTCTCAATATGAAGGATGGCCATATTTTGATTCTGTTAGTTTTCTTATTTAAACAATTACTATTAAATAATTTTATAGGTCTATTATTGCTTCATTACTCTTGTAACAATTGGCTTTGGCGATTTTGTTGCATTACAAAAAGATGATGCTTTGGAAAAACGACCAGAATATGTACTTTTTGTGCTCTTCTTTATTGTTTTTGGACTTGCGGTTATTTCTGCAGCAATGAATTTATTAGTATTGCGATTTTTAACGCTCAACACAGAGGATGAAAAGAGGGACAAACGTGAAGCAAAATTAGCAGAAAAAGGATTGGTTGGTTTAATTTTAAATTTAAAAATTTGGTCTAGTGGGTACTTGGTTATTTATCTATTTTCAACTTATCTCTATCTTCCTCCCTCTCTCCAGGTTACAATTGACTCGCTAGGCCGGCGACATTATATGAAAAGCCGTGAATCCTCTTCATCATCCTCTTCCTCCCCTTCCCGTTCACAACAACAAGCTGTGCCAAAAAGTGGTGCTCCAAGTGATGATGAAGGGGAAACGAGTGAAGGCTTTAGGACTAGAACAGCCACAGGCGGTAGCGGTGCATCAGTAAGGAAACGACAAAAATTAACGTTAGCACAATCACTTTTTACTCCTCTACTCCCTCTTTCCGGCTTGAAAGGATTAGAATCAGATTCAGCATCTATAGTTTCCTGTTCTTGTTATCAGTTGGCCAAAACTGATACAGTTTTGCCACCAAGTCATCAACTACAACCTCAGCAGGGACCTTCAACACCCCTTCATTCTACTAAGGGGGTATTTAAATGATAGTGGGATTCGACAAAACGGGGTTTGAATTTCTAAAAATTCTTTTGTCTTTCTTTTTATACGCGAAATAAATTTGAGAAAATTTTAAAAACTTTTTATAAAATGAGAAAATATTGCCCTTAGTCAATGGTAAAACAAAGGAAGTCGTTAGGTACTTGTGCAAATTGAAAGGGTAAAAAGCGCGCCATCGCACACTTGAGCATGGTTATAAGCAAATAACAATGACTGAATTTTATATAAAAATTGATGAAGATATTGAAAAAACTTTTTGGGACAACCTTTTTGTTTTAACGCGCTTCAGTGCACAAGACTAAAAATTGCCTTTCAAATGAATTGCCAAAAGTGAGTTGATAAATGTCTGTTTTATGCTTATTTATTGCGCTTCTTATTTTATGCTTATTCTATTTTTGCCTATTTTTTTCAATATTTTATATTTTTTGCACAAAATTTCCTTTAGGATATTAAACGACTTCTACTTAAGCTTTTGACTTTGAGCGCGCAATTGCCTTTAAAAAAAGTTTTTGCACAATCGCCAGGCAAAACCGACAAATAAACAAAAGACCTTAGGACTTGTAAGATAATTTCCTCAATCTACTTTCTTTTTGGGCAAACAATAGACAAGTTTGTGTTTCTTTGTGTTTGCCATCCGTGACCCCTCCTCTTACGTCCGTCCACTTTTTTATTCTTTATGGCATTTGCCATCAGCTAATTCGGCAAACTTGTGAACAAAAAGCCGTGCACTTTTGTGCCGCAACATTCTTTATCTCTTCATCTCAAACTCATTGTTGTTTTTTATATGATCGTCAATTTAATAAGCGTTCATATAAATTTAATAAACTTATCTTTTAGACAATTATTCTTACGAATTAATTCTTCTTCAGCTCTATTCTTATATTTTTTAAGGAACGAACATTGTAATTATTTTTTTATTATTTCTAATACGATTTTTGTACTTGTCCCTTGTTTTCTTTTTGTTTATTTTTTGAGGAGGTCATTGGCAAAAAAATATAAAATTTAAAAGTGCCGGGAATTGGAGAAGGATGATGATGGCAAGCTTAAAAATTTTAGGGAGAGATTAAGCAAGGGGGAAAGGCAATGAAAGGAAGGAAGCAACACATAAAAAGGGGGATTTTATGAAACAAAAGCTTTGAGATTGAGAGAAAGGAAATTGCCAATTCTCGCTTCAATGCCAGAAGACAATAAAAAAGGAGAGGGGATTTAACTACTACTAGCTATATGAGTGCTAAACAATATAAAGATATGTACATTTTACAAGTTTCACAATAGTCAAGGGTTAGAAAATGAGAACCTTATTAAGAAAAATCCTCTCCTATTTTTTTTTAATAATTTATTTTACAGACCTTGTTTTATTAGTTGCTTTAACATTAATTCGCTGACTAAATACTACATAATTTAAGTAAATATTTTCCTCATTTAAATGACCCATCATTTTACCCATCCCAGAACCTTTGCAATTGTCATTGACGGTAGCAAAAAAAGCGATTTGTCTTCGTTCTTTCTCTCTATTAATGCCGCCAGATTTCCCAAAATCCTTATGGAAAAGCACAGCTGCCAAAATATTATATTTAAGTGAATAGAGGTAAAGGGGGTTAAGGCCAAAAAGCAAAATAAAAGGAAATGAAGGAAGGATAAATTGTCGGTGATGACCATTTAGTCCTTGCGCGCTCCTTAAATGGATAGAGAATTGGCCAAATGAATAAATGATATTGTGGTAAAGGACTCCATTCTCTTAAGGCAAAGATTACCGAGAGGAAGAGGAAGGTCCTTCTGTTCATCTTTTTCTCCCCTTCCCCTTTCCAATCCAATTCATTTGTCCTGTTCATTTTAAATTACCCTACGCATTGCGCGCTCATCTCTTTTTCTGGATGCCGTAAACAATAAATTTTACCGATACAAATTTTTAACTTTTCCGGCAAAATTTTTTTCATATAAAATTTCTCGTTATTTTTTGCATATTTTGTCACGCGCGCTTTATCTATTATTTAATAACCACTGTGCATTAAAACAAAATAACTGAACAAAATAATAATTAAAATACTAATCTCCCTTGCTATATTTTTATATTGCGTAAATCGCAATCCTCACTATACATATATTCGCTTTTGTATAGAGACAACAATACATTCATTTTGTTTCTCGTTTTTATTTTTACCTTTTTATTTTATCCTTCCTTCACGTGCCCAATTTAAAATATTTTTTTTAATTTTTAAAATTTTTGACAGAATTAACAACTTCTATTAACAAATGTTTAAATTGTGATGTTTTGCTTTTCTCAAGCTTTCTAACTCTAACAAAAAACATTGTGCCAGGAATTCAGTTAACAACATTTTTTAAATTCAACTTTTATTTAATTGTTTAGCCTAAATTCAACAAATGAATTTTGTTTGTTTGCCTACAATTTTATTTAATTGCCTTAACTTTAATTGTTATTTGCGGCTTTTATTTGTGTTGCTATTCACCACTGATCGTATAATTGCATATGTCGTAGAATTGCCCAAATCAACAATGACCACAACAAAAAGAACAAATAATGATAGACTCAGGCCGATTATTTTAGGTTAGTTTAATTTTACTTTTTGGGTAGTGTAAGGGACTAAACTTTTCTGTAGCTTCTACACGGATGGAGAATTCTCCAAATAAAAATGATTCCCCTTATAAGTATGATAGTCAGTTTGTGGGGTTTAAAATCATTTTTTAATCTCCATCAAGAAAGCTTATAAAAATAAAATATGAATGTTTTAATGGAGGGCAGGAAAAATGGAAACTAATGGGTGATGATGATGTGAGATTTAGGCAAAAACGGGCCAAAAAAGGCCGCTAAAAGATTTCCAATTTATTTAATTTCCTTATGTTAACCGTTATTTTGCTAAAAATATGGGGTTTTCGGCGAAATCTATAAAAGCAATTACCACGTTTTTACCACATTTGCCCATCCATTAAAGCGTTCAGTAAGTCTATGGGTCTTAATTTTGTTGTGTAAAAATTAAAGAAGAGTTTAGTTCATTTATTATAAAAAGGGAGATTAATAGCCATAAGAAAAACAGAAAACATTTTTATTGGTGGTTCTTGTTTATTAGATTTTAAGAGAATTGCCCATTTGTTTCTGTTCCTTTTCCTGCTTTTCATCAGTAAATTAATGGTTTGAGAATGAGTGATGTGACCGATTGGCCAAAATTGTGTATTATATATTCTTTCTCATCCTAAAAACAATTTTCTTAACCCATTAATTCGAGCATTTGGCGCGCAATTAAATGAGGAATTGCTTAACCTTGGTTAGAAAATTAAGAGAAAGGAAGGAAATTGAATGAGAATTAATAAAATACACACGAGGCAATTTTGTTTTATTAACTGGAGAACGGAGTAAATTAAAAAAGGGGATTTAATGATTAAAAATTTTTTAAATATTTTTTTGTAGATGAAAATGTTTGTCCTCAAGGCTGGCTTAGCGGTGGAGAACAATGCATTCAATTACAATTTGTTGCTAGTGGAATATCTCAATCCTCTATAGAATGCAAACGTTTAGGAGCTGAATTGGTCAACGTTGTCGACGAAGATGGAGAACCTTCACTACAATTATTGGATGATTTGTCATTGATTTTGGAGGTTATTTAAACTTTATTTTAATTTTTTGAATTAAAATTGATTTTAGGAAGCTTCCAATACCGGAGTTTCTATGCAAAGTTGGCTTGTCAGTTCTGGACATTTCTCGCCAGAATGGGATTCTGCTAATGAAAGGATTCGTTTTCACAAACTACCAAGAGAAAACATTCACAATATGGAGATTCTTGGATTGCGCAGACGTCGAGGCCAACGACTATTTGAATTGTATTTTTTTAATTTTTTAGTTTAAATCAAAAAAAATTAACAGAACTCTACTTTCAAATACAAGCATCAATCCATTCATTTGTGCCTTAAACCCGCTCACAAGGCGAGTTCTTCTCTATCAACAATTATTATTACCTCGTGGGGCACCTCAATTTGTTGAACAACCACAACCTAATGGATACTTTTTTGACACATCTTCAGGCTCAAATCATTCATTTTTGTCATTGCCATGTTCTGCAATTGGAAATCCTACACCTTTAATTCGTTGGTATAAAAATGGTGGAGAAGAGGTTTTTTTTTAATTTTGAAATTTTTATTAAAAAATAATTTTATAGATTGACTTAAACTCGCCTAATTCAACATTTATTGTCTCTGGAGGTGCTTTGCTTGTGCCAGTATCAAGGATCCAACCGTCTCCAATTACTTTCCATTGTGTTGCTACAAACGAGCTTGGTATATTTTTTAATGAAAAATTTTAATTTTTATTGAAAAGTTATACTGGTGTTGTTGGCGTTCGGTTAATTTTCGCCTGTAGTTTAAAAGATCAACGGGGAGCAGAGAAGAATTAGAGCGTTAACATTTTGGATTAGGTCTTTTCTTCCTTTCTTGTTTGTCCCCTTAGTCTTTGCCTGTGGCAGAGATTCACCGGTGCCAACAACACTACTTATTACTTTTTTAGCCTCAATTATATTTAAAACTTTTATAGGCTCAGTTCGAAGTTTAACCGCTACAATTCGCCCAGCATTCATCGAACCATTCCAAGATTATCGGCTAGATGCTTATCCACTTATTTTGGGAACAACAATGAGCGGTGGAGCGCGTTTGGAATGTAATGCACCAAGACATTTTCCAAGTGGGTTTAATTTTATTTAAAAAATGTTTGTAGAAATGATAGGGGGTTTAAAAATATGATTAAAATTAGCGAAAGAATGCCAAGATTTTTAAAATTATTTTTTTGATATTTTTGTGGTTTTTATTCCGCGCGGTAATTTGCACATTAACATTTTTATGTTTTTTGCACTTTTTATTTCTTTGCAAATTTAAATTTTTTACTTTTAAAATTGTACTTAACTCGTATTTTTAGCTTTCCTTTTTTCTTCAAATTATTTTTTTCTGAAAATACTTCTTTTGTTTTTACTTTTCTCGCTTCACTTATATTTTCCGTCGTTTTTTCCTTATAACTAAATTTTTCCATAAAAAATTCTCGAAGATCCCAAAACAAATTGGAAAAAAATTGCCGCAAGACAAGCAATATTTCCAATTTGTGCACTTGAGAGACATTCTTTAAACCTTTTGGGAATTGGCAGTAATGTGTGTAGTGTAATCCTGTATATTTTTTCTTGTCAAATTTAATTTTGTCTGGAGAGAATAAGCACAAAAATACTTCAAATACACACCACCCTCATTTTTAACTTTTCTAAATTTTCTTATTTTTTTATTCATTTGTACATCTTATTTTTTATTCTGGATGATATTTTCAATCAAAATATTTAGAAAAAATTTAATATGGTTCAGAGATTTTATCATTCCGGCATTTATTTTTTTTACTAATTTATTTTTTTCTCATTACCTATCTTTTTTCTTTTTTTTTTCACACCCTCTTCAATGGCATTTTTTAAAATGCCAATTGCTATTGAAATAAAGCTATCCATTTCATAGATACCCTGAAGCATTCATGCGCCTCCTTCCTTTTTTTCTCATTTTGGCAGCTTTATTTATTTTTTCCCATTTTTTCATTTAACAAAAAATGCATTAGCTCCGTGAAAATCTCGGCAAATGCTTTTTTCTATTTATCTTCAACTATTATCTATTTATTTTTTTTTAAATAAATAGCTCGCTCATCTAAAAACACCCATTTTAATGTGGATATATAAATCTTTTTAGAACCTATAATCTGCGCTTTTCTCGATGCAAAATAAAGGCAAGATTCCTTTGTTTCTGTTATTTTAATTTCTAGATTAATGACAAAGAATCTTAGCTATTTTACTGTCAAGACTTTTGAAAAATAATATTTTTTGAATTCCTTTTAGACATCCTCTTAGCGTTCTAACAACATTTTTATTCCAATAATTCATTAGCCTATTTAATTCTTTCTTCATAATTTTAGTCTGTATTTTTGTTCTGATTCAGTATATTTTTATGAATTTAATTAGATCGGGGCTCCTTACTCTATAAAAACTTTTTGTTAAAAAAATAAACTTCCGTCCTCCAAAATGATTAATAGATTTACTAATAGACTTTAAAGGGTGACCCATATCTGACCCATTTTTAGCGATTTTTTATACCCGATAAAAATTATTTTTTCAGTTTTTTCTTTAGTTTTCATTGTTTTTATCTCAAATACTGACCTGAAAATTAAATACTAATTTAGAAATAAATTAGTCTTACACTAATTTTTGAATATTTAAGATAGAATGTTCAGTAATAAACTACCTAAAATAATAAAGCTAAAAAACAGGTGCTTTCAGATATCTCCTATTTTTTTATAATTTCATTTTTTTTCTTGTCTGTCTGCTGTTTTTTGATGATTGCATGAGCTTATCCATTTTTATTATTTTTTACTTTTTTTATAAAAATTCATTCTCATTTTTTCTATAATAATAATCTAATATTTTTGTCCATATATTTTTTTGCAAAAACACTTGCTTCTTATTATCTTTTTCCAATCATTCCACAACTAAAAACACCATTTTAAAACCCTTAAAAATTATTTTTCATTCATTCTCTCCCTTCTTTCATCAAGCACACAATCAGCGGCTGTTCCTTCCATTCGGCTGTCACTTGTCTTTTTTACCAAAAATTGGGCAGAACAAAACGCAAAACAAAAAAATTTCACGCAATACTATCAGAATTCTTCCACTTCAATCATTACCACTTCCATAGCAGCCAGCCAATCTTTCTCACATAAAATTCCCTAAAAGTCCTTTTTGATGAAGGAAAGGAGGAAATAATGGCCTCAAACCACTTTTCAATCACTTTTCTTTCTATCATTTATTTTGTTGGTTAAACCGGTTTTATATAACCAAAAACTACAGCGACACTAATGTTATCTCCCCCGCAATATTATAACGCTCTACTAGCATTTTGCATTAACAATCAACCAGCCGCTCTTACATATACCCAAAAACTTTCTCTTAAACCAATAATTTAATTTCTCCTTGTTTTCTCGATTTATTCTCTTTCACCAAATCAGTTTTATAAAAAAAATGTCAAAATTATCTACATCGGAGAAACAAAAATGGTTTAAAAAGCCGTGTTTTATACAGATTAGATCCATTCTTTTAATATTTTTTTGGAGCGCGATATATATTTTTGATTGTATCTTATTCTTTATTTTATCCAATTCATTTTTAGAAATGTGATTTTGCAAAATTGACTTCCGCCGGATAATGATCTCTTTCCCCTTTAAAAGGGAAATTAACGCAAAAAATACACATTCATATTTCTCTTTCGCTCCATTTCTCCTTGGGTAATTATTCCGAGTTATGGCACATATTGCACCACCAGATGAATTTTTAGCACCTGAGCACACATCATCTCAACGGCACAATTTTCTTCAATGGCACCAACAACAACATTTTCTACACTCTTCACTCGGCACAATAAAAACAACTTTTAAATATCAACAGATTAACAATTTTAACTTCAAAAATTTTTATCTACTACATTAATTAACCTTTTTAATAAACTGAAAAACAAAATGGATAAACTACTGAGTAAAGTATGTTAAAGCATTTAAAAAGTAGAGACCAGAGAAAACCTGTTAAACCTTAATTTTCAAACTAAGATTAATAATAATTGTTTCTGGTCTCTATTAAAAAAAAGGTTAACAAATTTAACTTGATAAATCAAGGAAAATGTCAACTAACTTTGAATTTGCTCTACAACATAATTGTAATTTTCACCAGTTTTTGAATGTGATGAAATTGATAAATATAAGAAGGAATGTTGATTATTTTAGATCATTTTGATTTTTCACGTTTTTGCACTGCACTATGCTTATCTAACAAACTGCATTTTAATCACTTTTAGGCTTTTGCATTTTTAGTTTTGGCACTGTAATTTTACTGCACTTTTACACTGCATTTTATTATTATGCATACTAACACTTTACACACACGCACAACAGCACATCCACACACAATTTCTATTCACGATTCACTAGTTTACAAACACTCAAAATTCATTCACTTTTATCACTTAAACACAACACTTAAACACTAGCACAATCACAAAAGCTCACTCACTATTCCTTATTTTTTGCACTAATTATTGTTGAAAGGCTAGCGCGCTACCTTAAAAAAGCGCTTCTGGAGCACGTTTTTAGCCATTTAGCATTAATATAGAAATGCTTTATTTTAAAAATTATTTTTTTGTAAAATTACTTTAAATAATCTTTTTAAGTTTTTCATCTTGGCACGGTTATAAAAATAATCTTTTCGCTCACAATGCATTAAAAAACACATCACAGCATTAAATACACTAATTAAAAATCCTGCTTTTCACTACACTTGCATTTTAAATAAATTCAAGGATAGGACAAACATACTAATTAGTCTCAAAAAAATTGGATTTCTTTGGGTAGTTCTGATTTTGTCCTATCCTTATTTTAATGCCGTCCTTTAATTCTATGCACTTAATTTTTTTTAATTTTACACAGTGCAAAATAGTATTTTCACACCATTAGCACTTTCATAAAATATAATTGGCACAAATTTTAAATATTAAAAAGCACATAATGAGACAGTATTAATTTTGGATAAATATTAAAATAATATTTCACAATTTTTTACAATATTTTTTGATAAATATAGATTTGGCATTCTTTCGAGTTTTTTATGAGATTTTAAATTTTAAAAATATAAGATTTATTTGAGTCGAATTTTGAGTCATCAGTTTTCATTTTAATTTTAAAAAAGGATCTTTCACGTTTTTCTGGGTTCGAGGTGGCAGTTATGAACGCTTTGTTGAAGTTACTCCTCGACTTTTTATTTCTATGGAAGGAACGCTTTATTTTGCTTATAATTTACGTGAAGACGATGATAGGTAAATAAAAACTTTTAACTGGGTATTTGTATATTTCTTGGGGCAGTTGTAGTTATTAAGGTGAGCTAATCCTTTCCTTAGACAAAAATTTAGAGGTGAATAAACGGAAGGCAAACTGAGAGAATAAGGGTGAAGCGTATTAATCTTTTCCTTTGGCAACAAGTTAAAGGTGAATAAATGGGAAGAAAAAATGAAAGAAATAAGGGGACAATACACAAAAGCGTGTTTCAATATCTATAAGACTAAGGGAACGTAACAATAATTTTTGTTTGAACTAATCACTTTTCAATTTCATACAAATTTTTCTTAAAGTTATGCATGTATAGCAACAATAGAAACTCAATCAGCTCAGCAAGGACCGTTTTTCCGACTAATTCTTCCCCATTTAAACACCAAACATAAATCAGCACATGGCAAAGTTCAGAGATTTCCCCACTCATTTGCTCCAAGAATTGATGAATATCAGCCGCAGCTTTTTCCAGAATTGCCCATTCGAGGACAAACTGTCCACTTGGAATGCTTTGCTTATGGATTGTTTGTTTTTAATTTTTAACTTTAAATTCATTTTTCTTCTAGTCCAATCCCAACTTATCGATGGACTCGAGTAGATGGACTTCCTCTTCCTGTAGGTCGTCATAAATTACTTAGCTTTGGACGTATTCTTCGTATTGATGCAGCAGAGTTAACTGATTCGGGAAGATATCGTTGTACTGCTCAGAATGAGCTTGGAACAACTAGTGCTGAATTGAAGCTTATTATTCAAGGTTAATTAAATTTTTGAAATTTCCAAAAATAAATTTTATTTTTCAGCACCTCCAGTTTTGTTTCACCCTCTAATTGATCAATTAGTAGCACCAAATTCTACAGCTTCCCTGCATTGTCAAATACCCGATTCTGGGAGTGTACAAGTTGAATGGTTTCGAAATGGATCTCCGCTCTCGCCATTACTTTTAACTGAACAAGAAAGGAAACGTTTTTTGATCGCTGGGAATGAGTATAATTTTTTTATTTTTTTCCATTATTATTTTTAAATTAGACTTACAATTGTCAATGCCTTACCTTCTGATTCTGGAATGTTCCAATGTATTGTCTCCAATGATATTGGCAGTGTTACTTCTTCAGCATTACTTTTTGTTACTGAATTGGCTCCTCGTTTTCATTCAAATGTTTTTCCTTCAAAAATTTTTGTTGTAGAAGGAACTCATTTATCTATTCCTTGCCTTGTTCAGTCCAATCCTCCGGCAAAAACTCATTGGAAAAAATTGGACGACTCTTCAGAAGCTGAAGGTTTTGAATTAAATAATTTTGTTGATCAATCAGTGCCTGGCCAAGAAATTACTTTATTAAATATTCAAAATGCTCAAGCACTTAATTCTGGTTTATATGAATGTACAGCAATTAACAGATTAGGAAAAGTTAAAGCAATAATGCGGTTGGAAGTTATTCGTAAGTTTTTTGTTAAATTAAAAAAAATTCTTTATGATTTTTAGCACGTCCACAAATGTCAATACAAATTGAAGAATCCAAAGAAGACCAATTTTCAAAGAAATTTACTTGTGAAGTAGAAATTGCTTGTCACAGCATTGAAGATTGTCCTGAAGCTCTTTTTAGTTGGGAATTTAATGATAAACCAATTGAAAGTTTGACATTTGGTAATGGAGGACAAGAACAACACCAAACAATTAGAATGGGCCAAAGAGAAAATGCTTTTAAACAAATTGAAAATGGAAGAATAAATAGGTTGGTTAAACAACAAAGTCAATTGGAATTACCTACAAAATTTACAAAAGGTTTGAAATTAGAAAAAATTTAAAAAATTTTTCCTTTCAAGAAAATGTTGGCCGTTTTGCTTGTAATTCACTTTTTGGTGTAGCAACAGTTGAAGTTGAACCTTCACTTATTTTTGTTCCTTTAAAGTTGTCGGTAGGGGAGGTACACGATGGAAGTGTTAAATTACTCTACAGAATATTACAACCACAAACTTCGAATGTGAAAAGACGAGATGGAAATTATAAACAAAAGGTTCATTAAATATTATTCTCCTCAATAAAAATTAACATTTTAGCCAATAGAAAAGATTTATCAATTAGATGTTCGAACAGCCCTTGATCGGTATTGGAGACCAATCAGAAGAGTAGAGCTAGACGAGAACGCTATTAGTTCAAATAGTTTAGAGCGTGAAATTCTTTTGGAAAAACTTGAACCGAATCAACTTTATCAGGTTTTTTTATTTAATTATTAAAAATTAATTTTTTTAATAAATTAAAGTTTCGGTTGAGACCGTCTACAGAAAGAGTTCAATATGCAACACTCTCCGATTGGGTGCGAACGCCTGAAGCAGTTCCTTCGCAAGTTGTACAAAATCTTCGCTTTCGAATGCTTGACGATCAACATTTACTGCTTGAGTGGGATCCAATTGAAAGGGTATTTTGATTTTTTTGTTACACTCTTAAGTAGTTTTTCTGTGGTGTCTCTTGTAAATTTTTGCAATTTTATAATTCTATTATTAGAAATGTGGATGCTTTTTGTATTAATCGACAGCGTTGGATGTGCTTAATCTTTTTCCTGTTTAGAACAACCAGATTCCCCCGTCCAGTAAAAAGTTACAGCTTGTTAAACCCATGAAATCACGATTACTCGCGCTTGTCCGCCTGTATCTTTTTAACAAATGATTAGATTTTATCATTTCCTACAGAAAAGGAATTGTCACATCAGGGGCTTTAAATTGATTTATAAAGAATTCGGATTAGTTAAAAGATAAAGGTGATATGTGGTAGAAAATATTGAGACTCTACTGTTCCCTTCTTTTTTGAATAATTTTTTTCTGCTAAAATATCAATTTGTCAAAAACTATTTAATTGTAAAATATCAAATTGTCAAAATTTATTTTGCCTAATTATTTTAAAATTTTTAAAAAATTTCTGATTTTTCTAATTTATTTAAGGTGTTTCATTCTGCTCCTCAACTTCGTTATAATGTTAGTTGGAATCTCCATGATGGCCAACAATTTTCTGAATCTACAACAACTCCAAGAATTGTCATTATTTTACCTTCAAATTTAAAAAATAATTCTAAAGATTGTTTAATTTTGAATGTTAATGTTCGACCTTATAATCGAGTTGGACCTGGAAAAGTAGCAACAAGTAAAGTTGTAAGAGCGAGTGATAAAAGTGAGTTTTTTGGGAATTTTTTGGGGAAATTTTCTTTTTTTGTTTTCTTTAAAGAACCTCAACGTTTTGCTGTCAATCTTCAATTAAATACTGTCAATTCAACCCATTTAAATATTTCTTGGAATTGGGAAGGTATAGATCCTTGTGAAAATGTTTTGGGAGCTAAGGTTTATTTTTTATTTTATAAATTTATTTTTAAATAATTTTAAGATTATATGTAATGAAGAAGGAACTAGCAACAATTTGGATAATTTTGGAAATATTAAAGAAAAGAAAGGGGGCAGACAACAAAGGTTTTCAGTTTATAAATTTTTAGTTAAATATTCTTTTATATTTTTAAAGTAAACTTCCAAATCTTTCAAATTCACTTCACCAACAAATATCTCAATCTGTGCCTTCAGAATATAATTTTTGGCTTTTTGGTGGATTATTACCTGAACGAAATTATTTTTGTAAAATAATTGCTTTTGATCAATATGGAAGAAATGGTCCAGAAAGAATTGAAAGTTTTGGAAGAGGGAGGACAGCAGAAAAAGCGCCTGATAAAGCTCCTGAAATTAGTTTTGTGCTGGTTAAAGAAATTGAAGATTTGGTATAATTTTTATATTTTTTTAAAGGTTTCTCGTTTTTAAAGATTATTTTGCATAACTTTACGGTTCTTTTTTAATTTAAAAACGGGATTGAAGTGACTTGTGATTGATCATTTAAGATTAAAATTTTCTCCCTTCATTTCCCTTCCAAATTTTTCTAAAAATACTTCAATAGTAAATTGTGCGTAATAACTTTTAAAAACGAGAAATCTTTTGCATCATAATTTTATTTTTATTTGATTTTCTTTTTTAAAAAGGATTCGGAGATTGATAAAGGTACATCATCAACAATAAATAAAAGAGGATATGCTTTATTACTTGATTGGAGACCTGTTCCTCTTACGTTAACAACAACAACAATAATAAACGAGTCTTATTCTGCAAAAGATGGTTCTTCGTTGACATCCAAGATTAGATCAGAGATCAGAAAAAGTGAAGAAAATAGTAGCAGGCAGAGAGGATACAAGGTTAGATTTTATGTTATTTGGGGTTGAGGGGTTAGTTGGGGTTTCCCGAACGGAGATTCGGTAGGCCTTTTTTGAGAGATTTTGTTTACCTAGACTAGGAATATACTTTGGACTTTTTATTTTTAAAAGTTACCACTTTTCCCCCGTCGTTGAAGGACATATGTAAATAAATAAAAGGGAAAGATTATTATCTTTAAAAAATGTTTGGTTTCCGCTCTTTAATCTTTAAGGGTTTTGAATGTTTTTGATCGATTAGAATGTCAAAAATAATAATTTAAATATTTTTTTTCTAGATTTTTGTCTACGTGACGGAAACTGCTGAACAACCTATTGAATTAACTCTTTCTGAAGCAGAGCTGCACGAACCTCAAAGGCCTTCTGCTCGAATTGATGGTTTAAAGCCAATGTTTTATTATAGCATTCAAGTAATTTTGAAAAGGTTTTCTCTTTTAATTCTTTTTAATTTACAGATTGCAGCTTTCAATCCTGGCGGAATCGGACCTCTTAGCGAAAGAATTCCTGTTCGGGTTGGTCTACACAGGCAGCAACAATTAAACGATGAATGGAATGCTGGCAGTCGAAGCAAAAGATTAAATTTTATTATTTTATTCGTATTTTTCACCATTGTAATGTGTTATTCTATTGAGAGGATATTTTAATTTATTTTCGAACACATATTTGATATTATTTAAGTTTACACTTTGAAATACTTTGAGTTTCCATTTTGAAGTCCCTCGCGAAATAGTGTGAGAACGTTTCCAGAGAAATAAAGTTTATGTTTTCAAATTTTTGCCTTTCAAGTTTTGGCGGCCATTATTTTTGGCTTTTTGTTTTAATATTGATTTTTTACTTTTTTCTATCTTTAACGTTCTCTCTATTAGATGCATGGCTTTTCCTTTTTTGGGGGATTAACTTTTAGAGGGGTGGGGGGTAGTAATGACTTGCGGACAAGACTTGCTTTTTTTTATTTTTGAAAAATGTATCCAATTTTTTTCAGTCTTCAGCAGCAGCAACAACAAAGCATCAGCAGCAAAAGTCCCATTTTAGCTTCGGCTACATCTGGGCAGAAAAAGTCCCATTATTAGCTTCGGCTACATCTGGGCAGAAAAAGTCCCATTATTAGCTTCGGCTACATCTGGGCAGAAAAAGTCCCATTATTAGCTTCGGCTACATCTGGGCAGAAAAAGTCCCATTATTAGCTTCGGCTACATCTGGGCAGAAAAAGTCCCATTATTAGCTTCGGCTACATCTGGGCAGAAAAAGTCCCATTATTAGCTTCGGCTACATCTGGGCAGAAAAAGTCCCATTATTAGCTTCGGCTACATCTGGGCAGTGCAACGATTAAATTCCAATGCTCTCGTCTACATGGTTTGTTTTTTTATTAAATATCCGCAAGTTTTGTCCGCAAGGTTTCCCCCTTAAATAAGTTTATCCTTTCCCAATGTTAAAGCCAATTAAACGGTGGCCAAGTTCTTGTCAAATGAGAAGACTTACAGCAGATGTGGTTAAATGCAATGCTTTGCTTGGTTTGAATGGTTGATCTTTTGATAGGTTGTTTTTATTTTCAATAGTTTTTTATTTACTTAATTTTTAGCTTTGAGAGAGTATCCAGAAGCTGTTAAGATTTTTAACGAGGTTATTTTTGGCTGTAGTTTAGTCGAGGGCCCGCTCCAAACCGGGTCGAAACATATGTCATTCGATTCGTCTCGGCGAGCTGAGTCGAATGGTACCACTCCCTAAGTGCGGAAATGCCTGTGGACCGAGATATAGGTCCCTGAAATTTGAAAAACCATAGGGGGGAGTAAGCTGATTTTGGGTTGAAAAATTCGATTTTTCGTGTGATAGCTCATTCGAAAGAGCTCATCGAGCTGAGTCGAATGACACCAAAATCAACGAAATCTGATTTGATTAGACCGAAATACCTCATTTTTAACTTTTCTAAATTCTCCTATTTTTTTATTCATTTGTAAATCTTATTTTTCTTTCTGGATGATATTTTTCAACCAAAATATTTCTTAAAATTTTAAAATGGTTTAGAGATTTTATCATTCCGATATTTATTTTTTTCTCATTACCTATCATTTTCTTTATTTTTTTTCACACCCTCCTCAATGGCATTTTTTAAAATGCCAATTGCTATTGAAATAAAGCTATCCATTTCAGAGATACCCTGAAGCATTCATGCGCCTCTTTCCTTTTTTCTCATTTTGGCAGCTTTATTTATTTTCTCCCATTTTTTCATTTAACAAAAAATGCATTAACTCCGTGAAAATCTCGGCAAATGCTTTTTATTTATCTTCAACTATTATCTATTTATTTTCTTTAAATAAATACCTCTCTCATCTAAAAACACCCATCTTAATGTGGATATATAAATCTTTTTAAAACCTATAATCTGCGCTTTTCTCGCGCTTTTTTAACAAAGAATCTCAGCTATTTTCCTGTCAAGACTTTAAAAAAATAATATTTTTTTGAATTCCTTTTAGACATTCTCTTACAAATTAGTGTTTAACTACATTTTTATTCCAATAATTCATGAGCCTCATTTAATTATTTCTTTATAATTTTAGTCTGTATTTTTGTTCTGATTCAGTTTATGTTTATGAATTTAATTAGATCAAGGCTCCTTGCTCTATAAAAACTTTTTGTTAAAAAACTAAGCTTCCGCCCTCCAAAATGATTAATAGATTTACTAATAGACTTTAAAGGGTGACCTGTATCTGACCCAATTTTCAGCGATTTTTTATACCCGATAAAATTTATTTTTTCAGTTTTTTCGTTAGTTTTCATTGTTTTTATTTCAAATACTGACCTGAAAAATAAATACTTATTTAAAGATCTTACACTAATTTTTGAATATTTAAAATAGAAATGTTCAGTAATAAACTACCTAAAATATAAAGCTAAAAAACAGGTGCTTTCAGATATCTCCTATTTTTTATAATTTCATTTTTTGTTGTCTGTCTGTTATTTTTTGATGATTGCATGAGCTTATCCATTTTTATTATTTTTTACTTTTTTTTATAAAAAAATTCATTCTCATTTTTTCTATAATAATAATTTAATATTTCTGTCCATATATTTTTTTGCAAAAACACTTGCTTCTTATTATCTTTTCCCATCATTCCACAACTAAAAACACCATTTTTAAACCCTTAAAAATTATTTTTCATTTTCTCCCTTCTTTCATCAAGCACACAATCAACGGCTGTTCCTTCCATTCGGCTGTCACTTGTCTTTTTTTCTACCAAAAAATGGGCAGAACAAAACGCAAAACAAAAAAAATTTCACGCAATACTATCAAAATTCTTCCACTTCAATCATTACCACTTCCATAGCAGCCAGCCAATCTTTCTCACATAAAATTCCCTAAAAGTCCTTTTTGATGAAGGAAAGGAGGAAATAATGGCCTCAAACCACTTTTCAATCACTTTTCTTTCTATCGTTTGATATTTTGTATGTTAAACCGGTTTTATATAACCAAAAACTACAGCGACACTAATGTTATCTCCCCCGCAATATTATAACGCTCTACTAGCATTTTGCATTAACAATCAAACCTACATATACCCAAAAACTTTCTCTTAAACCAATAATTTAATTTCTCCTTGTTTTCCCGATTTATTCTCTTTCACCAAATCAGTTTTATAAAAAAATATCAAAATTATCTACATGGGAGAAACAAAAATGGTTTAAAAAGCCGTGTTTTATACAGATTAGATCCATTCTTTTAATATCTTTTTAGAGCGCGATATATATTTTTGATTGTTTCTTATTCTCTATTTTATCCAATTCATTTTTAGAAATGTGATTTTGCAAAATTGACTTCCGCCGGATAATGATCTCTTTCCCCTTTAAAGGGGGAAATTAACGCAAAAAACACACATTCATATTTCTCTTTCGCTCCATTTCTCCTTGGGTAATTATTCCGAGTTTGGCACATATTGCACTACAGCACCAACAAATGAATTTAGCACTTGAGCACACATCATCTCAACGGCACAATTTTCTTCAATGGCACTAACAACAACACATTGTCTGCACTCTTCACTCGGCACATTAAAAACAACTCTAAATTATCAACAGATTAACAATTTTAACTACTAAATTAACCTTTTTAATAAACTGAAAAACCTAATGGATAGAAACTACTGAGGAAAGTATGTTAATCATTTAAAAAGTTAGAGACCAGAGAGAACCTGTTGAACTTTAATTTTTAAACTAAGATTAATAATAATTGTTTCTGGTCTCTATTTAAAAAAAAGGTTAACAAATTTAACTTGATAAATCAAGGAAATGTCAACAAACTTTGAATTTGCTCTACAACATAATTGTAATTATCACAAGTTTAAATGATGAATTTAATAAATATAAGAAAGAATGTTGATTATTTTAGATCTTTTTAATTTTTCACGTTTTCGCACTGCACTACGCTTATCTAACAAACTGCATTTTAATCACTTTTAGGCCTTTGCATTTTTAATTTTTTCACTGTAATTTTATTGCACTTTTACACTGCATTTTATTATTATGCATACTAACACTTTACACACACACACGCACACGCACAACAGCACATCCACACTTAATTTCTATTCACAACTTCACAAACACTCAAAATTCATTCACTTTCATCACTTAAACACTAGCACAATCACAAAAGCTCACTCACTATTCTTTATTTTTTTGCACTAATTATTGTTGAAAGGCTAGCGCGCTACCTTAAATGGCGCTTCTGGAGCACGTTTTTAGCCATTTAGCATTAATATAGAAATGCTTTATTTTAAAAATTATTTTTTTGTAAAATCAACTTTAAATAATCTTTTTAAATTCAAAAATATTTTCTTTTCCTGGCACGGTTATAAAAATAATCTTTTCGCTCACAATGCATTAAAAAACACATCACAGCATTAAATACACTAATTAAAAATCCTGCTTTTCACTACACTTGCATTTTAAATAAATTCAAGGATAGGACAAACATACTAATTAAAATAAAATTAAATTGGATTTCTTTGAGTAGTTTTGATTTTGTCCTATCCTTATTTTAATGCCGTCCTTTAATTCTATGCACTTAATTTTTTTTAATTTTACACAGTGCAAAATAGTATTTTCATACCATTAGCACTTTCATAAAATATAATTGGCACAAATTTTAAATATTAAAAAGCACATAATGAGACAGTATTAAATTTGGATAAATATTAAAATGATATTTCACAATTTTTTACAATATTTTTTGATAAATATAGATTTGGCATTCTTTCGAGTTTTTTATGAGATTTAAAAATATAAGATTTATTTGAGTCGAATTTTGAGTCATCAGTTTTTATTTTAATTTTAAATAAAGGATCTTTCACGTTCTTCTGGGTTCGAGGTGGCAGTTATGAACGTTTTGTTGAAGTTACTCCTCGACTTTTTATTTCTATGGAAGGAACGCTTTATTTTGCCTATAATTTACGCGAAGACGATGATAGGTAAATAAAAACTTGGAACTGGGTATTTAAATGTTTCTAGGGGAAACTTGTAAATATAAGGATCTTTCACTCGTTTGAGTTGTGTTTGAGTTGTCGTTTATGCCCCTTTACCTATAAAATTTTTCCAAGGTGAATGAACGGGAAGGAAAACTTAGAAAATAGGGGAGGCGTATTAATCTTTTTCTTTGGCAGCAAGTTAAAGGTGAATGAAAGGGAAGTAAAAATTAAGGAAATAGGGGAAACAATACACAGAAGCGTGTTTCATACAAAATTTTTCTTAAAGTTATGCATGTATAGCAACAATAGAAACTCAATCAGCTCAACAAGGACCGTTTTTCCGATTAATTCTTCCCCACTTAAACACAAAACATAAATCAACACATGGCAAAGTTCAAAGATTTCCCCACTCATTTGCTCCAAGAATTGATGAATATCAGCCACAACTCTTTCCAGAATTGCCCATTCGAGGACAAACTGTCCACTTGGAATGCTTTGCCTATGGATTGTTTGTTTTTGATTACATATTTTTAACTTTAAATTCATTTTTCTTTTAGTCCGATCCCAACTTATCGCTGGACTCGAGTAGATGGACTCCCTCTTCCTGTGGGTCGTCATAAATTACTTACACGGAGAGGTTGCGAGGTGTCCGAGCTAAAAACGGTCGAGACCGGGCTCATTCGATAGAGAATGTGCCCTTTCTAGCAAGGATTTTTTGCCGTTTTTGCCCGTTTTTTGATCTGGCCAAGATATGGCCCTCCAAAGTCCCAAAATTTGCCATAATTTTCCCCCCTAAAATATAAACATTAAATAATGGGTTGATTTTGTTGGCGCGGTGGTGTAGTGGTGAGTGTGCTAGACCTACCCTTTTTCTCTAAAAAGTTCGATTCTTTTTTGGGTTTTATTATTTTATCTAACTGTTTTAAACAGTATTTATTCCTTTTTCAACAAAAAAATTTTTTTTGTTTGAAAAAAATTTTTTTAATTTTTTTAAAATTTTTAAAAATTAAAAAAATTAAAAAAAAACTAGAATTTGCTACAGCTGGCACATCGAATAAAACTAGATTCCAAACAATTAGGTGTATTACATCTAAAAGGGGACGATAATGGAAAACAACGGATCGGATGATCGAATTCTTCCTTGGAATCTTCCCCTCTCAACCCAATAACTCGTCAGAATAAAATTAAAAGAAATATTTTCTATTTTTAAAAATTTAAAAAAAATTAAAAAAAATTTTTTTCAAACAAAAAAAATTTTTTTGTTGAAAAAGGAATAAATACTGTTTAAAACAGTTAGATAAAATAATAAAACCCAAAAAAGAATCGAACTTCCTCTTCCTGTAGGTCGTCATAAATTACTTAGCTTTGGACGAATTCTTCGTATTGATGCAGCAGAGTTAACTGATTCGGGAAGATATCGTTGTACTGCTCAGAATGAACTGGGGACAACTAGTGCTGAATTAAAGCTTATTATTCAAGGTTAAATTAAATTTTTGAAATTTCAAAAAAAATATTTTTTCAGCACTTCCAGTTTTGTTTCACCCTCTAATTGATCAATTAGTAGCACCAAATTCTACAGCTTCCCTGCATTGTCAAATACCCGATTCTGGAGGAATACAAGTTGAATGGTTTCGAAATGGATCTCCTCTCTCGCCTTTACTTTTGACTGAACAAGAAAGGAAACGTTTTTTGATCGCTGGAAATGAGTATAATTTTTTATTTTTTGATCCGATTTTATTTTTTAAATTAGACTTACAATTGTCAATGCTTCACCTTCTGATTCTGGAATGTTTCAATGCATTGTCTCCAATGATATTGGCAGCGTTACTTCTTCAGCATTACTTTTTGTTACTGAATTGGCTCCTCGCTTTCATTCAAATGTTTTCCCTTCAAAAATTTTTGTTGTAGAGGGAACTCATTTATCTATTCCTTGCCTTGTTCAGTCCAATCCTCCGGCAAAAACTCATTGGAAAAAACTAGATGACTCTTCAGAAGCAGAAGGTTTAGAATTAAATAATTTTGTTGATCAATCGGTGCCTGGACAAGAAATTGCTTTATTAAATATTCGAAATGCTCAAGCACTTGACTCTGGCTTATATGAATGTAAAGCAATTAACAGATTAGGAAAAGCTAGAGCAATAATGCGGTTGGAAGTTATTCGTAAGTTTTTTTTGTTAAGATTGAGAAAATTTTCTTTATAATTTTTAGCACGTCCACAAATGTCAATACAAATTGAAGAATCCAAAGAAGACCAATTTTCAAAGAAATTTACTTGTGAAGTAGAAATTGCTTGTCACAGCGTTGAAGATTGTCCTGAAGCTCTTTTTAGTTGGGAATTTAATGATAAACCAATTGAAAGTTTGACATTTGGCAATGAAGGACAGGAACAACACCAAACAATTAGAATGGGCCAGAGAGAAAATTATTTTAAACAAATTGAAGATGGAAGAATAAATAGATTGGTTAAACAACAAAGTCAATTGGAATTACCTATTAAATTTACTAAAGGTTTAAAATTTTTAAAAATTTTAAATAAAAATTTTCCTTTCAAGAAAATGTTGGCCGTTTTGCTTGTAATTCACTTTTTGGCGTAGCAAGAGTGGAAGTTGAACCTTCACTTATTTTTGTTCCCTTAAAGTTGTCAGTGGGAGAGGTGCACGATGGAAGTGTTAAATTACTCTATAGAATATTACAACCACAAACTTCAAATGTGAAAAGACGAGATGGAAATTATAAACAAAAGGTTCGTTAAATATTATTCTCCTCAATAAAAATTCATATTTTAGCCAATAGAAAAAATTTATCAATTAGATGTTCGAACAACCCTTGATCGGTATTGGAGACCGATTAGAAGAGTAGAGCTAGACGAGAACGCTATTAGTTCAAATAGTTTAGAGCGTGAAATTCTTTTGGAGAAACTCGAACCTAATCAACTTTATCAGGTTTTTTTATATATTTATTAAAAATTAATTTTTTTAATAAATTAAAGTTTCGTTTGAGACCGTCTACAGAAAGAGTTCAATATGCAACACTCTCCGATTGGGTACGAACCCCTGAAGCAGTTCCTTCGCAAGTTGTACAAAACCTTCGCTTTCGAATGCTTGACGATCAACATTTACTGCTTGAATGGGATCCAATTGAAAGGGTATTTTAATTTTTTATTACATTCTCAAGTAGTCTTCTGTGGTGTTTTAAAGCGTATTATTTCCTTTAATTATATTATAACAAAATGTTGAGTTATAGAAAGTGCAGTTGTGGTTTAGTGGAATCGTTGCTGACTACACTAGTTTTCAAGCGAGGTTCGAACCTCTCTGGTTCAAATGTTTTATTTTTTTCGTGCAAGATTATACCGTGTGTTAAAAACTGTGACTCTACTGTTCCCTTCTTTTTTAAATATTCTTTTTCTGCTAAAATGTCAATTTGTCAAAAAATATTTAATTGTCAAATATTAAATTGTCAAATTCATTTTGCCTAATTTAAAATTTTTAGTTTTTCAAATTTTTTTTTTATTTTTCTAATTTATTTTAGGTGTATCATTCTGCTCCTCAGCTTCGTTACAATGTTAGCTGGAATCTCCATGATGGCCAACAATTTTCTGAATCTACAACAACTCCAAGAATTGTTATTATATTACCTTCAAATTTAAAAAATAATTCTAAAGACTGTCTAATTTTGAATGTTAATGTTCGCCCTTATAACCGAGTTGGACCTGGAGAAGTAGCAACAAGCAAAGTTGTAAGAGCGAGTGATAAAAGTGAGTTTTTCTTTGAATTTTTTGAAGTTTCTTCAATTTATCTTTAAAGAACCTCAACGTTTTGCTGTCAATCTTCAATTAAATACAGTCAATTCAACACATTTAAATATTTCTTGGAATTGGGAAGGTTTAGATCCTTGTGAAAATGTATTGGGAGCTAAGGTTTATTTTTTGTTTAATCATAAGTTTATTTTTAAATAATTTCAAGATTGTATGCAATGAAGAAGGAGCTACTAACAATTTGGATAATTTTGGAAATATTAAAGAAAAGAAAGGGGACAGGCAACAAAGGTTTTAGTTTATAGATTTTTAGTTAAATATTCCTCTATATTTTTAAAGTAAACTTCCAAACTTTTCAAATTCACTTCACCAACAAATATCTCAATCTGTGCCTTCAGAATATAATTTTTGGCTTTTTGGTGGATTATTACCTGAACGAAATTATTTTTGTAAAATAATTGCTTTTGATCAATATGGAAGAAATGGTCCAGAAAGAATTGAAAGTTTTGGAAGAGGGAGGACAGCAGAAAAAGCGCCTGATAAAGCTCCCGAAATTAGTTTTGTGCTGGTTAAAGAAGTTGAAGATTTGGTATAATTTTTATATTTTTTAAAGGTTTCTCGTTTTTTAAAGATTATTTTGCATAACTTTACGTTTCCTTTTTAATTTAAAAACTGGATTGAAGAAGAACTTATATTGATCATTTAAGATTAAAATTTTATCCCTTCATTTCCTTCCCAAATTTTTCTAAAAATATACTTTAAATAATAGTAAATTGTGCGCAATAACTTTTAAAAACGAGAAATCTTTTGCATCATAATTTTATTTTTATTTATTTTTCTTTTTTAAAAAGGATTCGGAGATTGATAAAGGTACATCATCAACAATAAATAAAGGAGGATATGCTTTATTACTTGATTGGAGACCTGTTCCTCTTACGTTAACAACAACAATAATAAACGAGTCTTATTCTGCAAAAGATGGTTCTTCTTTGACATCCAAGATTAGATCAGAGATCAGAAAAAGTGAAGAAAATAGTAGCAGGCAGAGAGGATACAAGGTTAGATTTTATGTTATTTGGGGTTGAGGGGTTAGTTGGGGTTTCCCGAACGGAGATTCGGTAGTATACTTTGGACTTTTTATTTTTAAAGGTTACCACTCTTCCCCCGTCGTTGAAGGACATATGTAAATAAGTAAAAGGGAAAGATTGTTATCTTTAAAAAATGTGTTCGGTTTCCGCTCTTTAATCTTTAAAGGTTTTGATAGATTAGAATGTCAAAAATAATAATTTAAATATTTTTTCTAGATTTTTGTTTACGTCACGGAAACTGCTGAACAACCTATTGAATTAACTCTTTCTGAAGCAGAACTGCACGAACCTCAAAGGCCTTCTGCTCGAATTGATGGTTTGAAGCCAATGTTTTATTATAGCATTCAAGTAATTTTGAAAAGGTTTTCTCTTTTAATTCTTTTTAATTTACAGATTGCAGCTTTCAATCCTGGCGGAATCGGACCTCTTAGCGAAAGAATTCCTGTTCGGGTTGGTCTACACAGGCAGCAACAATTAAACGATGAATGGAATGCTGGCAGTCGAAGCAAAAGATTAAATTTTAATATTTTATTCGTATTTTTCACCATTGTAATGTGTTATTCTATTGAGAGGATATTTTAATTTATTTTCGAACATATATTTGATATTATTTAAGTTTACACTTTGAAATACTTTGAGTTTACATTTTGAAGTCCCTCGCGAAATAGTGTGAGAACGTTTCCAGAGAAATAAAGTTTATGTTTTCAAATTTTCGCCTTTCAAGTTTTGGCGGGCATTATTTTTGGCTTTTTGTTTTAATATTGATTTTTTACTTTTTTCTATCTTTAACGTTCTCTCTATTAGAGATTGGCGCGTGACAGGTTGGCGCGTGACTTCTAGTTTCATTTAGTGACCTCTGTTGACCATTAATAGCAAAGGTGTTCTACAACGTGAAGCGTGGCTTTTTTTTTTTTGGGGATTAACCTTCTTAGAGGGGTGGGGTTAGTAATGACTTGCGGACAAGACTTGCTTTTTTCAATTTTTTTAAAAATTATACATTTTTTATTCAGTTCAACAGCATCAACAACAAAGCAACAGCAAAAGTCCCATATATGGGCAGCCAAAGTCCCATTCGCTTCGGCGATTCTGGGCAGCAAAAGTCCCATTCGCTTCGGCGATTCTGGGCAGCCAAAGTCCCATTCGCTTCGGCGATTCTGGGCAGCCAAAGTCCCATTCGCTTCGGCGATTCTGGGCAGCCAAAGTCCCATTCGCTTCGGCGATTCTGGGCAGCCAAAGTCCCATTCGCTTCGGCGATTCTGGGCAGCCAAAGTCCCATTCGCTTCGGCGATTCTGGGCAACGATTAAGTTCCAATGTTCTCGTCTACATGGTTTGCTTTTTTTATTTTATTAAATATCCGCAAGTTTTGTCCGCAAGGTTTCTCCCCTAAATAAGTTTATCCATTAAATGAATGTTAAAGCCAATCGAATGTTGGCCAAGTTCTTGTCAAACGAGAAGACGCACACAAATGTTCCATTGGTTAGATGCTTGATTTGCTTGTTTGAATGGTTGATCTTTTGATAGGTTGTTTTTATGTTTAAAAATTTTTCAATTACTTAATTTTCAGCTTTGAGAGAGTGTCCAGAAGCCTTAAAAATTTTTAAGAGGTTATTTTTAATTATTTACTATGGTTTCAAGGTTATGTTTTAGGCCGGTGAATTGTTGCGGAAAGACTCTTTTTGATGAGTATGCTTTAGGAGGACAAGAATCAGCAGAAAAATTGGCTGAAGAACTGCAATCTCGTTAGAATTCAGGAAGTTAGGTTTGGATTTTAATTGATTGGTTTGATAGATTTATAGGTTAGGGTTTTCCTTTGTGCTGTTCTAATATGTGTAGGGGTAATGTTGCCTAATTTTATCCCTATGGCGTATGACTCATCATTCTTATAAAAAGCTAAATTTAAGATTATTTTAACTTTTAACTAGTTTTTGCTTGGGCTGTTAACCCGTTTGGATCCTTTTATTAGTCCCAAGGTTGAACCAAAATCTTTTCTTTGAAAAATTTCCAATCATAGAATTTTACAAGCAACATAAATTCCGTGCATTTTTGTTTTTTAAAGATTTATTTTTTTCATTTTAAAGAACGTATAGACGAAGAAAAGGCAAGCACAATATCTGGTCATTGAGCAAAAAGAAACATTGGAATTACAAAAGAAGGAAGCGCTGGCACCAAATACCAAAATTGGATAAGGGAAAGAAAGCGAAAACATAGTTTTTTTTTTAATTTTTTTTGTTTAATTAGATACAGTCGAATCGCCAATTAAACTGTTGGAAAATCTTCGACAGTTTCTCAAAAATTAAATGAAATTTACGGATTGTCAAAATCCTAGTTTCGACTGTATTACATAATTATCTTGTTTTATATACTTTTTCTTGTTTTTTTATTTGTTTGAATAAATAAAAATGAATTTGTTGATGATGAATTATCATTTTTCATTATACCTTATCGAGGACTAAAATTCGAATCGGCCTTTCGAAGAAATGTAGCCGTTTTTACTTGAATTTTTCATTAAGTTCCGGCCTTTTTAATGTTATCAGACTCTTGTAGTCCTTTTTGTATTGAGAACTACTCTTACTACTTTTCAAGTAAGTTGGAATGTAGCAAGTAGAGATAGAAAATGTTTGAGTCAGTTGAGAAGTTGGGATGTTATGTTAAAAATAAATGACACTTTATCCCATGAGTTAGAGAAATAATTGAGTATCAGCGGTATAGGCCGGTTTAGTGCTGAATTTTGAGAGCGTGATAGCTACTGTATTGGAATAATTTATGTTTTAATTAATGGAAAATCAACAATATATAATCATTGAAAAGACTCTTTACATGATCCACAATTTATTTTAGACAATAAGTGAAAATTGTTTGCGAAAAACTTTATGTTCACTTAAGATACCCTCATTTTACTTTATCGTTCGACGAATTGAATATTTTTCGACTTTAATTTTTTAGATTATCTGATTAAATCAAACATGGCGAAAATACTACTCACATACACGTTTTGAATGTTGAAAAATTAATTCGAATTGATTGAAACCACAAAATTTATATCCAAAATATGGGGCAATTTATAGTTGATTGTGGCATTTACAGTAGTTATCGCGCTCTAGAATTTGGCACTCAACCGACCTACCGCTAAACAAAAGAACTACGATCTAAAAGACCGTTAGATTAAAAGATCGATGCCACCAAGAGTGGTTAAAAGACCGATACAACCAAAAGAGGTCAAAGGACCGACGCGCCCAAAAGTTGTTAAAAGACAACACACCCAAAACAATGGTTGAAAGACCGACTGTTAAAAGATCGGAATGTTAAAAGACCGAAACCAAAAGAGGTTAAAAGGCCGTTCGCTAAAAGATCGATTGGTTAAAAGAACGTTGCTAACTGCAATGCCTAGTGTTGGTTGTGTTTGTCAGAATGAAGATGGAAGAAAATAAAAATATTATTTTTCGTCTTGCAATTCTTATTTTGTATATAATGTCCTCGTTTTTTGTCTTCGTAAAATTATGTCTTACTTGATATTTTCATAGGTGATCTTTTGCGATGCTTTGATGATTCCAAAAGACCACTCGCCAGAAGGCCAACATTAAATACCTCAGGGCATGTTTTGAATTAGATGAAACGTCTTAGGGGCTACCTCCAATAGATCACCGATTGGAAGGACAACTTAAACGCCTCAGGGCATATTTTTAAAAACATTCAACAAACACCTTAAAATATAAACATCAACAAAATAAGTCTATTTATAAATTTAAAGACAATAGAAACAAAAACTAAACAAATACTTTAAAATTCTACGATTCACTGTTGTCCCTTTCCTTTTATTTTCATAATTCTCATTCAGTTTGTTTTGTTCCAATTGCAAAGTACGTTGATGCAAACGGAGTCGTGACAACAACGAAAGGAGAGCACCTTCTTCTTGCCTTAACATGTCCAATTTGTTTCGAAGAACAGCGGTAGGAGACGAATCTGTTTGGAAATTGAGATTAAAAAATTGCGGACAAATTTGCGGACAAAAAATTCTTTCGTTGAAATTTGGGCAAAAATCGATTCTTGGTTAGCATTACGCTATAAAGTCGAGTACAACATTGGGAGCGAAAAATGTGAACACGGCAGCAGGACCTGAGGGCAACCAAAAAATATTCTTATACAAAAACCGTTCAAAAACCCCATAGAAGCTTGATTATTCTAAAACCCAGGAAAAATCAAGTTTAAAAACAAACTAGTTGTATCAGCCACAGCAGGCCCTGCATCTCTAACTTCATCATGTTCATTATTCTCTTGTTGAGGTTCTCGTTTGACGGGCAAATTTGATTCCTCCATAAGCTCTCTCAAAGCTGAAAATTAAGTAAATAAAAAAATTTTAAACATAAAAGCAACCTATAAAAAGATCAACCATTCAAAACAAACAAATCATTGCATCCAACCAATGAAACATCTGCTGTACGTCTTCTCATTTGACAAGAACTTGGCCAACATATAATTGGCTTTAACATTGGGAACGGATAAACTTATTTAAGGGGGGAAACCTTGCGGACAAAACTTGCGAATTTAATAAAGTTAAAAAGCTAACCATGTAGACGAGACCATTGGAGTTTACTTGTTGCATTGTTTGGAGTGAAGATCGCCCAGCTATCTCCGAAGAGAAACTGGTGCTTTTTTGCCCGGCTATCTCCTAAGAGAAACTGGTGCTTTTTTGCCCGGCTATCTCCTAAGAGAAACTGGTGCTTTTTTGCCCGGCTATCTCCTAAGAGAAACTGGTGCTTTTTTGCCCGGCTATCTCCGAGGAGAAACTGGTGCTTTTTTGCCCGGCTATCTCCTAAGAGAAACTGGTGCTTTTTTGCCCGGCTATCTCCTAAGAGAAACTGGTGCTTTTTTTGCCCGGCTATCTCCTAAGAGAAACTGGTGCTTTTTTGCCCGGCTATCTCCTAAGAGAAACTGGTGCTTTTTTGCCCGGCTATCTCCGAGGAGAAACTGGTGCTTTTTTGCCCGGCTATCTCCTAAGAGAAACTGGTGCTTTTTTGCCCGGCTATCTCCTAAGAGAAACTGGTGCTTTTTTGCCCGGCTATCTCCTAAGAGAAACTGGTGCTTTTTTGCCCGGCTATCTCCTAAGAGAAACTGGTGCTTTTTTGCCCGGCTATCTCCGAGGAGAAACTGGTGCTTTTTTGCCCGGCTATCTCCGAGGAGAAACTGGTGCTTTTGTTGTTGCTGCTGTTGTTGTTGTTGCTGTTGTTGTTGCTGCTGCTGTTGTTGCTGTTGCTGTTGCTGCTGAAGTGAAGTACTGAAAAAAATTGGCTACATTTTCCAAAAATTGAAAAGCAAGTCTTGTCCGCAAGTCATTATAACCTCCCCCTCAAAAAGGTTAATCCCCAAAAAAAGGAAAAGCCACGCATTCTGTTGTAGAACATCTTTGCTAAAAATGGACAACAGAGGACACTAATTGAAACACAAGAGGTCGGCAAAATCGCACTTCCAGGATCCCGAGTCGGGATTTTTTCCTTAATAGATGCCGGGACGGGATCCGGAGGGATAAATCCCGAAGAAATCGCGGATCTCGAAAATCAAAAAAATTCGGGATCCTGTCACGCGCCAACCTCCAATAGAGAGAACGTTAAATATAGAAAAAAGTAAAAAATCAATATTAAAACAAAAAGCCAAAAATAATGGCCGCCAAAACTTGTAGGCGAAAATTTGAAAACATAAACTTTATTTCTCTAGAAACGTTCTCACACTATTTCGCGAGGGACTTCAAAATGTAAACTCAAAGTATTTCAAAGTGTAAACTAAAAAAATGTAAACAATTTTAAATTTCAAAATCTCTAACTAATCGACAGTTAAAAATGGTCAAATGAAAGAAACTCTTAATTTTGTAGTACGTTTTAAACAAATTTTTTGACCATTCACGTCGTTTCGGGTTTTATGCCATAAAAAAGGGGTAAAAATAATTATTTGAATTTCTACAAGTCGAAGTTTCGATCTTCTTCTTGTGTCAATTTTGAAAGATATGAATGTCGAAAATAATAGATGAAAAAAATTTTTTTTAATCCGTCAAAACAGAAAATCCCCCCACAATTTGTTTTTGCCGTAAAAATAAAAACACAACACTTCTTTGTTCACATCGAATAAAAAGATAATAGTAATAACCACAAAATTCGGCGTCAGTTTGGTGTTGACTTGGTTTTGTTCTGTGCTTAATTTAAAAATATTTATGTTGTAAAAATAAACAATGAAAAATGATAAATTATCCCCTATCTACATACTCTCCTTTATTTTTATTTCCTTTCTTCTTGTTTTTAAATCTATGCGCAAATCAACGACATATGCAAGGATAGCATTGTAAACCCCATTTTACAAAAATATTAAAAAATATTATAAATCAAAATCATCCAAAAACCTTTCTTCCTTTTTGAATCAAAACTAGGGCAAAAATTGATGGATTGTCATAACAATATTTTTGCCCCTCTGGCTGAAAAAATAGACCCAAAAAAGAAAAATAGATCAAAAGTTTGTAACAGCACAATATGCCGATTCAGCGGCCCCTTTTCCTCCCTCTCCCTTCTCCCGGTAATAATAAAAATAATAAAGCGCGCTGACCAACTAAAACAGAAGAGTAGGAAATAAAAAAAAGAATTTGAGCTGAAAAATGGCAGTAACAGCTGCTCAGACAACAACAACTAAAAGGTGTGTAATGCGCAAAAGGAAGGCCACCATTGTAATATATCACACACAAAAGATGAAAGACAGACATGTGCTGTGTGTAAGGCTGTCTATCACCATATTTTTACCCGACCTCGACAGGTGACCAACCATTTTTGGGGAGTGTAATATACTTGCTACTATTTTTAATCATTTCGCACTATATCGGCATTTGGAGGAAAAAAAGGAAGAAAAAAAGTGGGCGGGAAGTGGCTGATTTTCTTGTCGAGGCCGGCAATGGCGCGATGACCTCCTCCTCTCATAACACACACACACAATAGTTACCCGCCTATATTTTTCGGGTTAACAAGAGGCACATTTAAGCAGCCCGTTAGTTGATACAGATCATCATTCAGTAAGCTCTCCTCTCAACAGCAAATAATAAGAAAAATAATAATATTTGCTCCAACTGGAGAAGGAAAAAAATTATAATTTGCCTTTTTTTACTCTCGATATTTTTTCTAGTTTTATCTTAAACTTTTTTAAGTATTTATTTGTACAGATTATTTACCTATTTCCCCCAAAAGGGCCAAAAATAATAAACCAAAAAATAGTCAAAAAATATAAATATTTGACCAAAACATTATGAGACCTGTTAACCTCCCTAAATTTCCCTCTAAAATTAACAATCTAAAAATAATTTTTTAATCCACCTTTTACCTAATTCAAAATCCTAATCCCTCCCAAAATACAGCGGTCCCTTCCCTCACAACTTATTTTCCAAACATTTAAAGAGATATGCGAAATTTTAGAAAAATCCAGTTTTTCCAAGTCTCCAGAAAAGTATAAAGTAATAAATAACTGATCCTAATCTCGCCAATCATGCTACGCGCAGTTTACTTCTATAAAAGAATATTTTATTTTCAAGCATTATTTTGGGAAATTTCTTCACTCATCCAAAAATTTGAAAGAAAAAAAGGAGGGGCGGATCCCAACTTATTCATACTTAATAAATCCTTTCGCGTTTAATCTCAACTATATATTTACGCGATATTAATAATTAAAATTAAATGCTTCCAATTTTTAGAGCATCAATTTTCAACTCTATTAAAATGCGAGCTTTCTTAATTTCCATTATTTCTCTTACTTTGATCATCTCCTTTGTGATTGCCAATACTGCTGACAAGACACAGGCATCGGTAAAAGATTTTTTTAAAAATTCAAAAAAATATTTCAACAATAACAGGACTCAGCAACAGGCAATATTGAGCATGGCAACAAAAAGGAAGAAACTGCTGCAGAGAAACGCGCAACTATTGGTGAAGAAAAGAAAATTGCCGCAGATGAAGCTTCCCTTCCTGCAGCTGGAATTTCAAAAGAAAATACTGGAAAATTAGAAAATAAGCGTGAAGAAAGCAAAATTGAAGGACAACAACATCAAGCAAATGCTGAAGAAACTAATGAAAAGAAGACTGAGAAGAGAGATGAGCAACGTGCAAAAAATGCTGAAGAGAAACAAGAAGGTATTGAACGTCGATCTGATGAACGCCGTTCTGAAACTAAAAGAGGAGATGCTGAATTAGAAAAGGGCCAAAACAAAGAAAACATTGAAACAAGCAAAACTGAGAAGCACGAAAGCAAAAAGCGTGATACTGAAGTTCAAAAGAATGAAGGAAAGGCTGAGGGAAAGCGTGAAGAAACAAACATTCATGGAGCAGCAACAAACACTGAAGAGAAGAAAACTGTTGCAACAGAAGAAAAACAACACAACAAAAGAGAAGAAATTGCTGGAGCTGAAATTAGCAAAGATGAAGCAGCAGCAAAAACTGGATTGGCACCAGCTACCAACAACAACAATGAAAAGCGTGAAGAGAAGCGTGAGGAAACTGGAAAGGCAACAGAACAGAGAAAAACTGCTGAAGAAGGAAAGGAAAAGAGAGATGAAATAACTGGAAATAATGAAGAGAAGAAGATTACCGGACATGAAGAAATCACCAAAAAGACTGAGAAGCGTGATGAGGCTGCTGCTGCAGGAACAACTGAAGAAAGGAAGAATGTTGGAACTGAAGAAAAACGTGAAGATAAACGTGATGAAGCTGTTGCACCAGAAGAGAAGAAGGAAGAAATTGAAAAGGAAAAGAATGTTGAAACTCCACGCAAACAACAGAAACGATGGGCTATCCGTGCAGTTCGAGCTTTGTTCTAAAAAGGGAAGAGGAAGACGAGAAAGTGTTTTTGAGGATGGGTGAAGAATTTAAAAAATAAGACAGAAATGAGGGGAAAATTTAAAAAAAGGCAATTAATTTTTAAAAAATTTAAGAAAAAGAGATGAATTCAAAAAATGTTCACAACAAAAAATTAATTAATTGCCCCAATTCTTTTTATTATTATTAATTTAATAATTATTTGAGGCATTTTTACCTAATGGTTTTTTCTTAAAAAATACCCTTTTCTCCAATAATTGTGTGTAATTTGCGCAATATATTATTTTTCTTATTATTATTAAAACTCATTAAAATTTGTTAACAAAAATAAAATTCAAGCTTTTTAAATGTGTGCCTCTTGTTTTTTTGGAAAGATATCAAAAAAAAATTTAGGTCATAGGGGTAACTCTTACTTAAAAAATCCAAAAAAAAATTCAAAAAAATTTTAAAAGAAATACCTCTCTCCTTCCATTTTCTAAACATTTACACTTCCAAGTAAATACATTCCATAAATTCGTCGATGTTGTTCACTTTGAAAATTTGGTTTGAATCGTATTTTGACAATTTCATCAAATCCTTCTTCTAATTTTGGTTCCTTTAATTTTTAAAAATTTAAAAAATTCTACTGAAAAATTTAAAGAAAACCTTATAACCAGCAAAAAAAGTTTTTATAACGACTTCACTAATATTTTTATGTGCTTCATCTCCACCATCTTCTATAATTTTTCGATATTCATTATTGTGAAGTGAATGTGCCAATGAACAATCAAAAATAAAACAGCGGCAAGGAATGTTTAAGGATTTGGCCAAATCGCAATATTTCTTTCTTTAAAAATAAATTTTAAAAAAAATTTTAAAAATTTGGCAATTTTTGGATAACCCGCGCTCCCTTCCTAATTTAAATCTCATGTCAGTTATTCTTCTTCCTGCCTATCATTTATTACCTCAAGCAATATAAGCGCGCCGACCTGATTCACGATTCCCGAAAATCGCGAATTTCAGACAATTTTTGCTCGTGAATTAACAATTCACGAAAATCGGGAATTTGGTTTTCTGTCGGCGTGATCCCTGGTAAGTACATTCGTAAAAAAATAAATGTTATTTGCTAGCACAAATATGACCAATAAATGAAGGAATAATTGAAACATAAAGTGAGGGCGAGGCTTAAACAAAAAGTACCAAAATAAAATTTTAAAAAAATTAAGAAAAAAAACCTAATATCTAATCCTCTATTTGTATTATCAACAATTACACTTGATCCATTTTCCAAAACTTTTTTACATTTATCAAAACAATTTTGCCAAGTTTTTAATTCATCTTGATTTATTATAACATAATTGTCTTTATATTTTTGTGAAAATGTGCTTTTCCCACAAGCTGGAGGGCCAACAAGTAAAATTAATTCTTGTGAAGAATTTGGTATTTTGACATTTTCTAATAAAAAATTCTTTTGAAAAAAATTATTTGAAAAAACCTGGCTCAAATTCGTTAAAATTTAAAGAATTTTCAATCAATTGTAAAGAATTAAATTTTGGTAATAAAAAATCTTCTTCAATTTGTGAATTGCTAGGAAAGAAAAATTGTTCTGGAGTATAAAATTTAAGTCCCAAATTCATTGCAAAAAGACGGTCAACACAAGAATGATCTGATTTTGGGCGATTCTGAAAAAAAATAAAAATTATAAATTGAATAAATAGAAATATAATTACGTTGTTCTTTGTTCTTCCAGCAGCCTAAAAATTAAAATAAAATTTGAGAAAATATTAAAGTTAAAAAAAAAGAAATTTTGTGTGTGATGTGAGTATAAAGAATAAAATGAAAAGGATCAGAATACTCGAACCTCCCACCTAAAAGTACAAAATCGAGAGCAAACCCATTGAACCACATAAAAACAAACGAATAACTTAGAATTAGTATTCATAATCTAAAGAATAAACTAAAATCAAGATTAAACTTGAGCTATACTAAAATCTTAAGCTTAAACTAGAAAAAGCTAGTTCTTAAGTTTGCCACCACACAACCTTTCCTCTTAAAAATCTAAAAAAAAAAATAACCAACATCTCCAACATAAAATGATTCACTTTTTTCTATTCCAATAGATCCATTTTCACTTTCCACAAGTTTATCCCACATTCCTTAAAAATAAGAAAAATATAAAAATTAATTCAAACCAAAAAAACCTGTATACGGTTTTCGAAAATTTGGAGTCCCAATTGATACGAAAACCTAAAATTGAAATTTAAAATAGAACTTTAAATAAAAATTAACTTGAATAGGTACACCAATAGCTGTACAAATATTTTGAATTTTAATTTTGAATCCAGCAGCGTCAACATGTTTTTTCTTAAATAAAAATTTTGTTTAAAAAATCTAAATTTGATTCTAAAGAACAAGTAACTTGTAGAAACCAACGAGGGAATATATTCTAATAACATACTGGAAAATATACAAAAAAAAATTCTAAAATTTTACTTAAACCAGGGAAACGTTTTGGCCCGCATACTAGGACAATTCAAGCATGACAAAAAAGAAAGATTGGTCTAGTTGTAAGTAACAACAACATTAATGGGGATCCTACCACACAATTAAAACAATTCGTTCCCTTAAGCAATCGACCAAACACACAACCGTTAGGCAAAAAATATTTTTAATAAAACAACCCAACCCCTAACAATAACCCATGAAGCATAACAACCATAACCCTTAATCATGACAACCTAACCCCTGAATATTAGAAAATCACAAGCCTGGATTCCCATTTGATTTGTAAATATACACAATTTAAACCCCTCTTCATGACATCTCCTCAATTTTCCAATAGTACCTCTTGACCAAAATTGCCAGTCATCATTATTTAGAGGGAAAACACGTCCAGATTTTGTTTTAATTAAAGTGCCATCTTAAAATTTAAATACAATTTTTATTCAAATTTTTAAAAATATACCCATATCAAAACCAGCAATTTTTGATCGGTGCAAAATTCCTTGAGGTGTGTAAATCATTAATTGATCAGTCAAAACGCGCCATGTTCCATGAATTTTTTGAGCAGAAGCGTTGAGAAATATTGGCGCTACAAGATATAAACAAAATAAACCCAAAATTAAAAAAATCAAACCAATTTTTGCTGAAGGTTGTGATGAGGATTCTTCTTCTGTTTTTTGTAGTTCTGTATCGTCGTTGATTTTTCTCTTTGACATTAAAGTAAATTTGAGATTAGAAGTCCTATCTAATAAGGAAAAATAAAGAAAAGTTAAACAACAAAGTATACAAATCGTCCAAACAATTTTTAAAAATTTTAATTAAAACGCGTAGAAAATACTCAAAATTTTTATTCATTATAAAAATTTAAAGAAAACGCAAAATTTCTTATTCAAAAAAATTTTTTTTCAAGAATACTGATAAAACATAGTTCCATCATTCATTTGATTACAACTTATTTTAAAAGCTCCAAGTTTTATATTTTCATTAGACTTTATTTTTCTTCCATTAAGTTGAGGGGGAAGACAGGCAACCAGTTTGGGAATAGCATCGGGCGAAGAACAAAGAAAAACAAAATTTTGGTGATCCAACTGTGTGTCTAAAAAATCTTTTTATAAAAATTTATAGAACTTTAAAGAAACCAATTTTCTTGTCAAAACACCAATTTTTCATCTCATTATTAGAATTTGAAATATTTGTACTGCTTGAACCTGTTGAACTGCTTGAACTTGTTGTTGAATTTCTGCTTTGAGCAACATGCCATTCTCGTCTAACAATTCCATTTGGATCATTAGGATCAGCTCGTTTACAAGAAAGAATCATTCCAGGAGATTCCTCAACTTCAGAACCAACAGCTATACGAGATTGACGATCCTCACGTAAACAAGCAACAACTTGAGCAACCATTATAGGAACAGGATTTGAAGGTATTTGATGACAAAGAAAAACAAAATAGTCTCCTACAATCTGAGAAGGGAAAAATATTTTTAAAAAAATCTCAAAAATAATACCCATTCTTCTCCATCCTTTCTTGTTTTCCCTTCATTATCCAAGCAAGTTTTTACAACATTAGCAGGTTGTGGATTAACAACAATCCTCCATTCTCTTCTAACCATAATTGCAGGATCATTTGGATCAACCTTACGACAAACTAAAAATTTTCCTGGGGATTCTTCAACTTCTGAACCAACTGGAATTCGAGTTATTTTATCATCACGAAGACAAGCAATAACTTCTACTTGCATAGTAGGCAACGAATTTGAATTTAAAACTTGATGACAGGTAAATATAAAATAGTCTGACACAATCTAAAATTTTTTTCGAAAAAAATTATAAAAATTAAAACAAAAACAAACCCATTCCTCTCCATTTTGTCTTCTTTTGCCTTCACTATCCAAACAAGTTTTGTCCGTTTCAACAGGTTTTTTCGCTTCCCCAATTCTCCACTCTCTCCAAACAATTCCGGTAGGGTCAGAATCAGCTCTTCTACAAACCAAAAATCTTCCAGGAGTTTCTTCAACTTCAGAACCAACAGGAATTCGAGTTTTTAAATCTTCTCGAAGACAAGCAATTATTTCAACTTGCATTATTAACCAAGAGCTTTGATTTGATAAAACTTGGTGGCAAAGCATAACGAAATAGGTGCCAACAATCTATAAAGATAAACGTCTGTCAAAAATTTTAACTTTAAAAAAATACCCATTCTTCACCATTTTGTCTTCGTTTTCCTTCATTATCAAAACACGTATTTGCTTCTTCAAGTGCTTTAGGTAAAGGCACATACCTCCATTCTCTATGCACAATTCCCGTCAAATCATTTGGATTATCTCTTCTACAAACTAAAAACTTTCCAGGATATTCTTCAACCTGAGAACCAATTGGAATTCGAGTCTTTTTATCTTCTCTAAGGCAAGCAACAACTTCAATTCGCATTATTGGCCAACTGGATTCATTTGATATTTTGTGACAAAGCATAACAAAGTAATCGCTGGCAATCTAAAAATGAAAATAAAATGAATATTCATAGCTGGGTGAAATGTTGGGCACTGAAAGAAGAATGACAAACTCGTCGATAACTCCGAATAAATACGTAAAACTTATCAGTCGTCCTATAGTAAGAATTAAAAAATTAAGTAAAGCATAAGACAATCCTCAAATAGATATGGAAGACCCACCAGCCTTACATGAAAAACGACAAACCCCCGAAGACTCCTTGAACAAATACGAAAGACAGTTAGGTTTCCTAAAACGACAGACTCCCTGAGACCCACCAAAAAACACGAAGACACAACCAAACCATTTTATTAAAATAATTAAAATAAACAAACCCATTCTTCTCCATTATTTCGTTTAATCCCTGATGTATCAGTGCAAGTATTAAAGGAAGATAAATGGTCACCACTTTTGCGTTGCTGATTTGGCGTCTCTTTTTTAAGGAATTCGGCATTGTTGCTTCCATGATTCTTAAAAATTGCAGCAAAACAAATATTAAAAAATAATAAAATAAAAAGTATAATTTGTAATAAAAACATTTTTTATTGGAAAAAACAACCAAAATAATTATTTTTATCTCAAAAAGTTGTTAAAGGGAAGCAAAATAAATAATATAAGTTAATGAACAATTTTCTAGTATCCACCCATAGTTTTTCCCTATTTATTCAGTTTTTTCTTAATTTTTTTATCCATTTTTTTAATTCCAAAAAAAGTTTCTTTTATTTATCAAGGTCAAATCGGTTATTTTTATTTTGATAATTTTGCAAAAAAAGCAAAAATATATAGACAGAAATAAGACAAGGACATTACTTAATTTATGATATTGCCGGTTAGAGCCAGGAACGAATATTAGAAAAATGTTCTCAAATTTAAAAATGCAAAAATTTAAAGAGAAAAATTCCAAAATTTACAGAAAAAATAAGATTAACCAAAAATTAAAAAACTTTAAAACAATACTAATTAGTTTGACTCACTCATTTGGCTTTTTTCCAAAAAATGTACGTAGCGATTGCATTCCTGTAGTGGCTACTTGAGCAAATTTTGAAGGACGCTGAAGAATAAAAATTTAAGAAATGCTCCTATTTTCATCAATAAATTAACCTTTTTTGTAGGAACAATTTTCTTTGGTTGTTGAAAAGCTCTTTTTCGAGTTGAAGTATCAATTGAAGAATATTCCCTAATTTCATCTTCCTTGTTAAGTAAAAGGTGAGAACGAAGCAATTTATCAGTTGATGGAGTTAAATAATCTGACAGAATACCCATTGAATAATGATCAAGAAAAACATCTGCTTGAATAAATTATTAAAATTAAATTTAAAAAATTCAAAAATAAAAGAAATTGACCCTAAGGGTGACTAATATAAGTAAAAAAGTGATAAAGAACTGGCAAGGAATCGAACCCAGCACCGAGATCGCAAAACCCAACAACTAACCACTAAACCACAAATGCCTCTTAACGACGCTACTCTATTAGCTATTAAATAAAACCTAATAAGCAAAAATTTCTCACCTCCACGTCCTTCAATTGACACAGCATTCTTCCTTACAGCTTCTTTCAAAGAAGCAAATTTAATTTTTAACCAGCTAACGAGTTGATCTTCATTTAGACGAAATTTTTTGGCTCCCTTGCTTTCTAGAAAATTTATTTGAATAAAAATTTATAAAAAGTAAACCTTCACATTCAGTAACCAAAGGCAAAGTTCTCAACAACTTTTCACTATTTGACAATAATTTAAGCGGAGATTCATCAAAAAGTTGATCAAGTGAAAGAAACGTTTCCTTTGACTCTTCCAAAAGTGGAAGAATCAGAAAAAGAGGATGGACAGGGAGAAACTAGAAAAAGATTAAAAAGTAAAAAGACTAAGTAAAAAATACCAAAAGTATCGCTCCCGGGTCAGAAACAACCGAGTCACCAACAAAAATCGACCGCTTTTGTCCTTGTTCAATTTTCATTAATTCAAATGGATTTCCTTCTTTATCAATCTATAAATATTTGATTTAAGCAAAATTAAAAAGAAAAAATCAAACCATAAAAAGAACAGGCCTTCCAAATTTTGGGTGTGGTAATCGATGAATTTCTCCTGTATTTGAGCCACTTTTCATAATAAAAATCTTTCGATGATAGCTGAGATCTGAGACTGGCAAAGTAAAAGAATTTTCATCCTTGTCATCCATAAAATCATCGTCTTCATTGGTTCCAACTGAGGCTTTTGAACATACTGAGACTACATCGGAATCATCTTGTTTTGTTGCCTTGTTAGTTCTGGATTTGCTGTTAGTTGAAGCTCTGGATGAAGATCGAGCTGGCATTAATTTAAAAGAATTAGTAAATCCTTAAAATAGAAAATTTTTTTAATAAAAAAGAAGTTATGTTAGGACAAATTGGTACCAAGAGTAAAATAAATGAAAAGGTAATAGACAAAATGGTACTATGAGAAAATTGGACAAAATGGTACGCGAAAAATGGTATACGTGTACCATTTTGACTTTTACCATTTTGAGAAGTGTCAAAAAGAAAAGGAAGCAAAAAGAAAGGGAGAGGCGAAATAGTGCGTGAACAGTGAAACATACAAAGAATTTTCCCGCTCAATTTAAATAAGTACAAAAGAGCCTCGTCACTTGAGTCTACAAAGTTTAAGGAAAGCAGTCAACAGGCTAGGGTACAATTGAAATTATTGAAAAAAATAGTCGAAATTTCAACGACTTTGAAAAAAATATTAAAAAAATTCTTTAAAAAATTTATTAAGCACTATTTAGAAAGAAAAATAATTATTTATAAGTAGGAGTGGATTTAGGAATTTTGTAAGATATAATGGATAAATGCAAAAATAAAAAAATGGGGGCTTGAAAGCCAGATCAATATAAAAATGATTTTTGAGGGGAAAAAGAAGAGCATTTTTATTCCCCCACTCCTTTCATTGTTTCACTTCCTTTGCTTGTTCTGCTGGATGATCTTCTGATTGTAATGCATGTCCAGCATTTTCTAAGCCTTTTCCTTCAAATTATTTTTATTAAAACTTTGTTAAAAATTTTCATCCTTTACCAACAACATTCCCCGTTTCTTTTGCTGCTTCAGAAATATCTTCACTTACAACTTCAGCTGTTCCCTTCACTTTTTGACCTGCGGCATTTGCTAGATTAACAGTAGCATCTTTAACGTTTGTTGCTGCGGTTGCTGTTAAAATTTTTGAAAAAATAATTTTTAATAAATTTGCGGACATATTTTTGCGGATTTTTCCCAATTTTCCCTATTTTTACTCAAGGTTAGCCCTTAAGCACCCAATTACTCAATAGAGATTATTTTAGAGTTAAAACAAGCATCACAGTCTCATATCAGTGAAAAAGTCCGTAAAAAAGTTCGGTAAGACACCCTCCCCTTCCCCAACTTTTTACAAGTCCCCACAAATTCCTTCTTATTTATGCTAATACAATTACTAGCAAACCTAATTATCTTTCACCCATTTATTCTTTAAAAAATTATATACCCACCAACAGTTTCCCCAGCTACTTTCCCAGCATTTACAGCTGTTTCACCGACCACCTTTGCACCAGCCACGACTTTGTCTTTAGCACCAACAGCTGCATTAGCTAAAAAATTATAAAAAATTTTATAAATTTCAAAAAACTAACCAACAGCTTGTCCAGCATTTGAAGCAGCACCAGCAATCGAATCGCGAACAGCGGCAGCTTTTTCAGCTAAATTCATTTTTATTTTTTTCTAAAAAATTTTTTTGGCTTGTTATTTATCTTCAATTGAATGAACAGCAGTTAGAAAAATTGACTAAAAAAATTTTTTTAAGTGAAAGGGAAGAATGATAAAGAGACGAAAAGGGGGAAGGAAGGTTTTTTGGCTAGAAGAAAAAATAAAAATAAGGCCAACAGCAGTTGGAATGAAAAAAAACCGTAAGTAAAACCTCCCCCTCCCCCCCTTCCCTTCTTCATTCCCTTTTTTCTTATGCGCCATTTTCTTGTTCCTCCTTTTTTCATTTAATTTATTCCCCCTTACAAAGGCATAAATAACACCCCAAATGTAAGGGTTAATGAAGGGAAGGGATCGCGGAAAAAAATTTTTTGAAATTTTTCTGAATTTTTTTTTAAATTTTTTAAATAATTATTGCCTTAAAATGCCTAAAATTTAAAATCTTCCCTAAAAATTTTGTCAAAAAAATTTTTTCTTTCGAAAATGACTGAAAATGACAACTTATAATTACAGCAAATAACAAGCCTTTTTTATGTTAAAAAAGAAAGAAAAAAATTGTCGAGACCTAAACTATTTTACTTTTAAAAAATATTTTTTTTCTAGTTTTTTTCCCATATTTTCTATTATTCCTACTATTCCCCTCTTAAAACTAACTGAATGAATCTCCTGCTTCTTTTGCCCTGTGTTTGGCGCTTTCTCTCACGTCTGCTGCTTTCTGGCCTGAAAATGACGGCAAAATTGAGAGAGGTTGAAAGGAAGAACAGAGTAATTTGGAAATCGATTTTGCGGTTTTAAGCAAAAAAAGCCACTGGGACTGGGCAAAGAAGGGGCTTTTTTGAATGAGGGGGAGAATGTGCGCCATAAAATTCAGCGCTAAATTTTGAGTTTAAAATTTTGAGTGGCGCACAAAAAGGGGAGGAATGGAGAATTGTGATGAGTAAAAAATGAGGGAAATTGAGAGGAGGGAATAGGGCAAGTGGAAAGAAGGAGGAAGAAATTTGGGAACAAATGACAAATGGATGGATGTCATTTTATAAAGGAATATTTGTTTATAAGTAAGGGGAGATATGTGTAAAAATTATTTTTCACTCAGAATTGAGTTCTGTGGTAAAGGGAAAGGAAGAATTTGGATGACCAAAAATCTTCGTTTGGGTTGTGGTGACATATCTACGGACAGGCCATGGCAAAACTCACCAACGGATTTGAGTTTCGGTACCACTCGATAGTGTAGAAAATTAGCTAGAAAATAAAATATGAAGAAAATTTTGAGAAAATGAAGGGCTTAAACCGAAAAAGATTTTTCTAAAGTTTTTGGCTTTTCTGAGATTTACGCTATCGACTGGTACTTATTTTAGAAACACCTTACTTAAAATCCCCAAAATTAAATTTTTAATTCACAAACCAAATTTTTCTGCTGCTCCAATCGCCGTGTCTCTCGCCCCATCTGCAATGTTCTCAATTCCTTTGCCTAAAAAATTAAAGAGAATAAAAAGGAAATTTTTTTCCAAAAATAAACCGAGATTTTCCAATCCGTTTTTTGCCTTTTCCGAGCCAGATTTAATTAATTGATCCTCTTTAGTAGTGGGAGCTGTGTGGACTGTTGAAATTATTAAAATAAATGGAATTATGAAGGCGGCAGAAGGCACATTGGCAAAGTCTTTGAACATTTTTTGTTGGGCTGCGACAATTGGAAGAATTAAAAGAGCAGCCGAAATTTGAAGAGTTTAATGAAGAAATGATTGGGAGAAAAAATTATTTTGATGAAGAAAAGTGTATCTAGAAGAAGAATATTTGTTAAAATAAATTTTAGAATAAAAATTTTAAGTAAAAATAAAAGTTAGAGCCGTTGGGATTCGAGTCCCCTACCTCTTACCCCTAAATCAGGAACACTACCAACTACACCACCAACACATATAACTTAATTTTAATTTATTTACATACATATTTATCAAAATAATTATTCTTATTCACAAGGAAACCAAAAACAGTTTCTGCTGGTCTTTAACCATTTTGAGAAAGAAAATTTTAATCTTCTTACTTATATATAAACATTTTTGTAAAATCAAGTTTTTTGATAATTGCTAATTTATTTAGGGAACTCCTTAAAAAGGAAAAAAATAAAAAAGATAAGAAAAAAGTTTACGGAATTAAACGACTCACAAAAAATGATTGTTTTTAGTAGAAAATTGCTATAATCAAAAATTTAATGGAACAATAAAAAAGGAAAAATCTGTCAACTAGAAGAAAATTACCTTTATTTTCAAATAGAAATAACTAAAAAATGGGGGCTAATTTACTACAAAAATAAAAAAAAAATTTCCCAAAAACGTCGAAAATGTTACTTAAATTGGAAAAATAAAAATTTAATTAGAAAATTGCCTAAAATTTTTTGACAAGGTTAAAGAACAAATAGAACATTTTCCTAATAAAATTTGGACCAAAAAAATTTTTTCCCCCTAATAAAATTCGAAAACAAAATTTTTAAGGTGACAATTTAAGCGTTTCAAACCTGTGATGATTATTCCTTCTCTTCTCCCTTTTTGATTTCATTATCAAGTCAGGTGAACGTCACAAGAAAAAGCTTTCTTCATTCAACGTCTTTTTAATCGTCTTTAATCGTCACATATCGAACAACAAAGAAAATGAAGCCTAAAGACCAACAAAAATTTTTTTAAATAAATTGGGATCAATTGTCATCTTTTTTTAAAATTTGCTAAAAATTTCAACAAAAAAATTAAAGTAGTTTAAACTTTTCAATATTTATTTAAAATTAAAAAATATATAATTTATTCTTTATGCATTTTCGAAAAATTACAGTTAAAAAAATTTTTTTTCCTTCATGAAAAATATTTGAAAAAATAGAGAAAATAGGTAGGTAGACAAAAATAGTGAGCGAAAAGAAGAGGAAATACAAGAATTTTGAAAAAATCAGAATTTATTGAAAATCAGAAAAAATCAGAAATATTTTTTTAGAAATTCTGGAATTTTTAAAATATTGATTTTCAAATTATTTTGAAAATATGAATAGAAAAATAAGAAAAAAATTTCTAGAGAGGCTTTTAAATTAAAAATTAAAATAATACATAAATATCAATATTTAAAAAATATATGAAATAGATAAAAGATAGTTAGAAGAAAATAATTTACAAGATTTTTGTTTCAAAAGGGAATGGTAGAAAAACTTTAAAAAATTTTCAAATAATTAAAAAAAACCTCTTAGAAATTAAAATTTCCAAAAACTTTTTTTAAGCAGTCACAACAGTAACTACTTCAAATTCTTGTCCAGGAATCTCTTCAGATGCATAAAATATTGCATGTGCAAGCATTAAAAATAATCCAGTTCCAATTACCCAATACATTACAGAGCCAGCATTTGCAAGGTAAAAGAGTGGAATACAAACCATCAAAGCAAAGGTGTACAAAAGGCTTGGTGGGACCTGCTCGGAAAGGGGGAAAATTAAAAAAAAAATAAGAAAAAATTTGGGAATTTGGATCAAATGTCATCCCTTACAAAAATTCCTTTAAAAAATAAAAAACCTCGGAATGAGTGGAAGTGGAAAAATTAAAAAATCTTAGGGTTGGGATGAAATGTCATCTCATTAAAAAATTAATTAAAAAAAAACCATAAAACCTGCCTGGGGAGAAAAAATTTGTAATTAAAAATTTTTGAGGGGTTGGGATAAAATGTCATCTAATTTCTAGAAAATGATCTTTAAAAAACCTCATAACTTCCAAAAAATATTGGTCCTTTCTGTGTTCGTTGATAAATTGTGTAGCAAAGCCCAGCCAATGCCACTAATGTCAAAAGCATTAATAAAGATGTCAAAATACAATAAATTAGTAGAGCAACAAACAAGCACAAATAATTGCTTAGAAAATGTTCCAAATTATGCTTAACTCTCGGACCGATGGAGACGAGTCCTGGTGGGAATCCGAATTTGGAAGGACGGAAGAAATCGCTCCAAGGCTGCAGACGCGCTCGAAGTTCCCCAAGAAGGCGTAATGCTGAAGCTGAACACGTTGGTGGTTGTTGCTGTTGATCCTAAAAGAAAAATAATAATTAAATTGGAAGGGATTGGGTCAGGAGGGGAAAGGAAAGGTTGCTTCCCGCTCCTAAAATTCTTCGTCAAGCTTCTACAAGTTAGGGAGATGTATTCCCTACCTCTACAATTTTTAAAGCCTCTACAAGTTACCTTTAAACAAAAAACTAAAAAAAATTTGAAGAAAATCGAGACCCCACCACTAAAATTCCCCGTAAACCCCTTGACCATTAAATAAAAAATAAAAAAAAACTACACCACTTACTCCTTGCTGCTGTCCTCCTGCGCCTCCAAAAAATGAAGCAAAACCTCCAGGAGCTGGAGATGTACTCGAAGAGAACCACGAAGATTGTTTCTGTGTATATTGTGGAGGTGGATCCATTGGGGCTGTGTTTGTAGAAGCTGTTGAAGTTTTTGTTAAATTTTGTTGTTCAAGTTTATGTCGCTCAGTTTGTGGACTTGAATTGTTTGAAGAACTTGAACTTTTCTCTTCTTCTTCTTTAGTTATTTCCTCTTTACCAGTTGTTGGTTGCTCAGTTTGCCTTTTGGCTACTTGCTGTTGTTGTTGATGCTTAATTTTGTTGGATTTTTCGACAAAACTTGGGGACTCTGGAAAAATAAAAAAAATGATTTTAATAGAAGGGGAACTGATGCGTAGATATAAATTAGATAGGAGATCGCGCGATGACTTTTAGATAAGGAATGGGTCCAGAGCCGGGTCTGGTCTCTTTCCAGCTGTTTATAGGTTTGGCTTTTCCAGCTGTGGGTCCAACAAGAACCAGACTGGTAATAGGAACAGACCCGAGTTCCGCAGCCCAGAAAAATTTGTTTCCGAAAATTTAGACCCCAAACCTAAAATGAAAATCACAAAAAATATAAAAAAATTATGTAAATACTCAAATATAACAATTTTAGTAAAAAAATCCAAAATTTTGTGATGAAAGAAAAATGAATATATCTTTAATAAGTCACACAATCAATGTTGACGAATAGAGGAGGAAGGCGCAGAGTATTTATGTGTGTTGATGAATGTAACGAAGCAAACGTTCATTCAAAAAAATATCCTTTTTTCTCTCTTTCCCTTTTCTCTTTTTTTTACTACACCAATTTCCCGATATTACCAATTTTCCCGAAAATGCTAGTATTTTTATAAACAAAACACGTGTCAACAACCAGAAAATAATAGCTTAAAAAAACTTGATTTCATATCATTTTTATGTATCAAAAATCTGTTGGATTCAACAATTTTAGCTTTAAAAAATTCCGTATTTTCTGAAAGACTCTAATAGACGCCTTTATTTTTTGGCTGCTGGCATTTGAAATGTTGGTCTTTTGGGATGTTTAAAAATTAAAATTTTCGGGTTGGCTCTTGGGAATAGAGACCGAACCGGCACGAGAACTTGGTCAAAAATCCTCCCAGTCCGATCTCTCTTGGGAGTCGAATTTTTCTTAAAAAATCATTACCAATCACAACAACATCAGAAAATTCATCGCTGTCATCCGAATCATTTTGCTGCATCTCTGACTTTTCCTCAATCTTTTTTTCTTCCTTAATTTCAGTCGACGTTGTCTTCTCTGCAAAAAATAAAAAAATTTTTATAAAAAAATTTAAAAAAAAACCTTTCGAATTCTCCAAAGTATTGCCAATTTTATTGTTGCTCATTTTTTATAAATGGTTAGAACGTTGTAATAATTCATGTAAAAAAGAGAAAGGAAATATTCTTCTTCTCGCACAATGTTGCTGCTGAAAATCCTCTTATGTATATCTTAAATTAATAAATTAAATAAATACCGGTTAAAAAAAAAGAGAAAATTAAAAAAAGGAAGGAAAAAATATTTTGTTTTTAATTGAAAAAAATTTTTTTTGAAGATTACTACATAATAGAATTATAAAAATGATAAAAATAGATATAAAAATATTTTACTAAAATAATTAAAAATAAAATAAAATTATTTTATTAAAAATGTTTAAAAATTTAGAAAAAAAAATTCATAAAAATTAAAAAAAATTTTTTTTAACTGATAAAAAATGGTTGCAAAAATATTAACTAAAAAATTATTCTGGATTGGCTATTTTTAGCATACATTTTACTTAAAAATAAAAATTCTGCCATATGTCTTTTTTGCTTTTAAAAAAGTAAAAATAAAAATAAGATTAATTTACGACATGTCGGGACAGAAAAAGGACAAAAAGAAAAAAAAACAAAAAAAAAGAAAAAGTTTAAAAATCCAGAAGATCGTCAAATTAAAAATAAAAGGAAAGAGAATTGGGGTGATTAAAGGGAAGAGAAAAGTGCACCCGATTCGATAGAGATAAAAAATAAAAATATTGAAAATTTATGGAAATACAAACAAACATTTTAAAATTGTAAAGTAGGAAAATAGAAAAAATTTTTTTAAAACGTGGAAATAAAAAAATAAAAACCAAGCATAGGAAAAATTGGTTGCTAAGGATTTCTAAAAAAAGAAGTGCCGCAGAAAAATCTGTCAAGAAAAATAAAATAAAAATGAAGGGTAGGACAATAAAAATGGGAGGTTCAAGGCCAGGAGGAGGGATAAGAAAATAATTTTTTAAAGAATAATGCGCAGAAAATCCAAGAAAAAATGGCATTTATGCCGTTAAAAAATAATATAAAAAAGGCAGATGTGTGACCTTAAAAGAGTGGGTAAAATGTATTTTGTTTGTATGTTTTTCTGTCAGCTGCTGTGTGCGCCGCGCTGGTGGGAGAATCAATACATGTACATATATTAAAAAGCTAGGCAAAATGAACAGAAAAAAAAGGAAATAAAAATTTTTTACAATTTTGAAATTAAAAAAACTTTGAGAGCAACCTAAAAATGAAAAAAATAAAAAAGAAAAACAAGCCTGAACTGAAAGGGAGTCGAACCCCCACCCCCAATACCTCAGCAAAACTAACAAGTATCCCACTAAACCAAGAAAGACAAAACTTTACAGAATTTTTAACATTTTGAAATTAAAAAAAAAACTTAAAGACTTAAAGAGCAACCTAAAAATAAAAAAAAAAGAAAAAACAAGACGGGACTGGAAAGAGGTCGAACCCCCAACCCCAGCAAAACTAACAAGTATCCCACTAAACCAAGAGAGACAAAACTTGTCAGATTGCCAGAAGCACCTGAACAAATCCAGGTGCCTGAATAAGAAATTCTAGCAGACTTTCAGAAAATTTTAAAAAGAAAAAAGCTGTTAAAATTGCCAAAAAATGATGTCAATAAAATGAAAGTAATAAACAACAACAAAGAGACAAACAAACAAAAATTATTCACTTCACCCACCCACGTATTTAAGGAAAACAATAACAAACACAGTCGAGAACATCAATAATTGTCCAAAATAATAGTCTAAAATATAGTGGGAATTCACACATAATTTACATATAATTTTTGGCTAAAGACAAAAAAATTCGCAAATTTTGTCCGCAAAAAAATCAGAAAAAGTGATAAGCTGATACCGATTGATTTTTCAGATTTAAAATCAAAGAATTACGAAACCTGTGGAATATCATACAAAAAAACCCTAAGAGTTGCCAGCAAAACTTGCGGACAATTGTTTAAAAAGGCAAAAAATTCCAAAAAAGGACACAAAAAATCCCTAGAGATTATGCCCACCTAAAAGTGTGAATTTTTAAATTATGTATAAAATGAGGAAGGAATAAATTAAAAAATAAAAAAAATATAATTAAATATGCGTAAATTAAATAAATAAAATTAAAGGTATATAAAAAGGAAGAAGCAACATAATGCTTAATTTATTGAGAATTACTTAAGATAATAATTTTTTTCAAAAAAAAAAGCAAAGTCCATGCCTATGGGTGTGCCTATCGACTATCCATATACTAAGTTATCAACACTACTTTCTACAAAAACCCTCGAAATCCACGTTAATCCTCATGTCAAATATCTCTCCAAATCCCCCGATTTGTGTTGATCAGAATGGTGTAGGCATTGAGAGTCAATAGGCATTGAGAGTCAGTATACATCCGGGCTGGGCTTATTTCGCACTTTCGCCTCTTTCGCATTCTCGCATTTTTCAGCGCGAAAAGTTTCGCATTTCGCTTTTTATTTTAGATTTCGCCCAGCCCTGGTAGACATCCCAAAAAAGCTCTCCTAAAAATATTTTTTTCCACAAAATCTACAAAAAATCTCTCACAATTTTCATAAAATTTTTATTTGCCTATTTTTAATATTCCAAAAAGTTTCATTTTTAGAATTGCCCTATCATTAAAACAATCGGAAATGTCAACGCAATAATTTTCTTAAAAATATTACAGAAATCATTAAAAATAAATGGGATACCAAAGTTGCCCTCTTTATTAAAAAATATTTTTTAAACTTTAAAAACCAATTAAATAATAAAATATTACTTGATATTAATCGCTAATTATACAAAAAATTATTTTTACTTCCTTCTAAATACCTATTTTAATAACTTTTATGTTACCAGCAGAACCTGCTAAATATCAGTAGACACACTAAAATATTAACGGATTTTCAACAACACATTAAAAACAATAGAAAAAATAGCCTCATCGACTTCCTCCCAACTTCCGCCTTACTTCCTACTTCCTCCCTCCCACTTCCCCCCTCCTCATACTTCCTCGACTTCCTCCTCATGACTTCCTCCCTGACCTCTCGAGGAAGTCACCTACTTTTAAAACGGTTGAAAAAGTAGGGTTGTTCCTTGTCCCCGAAAGTCGTGAAGGCTGAAACCTTTCGAGAAGGCTAACAATAAAACCTTTTTTTCGACTTCCCCAATATCTTCTATGGCTCAATTCACATTCACTTTAACATTAGAGTTCACTATTTTTACATACTGGAAATGACAATTTTTACAGGTGATTTACAAACTAGTTAAAAACACATACAAACCAACCATTTTTAAGAAAGAAACAAAACATTTACTCAAAAAAACTTTAAAAACAAATTTTTATTTATTTTCAAGTAAAAGGGGCATCTGAAAATAAATTCTAAATTTGCCTTTCCACATCCGTCCAATCACTTTTTTTTCCTATTTCCGTCATCAACAAATAATAAACAAGAATTATTAACTACTCCACAAAAAACCCTTGACATTTACCTTTATTTTATTTTTTTTGCCTTTTCTAAATACTTCCCTATTTTGATTATAAATATATTCACATTTATGCGCTAATAAAGCATTTCTCTAAACACATGGCAAAATTAGAAAATAATTTTTTTTTGTAAAATTATTACTCCTTTAAAAGGCAACTGGTATTGAGGAGAACGGCTGCACACATTTTTATTAATGTTACTATATTAAATGGCCTATGACCTCTCTTAACTAATTTTAATAGGGGGACAATCAAGTTTGACTTCCCTTAAAAACAATGTTGGGAATGGCTTCGGGAGAAAGCTCCGGACCCGGGCCAAGAGTTTAAAGTGCCTAAGGAGCCAAGATTTTTAAAATAATCAGAGATGAAGCCAGAAAGTGCCTCTTACCCAGCACAGCTCTCATAACCTCTCGGGCCACATGATAAAATCAAAAACTCTCAAAGATTTTCAAATCATCCCCAGATCTTCCTAGGCCATTTTCTAAAGGAAAAAACCCCTCAAAAAACAAAAATAGAAAAATACCAAAAATAGAATCCGGAAGGGCTTTTTAGATGCGCAACATTCTTTTTTCTCTCCCCAGGGAACTTGTAAACACAATTTTAGGGGTAATATTCAATCCTTTACTAAATACGTGTTTGCATCCTAATTTGCTTCTAAATAATAATTTTTAGTTCCTTGCATGCTCGAAATATTAAAAACAAAAATAATTTGTAAAAAAAATTTAGTTTCCAGAAAATTGAATTCCTTCTAAAAACAATGGAAGCGAAAAACAATAAATAATTTGTAGAAAATAAAATTTTCCACGAATTTAACTTTTCAGAATACTTGTTTTCTTTCCTTATTTTTCTTAATTTTTTGACATTCAAATTTGTCATCTTTCAAGAATTCTAGGTATTATTTTTGAATTTTGAGTAAAATAATTTAGATAAAAACGTCCTCAAAAATTACCCAAATTACAGAAAATTTTCTCAAAATTTCCAAAAAAAATTCTCATAAAATCCTCAAAAAAATTTCCTAAAAATTTCCGCCAAACTTAAAAATTCCTTCAAAAAATTTCAAAAATTATTTCCTCCTTAATTATTCTCTCTATCAGAAAAAGACTTTCCCTTCCGTGTCAACAAACTACCTTAAAAGGAAAACGAAACGTCTACTAAAAGAGTAAATCCTCAAAACTCCCCTTCCCCTCTATCCTTAAATGCCCTTTAAAAAGATTTAATAATTATTTACTTATAAAAGTTTTTAAAATATTTTTTACTAAAATAATTCGCTAGAAAATTGTGTAAACAAAAAATATGTTAGCTAATTAATCCTTAAATTAAAATATTATTTTCTGATACGTGTTCTTACTTGAAAAAAATAAAAATTAAATGCCTTTCAAATTTCGTCGCTAAATCATTTAATTAGAAAATTTTGAAATAAAATCAAATCTCAAACAAAAACATATGTAAGACTGATTCAAGTCTAACACAATTATCTCTTAATTCAGATACCTTACAATTTTTCCTTAGATTACACACTCAATTCCTTCACTTCTATATCATATAATTAAACAATTTCAAGTCTCTTTAATTTAGATAAACTCCCTTTAAAAAATATTCGGCAAAATTACCTTAAAATTAGAAAAATTTCTTCCTTGACTTACACACTTAACTTGAATCAAAACACACAGAAGGCACAAAAAACAACACAAAAAAATAATCAGAAAATCATGACAAACACTAATAAAAGCAAAAACACTCGTCAAATGTTGTTTATTGCTTATAACACAATAAATTATCCAATTTATTATGCCTTTCAAATTTCTTCCCTTTTGCATAAAACAATTACATTTAACGACATAATTAACAATAAAATATTGCCAAACAAAAAACTTCCTAGTAAAAGCGAAAAAAACATTCGGGGAATTCAACAAAAAAGAAAACATTGTTTGCGCTCTGTCTCACAGGTAATTTGGAATTTTAAACGTCCCGGAAACCTTCCCCAAATTATAAAAATAAAATCTGAGAGAACCTGACTCTTGTTTTGTTTTTAAGGCATTAATCTCACCATTGATTGTCCTTCTTCTGCCAGTGATGATTTCTGCTTCGACACAGTCAGCGTCTTCCTTCTTCGGCTCTCCAGGAGCACCTTTGATCTTTTTTAGCGGCCGGCATCATTTTCAGTATCCATGGGGAGAACAAAAACTACAAAGGCATAATATGTAAATTATTCTTAAAAATCATAAAATAAAACCTGAGAGAACCTGGAAGGAAAACTCATCTTCAATTTTAAAGGAAAACCTTCATCAAACGCTCAGAACCGGCACTGCCAATGAATGAATGCTTACAGAACACTGCTGTCCAAAGAGCCGCTACTGCACTTCTTGCAGATTTGCCTGCCACAAGCATTTCAGAAGACATGAAGAGGCAAAGAAGAGCAGAAACGGCATTAACTGAAACGGGCGTTGAATGCCCAAATGATGAAAATATTCGGGAGGGAGTGATGAATGAGGATGATATTAGGGAAATCAAACCGGTTAGCCTTAGAGGAATTTTAAGCAATTAAAAAATTATTTTCTAGGGGATGCCAATGGAAATGAGATCTATCTGCCCCTTCTTCTACGTTGAAAACGTCAATGAAAGGGTCAGTAATTTTACAAATTAAAAAAATATTTTAAACCTCTTTAGCGCTTGCCTCGCCGAATTACCGAAGTACGTTGCCTCTGTGAAAGACCACCAAGAAGGCAACGAACACATCACACTGCAGGCATCCACTGCGAGCCTCTTCATTTTTCAATTCCTGTACTTTTATTTGAAGATGAACAATGTAGCGAACCAAAACGATCTCTTGAACAAGTAACTCTGGGTTGTGTTGCTGTCCATGGAGCTAGTAGTCGAAGCGGGTTTCTTTCAGCCATTGGACAGCCTAGACCGCTTATAGTAACTGAGCAACAGTTTTGAAGCTGAGGAAATGTCTGAAAATTTTTTAAAAATTCGAGAATTTGATCTCTTTTTTGATCACAAGTACTGCTTGATCTCCGACATTTTTTAAATTAAAAATGTTTTAAAAAATTAAAAAATAATTCCAACCGTTTTCAAGCAGTATTTCAATAAAATATTTAAAGGATTAAGCTAATCTCTTTTATTTTTATTTGTTTATTGGAAGAAATGCTTATAAAATAAAGCCGAATAAATGTTAAAATAAATAGAAAAAATTTAAAATTTATTTTTGGCACATCTTTTAACCTTCTAAAGTTTGTTTGGTTCGAAATTCTGTATTCCCCCAGTCGCAGAATTATAGTTTGAACACGCAGAATTTGACCGTTCCTCCACTGTGTTTGTTACCAATCCACTCCTGCGTCGATCCAAAGTGCGTAGGCTAAAAAAATTTTTTTGTAAAATTAAACAAAATTTAAAAAGCAAACCCAAAAAGATAGGCAACGCCTTCTCTATATTTTGCACTAAAAACGGCATAATAAATCCAGGTAGTTGAACTAAAATATGAGGAAAAAGGTTTGTAAAAAACGTTCAAAAAACCTGTTGAGAACCACCAAAAAATTAGCCAAATCGTTCAAAATAAAAGCTGTTGAAGCCGTGCTTTCATTAACAAAAAGATCGCTTTGCACGCATTCCGCCAAATTTAAAAGAAAAGGAAGAACATTACACATAGCAAATGAAAGGGTGACAAGTAGGAGCATTGCGGTAGTGTTGTGTTCTCTCAATTGCTGAAAAATGAGGGGATGTACGACATGTTGAAAAAACACCGTTATTTTACTAACCTTTAAAAAGCAGTAAAAAATTTTTTTAACCTTGTTAGTAAGCTGTTCACGAATTGAACGCAAATGAAGAATACGGTGTGCCAGCAATCCATTCAAAGAAATTATTGTGCCAAAAGGAAGCAAAAAATGAGAAAGTAGGAAAAGGAGGGAGTAATAACCGAGCATATACCAAGGATGGTCATTTGGATTGCGCAAATTTCGTTGAAAAGACAGACTTCCATCAGAGGAATTTCTGAAGTTTTAAACTCAAATTTAAATTAAAAACAAATAAAAATAAACATTAAAGTGTATTCCCAAAAGCGCACAATATTGTAAGCTATAGAAAAGCCCAAAATGAAAAGTAGTGACCGCTTTGCTGTACGAGGAGTGCAAAGAGAACGAACCTTAAAAATAAAAAAAATAATAAAAAATATTTTAAAAAATAAAAAGAAAATACATGAAGAGGTCTACAAATAGCCAGATAACGTTCAGCGGTAATCAAAACAATTGTGTATATACTGCAAGTCTGAAAATAAGAATAAAAGTGATATGACTAGAGTTTGATGTCGGGACTGGGTGTTCGGGCCTGGAAGCCTTAAAACAAGATATTTTGAAAAATCTGGGGTTTCCAGGGGTTCACCCCGGAAAACCGCGGTCCGGGCCAATTTGAAGAAAAAAACCTCAGAAAATTCCCATAAAAATTTGGGAATATCGAACCCTAAGTGTAACCCTAATTTTAAGAAAAATCTTTTAACCTGAAAAATAAGATTGACGGGATAAAGAAATTTGACCACAATCGCTTGAAATTGTTCAGAATAGAAAAGTTCCCTTAAAAGTATTTTTTAAATTCAATTTGCATAAATTAATTCAAATAAAATTTACCCGCTTTGTAGGTTGGGCAGGACAAAAACTGGAATAGCAAATAAGAGAAGACCAAAATCTATCAAAGAGAGAGCAGTTAACAAAATATTAATACTTGAAGTTCTCTAAAAATTAAGATTGTTAAAAATGAACTTGGACCCTACCCCTATGAAACCCCTTTGTAACCCATAGTTTTTGATGTTTGGAACCCTGTAAATCGGCTCAGAGACTTTCCATGAACTAATTCTGTTGTCAGCCAAACATGTCAGCTCAACGAGCTCTTCTGTGCCGGTTTCCGGGATATCCCAAAACCCCCGGATTTTTCAAAATATCGGTCTAAGGGTTACTGACATTACGTAAATACATCTTAAACCAAAAAAATAGACAGGAATGAGAGGGGGGAACTCCAGGAATGCCTAATCATTTAAATAAAAAAAAATACCTGAAGAAATACAAGAGCCGATAAAATATTTCCAAAACATCCAAAAATAATTATTGCCAAGGTGCAAGATGCCAGTAAATGTCGTTCAAGTTCCATTTAACTAAAAAATGAGGTTTAAAAAAATTTTTTTTTAAATATTTAACTAAAATTAAATCAAAGTTTAAAAGGGAATGGATAAAAGGATTCAATTGATGAGGACCAAAGCAAGGCAAGAATTAGTAGGGGAAAAAAGCAGATGGGACAAAAAATCCCACTCAAAGTGCAACTTTTTTTCGACTGGTTTTTGCCAAAGCAGCGTCAGTGGGGGCACTTGATACACAAAAAATGGCGTGCCAATAAACGAATGTATTCAAAAAGAGGAAACTGGAAAAAATTTCTTCCAAAGGAATTTAAAAAATAACAATGAAGTTAAATCAAAAAATGTGTAGGGGGTAACTTAAATTGGTAAAAAAGGCCCGATTTGAAAATTCTCAAAACCTTTGTTAAAAGAAAAATGACCGAGCAAACCTGAACATTAACTACAGGTAAGTAATCCAGTTGACTCTCTACATGTCCCACAAATAGACTGGGCAATTTTCATTCCTCGTCTTAACTACATATTCTGTTAAATTCTGCATCCAATTTCCCATTGTTGTAGCATCAAATTCCACACGTCGAGTAGAACAAAATAAAAAAAAGTGAGAGCATTAAAAACCTAAAAATAAAAATAATTTCTTAGTTTCCTATAACCTTCACCCTAAAAAAATTAAAAAATCTTGAAAAATTAAATTTTTACTGGAAATTTAATTTAGAAATAAACAAAAGACGCAAAATGGTCATTCTGCCAAAATTTACCGTAAATTTTATTTATGCCTTTTTTTGCTTCAAACTGGCGCAATATTTAGTTGTCGCACCAAAATGGCCAAGATTTTAGAAATTTTTTCAATTGATTTTTTTCTGTTTGTTTGCTTAGTTTTTCTAAAAAATTCTCCGCTCATTTTTATGTGGTAATCGGCAGGATAAATTTCCAATTTAACTAACTCGTGAACTAATTGTATTTTCTAATTAGGGCTGCTGGCCTGGCTTAATTCGAAAGCCGAACCGGGCTTCAATTTTTGGCACGAAGAAATGACCCGACCGGTCCGCCTTGCAAAATTCGAGGCCTGAAAAAATGACTTGAACGTCGGCCCGATTCGAAAACGGCAACTTTAATTCTAATATACTTTTTTAGACAGATTATTTAAATTTGACAAGACTTGATTATTTTAAATATGGCTATGTCTGTACCAAAGTCGGGTTATGCCCGTTTTATGAAGGAAGGCGCAATGGTTTTTTAATTTTTTTTTGAAATTTTCAATTTTCTCTCATTTAGCATTTCAAAGGAATGGAGGAAGCTGTTTCTCGAAATATAGAGGCCTGCATGGAATTAGCTTTGCAAACCCGTTCTTCATATGGACCTAATGGTTTTTATCAGTTTAAATATCTTTAAGGATTTTAGATAAGAATTGACGTGATTCTCTTACAGAATTTTTTGCTGACTTCCCCCTTTTCTCTTTTAGCAGTTCTATTTCCGTGGTTTTGAAATGAGGCTAAATTTTTCGCAAAATCAATTGATTGATTCACTATCAAAGAAAACCTAAAGCCCAACTAAATTATCGAGCGAAAGGTCCGCAAAAAAGTCCTCAGGAATTGCACCGTCCGCAAATTTAGTCTGCAATAATTCCCACTCTTTAAAGCCGTCTAAATTTATCTTTTAAGGAATGAATAAAATGGTAATTAACCGTCTGGAGAAATTGTTTGTTACGAATGACGCTGCTTCAATCCTCAACGAGTTAGAGATTCAACACCCTGCTGCTCGTATTATAGTCTTGGCCGCTCAAATGCAAGAAAAACAAATTGGAGATTGCACAAACATGGTTGTGATTTTTGCTGCTTCTTTGTTGGAACAGGCTTCGCAGTTGCTTTCTATGGTTTATTTATTTTGATAAAGATTTTGAGGGGAGGGGATTCATTAGATAGGAGTTTAAAATACGGGGCAGGGTTTTAAGCTCATTATGAGCATAGTTGGTCATCGCCCGGTATTTCATCGGTGAAGCATCTGATTGTGGTTAGCAAGGTCTTTTGTGGTTTCGATAACTGCTTAATGTTAGCTGGTTTGTTTCCTGTCCATGACCAAAATGAGGGTTCCTGATAGTGAGAATTATGTCCATTTCTAATTCCTCAATTATTTACAACAGGGAATTAAACCGATTGAAATTGCGTCTGGCTATGAACAAGCGTTGGCTAAAGCTGAAGAAATTCTACCTAAATTGGTTATTGGGAAAGCCGAGGATTTGTACAACGTGGATCTGGTTAAAACCTACCTACTCCCGTCAATTACTTCGAAACAGACTGGAAACTATGATTTTGTTGCTGGATTGGCTGCTGATGCTTGCGGTAAATATTTTTCTGCAATTTTTCAAAAATTTAATTTTTTAGTTAAAATTGCTCCAAAAAATGTGCACAATTTCAACGTGGACAACATTAGAATCTGCAAAATTCTTGGTGCTGGTGTTTCTTCAAGTTTTATTGCAAATGGAATGGTTTTCAAACGAGGAGCTGAGGGAGAGGTTAAGCAGGCTACAAATGCTAAAGTCGCAATCTTTGCTTGTCCTTTTGATTTAACACAGACTGAAACAAAGGTTTGGGAATTTAAGAAATATTTGCCAAAAATTGGGTAACAAAGGGAAATAGGGAGGTAAATGGGGGGAATTCTTAAGGGTCCTTTACAATTGCCGATTTTTATTTTTGACATTTTTATAAAGATAATTTGACCTTTTTTCAATTTCAGGGCACTATATTGATGAACACAGCAGATGATTTACTCAAATTCAGCAATACTGAAGAGGCTAGTGTTGAACAAAAAGTAAAGGAGATGGCTGAGGCTGGCGTTTCTGTGGTTGTTGCTGCCGGAAAATTTGGGGACCTTTACATTCATTTTTTGAATAAATACAAAATTATGGGTGTTAGGTTAATTTGAAATTTTTTTAAATTTGAAAAATTTTTTAAAATTAGATTGACATCAAAATTCGATTTGCGCCGTCTTTGCCTCACTTTGGGCGCGCAAGCCCAAGCTGTTATTTGTGCTCCACCAGAGGATTCTTTGGGGAAATGTGACAATGTTTTCATTAAAGAAATTGGAGATACTCAGGTTTTTGTTTTAAATTGAGTTTCGATTAATCAATTTTGTATTTTAGACAGTCATTTTCGATAAACAATCAGCAACTTCCAAAGTGGTAACCGTCATTGTACGAGGCTCTTCTCAATCAATTTTGGATGATGTTGAACGTGCAATTGATGATGGAGTTAATACTTTTAAGGCGTTAACTAAGGACAATCGGGTTTGAAAATTTTTTTTTATTTAAACTACTAACTAATACAAATTGACCTCCCTATAAGATAACCCTCGGAGCTAAAACCTTATCTTATAATAAGGAGGTTTTTAAATAGTGGAGATCGCTAATGTATGACTTCAGCCCCGTTTTTTTCCATGGCTAACCAAATTTAGAAACGTATCTTAAACCTAATTTTGTGGTTATCATACATATGTATTGAGGTCTGACTGATCTCAAAAAGTGTTAACTTTTTTTTGCTTGATAATAAAAATAACTTCAAAATATTATAGTTATTGGCCGGTGCTGGTGCAACAGAAATTGAATTGTCCCGTCAAATTCAACTTTTTGGAGAGACTCAATCTGGACTCGAACAATATTCGATTAGAAAATTTGCTGCAGCGTTGGATGTTTTACCTAAACAATTGGCTGAAAATTGTGGAATGAAAACTACAGAAGCTTTGGCTAATTTGTATGCTGCTCATCAAAATGGATCAATTAATGAAGGCATTGATGTTTTAAATTCGAAATTGGTTGATGCAAAAGAAGCAAAAATTTATGATTTATTTAATGGAAAATTGTGGGCGTTGAAATTGGCAACAAATGCTGCTTGTAGTATTTTGAAGATTGATCAGGTTTTTTTGAATTTTTAGATTTTATGAATTTTCTTTTTAATTAAACTTTATAAGATACTCTTGGGGTTGAAAAGATTTAAAATTTGGAATATCGCCCAAATAGTTCCCCCACCAAACGCTACTCTAAATTTTACTACAAACGTATTTTAAGTGTAAGGTTATTTGGTTAAAAAGACGTAAGTTGGACCTCGCTATATTATGATATCCCCAGGCAGGCCCATAACCAGAATTCTTTTTCGAGGGATGGGGGGGGGGGTATGGGAATCATTTTTATATAGGTTTTTGAGCTTTATAATTCTTTATAAAATTTTAAAAATTTGTAAAGATAATTATGGCTAAACCATCTGGGGGACCTACTCCACGAGGACCTAAAGCACAAGATGAGGATGATGATGATGGTGCTGGAATGGCTTGAAATTAATTTTTGATAGATGAAACAATACATAATGTTGGTCAAGGACAAAAAATGTTTGGTTTTTTTTTATTTTTGAAAATTTTTTTAATTAAAAATTGTTTGCCATTTTTGTTATGCATATTTTTCGGAATTTTTTTTCGAGTAAATTTTGAATTAAAAAATTATTTTGGAACAGAATTTTTAGGTTGGGTTAAGTCACTAAAAGACACGAAAAATTATAAACCTTAAGTATTCTATAAATAACATGGCCAATAAATCTTTTCTTTTTTCACCAGGCGTCTCCTAAAATAATTTAAAGTTAGCAGATGCAAAAACGATTTTTATTTTTAGTGTAATATTTGAGGCAATATAGCCACACCCAATTAATTAGTTTAGGAAATGTGTTAAGATAAAATTAGGAGAAAAAACGCGTCAATGAATAATCAAAAATCTCCTTTTTTAACCTTCTAATAAAATTTCTCAGAATATTTCCGGAAAATTTTTTCCGGAAATATTTTTCGGAAATTACTTAAGCTTACATTTTCTCTAACAAAATTATTTTGTCTACCAATAATAATTAGGGCTGTGCGTAATTTTAATTTCTCTCTCTCATAATTTTCTATAAGGGATATTCATTTTCTGACCTTTACATTTTTCTAAATCTACCCTCAATAAAAGGCTATTGTCGGCATTGACCTTCTATGTATAGAGAAACACTTGACATTAACAATAATTTTTTAGGAGTAAATCCAAAAATCCCTCTCCTTTCCCCAACTATTGTTTGGAGGTATTTGATGAGAGGAATTTTGTGTGTCTAAAATTATTTAGGAGCAAAAAAGGTAGAATTGTGAAGGCATTTCTTCCTTTTTTTAAGGGTCCACATTAGGATCCCCCCTCCTTTTTTAAGGGGGAATTGGTTCGGCTTGACCCCTGGTCCACATAGAAATTTTATTTTTTAATTAAAAATTTAATTTATTTTTTCCTTTCAATTCAAAAACATTTTTGGCAATAAATTTGTAAAAAATAATTTATTCATTTTTTCAGTCGGTTCTCTCCTTATTTCAGCCTCTACCATTTTTTCCCTTTTACTTTGTTCTTCCTCAAATTTCTTCCAATTTTTAAGGGTTTCAGATTTAGATAAGCCGAAAAAGGAGGAATTTATAAAGAAAGGACTTAAAAACACTTAAATATATAAACAATCCCTCAACACTCATTCAGACCTTCAAATCGGAAAATTAAAAAAAAGGAAAGGCGATAGAAAGCAAAAAAAAACAAAGGGAGGGGGGAGGGGGAAAGAAATCCTCTCAAAAAGGAATTAATGGTCTGAGGAGAAGTGCCTTCACAATAGTACTAAAAAAGAGTGAAGAAAGAGGCTTAAAGCCACATAATAAGGGAGGACTTTACACACAAATTAGAGTTAATTATTCAAAATAATTTTAAAAAGGGGAAAATTTTTCAACAAAAAATTGCCAAATTATCTCAATTTTACTTCAAAATTCCTCTCATTCATTCACTTTTTATGCCCCAGAGACTCCCGATTTTATAGTGTAAAAGGGCAAGAGTTGTTCTCGAATAAAGGAGGAGAGAGACAGGCGTTCCGGTCGACGTCCTAAGCGAAAACTAAGCAAATCCCTCAGCCATCATTTTTTTATTTTTTGTTGTTATTTGTGGCCTTTTCTTCCTGTTTTTCTTCAATTTTCTTTTATTCGTCCTTTCTTAAGCATCCTTTACCCTCCAATTTTATTTACTTTTTCAACGTGGAATTTTATAGTAAAAAATAAAATTGAATTGGCTTTGGACTTGACAAAACTTCGAAATTTTTTTGTTTTTTGTTGCCAATTTTATTTTTAGAAATTCCAAGGAAAAAGGTTCAACGGGTCCAAGGGTGATTCTCAGAAAAATTCTCTAGGTCCTTACTAAATTTGTAATTCCAACTTTAATTAAATATATCCAAGCTAACATGCCAATTTAATTTTAGAAAATTTAGAAATCATTTGAATCATTTAATGTTTCAATTTTTGAGTTAGGGTGATTCTCAGAAAAATTCTCTATATTCTTGGCAATTTTATTTTATTTTAAGTTGTTACTAAATTTGTATTTCTGACTTTTTTTTAATTAAATATATCCTCCAACTTAACATTTCCGCCTCTTCAATTTTATGATATCGATGAAATTTTTTCTTCCAAAAACTTTTTATTGCCCTTAACCTTCTTATTTCTGTCCCCCACTCATCCAGAAAGAGTTTTACCTCTTGAGAAGAAATTGCATTAGCGTTATTGGAAGGGGGATATGTATTGAGGAGAAAGATAGATTGCATTTTAAGGGTGGGGTAAGTGGTGCTTGTAGGTAAAAATATATGGGGGAAATGCTGTCGCCTTATGGTATTTATTAAAAACATTTTTGAGGACAACAACAACATTTTAGGGAATAAGTTTGTAAAGTGTTCATTATTTTATTTATACTTGGTTATATTCCTTTCTAATAATCAGACTTTCCGGAAAAATATTTTAGCCTTTCTAACTTCCGGAAAAATATTTCCCACAAAAATATCTCAATCTTTCTAACATCCGGAAAATATCTCAGTCCTAACTTACTGAAAAATATCTCTAACTTTCCGGAACTTTCCGGAAAAAAACCCTTTCCGGAAATTATCTCTAACCTCTCTAACTTTCCGGAAAATTTTCTCATCCTTTCTACTTCCAATAAACTTCCGGAAAAATGTCTAAACCTGTCTAACTTTCCGGAAAAATCTCTCCACCTCTTTAGTTTCCGGGAAAAATATCTCAACATGTACTTTCCGGAAAATACTTCCGGAAAATATAGAAAATATATTAATTCCTTTCCTTTTTACAACCTTCCGGAAAATATGTACTTTTAAAATTGCATTTTCTTGCTGTTTCTTTTATTCATCTCCTCTTTTTTTCTAATTTCAAAACTCATTTGAATTGCAATAAAATTGGAGCATCTTTATTGCTTATCTTAACATTCTTCCTCTTCCTCCCCCAAAGCTGTCATTGCCCATCCACTAAAAATTTTCATTATGCCGCCAAAAGAGGAAACAGTGAGTGACTGCTTTTGGCACTTTGTCCAGTTTGGAACAAATGCCTGAGGCAAAATTTGTACGCAAAAGTTCATAAGGAATAAGGAGAGGTTTCTGATGTCCTAAAATTAATTAGAAGTGTAATAGGGTAGCACCCCGTCTTCCCAAATCCGACCCGATGAATTTTTAAGTAAAAACCCCAACCCGATCCCCGAAGGCTTTACCACGACAAAACCCGATCCCCAGCGCTCACCCCCATGCGGGCAAAACCCCGTCCCGAAGGCCCGTGGTGCTACCCTATTTCTAAACCTGAAAATTATTTTTTTAACTAAAAATCAGTTTTGGCCTAACTTTTATTCTTTTTACTCTTTTATCGAATATTTTCTATTCTTTTTATTATTTTTAAAATCCTTTATGAAGCAATTCTATATAAAATTTATGTTAATGAGCACAATTTATATTTATTTTTATTTGTTAGATTTGTAGTATTTTTCGCGCGCGGCATTCTCTCTTAGTTGGCTTCCGACTTAACTTGGCTATTTAAAATTGAGAGGGTGTTTTAGTAAATAAATGAAGAGTTAAATAAATTTGTTTCTAATCTTCCCATGAATATAAGTGCAGGAAACTTTATTTTTTTTTCTAAAAGGCTTCAAAAAAATTTTTTTTCGAATTCCAATTAATTTTTTAAACAAATAAAAATTCATTTTTACCCCAAAATTTATTTTCTTATAAAAATCTGAAATTTTCCTTGCACATTAAAAATTCCCCAAAGGCTGTAGTTCCCTCCAGAGAGCCTTTCCGGATATTTTAATAAATTATTTATTTATTTCGGTGAACACTTTTATTTAATCTAATTGCGCGAGAAAGAAAACAAGCTTTATAAAAAGCATTGGCAAATGAAGAAAGGCTTAAAATATATGAGAACATAACAACACAAAAATGTGTAATTAATAAAATCTTATAATAGCTGCGCAGAAAAATTTTTAAAATTTTTCTTTTGCTCTTAATTGGAATTTATAAGTAAAAATTCAGTAAAAATTCTCGAGGTTGAGTGGCCTATTTCAAATAATTAATATTTATTGAGTGGCCCTTCAATTTTTTAAAGCCTAAAAAAGCTTCTTCCTTTTCTTCTCACGTTTCAAAAATTTTTCTATTTTTTCCTTTATTTTATTTAAATTCTCCCACGTCTAAAAATACCAGAGCTCTTCATTTATTTCCTTTTTTGAAATTTTAAAGTAAAAATAATAGGGTGGCCAGTTAGGTAACCTAAAATAAGGCTCTCTCCAGTCAACTCTGACCACAAACTGGCTAAAAAATTATTTCTATTTTTTTGTTTGTGGTCAAATTTCTCTTTTTAGAGAAATTTGGATTTTGCTAAAAATTACCCTCAACTTGCGCTTTTAAGAAAAAAATTTTTTTTGCCAGTCTAAAAATAATTACAAATCTTTCTGATACATTTTCAATTGTATATATTTAATTCTGAATTAATTATTAAAAATAAATCCTCAAATTATAATCCGTTTTTTAAAAAAAATTTAATTACTACCTAGAATTACCTCAAAAAGGATTGGCGCAAAAATGCGCGATAAAATCTGTCAGAAAGGGGTAAATACACGCGTGTCAATATTAAATGTACACAAATGGGATTTTTTACTTTTTTTCTAATCCCTTTACATATTTTCTTTTTGAGATTAAAATTAAATCTACTTAATATATTAAAATTTTGTTTTAATAGTGTTCCGATTAATTTATTCTCCAAGTTTATTTTTCCTCAAACATTTCGCACAACATTTGTTTTGTTTCTAACTTGTGTTGTGTTCATGTTTATCTAACCTGTTTATTTGTCTTTCAACATCTCTTACAACTTTTTTCTTCATGTTTTCCTATAACCTACCTCTTCCAACTTGATCCCCCAACATGCCTCTCCAACATTTCTTTTCCAACTTGTTCTCTTCTGTTGTTTTTCCTGTGTTTTGTTCATGTTTATCTAAACTTGTTTATTTCACTCCCAACATCTCTAGAAACTTTTTTCTTCATGTTTTCCTCCAACTTGCCTCTTCCAACTTGTTTCTGTCATGTTTTTCTTTGTTTTAATATTTTCTCTAATTTGTCTAAACATGTTGGAACTTTTTAATGTTTTTATAATTTCTTTATCATGTTTTTCCTCCAAAACTTACAATATCATTTTATTTTCTCTCCAAAACTTTTTTAAAAATATCCGGATGCAATCTGATCTTCCCTTCCTTTTTATCTTTCTTTTGATCAACTTTTTTTGTCGGCCTTTTACTTCAAAATAATTTTTGAAGAAAAACTGTCAATTCTTCTTTTAATTGACAAGCGGAAAATCATTCAACTAATTTTCTTGTTTCTTTACAAAAATTGTTGCAAATGTTGTAAATGAGGAAAACAACGATTCTATGCTTGAAAAATCAGAATTTTTAGAGAGAAACAGTATCTCAATAAAATCAGAATTTTAGAGAGAATCAGAATCTTTGAAAACCGAAATTTTAGAATTTAAGAGAGAAATCAGAATTTTAAAGAAATCAGAATCCTCAGAACCAGAATTCTTAAAGAAAATCAGAATTTTAAAAATCAGAAGAGAAAATCAGAATTTTAGAGAAAATAGTAAATTATTTTTTCCCTTAAAAACATTAAACTACGACAAATAAAAATTAACAACAAAAATGTTCCTTCGCAACAAAAACAACCAAAATAAAACAACAAAAAATACTCCTAAAAGAGAATGGACAAAAGGATAAACTTAATTTCAATTTATTTAATGTCCAAAAAAATATTTTTATTATTATTTTTACTTCTAATTTTGTTTATTGTTGTCAATTCTTTTGACTCGCTTCAAATTCCGCAAATACAAAGGCATAGTGAAATGCTAGTTCCTTTAAATTCAACGACCGCTTTGCTTTGTGAGCTTGTTTTTAACCAGGGAAGGGCTAATGAGGAGGCTAGATGGATTTTTGAGGGAAAGGAAGTGGCCAGAGTGAATGGGTGATTTTTAAAAATTATTAAGGTTCTCTGTCGAGGAGGAGGCCTCAGGAAAAATTTTGTAGGAATTCGAATCCTCTGACCTTCGAGGACTGGAAACAATCCTACACAAGATAACACTTTAGTTGGACCTCTCATTATAAAGCTTATCCCTAACAACGGTTACCTCAGTTTAAGGTACTTTTGGTTGAAATTTGAATGACCTCTGAGTCGGGGAAGCTGCCTAAGCTTATTTAAGATATTCAAGACTATAAATACGAATTTTTCTAGCCCAAGGGCGTGGAAAATTTTTCCAGCCTCAAAACGAAGTTCGACTGTCTAAAAATAATTCTAATAATTTTTTAAAAATAGTCAGAGCAATGCCTTCCTCAATAACAACCCTTCCAATCTCAATAACCCTTCCAATGCTTCATCAAAAGCAGATCCAATCCCAGAAATTGGCTTCTTAATAATTCAGAGGACTCTCAGAGAACATGAAGGAGATTATTGGTGTGAAAGATTGAGTGATGGACTGTTAGGGGAAAGAACTCGTCTCAGAGTAGCCTTCCTCAAACAGTTTGCCCCTGGAAGTGGACCTTTAATTGTAGGTGAAGGATCATCTAGAGAGGAAGGACAACTTGTAGTATTGGACTGTCCTCAAACTTTTGGAGTTCCCCCGCCAATAATTAATTGGAAATTGGTGGGTTTTTAATTTTCTTTGGAAATTTCAAAAAAATTTTTTATCTTTCAAAGAATGGAGAGCGTTTAATAGACTTTCTCTCATTAAATATGGAAATTGCTCCAAATGGTTCTCTTCTTCTCCACAACTTTTCTTCTTTACAAAGCGGCTTTTACACTTGCGAGGCTGTCAATTTTGTTGCCAAAACTCTTTCCGAACCCCTTTTTGTTGGACCGCCACAAAGACGACCTTTGGATTCTCAAATTGCCAATAATTTTGTCAATTGCCTTAGTGTTTATGTACGCAGTGGTGTTCTTTGGTTTTTAGTTGGGTGTTTGGCTACTAGGTACTAATTTAGAATTTGTAAAAAACCTCAGTCTAAGGTACCCTTAATTCAATTTAAGGCCGGTTGGGGAAAGCAGTCCAATTATACCCCCTATTTAATGTACCCTCCATTATAAGGTACACGGGTTTCTCAGACCCGAGGGGATATAACCTCATTATAAGAGACCATCTAAAACTAGGACCGGGTGGGAGAGCGCCTAAGCAATACCTTCTATTTAACATACACTCCATTATAAGGTACGGGAGTTTTTCTATCCCAGAGATTTTTTTTCAATTTTCAGTTGTATGGTTCTGGCCTACATCTTGGGGGCATTGTTCCTCTACCGCCTTTATTCTTCCAATGAACAAAACCACAGATTAAGAAGATGGCCATGTTGCCCATTTCTAAGCACCTCTGGCTTCAGAAAGGTTATAGCGCCAATGGACAATGAAAGGATTTTTGTTCCTCCTCCACCTTATTATGAGGAATCTGTTTAAATGTCTTTTTGGATTTTTCTTTTAGAGCTTTTCTTAAATGATATTTTTGTTTTTAATTAATTTTTATCTAAAAAATTTTTACAAAATTTATTTAATTTCTTATCTATTATTTTTGCTAATAAGAGGACTATTTTCTTCACATTCCAATAAATATTGATAATTCCTTTTGTAAGACCGGCAAGAAAGAAATACAGAAAGTAGGGAAGCCATTAATAATACAACAAGTAGAAGTAGAGCAGCTAGTTGGGAAAAAATCAGAATTAATTTTAGAATCAGAAAAAAATCAGAATTTTCTTTTAAATCAGAATTTTTAAGGAAATCAGAACTTTTTTCAAAACCAGAATTTCAAAAATCAGAATTTCAGAAAAACCAGAATTTTAGAAAAATCAGAATTAAAAAAATCAGAATTTATAAGTAAACAAATTTACCCGCAACCGGTCCATACGTTCCACATTGATAATCCAAAAGTTCTGACCCTAGACACTGTCGCATCCATTGGGCACTGGTCACGCGTCTTCCGAGGTTGCGAAATTTTGCAAGAGGACAGGGATTTTGACAATTTTCGATTTTTAATGTTTCTGTTGTTGAATTTAATCCATTACGGAATTTTATCTTTAAAAAATTTTTTAAAAAAATTTTTTTAAAAATTCCTCAAACCTCCACAAAATATTCTTCCCCATCAAAACTTTTATTGCTGTGTAATTCAAAAACCAAAAAGCTGGCATAATCCGAAAGGATTGAGTTGATGTGTTCAATGCCTAGAAAGCGTCCAATTGTTAAAATGTTTGTGTCGTGCTGAAAAGAGAAAATTAATATTTTTTTTTAATTTTAATAGTCAGGAATCATTTATAAGGTACCCTCAATATTGGAGATTATAAGGGAACCACGGTTTAAGATATGCTTTTTAAAAAGTTGGGTGGCTACTGGCTGGAGGAGTTTCCCAATCGACCCACCCAACATTTACCAAAAAATATAAACCTAAAAACCTTTTAAAGAAAAATTTTAAATACATAAATAAAAAAATGATTCCGACATGGGAGGTGGATTTCTGTAAATTTGGTTAAGTGGGAAAACCTTGTGTTTGTGGAGGGAGAAGTCAGGGGTTCGAACATCGGTTTGAGATAAGATTTTTAAAAATTTGGGGTAGTTTTGACTGGCTGGAGGAGTTTATAATATGGCCAGGCAAACATAATAAAAATCTGAATTTTTAAAATCAGAATTTCAAAAATCAGAAATTTGAAAAATTGTCAACTAACCGCTGAGTACAACATCGATTTTTGATCATTCCTCTTCCCAACAGCATCATCCATCCTTCCCAAAATTTGATCAAAATGCCAACCCCCCATACTTTCCAAAAATAAATCGATTAGGCCAATATGAAGAGATAAATGTTTTTTCCTTCTTTCTTCCAAATATTTTGAAGAGTTAGCCCAAGCAGGCAAAGGAAGAAGTTGGGGCAGTTTTGACTAAAAATCAAGAAATTTTTTGGGGACAACTCAAAGGATCTATACTTTAAAGACTTATTGACCCTGAAGACCTAAAAATTTTGAAAGGGAATATCGAAGCATTTAGAGGGATTAAGGGGGCTAAATACAAGCTCTATAGAGCGGTATTGTGTGTACCATAACTCTGGGCGAGTAGAATTTCTATCCCTTTCAATCAACCGAAACCCATCGATATTCCCTTTCAAAAGGTGAATGTCTTCAAGGTCAACAAGTCTTCAGGGACAGACTCTTTTTTATAATTAAACGAAATTTTAAAACTAAACCCTTGTAACGATGCTATCCAACACTCGTTGAAGTATAAAAATTCCATCAATCTTCATTTGCGTGTCTTCCTCCATTTTTTCAATTTCTTCTTTAAATAACCCCTCCAACCTCTTATATCCTTCACCCTCTTTTAAATTCCTCTCCCCTTCAGGGCAATGGTCAAACATCCCAAAAGATTGATGATCCAAAATTTCAACTGTTTCGATTGGTATTGGCTGCCACAAAAGCTGGTTGTCCCAAATTTGTTCGTTTAAAGGAGGGAATAGGCCGGCAAGTAATAACTGGGCGCTTGTCAATGTTCGGTTGTCTCGGCCACTTTTGATGTTTATCTAAAAAAATCTTTTGAAAATTGTTAAGTTAGAAGCCTAGCCCTGAGCAGGCATCGATGAGGCGTCCTGGCATTTATTTTTAACATAAGCGCTTTCGGTTATCACGAACAGGTGCTTTACAAGGATGGGACGGGTTGAACGAAAAGTTAGGTTGGATTTTGAAAATTGTCTTCGGATCGGGTCTAAAAAAGGTTGGGCTTCGGGTATCCCGTCCCATCTTTAGTGCCTTAACAACTGGCTATCAGGACATACCTCTTCTTAATAAATCTTAGACCCACGTCTACTTAAATGCTAACCAGTTGGATTTTCTCCCCCTTACAATCGGAACTTTTATTTATAATTAAAATCAAACCTCTCTAGGCCGGTACATTTCACCCAAAAAATCGCCATAAAATGTTCTCAAAAGCTTTCCAAGCTGATATTCTTGCCTCATCCCTTCAATTGTTAATTCGCCTCTCTCCAATTTTTGAACAATTCTGGGAGGTTTTCCTTCGCTAGGAAAAGATAGGAAACTTGTGGGTAGACGCTGTCCATGTCGAAAAATCTGAAAAAAAAATTTTTAAAAATTAAATAATTTTTTATTATTTAATTAACCAATTGGATATGCTTCAAAATACCATTACAAAATGAAAGTTGGGTTAGGAGGATTATAAGGGGGTGAAAAAGAAAAAATAAAAATTTCATTTTTACAATAAAAAATATTTTTTTGGTTAAAGTTATGGAGAAATTATATAAAAAGCCAAAACATAACCCAAAAAAAGATAAGAAAAGGGAAAAAAGATAAGAATATAAAGATCGATAAATGTACGTACTTCCCCCATCTTCCCTGCTTTTTTGGCTTTGACCCCCATTTTTAAAAGTTTAAGGTCCCTCTTCATTACTTACAATACACGAGTACCTTGCTTTTGTAAGTACAATGCAAACGTTAAGCATCAGTTTCAGGAAATATCAGAGACAAAGAGAAAGACAAGGTAAAAAATGATCAAACAAAGAAGGAGTTTAACCAAAGTATTACTAAACCAAAAATTTTTTTTTCAAAAACCTGTCCAATTGTATCAGTCATTTGTCGTTCAGGACCTTCTGGAATGTCTTGTGCAAACTCAAAAGGTTTTCCCTCGCCATTATTTACATTATTTTTGTGCAGCCATTCAATTGCATCAGCATAAGTCATTTGAAACAATGGACGTTTTAATGAAGGAAATTTTTCCTAAAAAATGGGAAAAATTAATTTAAAAGGATATTTCGATAATCATTTATTGTTAGTTTACTGATCCCTGTAAAAATATGAGGAAGTTCTGTTTCGATATTTTTTAGGCTACTGACTGGAGGAGTTTATAATGAGGCCAAACTGAATAAAAATATGAAGTTTCAAAACAGAATTTTTAAAATCAGAAAAAATTATCAACTAACCGCTGAGTATAAGACCGATTTCTGAACATTCCTCTTCCCAACAGCATCATCCATCCTTCCCAAAATTTGATCAAAATGCCAACCTCCCATACTTTCCAAAAATAAATCGATTAGGCCAATATGAAGGGATAAATGTTTTTTCCTCCTTTCTTCCAAATATTTTGAAGAGTTAGCCCAAGCAGGCAAAGAAAGAATTTGGGGCAGTTTTGACTAAAAATAAATTTAAAAAATTTTGGGGTTAACTCCGAGGATCTACTTTAAAAACTTATTGATCCTGAAGACCTACAAATTTTGAAAGGGAATATAGAAGCATTTAGAGGGAATAAGAGGGATAAATATCCAGCTCTATGGAGCGGTATTGTGTGTATCATAACTCTGGGTGAGTATAATCTCTACACCCTTCAATCATCCCAAATCCATCGATATCACCTTTCAAAAGTTGAATGTCCTCAGGTTCTACAGGTCTTCAGGGGTGGACTATTTCTTAAGTAAAAAATTTTAAAAATAAACCCTTGTAACAATGCTATCCAACACTCGTTGAAGTATAAAAATTCCATCAATCTTCATTTGCGTGTCTTTCTCCATTCTTTCAATTTCTTCTTTAAACAACCCCTCCAACCTCTTATATCCTTCACCTTCTTTTAAATTCCTCTCTCCTTCAGCCCAAATTTGTTCGTTTAAAGAAGGGAATAGGCCGGCAAGTAATAACTGGGCACTTGTCAATGTTCGGTTGTCTTGGCCACTTTTGATGTTTATCTAAAGAATTTTTTTATTTTTAAGTTAGAAGCTTATGTTAGCCCCGAGTAGGCATCCGGCGTCCTAGCAGTTATTTCTAACATAAGCGCTTTCGGTCATCACGAACAGGTGCTTTACAAGTATGTGACGGGTTGAACGCAAAGTTATGTCGGGTTTTCAAAATCTTCTTTGGATCGGTTCTAAAAAAGTTGGGTTTCGGGTAACCAGTCCCATTTCTGGTGCTTTACCAACTGGCTATCAGGACATAACTCTTTTTGCTAGATCTTAAACCCTGTCTAGTTAAATGCTAACCAGTCGGAGCCCGAAAATGCTTTTTTAAAGGATATTCCCATTTTACCGAAAAAATAGAATTTCGTATAGTAAAAAGGGGTCATACAAAGTTCACAATTTCCAATAAATTAAAAAATAATAAAAAACCTTGAAGGAGGCCTAACAATAAGGCTAACAATCGCCACTATAAAGCCAACAAAAACACAAATTTCGCCTAACCATAGACAAAAACACAAGATTAATAGGCAGAAATAAACCAAAAATTTGCTGAAAAATTTTTGAATTAAAAATTTAAAAAAATTTTTAAAAAACATACGATCCATTAAATTCTCCAAGGAAAGAAAGAAAATTAATAACGAACATTTTGACTATTTAAAATAATTTAAAAAATACTTCGAAGCTTTGTTATCCAAAAATTTTGGGGAAAGAGATTATGGTGTACGAGTAAACGACATAACGATTCGAGCGCGTAGCCATACTGGCGCAAAGTCATAACTTGCTTCAAAATTTTCGAATCTTAGCAAATTTAGTATTAAACGATTCCTCTCATCGAGCCGAAGAGATGGGTACCAAAACTGATAAGGGCCAAAAATTTTCCAGCAAGTTATGGCTTTGCGCCATTGTGGCCGCGCGCCATTTTGGGAAAAATATTAATTATTATGGAAATGTAAATTGGGTAAAAATATTAATTCAGGTTTTAACCTGTGAAAAATGATGAAAAAAAAGCTGCAATAATCATTAAATTTTCGATTTGTTTTATTTAAAAAATTTAAACATTAAAAATATGTCTATAAAAAAAGTCAAATTAAAGCCATATTTCAATACGATAAATGAAAAAAATAAATTAAATAAACTTGGCACCAAGTAAAAATAAATAAATTTTTATTTAATTCTCTTAATCACAACTCTAACTTCCGACTCATACTTTACGTTATCTTCATACATTGACACATCAATACGCTTATCTTCAATGCATACAGAAAATTTAATTTTTGGATTGTGGTCATTGGAGAGCAGAAATTTTGTTGTTTTAATATCTTCTTTAAGTTTGATTTTGATGTTTTCTGCATTTTTACTTGAAATAAGAGATCCATAAATAACATCAAATTCAATATATTTTGCCATTTTAGAAAGATCTTGTGATGTTTCAATATGCTAAACGTGAATTAATTTATTTAAATAAAATTTTTCTAAATTTTTTCTAAAAATCTTGCAGTATATTCAATATAATAAGCAGGCCGTAGCCAGGATTTTTTTCGGGGGGGGGGGGGGGGGAATTCCCTCCCTACCCCCCTGGTTACGGGCCTGTAATAAGGGGTATAAAAAAATTTTTTGGATGTAGTTTAGTCAAGTGCCAACTCTAAACAGATCGAAACAAAAAATCGATTCGTCTCGGTGAGCTGAATCATTGGTACCACTTTCTATAAATGCGAAAATGCCTGTGGAGCAGGCATCTCAACGCCAGATATCTAGGGAAATTCCCGATTTTTCTGAAAAATTTCGGGACTCGGGAATTCCCGACAAAAATAAAATTCCCGATTTCGGGAATCGGGAATTTTTTCGGTGCGATCCCTGCTATGGAGTTAAATAAAAAGCTTTCATTTCGGTGTACCAGCCCCATTTTTATAATAAACTTGTACAAACCTTTATAATAGAATTGTAAATTCTTGAATCAAGAGTTTCATAAGTAATCTCAAAAAATTTATTTCCTTCATTTTTCAAAATTTCAATCAAGGTGTCTATACAATTTTCCACTTCGACTATGACGGAATCACAACTAGCAAAAACATGAACTATAAATCGATTACAAATCAGATGATTCACAGCAAAATTTAAAGCATGATGAGTTTGAAGAAATACTTCTCCCATTTTAGAATGGATTTGTAAAGGTTTAATTGTTGTTGTATCTTCATCAAATAATAAATCAATCATTTGTGGATTAATTATAATTCCATTAATTTGAAAATACTCGAAGGCACAGTTAAAAAATAGCTGTAATAAATAGCGAGCAATTTTCAATTCCACAATGTTTTTTGGAAACTTTGTCAATTGTAAATAGTATATTCCTAAATAAAAATTTTTTAATTAGAGAATAATTTTTTGGTAAAGTTCACGGTGATTAGCCACCCCGAAACCCGGTGTTTTTGGCCATAAACCGAAAACCAGGGGTCAAAAAGGCGAAAACCGAGAACCGGCGTAAATCGACCGGTTTCGGGTTAATAGTGAAGGTAATTGGTCACTAGAAAAATTAGTAAAGTCCTCTTTTGGTATTTTTGAGGTTTATCAGTAGGTAATTGTGATGTAAGAATATTTCATTAAAGGATTTTAAATGGATAAAGTTTGAATTGGATATTCTGTATGAGAAATTTAGCCAAAAACTGGCTTCGGTTACCGAAAACCAGGAGTAAGTCAAAAACCGAAAACCGGGGGGTAACAGTTAATAACCGGTAATGAACAACCATCATTTTTATAAATGACTCATAATTACATATTCCATAAGCTCAAATAATAAGTAACCTTTATCCACTTTGTAATCATGTTGCAATTTGCAGAAAATAGTATCGATGGGCGTGTAATTATCGTCTTCGGTGTCGGAATATTCCAAATCTTCTTCCTCTTTTAAAAACATAGGAATTGAGTTTTCTATTCCGGCCTTCCACTAAAATCAATGTTTAAAATGAAAACGTTAATTTAAAAAAACCTTTTCTTCAAGTTGTTCACTCAACTTGAAATCATAAAGTTGAGGTTCTAGTTTAATGAATTCATAATCGCTTTCACAAAATCCATAAAGCCCACGAAGACTAACATTTTCATCCAATTTCAAGCAAAAACATTTAAGATCTGGCTTATAAACTTTATACCTCTTTCGTTCGTAATGTAAATGAAAAGTAGTAAGCTAAAAAAATGATTATTAGAGAGCATGCAAAATCATTTTCCATGTCCTGAAACCGCATTTTGGATCACTAGCAATTTTTAAGCTTTGATTTTTCTAAATTAATACGGTCCAAAAATATTCTGAGATTGAGAAAGAAACACCGTATTTGGGACAGAGCAAGTGCAGAGGCTCTGAAAAAATAGGGAGGCTCTGAAATGGGGGAGAGGCTTTGAAAAAATCCGGCCGGATCAGACCCGGCGCCTGCATTATTAGGGATCAATTTATAAAAAAACCTACAAGTTCAAGCCCATCGTATTTCTTCCTTGCCAATTGCTTTTCATATTTGTCAATAAAATTTTTGAAATAAAAACTTGTTTCTTGAAAAGATAATAATTGAATGAAGGTAAGACATTTAAGCACATCAAGTTGAATTTCACCCGGAATGTTTATTTGTGCAAGTCTTTTAGTAGTTTTAATTTCATCGGCCACTTTGTCGTTGTCAATTGGAGTCATTTGGTGACCTTCCTAAAAAATACAAAAATTTTTTGATTTACACTTAAAGTTAATTAAGAAACCTCTTTATAATATTTAACTCCTTCGTGTTCAACAATTTTTCGACCCTGGCTGCTCATTATTATAAAAAATCTAATTTAAAATAGAAAATTTGGTCTGTAAATTGGGGATTAAAATAGAAAAGATTTTATTATAAAAAATAGTTTTAATGATTAAAAAATCAATGACATTTTAATTAATAAAATTAATATGTATAACATTTATTTATTCAATAACATCAAAAAAATTTTTAACAGAAATCTTATTATTTAAATTGTAAGTTCTCATTTTTGTCTTTTACCTAATCTATATACAAAGAAGAATTCTCATAAAAATGCGCGAGATAATTAAAATAAAAGTAAAAAAAGGAAATTAAATGGCAAGGTCAAAACTTCTAAAATGTTACTAGAAAGGATAAGAGTAAATTAATAATAAACCAAAAAAGATGAGATCAGCGCCGTTACGAGAAATTTTATTTTTACAAAAAGGGACTTTCTAGTCAACCCTAAAGTTAATTCTTACTTTTTCCAAATATATTTTAATTAGTCAATAGCCTTCTTTTATTATTTAATTCAAAAAAGGGTACAGCCCAAGTAGGCGCGCGGGCATAATGGCGCAAGGCCATAACCTGCCTCAAGATTTCCGAATCTTATCAAACCTAGTATTTTACGATTCCTCTCATCGATCTAAAGATTTTCGTACCAAAATTGATAAGGGTCAGAAAGTTCCCAGTAAGTTATAGCTTTGCGCCGTTATGGGCGCGCGCCCACGTGGGCGTCCATGATCCCCTCGCTACGACATAAAAAATGATGTCTTTATTGTCTACCTAAAATTAATTTTATTAATTTTTATTTTAAATTTTTCCCTTAATTTATTTTAAACAGTTACTAGCCTTCTTTTTAGTATTTAAAAAATTAAATTTAAATTAAAAAAATTTTTCCCCTTATTTTCTTTTTTAAAGGGTCACTTCCCTCCTTTTACCAGCCTTCTACGGTCAGTCCCCCCCCTTATTTTTTTACTTTTTCCAAAAATTGGTTTTATACTCTCAATATTTATAAAAATAAATCCTCTGGACAGAGGCTCTCTTTCCTTTTTTATTTTTTCTTAATTAAACCGCCACTCTCCGACACTTTTGGAGCATTATGTATGTGACAGCCGGAATGCCACAAACTAAAAAAGGGATTGGAAAAACTAAGAGAATATTTTTATATAGTATGGGAATTTGGATTAATTTTTGGAAAAAAACAAAAATAAAAATAAAACTGGGGAGAAAGAATTTTTTTGTTTTTGAGCCTCTGGACGTTTAAGCCTTTTACGCCTACACTAAATATTTATTTATTTTTTCCCTTAATTTTCCCTCAAAATTTTGTTAAGATTTTAATTTGACATTCATTTAGCTAGTAAATTTAATTTTTTACTTAGAAAAAAATTTATTTTTTGATGTTACTCAATTCACGAGTTATTATCCTGGAATGAGTGTTTTTCATTTCCACTCTGTGTTTTTTGACCATATCTTTTTTCCAAATTTTTTTCAAATTTTAATTTAACTTTCATTAGGTAGTAAATTTAATTCTGAATCTAATGAAAAAAAATATTTTTTTAAAATTTGGCTCGGTTCATGGGTTCTTAAGCTCGAAATGAATCGTCCACCTCAACTATAAACTTGTCTCGCTTGGAATTATTTTTAAATTTTTTTAATTTCCTCTTAAATTCAACTTTTAAAATTGCCAAAAAATGCCAAAAAAATTTCCCGTAGAGTAATTAACCAAAAAAGTGTTGAAAAATATTTTTGAGTGTTTGTGGCATTCTCTGAAAAAATTGGTCAGTTGAGAATAAAATTCTTTTATTTTTTACTTTTTAAATCCCCCTTTTATTTTCTGTTGCTGCCCAAGTATTATTTAACTTCTCCCTCCCTCGTATTTTTTATTTTTCCTTAAACCATAAAGTCGCGAGGGATTTGTTTTTATTTTTTCTTTTTTTGGCCATTTCGGCGCAGATAAATAAAAGGCGGGGATTTTTCTTAGCCTTTCTGCCCTTTAGACTTTTACTTTTTCCCCTCAAAAAATTTTTTTCTGCTGACCACTTTTGAGAAGAAAAATAAAGAAGTGTTTCCCCTTTATATGGCCTAAAACCAAAAAATTTTTTTATCGATTCAATTAGGCAGCAAACAAAACAACAACAACAATTCCCCCTTCTTATAGGGGAAAGAAATCTTTCTTTGGCATTTTTATTTTTAGTGGCCGCATTTTTGGGGTATTTTTGTGTGTTTTTAATTATGCAACCCTTCTCCCCTTTCAGTCCTTTGTAAAGCGAGAAAGGTCATTTTTGGCAAAATGTTTTATTTTTACATATTTGTTACACCAATAAAATTCGCCCCAAGGCGCCTATGTATGACGTGGAATTTTCCAATTAATTTTTTTGTATTTTTTCGGCCTTCGCTCATCTTTTTTCAACGCATTCTTAATTTCGGATGTATTTCCACCAACATTTTTAACAAAAATACCCTAAAAGTATGGGGAGAATTTAATCTCTTTCTATCAGTTGTGGCCATTTCGGCACAGACCATTCACTAAATTAATTAAATTTTCTTTTCCAGATATTAATTAATGACAACAACAGAAGGGGAATTAATTAATTATAATGGAATCGATAGCGGTGTAGGGGGAAGTGGAGAATCTTCTGGCGATCAGAAAACTTCCCCGACAACCAAATCTATTTCAGAAATTAATCAAAATAATTTCAATAATTGGGCGTTTTCAACATCTGCTGCTTCCCCTTCCTCTTCTTTTTCTTCCCCTTCCACCGGAATGCTTGCCAATGTTGTGGGCTATGCCCGCTCTCGACTCTTTAAAAATGCCAACGATGGATTACTAATGCCTGGGGAAAAGGCTAGTTTTTAGTTAAAAAATGTGTTGGTCACTTTTGGCGTTGCGCCGAAACGACCGCAAAAATTATTAGGGAGCATTTAATTTCTCTTCTGTCCGGTTAAGGACGATTCAGTATCGCCGATTCAGTATATGGCCATAACTTTCCTGATATTCGACCGATTCGAATAATTCTTATATCATTCGAAAGGTCTCGAGATTCGACATCTTTTTAATAATTGGCCCGATCAGATCTGATGATCTCAAAAAAAGTTACAGCGTGAAAACCGATTTTTTATGCCTGTGACGTCGTTTATCAGTGATAACTTTTTGTAGAGTGATCAGATCAGGTCAGTCCAATTATGAAAAAGATGCAGCACCCCGAGGCCTATCAAATCATATATAATAATTCCTACAATATTGATCGAGCAAAAAGTTATGGCCAAAAAGCCCAAATACTGAATCGGCCAATACTGAATCGGCGATACTGAATTGGCGATACTGAATCGGCGATACTGAATCGTCCCCTACCCCTTCTGTCGGCTGTGGCCATTTCGGCGCAGAAAAAATAAAAAGCGGACATTTTCTTCAAAAAATGTTTTCCCACTCTTGAGGAAGTTTTAAAAGCCAAGGAGTGTTTTTGGCACTTTGTGTGGTCAATATACTAATAGTTAGGGGTTATATTGACTTTATTCCCTTACAATTTTAACTTCAACTTTTGTTTATTTTATCTATTTTTAAATCATTTAGTTAATGTAAACAAGCTAAAATCAATGTTTGTGCTAACATAAATAGCTTTACCACATTTTTTTTCTTTTGTAGATAGAGCAAAAGTTTTATTTTTAATTTTTGTACCGTCAACTAACTTTATTTTTTATTGAAAAAAATTTTTTTAAATTAAAAACCCGTTATTATATGCTCTCATTAGGCTTGAAAAATAGTACCTTCTAAGGAGGTGTACCCTATAAGGAGGTTACCTTATAAGGAATTTCTGGTTTGGGTGTATCTAAAATAGAGGCCTTCATACCTAATGGAAAAAATTTTTCTAAAGAAATTTTTTAAAGCTTTATTTTTCCATTTTAAAGGACGAGCAGACTTCATTTCACCATTCTTCTTTCACTTCTATTCCAACAAATTCAAAAGATTTAAATTTACAACAGCAAACTTTAGCCTTTGCGCAGCCTTTAAAAAATAAAGTTTTTGAAGAAGAAAAAAATAAAATTAAAAATAAAAGCTGTCCGGTACAAAGAAAACAATTATTTAGCTTAACTAATGAACAACTTAAAGAACAAAAAAATAAAAAATGTTTTTCTCAACCTTTTTGTAAAGGTAGGGGTAGGGGGAAGGGGAGGATTTTTATTTAATTTTGTTGTAACGATGTTAAGCGTTTTAGAAAAAAAAATTTCTTTCAAATTTGTATACCTTCTAATCACTTAATTAAATATACAAGACACTCTCTATTATATCCACAAATTTTTTAAAATTCAATGGTTACTGGATAGGTGTACGTAAATAATTGGCTGCGCCGAAACGTCCCTTAAATACATGGGGAAATTTGGTTTAAAAATTCTTGTAAAAATTCAAAAATTTTTTGAACTTTTTCTAAATTTATATACCTTATACTTTCAATTTTACGTACACCTCTGATTTATATACGCTCTCTATTATACCTACCGATTTTTGGAGACGATTAGCCACTGGGTAAGAGTGGGGCGTGGGGGCGGTTTGGAGGGGTGGGGGTGTCTGCTTAAGCAATAACCCCCAAGATTACGTACACCCCGGTTCTGGGCACACCTCTATTTTACGTACATTCTCTCATTTGAAAGCTCAAACTTTTTTTAATTTAAAAAATATTTAATTTCATCCTCTTTAGAACGCCTTTCCCCTTCCATCGGCTCTCGCGACAGTGTAATAATAGAAAATTCATTATCAAACAACAATTCAATATATTCATCTAAAACAAGTTTTTATAACGGAGATTATTGTAAATCCATAAACGAAAATAAAAAAGAAGAAGAATATTGGCAATTATTTGCTGTGTCTTTGCATAAAGTAGGTTGTTTTTAAAAAAATGCTTGATTGAAGGGATTTAAAGGGTTATAACTTTTTAATGGGTGAAGATATAATTTTGTTTATATGTCGTTAGATAGAGGAGACTTTAAGCTATAAAATTGGTAAAAATCAAATTTTTATCTCAACTTTTAGAAAAGTTAGGAATTTTTAAATAAATGCTGGTAAACGATTTTTGTAAGACCTTAACACAGCAGATCAAAATAGGCAAAGGCTGTTACTACCCCTTTAGAGTCTTAGCTAGAGTCTTAGACGTTTTGAAGCGAAAGAAAGAAAAAGGTTTGTATCTCGGTCTAAATTCATTTCTGAGACCTGAGTTTGGTGCCATTCGACCCAGCTCGACGAGCCGAATCGAATGATACATAAATTGAAAGACTTTGGAACCGTTTACCGGTTAAAATAAACCTAAAGGCGTTTAATAAAAAATTGATGATTATAAAGCGGAATATCGGAAAATTTCTGGTGTTTTCTTTCTTAAAAGTATCTTTAGGGTATTATCTACAATATTGTAAGACAAATTTTTAAATCTATAGAGATTTGTCGAGATAAAACTTCTCAAAGTTGGCTCTCAAAATATACCGTATCCTTGTAAAAATAGCACGCGAAAAAAATAGAGTGAAAAGATGCAGAGAAAAATTCAGTCTGCACTGAAACGACTAAAAGTAACAGGCTGATCTGCTGTGCCTTAAGATGGTTTCTGGCCAATAACTTCTTGACATTTAAAAATTTATTTTTGGTTTATATATCATTAGATAGAGGAGACTCTAAGCTATAAGATAGTCAAAAATCAAATTTTTATCTCACCTCTTAAAAAAGTTATGAATTTTTGAATAGCCCTATCTACTTTATTTTTAATTTTATTTTTTTTAATTTTTCCCTTATTTTTGCCCAAAAAATCTTCAAAATTTAATCAAACAATAATATTATCAACCAATTTATTTATTTTTTTCTATTTTTATTCGAAAGCATTCCTTTCATTAAAATTTTAGTCCTAACAGATCATTAATTATTTTTATAGCCTTCAAGAATTTTTCCTTTTAATTTCCATTTTCCTTCATTTTATATAGACAATTGTTCTCTTTTTTTAATTTAATGTCCAGTATTTTTAAATATTTTTAAATTAAAATTTCTTCAGCTTTTTAAATTGAAAATACAGTCAGGTTCCATCTCAAACTAAAACGGCACACTAAATAGTGGCATCTTCCTCTCAACCAATGCCCAAGCCCTCAAAAATGTACACTAGACCGAGGTATTTACTTTACTCCGAACAGAGCTGCACGAAAATTTTTCGTTTCGTTTCGTTTTCGTAGATTTTCGTGGATTTTTGATGATTTTTGTTTTGTTTCGTGTTTCGTTTGAAAATATTTTTTTTCGTTTCTTTCGTTTCGTATTTCGTTAAAAAAATATTTTCGTTTCGTTTTCGTTTCGTAAACCCAATTTTTAGACGAAAATGACGAAAATAATATTCGCTGGATTTAGGCAATTTTTTTCTAATTTGTTGTATTTTTAAGCCAAAAATTGTAAATTTTTCTCCCGGGAACTGAAAATTCAAAAAAATTTTGCCTGCGGCGCTGAAAATGGAAGAAATCTGGCTTCTTGGCTTCCAAATTTCTCAAAATTTTCGCCTGCGGCGCTAAAAACGGTTCCTTGTATCTTCAGTTTGAGTTGCCTAGGTCATTTCGTTTAGCCCCTAAATATCTCACCTAACAATATCCACACACTTCCTCTTAATTACTCCATATCACACGATATATTTCTTACCTCCTAAATCGGGAATATCAGGGAATATGATGGATTAAGTGGATATCAAAGTATTTGAAGGGATATCAAAGGATTTGGAGGCTAATATTTGAATTCAATCAAATGTTTTATACATTTAGACACACGTACAACCTCGAAAAACTTAGGCTAAACTACAGTTTCCGGATCAGACTCAGAATTGGACGATTTATATGTCATTCGAAAGAGCTCGTCGAGCTGAGTCGAATGACACCAAAATCAACAAAATCAGACGTCATTTGACAAAGTTATGACCGTTTGTTTTAGCCCCTTCCACAAGGGTTTCGCGGAAAAAAGTTTTTGCCGCTGCGGAGGAAGCCGGGCATGTCGAGCGGAACGACGGCCGCCGCTTCGCTACGGTCGCCGCGAGCGCAGCGAGCACGACCGCAGCGAAGCACGGCCATCGTGTAGCGAAGACCATGCCCGGCCTACCCTCCGTAGCAGCACAAAAACAGTTTTTCCAGCGAAGATTCTGTTGGTCATAACTTTGTCAGAAATCATCCAATCGAGCTGATTTTGATGTCATTCGACTCAGCTCGACGAGCTCTTTCGAATGAGCTATTATTTGCATATTCGAATTTTTTACCCCAAAAAAGTGCTTACTCCCCCCTATGGTTTTTGACCATTTCGAGCCCTATATCTCGGCTCCGAATCTTTTCCGCGAAAAAATTTTGGTGCCATTCGACTCAGCTCGCCGAGATCTTTCGAATGACATATAAATCGTCCAATTCTGAGCCTGATCCGGAAACTGTAGTTAGGCCAAAACTTATTATCTAGCATTAAAATCTAAAGATTTATAATTTAGATTTTTTTCGTTTCGTTTCGTTTCGTTTCGTGAAAATTGAGATTTTTTTCGTTTCTTTCGTTTCGTAAAAATGAAATTTATTTTTTTCGTTTCGTTTTCGTTTCGTAGATTCATGATTTTATTTTTTTCGTTTTCGTTTCGTTGAGGCCAAAATTTCATTTTCGTGCAGCTCTGACTCCGAAGTCTACTATAACGAGAATTCACTATATACAGTATACCTTATTGCCCTCTTAATTTGGAGATAAAACGTCCTTTTGTAAATTAATTAAAGTTAGAGGTCGTTTCATCGCCAACCTTAAAGTTTGATAATAAGAATACTGTAGTTCTGAATGTCTTACTAAATAGACTTTTAAAAACAATTTTTTTCGTTCTATTAAAATTTTAAAATTAAATTTTTTTACCTTTTTATTAAAATTTTTATTTTTTCTTTTATTTCTCCCTCTTTATACCCCTATTAATGCCCTCTCTCTCATCCTTGGACAATCCTTGAACAACTGCTTTATTTATATCGTTTAAATTGACTTTAAAAACGACCAAAACATTTTCCGGAAGAAAGGAAGAGAGAGATGATTTGGAATTTTTAGAGGAGTTGAAAATATAAATAGATGGATTGGTCATTTACTTTGGGGGAAAGAACAACAAATCGATCTTTCTTCAATGGGATTTAAACGATTTTGGGTGTTATTTCGGCGCGAATTTTTTTTAAATATGAGAAGATAGTTTAACAGCTATTGGACTCTGGAGGGATTGGAATGACAAGGACAGAACCTCTCCCATGGCTAAGAACTCAGTACCACGAATTGATGCTAAGATTAGACCAAGAAACGAAGATTAGAGTTTTGACTCGAGATCATTGTCCATGATCAGAATTTACTCGAGACCAGGAATCGATGATCAGGAGCGATCTAGACCAGGAAAAGCTTTAAGTCCAAACTGAGATCCCCCCCCCCCCCCCCCAGAAAGGTTTCGATTCAAATCCAAGTCCTTGACTTGTTTACTCTTAGCTATGCTTTACCTTCCAATAATAAAAAGAGAAAGGAATGACCAATAAAAATCCTCCAAAGATCCCTTACTCACCCACTTTACCTTTATTCCCAGCTTTCTTGAACAATTGTTTAGTTGTTTTGATTGTTGATCCTCCAGACTAAATTATTACTTTTAGTTAGCTATATTATTATTGTTGTTTTTAGTATCTTTATTCTAAATACTTTTTTCCGATGGCCATTCTAATCTCATTCGAGTTAAGGATCACTCAATCACTTGACCTTCGAGTCATGTCACTCGATCACCTGACCTTCAGGTCACTCAATCACTCTACTTTCTGATCATTTGACTTTTGAGTTATGTCACTCTTATACTCACTCGATCACTCTATCTCCGGATCACTCGCCTTCTCAACCCCAACACACATCCGCCTTCGAGTCAACCCCAAAAACCCATCTAAACTTGCCCCTATCACCTTAACCTTTATTTTTTCAAGGCTAATCAAGGTTTCGGTATAGCAATATCTGGCTCTAACGACGAAAAGGAACAGCCAGCCGGAATTTTTATAAGCGACGTTTTAAACAACGGCCCAGCTTCCGGGCTTTTACAAATTGGTGATAGAATAACTTCTTGTAACGGCTACCCTTTAGAACACGCTGATTATTCTAGTGCCATTAAAGTTATGAAAGAGGCACAGCAATTAAATATGGTAATTTGAATAATGTATTCTCTCTAATAGACCTCTCTCTATTTGAATGACTTTTAATGATATGACTAGCTAACTGAGGGAATCTCTCTAATTGAATGGCCTTTCTAATTGACTGACGCCCTTTGAGGGTTCTTGAATGTAGAAGAGAGAGTGCCAGGGTTGTCGTTTTACCCTATTTATAGGGGATTTTCCCTATTTTTGGCCTTTTCGCCCTATTTTTTCCCTATTTTATACATTTGCCATATTTTGCCATATTTTTAACATTTTGTAATATTTTTTCAAATTTTCGAGTATTTTTAAATAAAATGCGAAAAAACAAAGAAATTTAACTCTTGAACATAAAAATTCCCAAAATTTTAGCCTGCGGCGCTGAAAAAAGAGAAATCTCTACTATTGTTCTTTTTAATTTCTCAAAATTTTCGCCTTTGGCGCTAAAAAAGGAAAAAATCTGTCTTCATAACTTTTAAAATTCTCAAAATTTTGCTAAAATGAAAGAAATCTATCAGTTCCAAAGATATTTAAAAAAAACTTGATTATCGAGATTTAGATTTTTCGAGATATCTCGTACGATTGTTGTACGATAAAAATTTCTTCAGTTTTTCGATATTCGAGATATCTTGTACAACATTCCCAGTCTGGGAAAGTCGTTTGAACTTGTTTTTTTAGAAATTTAGTTAAAACTAGTGGAGAACATCCGAATAAGGTTTTTTATTTAAAATTTTAATTATTTTTATGTTTTTTAAAATAATTCCCTATTTTTTGCCATATTTTTGACCGATTTCGCCCTACTTTTGCCCTATTTTTGAGTGGCTGCGCCCCATTTTAGTGATTTGTAAACGACAACCCTGGAGAGTGCCAGTCATTCTATTAGAGAGGAGACGGTGATAGAAACGGCATTTGAATAATTTAAAGAAAAGAGGGTGAGGGGCTAGAAGGGGGGCCTATGTTCGAAACCAGATCTCGTTAAATACTCTCGGCCATCGATATCAAGATCTAAGTCATAGCCACACGGCATAGTAACCCTATTTTGGCACTCAAAATTCAGTGCTGGATTATTAAAATAAATTATAAAATTTATAGATTGTAAAGCGTCGTGTTCCCGTCCCTTTTGTTGAATTTGAACAACGCACACTTAAATTCACCCTAAGCAAGTCTCGTAAAAAGGATGATTTTGGAATTGTTTTGGGCTGTAAATTTTATATTAAAGAAATTTTAAATCCAAAATTGGCTGAGAAAGAGCCTGGACTTAAAGTTTGTTTTGAAAAAAATTTTGAAAAAAAATATTTTTTTAAAGGAGGGAGACTCTGTCCTTCGAATTAACGGCCAGTCACTTGATGGAGTCTCTCTAGACGAAGCTACCAGACTTTTACAACGCTCACGCGAAAAACTTTCTTTGGTAGTTCAAAGAGATGTTCGGCGTGGGTCGAATGGGGGAGGGGGGAATGCGAGTAATCGGTGGCCTAGTCAGACTACGGTTTGGAAAAAATTTTTGTTAAATTTTTTAAAAATCCCCCTTAGGTCTACGAAAGACTGGGAAGTGTCCAGGCAACTCCCCGCCATTCACCAACACCAGCTCATTACGGCTTTGCACCCCCTAATGTTTCTGATAGTCAATATATGAGCCAGAGTGGGATAGGAAGGAAAGGATCGACTACGAGCAGTGGGGCCGATTATTCCCCTGCTAGTGGATATAAACGGTATTTTGAAAAAAATTTTAAAAATTAAATTTGTGGTTAAGTGGGAAAGATGTTGGTTTTCAATAGGATGAGGGGCTGGGTTCGACCCCTTACCGGATTAAGTTTATTTTTTAACTTAAAGTAAATTTTGGAAATTAGGATATTCGGATTCATGGTCCTTTTAAATTTTTTAAAAAAATCATATCGGTGGTTAAGTGGGAAAGATTCTAGTTTTCAATGGGATGGGGTGCCGGGTTCGAACCCTCTCCGGGTTAAATATATTATTCAACCTAAAATTAATTTTGCCAATTAAGATATTCTGATCCAATGAGTTGTTCACTCAGAACAGAATTTATTCAGAATAATCAGAACAATAATCAGAATTTTTATTCGTACCCACCACCACAAGGAGGAGTTGTTTATCCCTCTTCTACCCCACAAAAACAACAGCAACAAACTTTTATTCAAATGCAAAACAATGGCAAGCCGATAAACACAACAATAACTGCATCAAATGTTGAACAAACAGAAAATAATCAACAACAACAAATTGTATTCTTTTTGTGTTTTATGGAGGGGTCACTAAGGGCCTTAACCGTCCCGAGGCCTATTTTGGGCTATAACTATTTTTGTTTTCAACCGATTTGAGTAATTCTTTCACCTTTTGAAAGCGCTGGAAATGCTGATCATTTTTTCTAGCACGAGTGATCTGATCAGATTATTACCTGAAAAGTTATAGCGGGATAAGTGCTTGCAATCGTGATCTAGTAGTCCAAAATAAGCCTAAGAAGGAGGGCGGGTCCAAATTAGGTCTAAAATTATCATTCAAGTCCTCGCCCTACTTACAACATAATCAACAACAACATTCAAAACAACATCCATCTCCACATCCACAACATCGTTATTTAAATAATAATTCTGTGCCTTCAATACAAACACGTGCCCAATCACTTACTCCATCTTCTGTTCAATCCCTTCCTGTTGGGGGAGGAGGGGCATGTTCAGCAAATATTTTAATGAATCAACAACACAATTCCCTCCAAAGACCTAATTTTACTCCACCCATTGAACAGCATAACCAACAACAATTAATTGCCCATCAAATTGCTTGCCAGAGGCATGTATTTTACAGTAGAACCTCGTTTAAGTACCCCTTGGAGTGAAAAGTGTATCTTATAATGGAGATGTATCTTACAATTAGACAGGGGGTAAACAGGGGTTGCTTCCCACCCCCTGGGACACCCTTCGCTCTAACCTGTACATTTCACACAAGGACGATGTTCCTTACAGAGGGAATGTTCTCTTCATACTAGCAATACCCTTCACAAGGAGAATGTTCCTTACGAAAGAGGTGTTCTCTAAGTACTTAAAATATGTTCCCTTTGCATAGGGAGAATGTTCCTTTCAGAGATTTTTCTATTCCAAGGGTTATTTAAAAACGAGGTTCACCTGTATTTTTAAAATAAAAAACATTTTTAATTAAAGATATGGCAATTCTCGACTTATCAATAATTCAATTAACCTTCCAACCACTCCAAAACAACAACAACAACGTCCCCAAACCATTAGAACCGTTTCCTTCCAAAAAGGTCCTTCAGGCTTAGGAATTAGAGTAATCGGAGGAAACCAAGTTGGAATATTTATAAGTGCTGTCCAGGAACAATCACCTGCTGATCTACACGGAATTCGAGTCGGAGACAGGATTCATGCAGTTAATAGTGTTAGCATTGCTGGTTTAACAAGAGAAGAAGCTTTCGATATTCTCCTTTCTCTTGGTGAACAGTCAAGTTTGGCAGTTGAACATGCTCCGGAAGAGTTTGCTCAAGTTAAGGCTGGAAAATTTGGAGACAGTTTTTATGTCAGAAGCCATTTTACTTACAACCGCAGCACTTCAAGAGGAGCAGCCTCGCAACAACCAGGCACTCAGCAACCTATAGAACTTTCTATTAGAGCTGGCGATATTTTTCATGTGACGGATACGCTGTTTGGAGGATCTTTGGGGTATTGGCAGGCTACTAAGGTGAATTTTTGTTGTGTGTTCCTTATGCTCTAGTATGGATGTTCCCTTCGCACGGCATGTTCCATAGACAGGGCTAGTATGTTCCCCACGCACTATAAAAATGTTCCCTTCACAGGGGATGTTCCCTACGCACTAGTTAAATGTTCTTTTCACCCTACAAGGATGTTCCGTTTACAGGATGCTCCCTACGCACTAGTTAAATATCCCCTTCATACTAATCCATTTAAAACTTATAGATCTACAGTGCCGAACAACAAAATTCTTCATCCTCCTCAGAATCTACATCTTCATGCACACCAGCTACCACAAATACAGGCATTATCCCACATGCAAAGGCAGCCGAACAACTTTTTAAAGTTTATCGCCAAACTAATAATGCAACAAATAATGGGATTAATACAAGTGATCAAACAAGTAATGGAGGAACATTGGGCCGTTCACTATTTAGAAAAAAGGTAGTAAAGATGTCCTTTGGGAAAATGTTCCTTTCAGAGGGGGGGGGTGTTCCCTACACACTAGCAATATGTTCCCTTCACATAGAAAGGGATATTCCTTTACGAGGGGATACTCTCTTTACAGTGGATGATGTTCCCTTCACATTGGGAAATGTTCCCTTCGCATAGGGAAGGTTCCCTTCACATTATCAGTATGTTCCCTTCACACTCCAATATGTTCCCTTCGCACAAGGGAAATGTTCCCTTCACACTATAAATTGTATTCATTCCTACAGCTTTCCTTCTCTTCACGCAAATTGTTTGGAGGTTCTAGCAATAATGGAACAACTCCATCCGACAATTTAGACGAAGTGTTAAGCGGTGCTGGTAGTGCTACCAACAGTTTTACTGAGACAATCCCACCTGCTTACGAACGCGTTGCATTGAAACGACCAGCCTTTCATCGGCCAGTAGTACTTTATGGGCCTCTAGCTGATGTTGCGCGGCAACTATTACTGAGCCAGTCTTCGATGCGTTTTGGTAAAAAGAAAACAAAAATACACGAAAATACAATAAATTTTCATTTAAAGGTGCCCCACTGCCCTCAACCTCCTCCATCACTTCAGGCACAGGAGGTGTTGCTGATCCACTTGTTTCCTCCCTTTCTGTCTCCCCTACTCCAGAGCGTGGCTCCGCCAATATTCTGGGAGGTATTCGTCTCTCTGCCGTCGATACAGTAATGGCATCCCAAAAACACTGTGTGCTCTGTGTCAACCCTGCATCTGTTGAACGTCTCCAACTTGCACAATATGCCCCTATTGTTGTACTAATTGATGTTGAATCGAGATCCAGAGTGAGAGAGTTGAGAGCCAAAGCGGGGGTAACAACCGTATCAGCCCGTAAATTGGTTGAACAGGCTCAGAAGCTTAAACGTCAATACTCCCACTTGTTAACAGCTACGCTTGATGCCACAAAGGAGGACCAGTGGTTTGAAGCCCTGAGGGCGCTTATATTTCATTTACAGGTGGATAAAGGATAAATAGATTAGGCACAGTCGGACCTCATTATGAGATATGTAGTATGACATTGGGGTTGAATAAATCGTAGCTTATGAGTGGGTGTCGGTCGCTTAAATGGAGAGCTATCGCAAAAGCAACTCTCCCACCTAATGGACTACCAAATTTATAAGATGTCGGCTTCTCAATGAAGGCTTCTATTAGAAGCCATTCTTGCTAGAAGATATAACTCTAATCGAAGCCAATCTCTAATAGAGGCTCCTCTCTAATAGAAACCCATTTTTGTTAGAAGCTCGCTCAATAAGAACCATTGAAAATTAGAAGCTCAGGGCTTCTATTGAGACATTTACTGCGTTAACTTGAGTTGTATTGAGGTAACTTATAGTGAGGTTCATCTATCAACTTGAAGCTAGACAAACTATGAATTAAAAAATATTTTTAAATTGAAGGAACGCCGAGTTTGGATGCCAGAATTTCAACTAGACCAGCCTCTAGACGAAATGTTGCTCCTTCCAATGCAACCACCCGGGGACACACCAACTAGTGACGGGGACAAAAGTGAATTTTTATCCTTACAATTTTACATATTGTAAAAAAAAATTCAGGCGATTATGGAACTTATGACCCTCAACAACAACCACCATTAAATAATGGATCGTACTATAAAAATAATTCAGAAGCACCCTACGTGCTTCAGAATCCAGCTTATTCTCTTTCTGTTAAAGGCCAATTACAACAAAATCCGGCATTGCTAGAAAAACAATTGAAAGGGCAACAACAACAGGTTGTCCAAGATTTTTCCAAATATACACACTATTAGATTAGCCTCTTTAAAGGATACTTTTCTCAAATTTTGATAGGCCAGTGGTTTCGTAAGCTCCTCAAGCATTACCCTCTATCTAATAAACTCTCGATTTAAGGTGCATTTACCCTACATTTAATAAGCCCTCGATATAAGGTACATTTACCCTCTATTTGATAAACTCTCGATATAAGGTTCATTTAACCTCTTTTTAATTCACCCTCGATATAAGGTGCATTTTTAAGTCCCAAAGGGTTTATAAGAGTCCTTGTTGCTGCTGTTTGGTGGAGCTGCTAAAGCGTTGAACAGCCCCCGCTTGAGCTGCCCTCCTATTTAATATACCCTCATTATTGGGTCCATTTTTAAGCCCCAAAGTAGTATTTTTAACTGATATTTTTTAATAGATGTCTTCATCTTGTATCTCATCTGCTCAATCAACCCTGTTAGATTCTTCAATAACTTCAAATCACTCCAACCCAATCAACCCATCTAGAAATTCCCCCTTCCCTCAATCACAACCTTTAGCCCTCTACAATATTAATAACCAACAACAGACTAATGAAATGAATAATTCTATTAATTTGAGGCAATAAATAAGTTAATTAAATGTTTAAATTGTTTAATAATATACCGTTTTTATAAATAAAGCATTAAATCACTTAATGTGTTTAGCTTAGTGTTAAGGGAGCATTATTAGTGTTAAGGGAGCATCACACTAATGTGAAGGGAACATCCTTCTAGTCTTAAGGAACATATGCCTAATGTGTAGGGAACATCTTACTTGAAGGGAACATCCTCCTAGTGTGAAGGGAACATCTCACTAATGTGAAGGGAACATCACCCTAATCTAAAGGGAGTCTAACATGTAATGGTAAGGCGAGGAGCTGAGAATAGATACTCAGAATAATCCTTGTAAAAGATTTATCAGTTAATTGAAAGGAAAAATACAAATTGAGCCAAGAGATAGATTAAAAAAAGAATTAAAATAAATTATATATCAATTAATGTTAATCCCAATGTTACTTTTGTAATTTAGATATCGTTCCCAATTTTGTTAATCCCAAGATTGTTTTTGTTTTTAATTGAACCCATCACGTTATGTAACTTCTCTTTTCTTTTATAAAGTCCAGTTTACAGACGAACAATTTCTGATTCGGTTGTAGCCCCAGGTTGTTCTTCTGGTCCAGATGCGTATGGGTTTCGTGGAGGTTTTGTCTCAGGTTCAGGTCCAGTTGGGTATCGGTGACGTGGAGGTTGAGATGATGGAGCTGCCGGTCCTGATGGTGGCTTATGCGATGCTACTTGTCCTCCTGGCTGATGTGTAGAAGGTTCTGGTCCAGATTGGTATGGGTTTCGTGGAGGCTTTGTAGCAGGTTCTGGTCCAGTTGGGTATCGGTGTCGTGGAGGTTGAGATGATGGAGCTTCTGGCACTGATGGAGGCTTATGCGATGCTACTTGTCCTCCTGGCTGCTGTGTAGAAGGTTCTGGTCCAGATTGGTATGGGTTTCGTGGAGGCTTTGTAGCAGGTTCTGGTCCAGTTGGGTACCGGTGTCGTGGAGGTTGAGATGATGGAGCTTCTGGAACTGATGGAGGCTTATGCGATGCTACTTGTCCTCCTGGCTGCTGTGTAGAGGGTTCTGGTCCAGATTGGTATGGGTTTCGTGGAGGCTTTGTAGCAGGTTCTGGTCCAGTTGGGTATCGGTGTCGTGGAGGTTGAGATGATGGAGCTTCTGGAACTGATGGAGGCTTATGCGATGCTACTTGTCCTCCTGGCTGCTGTGTAGAGGGTTCTGGTCCAGATTGGTATGGGTTTCGTGGAGGCTTTGTAGCAGGTTCTGGTCCAGTTGGGTATCGGTGTCGTGGAGGTTGTGATGATGGAGCTTCTGGCACTGATGGAGGCTTATGCGATGCTACTTGTCCTCCTGGCTGCTGTGTAGAGGGTTCAGGTCCAGATTGGTATGGGTTTCGTGGAGGCTTTGTAGCAGGTTCTGGTCCAGTTGGGTATCGGTGTCGTGGAGGTTGAGTTGATGGAGCTTCTGGAACTGATGGAGGCTTATGCGATGCTACTTGTCCTCCTGGCTGCTGTGTAGAGGGTTCAGGTCCAGATTGGTATGGGTTTCGTGGAGGCTTTGTAGCAGGTTCTGGTCCAGTTGGGTATCGGTGTCGTGGAGGTTGAGTTGATGGAGCTTCTGGAACTGATGGAGGCTTATGCGATGCTACTTGTCCTCCTGGCTGCTGTGTAGAGGGTTCAGGTCCAGATTGGTATGGGTTTCGTGGAGGCTTTGTAGCAGGTTCTGGTCCAGTTGGGTATCGGTGTCGTGGAGGTTGTGATGATGGAGCTTCTGGAACTGATGGAGGCTTATGCGATGCTACTTGTCCTCCTGGCTGCTGTGTAGAGGGTTCTGGTCCAGATTGGTATGGGTTTCGTGGAGGCTTTGTAGCAGGTTCTGGTCCAGTTGGGTATCGGTGTCGTGGAGGTTGTGATGATGGAGCTTCTGGCACTGATGGAGGCTTATGCGATGCTACTTGTCCTCCTGGCTGCTGTGTAGAGGGTTCAGGTCCAGATTGGTATGGGTTTCGTGGAGGCTTTGTAGCAGGTTCTGGTCCAGTTGGGTATCGGTGTCGTGGAGGTTGTGATGATGGAGCTTCTGGCACTGATGGAGGCTTATGCGATGCTACTTGTCCTCCTGGCTGCTGTGTAGAGGGTTCTGGTCCAGATTGGTATGGGTTTCGTGGAGGCTTTGTAGACGCTTCAGGTTCAGATTGGCATGAGTGTTTTGGTTTTTTAGTTGTTTGTTCTTTCTGACATTCACACCCTGGCTCATCTGTCGTAGTAGATTGTGGTCTTTGGTTGAAATACCGATTGCAGACACGTCCACATTTCCTCAGGCTACATTCATCAGGTACTGGGCCTACAGTGCTGTTATAAACTACAATCTTTGACTCTCTTATAATTGCATTGCAACAGTTCATGACTTTTTGGTTCTTGTTAAGATTTGGGTCACTACAGAAAGGAGGAAGAGCTGACGATAAGTCATCTATTGGTACCTCTTCATATCCACTAGTTGAGGAATCTTAAATTAGGGAAATATTACTGTTAGAATAGGGTAATATTTTTATATACTAAGAAATTCTGTTTACAAATTTATTTCAGAAATTGTAAATTAATAATTCTGAAAGGTTTTAAAAATTGTAAAAGTTTTTATAAAAGTTTGTTTTGTGTTTTTAATTTGTAAAATATAAATTCTGATTTTTACAATTTGTAAAATGTTTTTATAAAATTTTCAGAATTTCTCCCAAATTATTTTCAGAATATTTTTTCAGAATTTTTTTTTCAGAATTATTTTTTCAGAATTATTTTCAGAATTTTTTTCAGAATTATTTTCAGAATTTTTTTCAGAATTTTATCAGAATTATTTTCAGAATATTTTTCAGAATTTTATCAGAATTATTTTTCAGAATATTTTTTCAGAATTATTTTCAGAATTATTTTCAGAATTATTTTTTCAGAATTATTTTCAGAATTATTTTCAGAATTATTTTTTCAGAATTATTTTTCAGAATTATTTTCAGAATTATTTTCAGAATTATTTTTCAGAATTATTTTTCAGAATTCTCTTTCATATTTTTACAAATTGTAAAACATTTTACAAATTCTGATAAACATTTTATTAATTTCTAACCTTCAGCCAATGAAAACTCAAACGCCACAAAGCCGATAAACACAGCTAATAAAAATTTCATTTAATTAAATTATAAATTTAATTCGGAGGATATTTAGGGGAATATTTTATTTGTGAGTGGGAGATTGTTGTTATTCTCCTGTTTGTCGCTATGCCTTTTAAAGCCAAAAATTTCTCCAAGCAAAAAAAAAATTTTTTTTATTTTCTAAAAAAATTTTCTAAAATTTATTTAAAAGCTGTTTAAATAATTTTTAAAAATTTTTATAAAAATTTTTTCTCTCTCTCATTTAATATTTAATTTAATATTAATTGGTATCCCCCAAAAGTTTCCATAAACGGCTCCAAAAGGGGTATAGTTTGAAACAAATAATAAATCGGCAAGATATTCACGTGTAAATTTTTAATTTTTCGTGCGTCAATGGCAAAATTTTGGCAAGAAAAAAAATTTTTTTTGGATTTTTTTTGGATTTTTCTATATTTTTATTTAATAGATTATTTAAAAAAAATTTATTTTTGGCAATTTTAAGCGTTGGAAATTTAATTTTATTTTTTTTTATTTTTGCCAACACATATCCCAGCTTAATTTTATTTTTGGTTTTGTAATGAATTATTAAATAATTATTAAATTTTGCTTCATGGTGAAACTCTCTTCGAATCTTTCTCTAAAATCCATACAACTAACCCCTACCTTTCCCAGAAACAATTTAATATACCGTAATCCTTGAATAACTGCTCTGGGCAATTATTGTTTCGACCTATCGCTGGAGGGGATAATTAATAAAATTTGAGGATATTTGAGAGAATACAGGTTGTACTGTCCTGTTATGTAGCCGTTCTGCCTGATTTTGATCTACGTCCCTCTATTTCTTCCTACATTCCGTTCTTACGTCAGCTCCTAGGTCCCCTCCTCACCCCTCTCTATATATCTCTTCCTGCTCCCCTTCAACCCCCCCCCCCCGCCCTATGCTTCTTCCTATATCTTCAGCCTCAAGTAATTATTGTATCGACATAATGGAGAGATCCACAATCACTTTGAATAATTCGAATTAATAATTTATTTATTTTATTTTTAAATATTTATTCCCAAATAAATTAATTAAATAACCCAAAAATTTTTAAAATCCCTTAAAATCGCAGATTTCAATTCTTAACTTCCTCCTCTTCGTTTTAATTAACAATATCAGGATTAAGAGGAACGTAAATCGGTGCTTCAGTCGTTGCTTCATTAACATTTTGCTTCAATTTCAGCATTTTATGAGGTGAATGCGTAGTGACAGTCTTTTCATCTTCCCCTTCACGGCCCTTCAAAACATTTCTTTTCGCCCTTATTTCAGTTCCCTGCTTCATTTTTGGCATTGCATGAGGTGGATGAGTTGGGGGTGGTTGGGTGCCCCTTTGTTTCTCAGCTGGCAACGGCTTACCGGTGGTCATATAATCAATACCGTGTTGGCATGTACGTCCACAATTAAGGCATTCATCGGGTAAATTATTGGAGGGACTCAGACCTTCAAAATTAAGTTTAAAAATTAATTTAAACATTTTAAGAAACTTCCATTCTTCTCACGAACAAGTTTACGCGGATAACGAAAATTCCCTCGATACAGGGCATAACAACAACTAAAAACTTGTTTTAGTTTATAAAATGAACAAAATTTAGGAAGTTTTTCTAATGGTAAAACAACAAGTATATTATGTTGTAAGGTTGTTGGAGTGTTTGTTGTGGTTGGTAGATGTTTGTTTTGTTGTTGTTCCATTGGGTTTTGATGTTGTTTATATGGAGCTGCATTTGTTGATGTTTTTGTTGGAGTGTTTGTTGTGTTTTGCACATGTTTGTTTGGTTGTTGTATTGGAATGAGGTTTTGTTCATTTGTTTGAATGGTACCTGTTTTGTTTTTATTTCAAAACAAACTTGTTTTGTTTGTCAACAACTTGTTTTGTTTGTCATTCTAAACAAACTTGTTTTGTTTGTCTTTTAAACAAACTTGTTTTGTTTGTTACTTTAAAAACTTGTTTTGTTTAAAACAAGTTTTTCTTTCCCTTTTAAACATGTTCGGCAACAATAAAACAAACCTTCAATTTTGCAAGTAAAACAACTAATTAATAAACAAAACATCGAAAAACTAATAAAATAATTCATTTTAATGTTTTAATTTTGTTCTGGTTTGAGTTTTGGATTTAGGCTTCATTTTAAAGGGCAAACTTGATATTCAAAAGTTTGAGGATTTTAATGCCTGTTTAAACAAAAACAATTTCTGAAAATAAAAATAATAAAAAGTTCAAAACATAAAAGTTTCGGCCTTCTTTAATGTTTAAGGGTGAATTCATGTGAATTCCCTCTATTTTTGCTTTAATTTTTATTTTTCAATAAATATGTGGATAAATATAGAAATTTATTCAAGGGATTTTATTTGTGTTTTTGGGTGTTTGAAAGCATTTTTATGCTTCCATACAGTTGCACTAGACGTTCCAGGCGATCTTTAGCCCAACACCAGGATTTTTGCAAAATTATTTTTCCATATATTTTTTTTCAATTTTTTGATTTTTTCTATTTTCTAATCAAAGATAAGTAACCAATTTTTAAATAAAAGATAAAAAAAATAAAAATGGTCCCATGACTATACTAATGATTTTTGACTGGAGGCGCCATTCACTCCTTCCACGCAACCAGCCGTGCAGCAACCATGAATAATAGCGTTTTTATTGATTCTTTGGGAATATGTACATATGAGAATAGAAATAGTTTTTTAGTCAGTTTAATTATTTAATTTAATTTTTTAGTAAAATAATCAGAAAATTAATTTTTTGTGGGTAGCGTGTTGCACCTTGCCGACGTTTATTTAAAATTCAACAACTTTTTGGGAATTTAAGTTGATCGATTAATTTTTTCAATATTTTGTAGCTAAGATTCTCCTCTATCTTTTAAGATAAAGATTAAATCTATAACTTTATTTTTTAAAAAGTTATGGAACAAAAATCACAAAAATGCTCATTAATGTTTCTGACCTGACTTGTTTAAAATTCCATAACTTTTTGAGTAGTGGGTTTAAAATTCTGATTTTTTGATATTTTATAGCCAAGAATCTCCTCTATCAGCTAATATAAAAATTAAATCTGTATCCTTACTTAATCAAAAGTTATAGATTAAAATCTCGAAATACTGCCTTTAAATTTTCTCTACAGCTTCACTCTTTTTTTACAACTTGTTTTTCAACTTGTTTTTCAACTTGTTTTCCAACTTGTTTTACAACTTATTTTTCAACTTATTTTTACAGCTTGTTTTTACAACTTGTTTTTCAACTTGTTTTACAATCAAGTTTTATTTTTAAAAAATAAACTTTAAATTAAAATGAACAACAATTCAACAACGTTGAAAGAAGTAAACAACGCTGGGACCTCAAATAATCAACCAAAAATACGCGAGGATTTAGTTAATGCAGCCAAACAATTTATTAATAATCCTCGTGTGAGAAATACTCCGATTGGGGAACAAAAAGCTTTTTTAATTAAAAAGGGATTAACAGAGATTGAAATTAATGAAGCGATGAAGGGGCGAAGTGGAGAACAGGTAAGGGGATTTTTGTGGAAAAATCAAAAATAATTTTTAAAAATTTTAAAATAAAAATCATTTAATAAATAAAATATTAATTAAACAAAAATTAAAATTATTCTCCAAAATTTCAGCAAATAATTTCACCTTATGGACAACCACCTCCAACGCTTGTCAAAAACAATAGCGCAGTGAGTTTTATTTTTGTTTTAAAGAATTTAATTGTTTTACAATTGTAAAATAAAATCAGAATTATTACAACTTAATTACAATTAAAATAAATATAAACTTGCAATTGTAAAAAGTTGTTATTCTGATAAGTTGAATTTTTATGCAAATAAAACTTTAAACTTGGAATTGTAAATAAGTTTGTAATTTGTGGAAAATACAAATCAGAATTACAACTTTTTTGAATTCTGATTTTTAATTCTGGTTTTAAATTCTGATTTTTTAATTCTGATTCTTGTTCTTTTAATTCTGATTCTGGTTTTAAATTCTGATTTTTTAATTATGACTTAAATTCTGATTTTTTTAATTCTGACTTAAATTCTGATTTATTAATTCTGATTTTTAATTGTTGTGAAATTCTGATTTTAAATTCTGTTTTTATAAAATTCTGAATGTTTTACAATTCTAAAATATGTTTTTACAAAAATACAAATCAGAATTACAACTTTTTTAATTCTGATTTTATTACAGATTTTAGAATGGGCAAAGGCCATAATAATAATCGGCTCAACAAGTTTTATTTTTTATCGTTTTGTTCGTTCATGGGTGCTTCCAAAATTATTGGGTATTCCCAACCCTGAAGATGAAAGATTACAAAGAGTTGAACAACAAATTGAATCTATTACAGAAACAAATAAAGCTATTGTAGAAAGTGTGAGACAAACAATTGGAACAATTTGTGAACAAAACGAACAAATAAACAGAACTTTGTTGATTATTCAGAGCCAAACAAGAAATAATAATGAAAATAAAGGTAGAAAAAATTTTTAAAAGTTTCAAGTTTTTAATGGAAAGGATTCTGATTTTTAAATTGAAAAAAAAGTTTATTTAATTCCAAGTTTAAAAGGTTGGGAATTTTTAAGTGAATTACTCGCAATTTTGGACTGGACGTCTACGCGTAGATTTTGGCCCATAACTTTTTTTTTAAATTAAGATTTTAATTAGATTTTTTGAGGATAGATAGAACAGACTTTTAGCTGTAAATTGGCCAAAAATAAAATTTCTAGCTCAATTTTTGTTTAAGTTATGAATTTCTAAAGTTGTCATAGTCGCAATTCTGGACTGGACGTCTACGCGTAGATTTTGGCCCATAACTTTTTTTTAAATTAAGATTTTAATTAGATTTTTTGAGGATAGATAGAACAGACTTTTAGCTGTAAATTGGCCAAAAATAAAATTTCTAGCTCAATTTTTATTTAAGTTATGAATTTTTGAAGTCGTCTAGTTCACAACTTTAGAGAGAAAAAGAAGGCAAATTTCCTTAAAAAAATTTTTTTTAATCTTTAAAAAATTTTTCAATTTTATTTTTATAAATTTTTCAGTTTCTTCAACAGATTCAAACCGTTTAATCTCAGAAATTGGAATTATCAAGTCTTTATTGCTCAGCCAAAACCAATTTCCACCGATTCCAGAACATTCACTAATTGCTCCCAAAACAACATTACCCAAACAAAATGGATTGGTGAATAATACAAAAAAATTGAAGGAAAATGGAGGAAATTTAGAAAATAATGAAGATGAACAAGAAGACGAAGAATATCAAGATTTAGATAAAAGTAGTGGTTCTCAAGTTTAAGAAGTTTTTAAGAGACATTTTGAAGCAGAAAAGTGCTTCAGAAAAATTTTAATGAAGCAAAATGTTTCAGAAACATTCTGATGCAGCAGAAATGTTTTAGAAACATTCTGTTGAAACACAATGCTTTAAAAACATTTTGATGAAGCAGAAATGCTTCAGAAAAATTTCCATGAAGCATGATATCCCATAACTATTTTTCTGAAGCAAGAATGTTCCAGAAACATTTTAGGAGCAAAATATTGTTTCTGAAGCAAAAATGTTTCAGAAACATAAAGTAAATGCTCTTTTGAAGCAAAATGCTTCAGAAACATTTTAGTAAAACAAGAGATCCAAGAATTACTTTTTTGAAGCAACAAGAAACAACATAAGCTTTATAAAACAGATTGCTTCACCTTTCTGTTTCAGAATTTTCCCCGTTTCTAAATATTTTTTAAAATAATTTTTAAATTAATTTTTACTGTTTATTGACATCTAAATAAATATTACTATTTATTTTTTAATCAACCCCCAAAAAATACAAATAACATCGTATTTTTAATAATAAACTACATTGCTTATCAGTTGGGTATTTTTATCAATAAAATTATTATCAATTAAAGAGTATTCCCTGGGTTCCCTCAATCATTTCCCCCTCAAACATTGCTTAAACAACTCCGATTTGTTCTAAAATGGCTTTGTATTCAAATCAACTTTCCTTGTCATCAGAAAATTTAGTAGCCAAAAAGAAGCCTAAAAAGCGATCTTTGCTTCGTATTATTTGGACAATTGTGCGCATTGTTCTCTTAGCTATTGTAATAGCGGTGATTGCACAGCTCACTTGGAGGTTTAAAAATATATATTTTTAAATGTTGTTTATTTATTTATTTATTTATCAGCAAACCACAGGTATTTTAAAATACATTAATGTGGTGCAAAAAAAAAAACATAAAAAATAAATTAATGTCAAAAAAAAAAAATATATATATGTAGGAAACAACATCAAAAATAAAAATAACTTTAAAAATGAACAATAAAAATAAATGAATTTAATATTACACATAAAAAAAAAACACAATAACGCTCAAGGTTAATTTTTCCAAAAATTTTATTTAGATTGTGATAATTTAATAAAACTTCTAAATTTTTTGGGATCATTTATTTTAAATGATTCATTTGGAAGATTATTCCATTTATTTACCACCCTATGAAAAAAATTATTTTTTGTTCTGTTCGTGTGTTTTTTAATCCTTAGAAGTAGAGGCCTGCGAAGTGATCTATTTGAAAAATTAAAATAATTTTGGGAATTAAGAGATGTAAACCCTTTTATAATTTTAAAAGCAGTGGAAAGATCGGCAATCTTTCTTCTATCTATTAACTTTTCAAGTTTGCAAGTATTTAATCTTTCTTCATATGGGACCTTGATTAATCCACATTTTTTGTAAATATTCTTAGTGAATAGTTTTTGAATTCTTTCGATTTTATCTATTTGATATTTCATGTGTGGATTCCACACTTCAGTTGCATATTCTAGCTGGGGTCTTATATAAGTTTTATAAATATTAACAAGAAGATTTAAGTCTCTAGACTTAATGATTCTTGTTATTTGGAAACTTTTTAGATATGCATTTTTTATAACCATATTTATATGGTTATTAAAAGATATTTTAGAATCAATTAAAACTCCAAGATCGCGAATGCATTCTGTTTCTTGTATTTTTAATCCATGAATGTTATACTCTCTTTTCAGGTTATTTTTCCCTAGATATAAGGCAAAGCACTTATGAGGAGATATTTCTAAACCATTTAACTCTGTCCATTTTTCAAGTTTCCATAAAGCTTTATTAAGTTCATCCCTTTCTATGCCATTTCTATGAGCTACATATAGTTTTACGTCGTCTGCATATAATTTTATTCCAATGTTTTCAGGGATTTGATTCGGAAGACTTTATGCTTCAACTTTATGTTTTGAAGCAGAAATACATCAGAAAATTTTTCAGAAGCAGAAATGTTTCAGAAAATTTTTCAGAAGCAGAAATGTTTCAAAATTTTCAAAAATCATTTTTCAGAAGCAAAATGCTTCTGAATAGTTTCTGAAGCAAAATGCTTCTAAAACATGAAGCAAATGTTTTTCTGAAACATGCTTCAGAAACGTTTTAATGAAGCAAGATAAGTATCCAAGGATTATTTTTATGAAGCAAAAAAATATTTCTATGAAGCAAAAACTGCTTCAACTTTATGTTTCACAATTTTCGATGCTTCCAATATTTTATTCCAAATATTTTAGTTTTGTAATATTCTCTGGTGTTTTCAATAATGCATTGTTCAAAATATATTCTGGCAATGGAGGATATTTCTATAAATTTGAAAAGGAGTATAATCGTGTCTGGAAGAATGATCGAGAACGCTTAGAGCGTTTGAAGGTTTTTGAAGAAAATTGCCGTAAAATTGAGGAATTAAATGAAGAAGCTGTTGAAAGGGGAAAGAATGTGACCTATGGAATTAATTCGATGACGGATATGACTGACCAAGAATTTAAAGAGGTGAGTGAAGCAAAGTGGGTATTAAGAAGCAAAATGCTTCTGATGAAGCAGAAATGTTTCAAAAAAATTTTGAAGCATGCTTCAAGAATTTATTAAGCAATGCTTCATATTTGGATAAGTGAAGCACAAGAAATGTTTCAAAATTAATTTAAGAAGCAAAATACCAAGGTGAAGCATTTTTTGCTTCTGCTTCAAAAATGAAGTATTGCTTCAGAAAGTTGCTTCAGAAGCTTAGTTAACTTGAATTTCTTAAGATGCTGCTTCCACTAGATGCATATAAACAGCTACATCGAGAAGACAGTTTTATACGCAAGATGACCCCAATTGAACGGAACAATATTAAAACAGAACATCCAAGTCATTTTGACTGGCGTCCAAAAGGAGTAGTTACGCCTGTTAAAGCACAAGGTGAAAATTAAAGGGGAAAAATTAAAGGAAAAATTTCTTAGGTAAATGTGGCTCCTGTTGGGCATTTGCTTCTGTTGCTACAACGGAATCTGCCTATGCTGTAGCACACGGAGTTTTGAGAAGTTTATCAGAGCAGGAATTATTGGACTGTAATTTGGAGAATTTTGCCTGTAATGGGGGTAATGTGGAAAGGGCATTTAGGTAAAAAAATTTCAAACTGTAAACTAACGGGAAAAATTTCAAAATGTCAAAAAACGAAAAATTTTTCAAAATGTCAAAAAATAGAAAAATTTCAAAATGTCAACTAACGAAAAAATTTTTCAAAATGTCAAAAACCCCAAAAAATTTCAAAATGTCAAAAAACCAAAATTTCGAAATGTCAACTAACGAAAAATTTCAAACTGTCAACTAATAATGCCCCATAATTTCCCCTAGTTTTATACACGATACGGGACTTGTCTCAGAAGGCGAATACCCTTATGTAGCACACCGACAGCCTGCCTGCCTGATGAATGAACACAGCAAAAATTTAACAAAAATAGAATCTGCCGTGTTTATCAATCCGGATGAGGATTCTATTATTGATTGGCTTTTAAATTTTGGGCCAGTTAATGTTGGTGGGTGGAAGAAAAATTTTTTTGAAAATTTTTGAAAAAATTTCTTAAAAAACGTCAAAATGCCAAAAAATGTCGAAATGTCAAAAAACGTGAAAAATGTCAAAAATTACCAAAATGTCAGTGACAAGTGTCAAAAAAAATTCTTGAAAAATTTTTTTTAATTTTTTTGAAAATTTCAAAATGTCAACTATCGAAAATTTTTTTAAAGCCATTTCTGTGCCTCCAGATATGAAGCCTTACAGAAGCGGAATTTATGCTCCTTCAGATTTTGACTGCAAATACAGGGTTTTTTTTTATTTTTAACCTCCAAAAAATTTTTTAACTCCACAAGGTGGTTGGCCTTCACTCACTTTTGGTTGTCGGCTACGGAATTACTGACAACGGACAAAAATATTGGATAGTAAAAAATAGTTGGGGGGATGATTGGGGGCAGGAAAACGGCTATGTTAATTTTATTAGAGGGGTAAATTCTTGTGGAATTGAGGATGAACCGATTGGACTGTTGGCTTGATTTTTGAATTAAAAATAAAATTTTCTTTATTTTGTGACCGAAAATTTTTTTAAATATTTAATAAAATTTAATTAAAAAAATAAAACAAAAAATATTTTTTTGGTAGGAAAATAAGGAGGGGAAATTTGTTTTCCCTTCCCAGGCTCCCCAAAAAATTCCCAAAATTTCAAAATCTATTTTAACCTCGTTTTAAGATACTCCCTCGGTGTATAGTGAAATCAAAATAAGTGATACCCATTTATAACCCCCCCCCCCTCTCGAAATCCGACCCCTGGCTACGCCTTTGCCCTGAGGTTTGGAAAGTGTACCTTATAATGAATGTGCCTTATGACGAGGTGTACCTTAAATAGAGAGTATCGAGATAACAGATGATCAGCCAAATGAGGTGTCTCTTGTATTGGGGGTATCTTAAAGTGAGGGTATTAACGTATCTTATAGTGGGGGTTGATGTACCCAATATTGGGAGTATCTAAAAACGAGGTTTGCCTTATTTTAAAAAATTTAAACAAATAAAGACTTGAATAACTCGTCCCTCCGTTCATGTGACCAAGGAATCCGTTCAGGCACAGCAGGGAAAAAATTGACCAATTTTTCAATCTCCACATAACGAATTCTACGCCCCTTCGAAATTCGTCTTTCAATTTTGTTTTTGGTCTGCTTCCTCTGTTTTTGTTGTTGTACACTTTAAAAAATTTTTTTGAGAAGTTTATAGAATAATGAAAGCCTAGGAATGGGGATAGAATACAAATAGAAGGGAAATAAAAGTTTGGACCCGGAGCGGCATCGAACCTGCGACCCCTGGCCGGTACAATAAATTTAAGGTAAAATATTAAAAAACCTTTTAGACTCATCCAAGCTGCTAGCATTCTTGTAAAAATCCTCGTAGAAACAATTCAAAACGCTTTGCAAAATTAATTCATTTTCATTACAACTTCCAATAACATAAAAGAATAAATCGACATTTGAACGATAAACACAAATAAAGCCGTCAAAAAGAATTATTTCTGCTAAAAAAAGAAAAATTGAATATAAAAAATATATAATACCCTTAAAATTGAGAAAATAGGGGAAAATAAGCATAGAAATCAAAATAAAGGAAAATAAAAAATATTGAACCTCGAGCGGGGTCGAACCCACGACCCCCCAAAATACCCTCTAAATCGATTTCTACAATTTCCTAAAAAATTTTTTCTAATTTTCTTCCCAAAAAATAATATTTAAATAAAAATACAAACCGTTAGCCTTGTGTGTTTTTTGAAAAAGATTTTTTTCAAAAGCAGATTGCTCCTTTTCTGTGGCAAGTATTTGCTTGTCATAATATTTGCCCAAAATACGTTTTCCGTCTTGATCCAAAATTAATATAGCTTTTAAAACGTCTTGATAGAGTTGTTGCATCCTTAACTGAAATATTTGAAGAATTGAAAAAAATTTTTAAGAAATTTAATTTTTTTAATTTTAGTACGAGAGAGTGTGGGAAATTGAGAGAGACAGCAGAGAAAAATTAAATTGGGATCTTTTGTCATTTTTAGTTTTAAATGTCGTTTTGTCAACTTTTTTTGCCACGTCTAAATATTTTTCATTTTTTTATTCCTTAGGGTTCTGTTTTTAAAAATTTTTCGAATTTTCATATTCTGTGTGGGATTGTTTTTCATCTTCCTACTTCAAGCTCCAACAAGGTGCGCGACGTTTGCAAATAAACGACATTTGCGGAGCTAGGTAAAATTAATAATTAAAATTTAAAATAAATTTATTTTTGATATTTGACGACACGTAGACTTTAAAAACTTCATTTATGATTTTATTTAATACTTCTCCCTCTAAAATGTATTCTAATTGTAGGGCATAACCAAAGTTCGCCGCAAATGTCTTGTTGTCCAAATGTCGTGCCCTACACTGTTTGCTTAATTCGTCTTAATTTTATTTTTTTTTCAGATTTATTCCATTTTTAGCAGAAAATGGCCAATTTAGACGCTGATTCACTTTACAGCATTAAAGCTATATTAATTTTGGATCAAGATGGAAAACGTATTTTGGGCAAATATTATGACAAACAAATACTTGCCACAGAAAAGGAGCAATCTGCATTTGAAAAAAATCTTTTTCAAAAAACACACAAGGCTAACGGTTTGTATTTTTATTTAAATATTATTTTTTGGGAAGAAATTTTGGGGAAAAAATTTTTTGAAAATTATAGGCAACGATTTAGAGGGTATTTGGGGGGTCGTGGGTTCGACCCCGCTCGAGGAACTTATTTTTTATTTTATGGAATTTTATTTATTTTCTTGCCCTCTTTATTATTTTATTAATTTTGATTGTTTCATAAGTTGAACTTTATATTTTTCGACATCCTTGAGAATTTTAAAAATACAGGGTTAGGGGGTCGCGGGTTCGACCCCGCTCGAGGAATTTATTTTTTATTTTACGGAGTTTTATTTATTTTCTTGCCCTCTTTATTATTTTATTAATTTTGATTGTTTCATAAGTTGAACTTTATATTTTTCGACATCCTTGAGAATTTTAAAAATACAGGGTTAGGGGGTCGCGGGTTCGACCCCGCTCGAGGAATTTATTTTTTTATTTTCGTCCATTTTCATTTCTATGCTTATTTTCCCCTATTTTCTCAATTTTAAGGGTGTTATTTATTTTTTATATTCAATTTTTCTTCCTTTTTTAGCAGAAATAATTCTTTTTGACGGCTTTATTTGTGTTTATCGTTCAAATGTCGATTTATTTTTTTATGTTATTGGAAGTTGTAATGAAAATGAATTAATTTTGCAAAGCGTTTTAAATTGTTTTTATGAGGCTTTCTCTATTGTTTTACGCAAAAATGTTGAGAAGAAGGTTCTTTTTGATCATATTGATTTGGCTTTTCTTGTCTTGGATGAAATTTGTGATGACGGGTTTGTTTGTTTTTTTTAATTGTTTTAGAGGGGATCGGGTAGGGGTTTAAGATATTTAATTTTCCGATTCCTTTTTTGTTTGTTAATATGAATTTAACCCTTTTTCGACTTTTTATGTTTTTAAGTTTTTAAAAATTTAATTTTTCCCCAAATCTTGGGGTCATGGGTTCGACCCCACTCATGGAATTTATTTTTTTATTTTATAGAGTTTTATATATTTTCTTGTCCTCTTCATTACTTTATTGGTTTTGAGAGTTTATAAGTTGAAATTTATATTTTTGGACATTCTTGAGAAATTTAAAAATACAGGGTTTGGGGGGTCACGGGTTCGAACCCGCTCGAGGAATTTATTTTTTTATTTTTGTCTATTTTTATTTCAATGCTTTTTTACCCTATTTTATTTATTTTGAGAGTGTTATAAGTAGAAAATTTAATTTTTCTGCGATTAAAAAGACGAATGAATTTTACTGGGATTTCCCTTGTACTGGGGGCATTTTTCTCTCCTAAAAATTTCAATAAATAAAAAATTTTTTTTAAATTTTTTCAGAGTAATTCTAGAGACGGATGCTCAAGCTGTAGTTGCCCGTTGTGCTTTTAAACCTGATGAAATTGGTTTTGGAGAGCAAACAATCTCTCAAGTTGGAATGTCTCTTTTGGGGTCTGCAAAGGATCAATTTAAATGGTCATTGCTTAAATGATGTGGTGATTAGCGAAGAAATAAATTTTGTGTGTCAAATTCTGGGTTTGTGTAAAATTGTTGAAATATATTTAAAATATAAAGGTTTTTAATTTTTATTAAATTTTTATTAAATTTTAGGTCAAAAATAGGGTCGTGGGTTCGACCCCGCTCGGGGAAAATATTTTTTGTTTTTGTCTATTTTCATGGGTTTGCTTATTTTTCAATATTTTTTAAGTTATTTTAAATTAATTTTTGGTTTTATGGACCTTTTGAGGTCTTTTGCCAGTTTAGGCATTTTGTCGTTTTTTGACATTTGGGCGTTTTGTCGGCTGAATTTTTTTGAATATTTTGAATTCATTCTTTTTTAAGCCAAAAATAGAGTTCAGATTTCCATGGGAATTCCGGATCGGCACTGTAGCTTGACAAAATCCGGCCTGATTTTTCAACGTTTTTTAGGTCACCTCATAATTTTAGAGGAGTATCATGGGGGGTCGTGGGTTCGACCCCGCTTGGGGTAAATATTTTTTATTTTTGTTATATTTTTAATATATTTAATAAAAATGATTAATCAAATTAATTAAATTGAAAAATATTTAATTTTTAAATCAAAAAAGCAAAACAAAAACTGCCAAAATTCCACTAATCAAAATTTTATTTAATTCTTTCTCCCCTCTAATTGCCCAGTTGCAACTATCAGCATAACAGCAACAGTAGCTTTGGGTATTTGTAGTTGAATTGTAGCACCCTCCTGCTGAGTTAACCGTTCCGTTTAAGAACTGGAAAATTATTAGAATATGTAGGGTTTTAATTCTCTCCTACCCCAACTTTTTTCCATCTTACTTACACCACAACCTTCCCAGATATCCCAATCCCTTGTTAATCCATCTAGAAGTGATCCCAGTGTTTGGGATAAGATGGGGAGATTGACAGGGATATGTCGGAGCCAGGACTGAGCGGCAATGGCGTTTGGCGTCCATTTTTGGCCGATTTTTGGCGTTTTGCGTTTGGCGTGTTTTAAAAATTTGAAAAATTCAACGCGAAAATTTTTGCGCACAACCCTGGTCTGAGCCTCTGACCTCTTTATATAGAGAGCCTTACCGTGCAGTTGCTTGTCTGACATCCCCTCATTACAATTTGATTAACATAATCAACGGATTTTGTGCATGCAACGGTAGGGCTCATAGAACAAGCTGCAGAACTCCCTGACAACTGGGCATTTAAAGCAGTTTGTCCCTGATAACAATTTAGGGCAAAAATTGTTGAGGGGAGAGTTGTGAGTAAAATGAGGAATATGACGATAAACATTTTTTTTGGTTAAGTGGGAAAATTGTTTAATTTTTGTGGGAGATGGAGAATTAAAAATTAACTAATTGTCAACAAGGAGTGGGAATAATGGGAAAACTTTTATTTTTTATTTAAAGTTAAGAAAGTGACAATTAATAATAAAAAAATAAAAAAGGAATAGGTTGGAAGGGAACCTCTCCTAGGCAACAGAAAATGACAATAAAGATTTCTAAATTGAGAATAGAGGGAAACAGAATTAAAAATAAGATTAAGATATTTAAATGGATTATAAATCAGGAAACGGAATTGTTAAAGTTTTGATAAGGGATAGGACTGGGAGAGTCGTACGAGAGTCGAGATTGTTATTTAGAAAGTCTTTAGCTTGACAGCCTAGATTTTGTTCAAGAAACGCTTGGGCTGATCTTTAGTATTCCAACCCTTGGGATCACTTCTAGATGGATCAACAAGGGATTGAGATATCTGGGAAGGTTTTGGTATAGGTAAGAGATTTAAAAAGGTGGTGTAGGAGAGAATGCTTTAGTTTTATCAGTAGCTCTGTCTTGGAATAATTTTTTGTTTTAATATTTAAACTAATACCAATTTTCTACAAGATAATCCCGACGTTAACAGCCTTTGCCAAAAAATCCTTTAAGAGACAAAAAATGATGTTCAGTAGGCGGCGTTCGGTTATCTAGTGATCTTCGAATATCCAGAGTTGTCTCGATATTAAACCCGTGGAATTCCGTTTTTTGAGAATTTAAAAGTCATGATCCTAAAAACGTTGGGTCCCTGATCCGAGCGTATTGTTTTTTCTGTCTTCTATTTTTATTGTTTGATTGTTTTCCTTTTTTAATTCAAAAAAATAATTTTTTTCTACAAAAAACCGGAAACTTTTTTCCTCTAAATATTTCCTTCCCTATACACAAAATTCCCCAGGGCAACGTGTAATATGTATTTAATAATTATGTGTCCATTATAATAATAGGGAGGATAAAGAAGATTTTTACGTTTGAAAAGAGGTAATTAGTTGGATGGGGGAAAATTTCATTTTTAAAAAATTATTTGCCGTTAAAATTATTTGCCGTTAAATCCCCCCTTGGTAAATCACACAAAAAAATTTTTTTTATTAAAAAATGTTAAATTCCCCCTTCCAATTTTTTATTTTTATTTCGTTTTTGGTTAATTTAACATATCTAATTAATCTTGGATTAATAGAATCTGATTCGGATTTGGTTAATGTATGCCAGACGGCGTTGAATGAAGCTAGGGTAGCGGGGAAGTGTTCGAATGAGGAGATACAGTTGAGTGAAGGAATTAAATTTTTTTTTAATTTAAGGTAGTGGAAGGGTGGTGGAAGCAGACCTGGTCACGGGTACTGATTAGGGATGGGCGAAATAAAATATTCTTTTGGATATTCGACCAATTCCAATTTTTTATCCTTTAGCATTGGAAGGGCCGTGGAAAATCGACGAAAAATGTCAATTTTCCCTTTTCAAGGGTCATGGGTTCGAACCCGCTTGGGGTAAATATTTTTTGTTTTCGTCCACAACTCTTCCAAAGGACTCCCAAGGTCCCCATCGTATCCCCAGACTTTTTTGAATCTGCATATGGATATGCCAACCCCCATTCCTTCCCAGCCTAGGGGATAAAGCAAAAATCAAAACCGCCTGTCTTGGGTGGGTTGATTGAGAGAGGATAACCTTTGGCCAAAAGCCGAAATCAAAGCGCTTCTCTTGAAGAGCTAGGCCAATTTACTCTATAATCGAGGTCAATTTTTGTAGAAAATGTCTCATTGAATAATCCAAATTTGCTTAATATACAAAAATACATTTATTAAATTACTTAAAGAATATCAAATTTTTGACGATCGGTCTATATCGTTCAGTTTTATTCGATAATTTTTGGAACGGGGGTTTCCCGGGAACCCCTACACAAATTTTTAGAACGATAACCTCCTTTACAGAATTGTCAACGTCTCTTCTGGCTGCGGCACTCTATCAACATTTAGTTTCCTTAGCCAAAACCAAAATCAAAGCGCCTCCTTCGGCACAGCCAACGCTGCTTCTCTATACTTTCAAAATTCGATTCAAGCGATAATTTCGAGTAGATGTGCTGAAGAAAGTAAAGAAATTGGGAGGCTGGGCTATTTTTGGAAATTGCCAGTAATTAACAGGGTTGGGAGCTATTTAGAATTGTTTAGAAGAGAATTGTTTCCAGTGGTGACACATTTTACTGGTTTTAGTGTTGTTGCTATAGGTGAAACTGTTGCAAAGTTGATGCAGAGAATGAATCAAACACAGGTTTTTAGGCGTGTTCAGACATTTTGCCAAACACACATTTGGCCAATGAAGAGAAAAACCTACGTTTTGTCAACAAACTTGTTGGCAAAACGTGCAATTTTAGCCTTATTGGCCAAATATGTTTTGGCAGAATGTGTAAGAGCCGTTTTTGGCGAGATTTTTTTTTGAAATTTCCAAATTTATAGTTAATGCTAGTCGGCCCAAAAGCCGTGGACATTGAAAGACCACCCCTTTGGCCGAGCATTTCCACAATTCTGAAAGCCTCGGGATTGTCAGTGCAGACTGTGGAGGTGGATGAGTCTAACGGGCAGAGTGTAGACAATGCACATAATACATTACGGTCTCCGGTTAAAAGTTTGTGTATTTTTTGTGTTTTCCGGAAGGGAAATTTATTTCCAGTGATCGCCGTCGACACTTCATTCTCTCTACTTGACTCGATTCTAGACGATATAGGCTTAATTGACTTGGGTGGCTCTAATGCTTATATGGTTCTTCTAATTTGTGCGTACCCTTTGGAGGATTGTATAAAGGACCAAACACTTCGAAATTCAATAGCTTCGGGTGGTTTTGCTTTGATTACACCTTATTCGAGTGAATGGGCACAGATTAGACAAAATGTATATCCGAAAATGATGACTGGTCAGCAGTCTACGGTAATTTGAAAAAATTAATTTCAAAGTGTCAAAATGTCGAATTGGCCAAAATACTATCGACCAACTGTCATTTTGATCAAATGTCATTTTGACCAACTGTCATCAGGTGTCATTTTGACCAATTGTCACTGTGACCAAGTGTCGTTTAGGCCAATTGCCATTTTGACAAAAAAATTTGTCAAAATGTCAAAAATCATTTTGTCACAGAACCTTTTGAAAATTCAAATTTTCTTTTCAGGAATCATTTTTAGCTACCTTAGCTATTTACAATGCTTGTTATGGTTTCTGCCTTGGCTCTTCCCTTACCGGCACCGGCTCATTTGCTAGCGATCCAAATAATCCAGCTTTTGTAGCCAATTTGCGTGGAAAATCATTTCAAGGCATTTACCCTTTTATTTTTACCAAAACGACCTTTTCAATTTAAAGGCTCTTTCGGCCAAGTAAATTTAACTTCTTGGCCCGCCCCTTTACAAAATTTAGCAATTTACATTTTGCCTTCCAGCGGAGGGCAATATTCCTTAATTTACACGGCAATTTCAATCCCCTCCTCTTCCTGTGGAACTTTTGAGTGTTTTGATATTCAACTACAAACATCTCCAAATATTTCTGAGGACCTTTTATGGCAGAAACAACGCTCAAACACCATTCCCTCATGCATTTATTCTGGAGGGTGTTCAAGTTTGGCACCTTATATTTCTGCTGGGGCGGCTATTGTTTTGGTTGCAGCTGCCGCTGGAATTGTTTACACGATACAGAGAAAGTGAGTTTTGGGGATTTTTAAAAAAATGTCAAAGTGTCGAAAAAAAAATTTCGAAATGTCAAATTTCATAGTGTCAAGACGGAAAAATTCCGTCATATCACCCGGAAACCGATTCAGACAAATGATATGTCATTCGAAAGATCTCGCCGAGCTGAGTCGAACGACACCAAAATTAGCTTCGGGACTCACCTGTGGGCCGAGATATAGGTCCCCGAAAATCGAAAAACCAAAGGGGGGACCAAGCACTTTTTTGGGGTAAAAAATTCGAATATGCAAATTATACCTCATTCGAAAGAGCTCGTCGAGTTGAGTCGAATGACACCAAAATCAGCTCGAGATCTTTATTCTGAGTCGAGATAAAGAGGCTCAAAATGGTCACGTATACCTACGGGGCATTGGCGAGGCGCTTGTGCAAAACTCCGCGCTTCGCGCGGAGTTTTGCGGCACGCGCCTCGCGGGGAGTCAACGGGCGCTGGGTCTGGGCTCGTAACATAAACTTATGCCTATTTTAGCTGCGGTCGGCATGGTCTGGCTTCCTCCCCAGCAACAAAAACCTGCACGTAGACCAAAGGTAAGGAGCTAAAACTAATACTCATAACTTTGTCAAATCAAGTCGGATTTCGCTGATTTTGGTGTCATTCGACTCAGCTCGACGAGCTCTTTCGAATGAGGTATAATTTGCATATTCGAATTTTTTACCCCAAAAAAGTGCTTGGTCCCCCCTTTGGTTTTTCGATTTTCGGGGACCTATATCTCGGCCCACAGGTGAGTCCCGAAGCTAATTTTGGTGTCGTTCGACTCAGCTCGGCGAGATCTTTCGAATAACATATCATTTGTCTGAATCGGTTTCCGGGTGATATGACGGAATTTTACCGTCAAGACTTATAATGCCATTATTTCAAAATGGTAAATTTCATGATGTCAAAATTCAAAATGTCACTTTAAAAATGTCAAAATTTCAAAATGTCAAACATTCAAAATGGTCAAATTTTTTAATTTAAAGAAAACGCCTCGATGTCTTTCGAATGCACTGGAGAATTGGTCGACAACAATTCAAAGTTATCGAAAATAAACAGGCGAAAGGAAAAGCTACAGGAATAGGCCAAGAAGGTGCTTGGAGCAAACGTCGTCAACTTCACGCCTATGCTTTAATTGGTACAAACAAGGCAGAATTTATTGTCTTACGGCAAATGAAGAAGGTGAGGATACTTCAAGACCTTATTATTGGATACCCCAGAATTACATCTCTGTTTAAGATACCCTCATTATAAGAGACTCTCTATTTAAGATACACTCATTATAAGAGACTTTCTATTTAAGATACCCTCATTATAAGCGATTCTCTATTTAAGATACCCCTCATTATAGGGGACTCTCTATTTAAGATACACCTCATTATAAGCGATTCATCCTTAAATCTCATTATAAGATAGGGTAGCTTGTATAGGGTAACTTGTAGTGGTGTGTTTTCTTTTTGTATTTTTTGTGTTTTCTTTTTTAATTTTATTTCCTCCAAAACAGATTTATTGGGACAAAATTGAACTCCATTTTATTTTTGAACTCAAAAAATTAAATCATGATAATTTAACAACATTTATGGGTATATGTTACAATGATGGGGACAAGTAAATATTTTTTTTAATTTTTTTAAAATAATTTTTAAAGATTTTATGTGTGCCATTCACTTGTGGAAAGGGGAACTCTCGAAGATTATATACACGGTAAATTTGTGTTTTTGTTTGTGTGTTTTCTTTTTGTTTTCTGCTTTGTTTTTCTGATTTTTGTGTTTTTGTGTTTTGTTTGTATTTTTTGTTTTTCTGATTATTTGTTTCTGATTTTTTATTTGTTTTATTCTGATTTTTTATTTGTTTTATTCTGATTTTTGTGTTTTGTCTGTATTTTTTGTTTTTTTGATTATTTGTTTTTGCTTTGTTTTTCTGATTTTTGTGTTTTTGTGTTTTGTTTGTATTTTTTGTTTTTCTGATTATTTGTTTCTGATTTTTTATTTGTTTTATTCTGTTTGTGTTTTGTTTGTATTTTTTGTTTTTCTGATTATTTGTTTCTGATTTTTTATTTGTTTTATTCTGATTTTTGTTTTTTGTTTGTATTTTTTGTTTTTCTGATTATTTGTTTCTGATTTTTTATTTGTTTTATTCTGATTTTTGTGTTTTGTCTGTATTTTTTGTTTTTTTGATTATTTGTTTTTGCTTTGTTTTTCTGATTTTTGTGTTTTTGTGTTTTGTTTGTATTTTTTGTTTTTCTGATTATTTGTTTCTGATTTTTTATTTGTTTTATTCTGTTTGTGTTTTGTTTGTATTTTTTGTTTTTCTGATTATTTGTTTCTGATTTTTTATTTGTTTTATTCTGATTTTTGTGTTTTGTTTGTATTTTTTGTTTTTCTGATTATTTGTTTCTGATTTTTTATTTGTTTTATTCTGATTTTTGTGTTTTGTTTGTATTTTTTGTTTTTCTGATTATTTGTTTCTGATTTTTTATTTGTTTTATTCTGATTTTTGTGTTTTGTTTGTATTTTTTGTTTTTCTGATTATTTGTTTCTGATTTTTTATTTGTTTTATTCTGATTTTTGTGTTTTGTTTGTATTTTTTGTTTTTCTGATTATTTGTTTCTGATTTTTTATTTGTTTTATTCTGATTTTTGTGTTTTGTTTGTATTTTTTGTTTTTCTGATTATTTGTTTCTGATTTTTTATTTGTTTTATTCTGATTTTTTATTTGTTTTATTCTGATTTTTGTGTTTTGTCTGTATTTTTTGTTTTTTTGATTATTTGTTTTTGCTTTGTTTTTCTGATTTTTGTGTTTTTGTGTTTTGTTTGTATTTTTTGTTTTTCTGATTATTTGTTTCTGATTTTTTATTTGTTTTATTCTGTTTGTGTTTTGTTTGTATTTTTTGTTTTTCTGATTATTTGTTTCTGATTTTTTATTTGTTTTATTCTGATTTTTGTTTTTTGTTTGTATTTTTTGTTTTTCTGATTATTTGTTTCTGATTTTTTATTTGTTTTATTCTGATTTTTGTGTTTTGTCTGTATTTTTTGTTTTTTTGATTATTTGTTTTTGCTTTGTTTTTCTGATTTTTGTGTTTTTGTGTTTTGTTTGTATTTTTTGTTTTTCTGATTATTTGTTTCTGATTTTTTATTTGTTTTATTCTGTTTGTGTTTTGTTTGTATTTTTTGTTTTTCTGATTATTTGTTTCTGATTTTTTATTTGTTTTATTCTGATTTTTGTGTTTTGTTTGTATTTTTTGTTTTTCTGATTATTTGTTTCTGATTTTTTATTTGTTTTATTCTGATTTTTGTGTTTTGTTTGTATTTTTTGTTTTTCTGATTATTTGTTTCTGATTTTTTATTTGTTTTATTCTGATTTTTGTGTTTTGTTTGTATTTTTTGTTTTTCTGATTATTTGTTTCTGATTTTTTATTTGTTTTATTCTGATTTTTGTGTTTTGTTTGTATTTTTTGTTTTTCTGATTATTTGTTTCTGATTTTTTATTTGTTTTATTCTGATTTCTGTGTTTTGTTTGTATTTTTTGTTTTTCTGATTATTTGTTTCTGATTTTTTATTTGTTTTATTCTGATTTTTGTGTTTTGTTTGTATTTTTTGTTTTTCTGATTATTTGTTTCTGATTTTTTATTTGTTTTATTCTGATTTTTGTGTTTTGTTTGTATTTTTTGTTTTTCTGATTATTTGTTTCTGATTTTTTATTTGTTTTATTCTGATTTTTGTGTTTTGTTTGTATTTTTTGTTTTTCTGATTATTTGTTTCTGATTTTTTATTTGTTTTATTCTGTTTGTGTTTCTGCTTTGTTTTTCTGATTTGTATTTTTTAATGTTTTTATTTTATTCTGATTTTATTTGTTTTTGTATTTTCTTTGTATTTTTTCAGATCTCGATTTTCAATTAGACAACACTTTTCGTTCTGCCTTCCTTCGAGATATACTCAAAGGTGTCAAATATTTACACAAGTCGTCTATTGGATACCATGGAATGTTGAATTTACAAAATGTTTTGATCGATTCCAATTGGGTGTTGAAATTGACCAATTTTGGAATTGGAAATTTATTAAATAGGGCTATTAGGAGGGAACAATTACAATTAATTGAGCTGATTCCGTTAAATAGTAAGTTTGGAATTTTTAATTTTCGTGTTTCGGAGTAGGCATTGGGAACCAATTTCGAAATCTTGGCGTTTTGAAATTTGGGCGTTTTGACATTTGGGCATTTTTGATTGTGGCTTTTTGTCCTTTTGACACTTTGAAATTTTTGCGATTTTTAATTTTTTGAAATTTCTATTCGAAATATCGTTTATAGTTTTACGAAATTTCGTATTTCGTAATTCAAATGAACGTTCATGTAATTAATTTCAGGTACTCGGGGACATTTAACTGACTTGATAATTCACCTAATAATTTTTATTTTAAGCCTATTTAACGGTTGCACCAGAGAATTTAATAGATATATCCTATGGAAGAGAATACCCAAACGGAACAACAATAGGCGATATTTACAGTATGGGGATGGTTATGTACCACATTTTGTTTCGACTTGCCCCCTACGAAAGAACAACCCTAAGCCCAAAAGAAGTTATTGACCAAGTCAGACAACACAATTTAAAGCCTATTCTCGAAAATACTTTGCCTGAGGAAAAGCCTGTAAGGGGGATTTTTTAAATTTTTAAATTAAAATTTGAATAGTTGGTGGATGCAATGGAACAATGCTGGCAGAAAAATTTGGATTTGCGCCCGAGATTGAGACAGCTAGCTCAAGTTGTTTCTACAGTGTTTCAGGCGTCGTAAGAATTTTGTTTTTGAAAAATTTTACAGTCGGACCTCACTATTAGAGACCCCTTTAGAGCTGAGGTAGGTGTGCCTTATAACAAGGGGTAACTTAAATAGAGGGGTGTCTTATGAGTAGAGGTATCTTAATTAGGAGGTATCACCTGGACAGCTTTTCATATTTTTACATCCTGACATTTTGCAGTTTGGGCATTTTGTAATTTTGACATTTTTGAAATCTGGGCGTTTTTTGACCTTTTTGAAATATTTTTTGAATTTCCCCATTTCCCTCACACCCAGTGGCCAACCAAATTTTATAAAACTTATTTTAAAATGAGATCTGATTTATTTTTAAAAATACAGGCAAGGCAACTTAATCGACCAAATGCGAAGAATGAACGAAAAACACGCCTTAAATCTCGAAAAATTGGTAACCCAACGAAACGCCGAATTGGCACAAGCTCGAGAACAAACAGAACGTTTACTAAACGAAATGTTGCCCCCAAGTATTGCTGCACAATTAAAAGAACATAAATCGGTTGAACCTCGCTCTTATGATTCTGCTACAGTTTTGTTCTGTCAATTGGTTGATTTTTCTACTGTTTTGAGTAAATTCCCGCCGGATCAAGTTATTGACTTTCTCAATCAAGTTTTCTCTACTTTTGATACAATTATACGAAATCATGATGCTTATAAGGTTGAGACTACTGGGGAGGTATAGTCTTGTGATTTTTTGACATTTTTGAATTTGGAAAATTTCACGAAATTTCGAAATCTTTCGAAATTTCGAGATCATTACGAAATTTCGAAATAAGCACGAAATTTCGAAATCATCACGAAATTTTGTAAATATTTCGAATTAATTTCGTCTTATTTTAGACATATATGGTGGCGTCTGGAGTCCCTAACGAGAATGAAAATAGACATGTTTTTGAAATATCAGAAGTTGCTATGGAATTTAGAGAGGTTTTTTGGATTTTTTAAAATATATTGATTTTTAAAAGGTTTCCTACACTTATAAATCAATAAATTTCCCTGATTGGAAATTACAATTAAGAATTGGCTATCATTGTGGGCCTATTGCTGCTGGGGTTATTGGAATTAAAGCACCTCGATATTGCCTTTTTGGAGATACTGTATGTCGAAATGGAAAAATTTCAAAATGCCGAAATTTCAAAATGTCCAATTTTCAGGTCAACTTTGCTTCTCGAATGCAGAGCAATGCGGCACCCAACCAAATCCAAATGAGCGAATCTACTGCGCTTTTGTTAATGGGAGTGTCAAAGTATAAGTTGACGAAACGAGGCATTGTCAAAGTGAAGGGGAAAGGAGAGGTATTTTATTTGGGTATTTGACGTTTTGAAATTGACCCTTTTGAAAATTGACCCTTTTTTAAATTTTTTCTTTTCAAGGTCAATACTTATTGGCTTAATGAATGGCGGTCAAATGAAGCACAAAACCCTGTGGATGGAAGTGGAGGAGGCCGATTACTCCAAGAACCTTTAATCCCCCGAGAACAAGTCAATTACGCAGTCCAATCCCGACCAGAGAAAGTAGTGCAATGCTTGGATTGGAACTATTAAATGATGCTGTAATTACACCAACAACACAGGCAGGTTTTTAATTTAAAAAATAAATTTTTTCAATTTGAAAAAAAATTTTGGCTAAACTGCACTTTAGTAAAGTGATCTAAAAATCGTTGATTTATATGTCATTCGAAAGAGCTCGGCGAGCTGAGTCGAATGGCACCAAAATTTTTCCGCGGAAAAAATTCTGAGCCGAGTTACAGACCCCTAAATTTCAAAAAACCATAGGGGGGACCAAGCTGTTTTCTGGGGGTGAAAAATTCGAATATGCAAATTATACCTCATTCGAAAGAGCTCTTCGAGCTGAGTCGAATGACACCAAAATCAACGAAATCCGACTTGATTTGACAAAGTTATGACCGTTTATTTTAGCTCCTTACCTATGGCATCTGTGGTGATTTTTGCTGCTACGGAGGCCCCAAATACGTCCAGAGCAAGGAAGATAGGAATAGGTTTATGTTACGAGCCCAGACCCAGCGCCCATAGACTCCCCGCGAGGCGCGTGCCGCAAAACCCCGCGCGAAGCGCGGGGTTTTGCACAAGCGCCTCGCCGACGCTCCATAGGTTTAGGTTTTTTGTTTTTTATGTCATAACTTTGTCTAATCTTGTTCAATCACGGTGATTTTGGTATCATTTGACTCAGCTCGCCTAGCTCTTTCGAATGAGCTATTATTTGTAAAATCGAATTTTTCACCCCAAAAATGAGCTTACTCCCCCCTATGGTTTTTGACCATTTCGAGCCCTATATCTCGGCTCAGAATTTTTTCCGCGGAAAAATTTTGGTGCCATTCGACTCAGCTCGCCGAGCTCTTTCGAATGACATATAAATCATCGATTTTTAGATCACTTTACTAAAGTGCAGTTAGGCCAAAATTTTTTTAGAGCAACGGCCTAAGGAACAGACAAGCATCGATGAGTAGTAGCAAAAATAGAGGGGGAGTTGATGAAAACGATGAAAAATTGTAAATATTAAATTGGAGAGGTAACGGTTATTTTTTGATACGAAAAAATTTTTTAGTTGACATTTTGAAAGTTACCATTTTGAAAAAAAATTTTAGTTGGCATTTTGTCGGTTGGCATTTTGGCAAAAAATTTTGAAAATTTTTTTGGCATAATGTCACTTACAAAATTTATTTTTTAAATTTTTTTAACTCTGTTTCTGCCATTTCCTCCTTTTTTCCCTCATGTTTTTATAATAACTTTTAAGTGGTTTCCTTTTAGTTAGTACATAAAATCAATTTTGTGACACTCTCTTTTACTAACTTTTTTCTCTTTTCTGTGTTAAAAATAATTTTTTCTTGGCTGATTTTTAATATAATTTATAGACTTATCTTTTTGTGTATTTTGTGATTAAATAATTAATTTTTCTTTTGATTCCTTTAATATTTTCTTATCAGTTTAACAATTTTTATCATTATTTGCTGATATTTTAATCATAAAAATATTTTTTAAAGCAATAATAATGACGTTTTTAGAGGTTTTATTATTTAAATAAAAATATAAACGCCTTGGGCCGTAGAGGGATTCGAACCCACGACCTAAAAGTGACCAAACCAAAAGTGATCCCACTTAACCAAAATATAAATTTTTTTTAAAAAAATTGTTTTCAGCCTCAGAAATGACTACTTATATTTTATTTTTATTCATTTTTATTTTCTCAATTTTTAATGAATCCTTTGGAGCAAATATATTAATATCTCCTAGCTGGTTGAGCCCTGTACACAGATTTACAATGAGGGAATTGGCAGCGGAATTGTTAAAACGTAATCATTCGGTTACTTGGCTAGAATATGGACTTAGACCTGTTAGTTTTATTTTTTATTTAGTCCACAACTTTTGCGGAAAGTCCGCAAAAATTTTTTTGTCCGCAAGTTTTTTGCAGACAAAAATTTTTTTGCGGATCTTTGGAGGGTACTCTTGTTTTTTAACTTGCGGATAAAAAAGTTGTGGACTTTCCCTGTATAACTAAAAATTTTTAAAAATCCCTTTAATTTAGCACGATTCAATTTTACTGCCCAAAGGCGTTGAAGAAATTTTTCTGCGCATAGAAAATGCCCCAAGAGTCACAGCACTTTTAAATCCGAAAGGCAAAATTCAACTAACAAGTAATTCACAACTTTGGCAAGAAAATTTTTGGGCGCCAGTGGAAAAAACAAATGGTTGGTTGGCCTCTTTGGATTTATGCCGGGCTGTTTTGAAGGAACACAAAAATGCTTTTGATAAACTTGTTCAAAGAGAGTTTGCTGCTGTTGTGGTATATTTGTTTTTTATTAAGGATTCTTGGCCAAGGTTTATGCCCTCCCTCCGCAGGATCAATCTTTAAGGGGTTGCCAGTTTCCCTTTTTGGTGTTTCGTCGAATTTCATCTTTTGATGTTTCGTCTTTCGGCACACCCCTGCACCCAATCCAGGGCCCAACCTACCCTCTATATGGCTTGATCTTGTGGGTTGACTAAAATAAAATTTTAGATAGATGATTTATACAATCCTTGTGCTCTTCTCCATGTCGGACTTCAAAAATCACTTTTTGTTTATTGGTCAATGACTGGATTGAGAACAGATTCTGCCTGGGCAAATCAAAGCCCTAGCCCTCCATCTTACATTCCTGTGCCTGGAACTGGGTATAAATTATTTCTTTTTAATTATTTATGTTAGCCTAAAAGTCCGCAAGTCTTATCTTGCGGACTTTTTTTTTAACTTGTGGACAAAACCTGCAGACTTTTTTTAACTTGCGGAAAGAATTGCAGACTTTTGGCTAGATAATTAGAAGGAACTTATAATTTATATTTTTTGTTTTTTTAAACAGATTAACAGATGAATTAGGCTTCTGGTCAAGAATTTACAATTTATTTGCTTATTTAAGAGAATTATATATTCACCAACATTTAATTCTTCGTCGGATGGATAAATTATTTGAGGTTTATTTTTTAATTAAAAAATTTTTTTAAATAAATTTTAGAAACACTATCCAAATAAAGTGCCAGAATCATTTGCGATTGAGAGAAATGCTAGCATTAATTTTGTGAATAATCCGCCGATTTTTGACTTTGCTAGGCCGTATAGTTTGTCTTTTTAATTAGTTTTTAAAATGCCCCCGACAAGCTAGGGGTTAAAAATGACGGGTTTGAAGTGTCAATTTTTTGATTTTTCTAAAAAAGTCAAAAAAATTTATTTAAAAGTCACGAGTTCAAAATATCAAATTTTTAAAATGACAAGGTCTCGAAATGTCAATTTTCCGAAAATCCAAGGGCTCCAAGGCTCGAAATGTTAATTTTTTCAAAATGTCATTGACTTGAATTCTCAATTACCGAATCATTTTTAGCCAAAATTTCAAAATATTTAAGTAAAACTTAACTTTTTAGTGCCTCGAGTAAATTTTGTTGGAGGTCTTCATTGCCGAAATCAAAGTAAAAATAAATGGGCGGACACGGTTGACTTTTAAATTAATTTAAAAAATTATTTTTTTAGAAATTATCTCAATTTATAAACAATTCAAATGAAGAGCGTGGATTTATTTTAATTACTGGAGGATTTACAATTCAATGGGCAAATGCTCCAAAGGATGTTATTGTGAGTTTTTAATACTTGAAATTTTAAGGAATTTTAATTAAGGAAAATCTTCTTGGGGCAATTCGAGAAATGAATGATACGTGGGTTTTTTAATTAATTTTTTAAAATTTGGAATGATTTCAAATTGGAAAATTTTCAAAATGTCCAATTTTCAAAATGTCAAGGACTCAAAACGCCCAATTTTTTATTAATCGTCTATTTTCTAATATACCAGTTCTACCATTAATTTAGCCGATTTGTTTGGCAATACAACGGCCCAGCACTTCAAAATCCTCCCTCAAATCTTTTCACATTAGAGTGGTTGCCACAACAACAATTACTTGGTTTTTAGAATTTTTTAAAAAATATTTTTTTTATTTTTTAGCTCATCCAAAATGCAAAGGACATCTTTCACATGGAGGTTTGTTTGGCTTTTTATTTATTAGAAATCCTTAGATTTTTTTTCGATATGTCCTTATATTTCTTGGAAGGGAGACTCACAAACTGAGTCAGAATTTTTTATTTTTTGGTACCAATCGATAGATTATCACCGATTTACTCTAGAAAATTTTCGGTTTTTGGCTGAGAATATGAAACTAAAAAGTTATGGGACTTCAAAGTTTGCCAAAAATGGGGGATAAATTATTGCAAACTTCGAAGCCCTGTAACTTTTTAGTTTTATATTCCTAGCCAAAAAAGCCGAAAATTTTCTAGAGTAAATCGATGATGCTCTATCGATTGGTATCAAAAAAAGTACAAAGTTTTGACTTACAGTTCGACAGGTTCCCTTGTTAGAAATTCTTAGATTTCTTTCGATATGCCCTTATTTTTATTTTTAAAGGCCTAAACAGCGTAATTGAAAGTGTCTGGCATGGAACCCCAATAATTGGCTGGCCATTAACCGCAACTGCCAAAGATAACCTCCTTCGGGTTACTGCACGTCAAGCCGGTTTAATGATTGAACAGAAACGTCCAACAGAAAAACAATTTCTGTCAGCATTTAAAAGAATTTATATAAAATTTTATAAAGAAGAAATGCTTGTATTTCAGGTTTTTTTTTGAAATTTTAGACAAATAAGTTGAGGGAGGGGTAGGATTAGATTTGGGGGGGGAGGGCATGTTCCTGACTTCTAGGTTTGATTAATTGACCTGGGCCGGATCTTGGGCCCTCCAGGGTCCAGGAAAAACTCTTGAAGGTCAAAAATGCCTTTGCCTGTACTCTGGGTACAGGAAAAACCCAGACCTTGGTCCAGACCCAGCTCGATCTCTACAAAGCTCTTTGTGACTTTTTGAGGAAATTAATTTTAAAAAATTATTTTTGAAGGATATGTTAATAGATGTTCCCTATACAGAATTAAACCACTCAGCATTTTGGGTAGAATTTATTGTTAGACATCAAGAAGTGCCTCATGCACGTTCTGGTGCTGATGATTTGAATATATTTCAGGTTTTTTTTTAAAATAGATTAGGGCATTATTTTGGTGAATTATTCTGAATTAAATAAGGAAAATAATTTTGGGTTTTGTTCTGTAGGCGTTGGTGGTGTAATGGTTAGTGTTGGGGACTACAGGGGTCACCGATGCAGGTTCGATTCCTCTCATTGGAAATATGTATTTTTCGAGGCTTTTTTTGGACTAAAAAATATTTTTTTTGTTTTTAAAAGTTTCTGAAAATTTTTTTAAAAAATTTTGCACATGGGGAGAACCGAACCCTTATCAAAAAATTTATTTTTTAATTTTTTAAGTATTTCTTGGTTGATGTAACATTATTTTTAATTGGCTGTACTCTCTTATCAATCTGGTTGTTATTAAACTTGCTTAAATTAACTGTTCGTTTACTTTGTTGGACAATTATATATGTAAAATGTTGTGTAATTCCAAATAAAAGCAAAAAATCTGTGATTGAAAAGAAGGATCCTATTGCAAAAAAGAAGGATTAAAAGGATGGATTTAGGTTAAAAAAATTAATTTTTTCTTAATATTTTTTGAGATATTTTATTATTTTGCTCATTTTTGATTTTAAAAACTCAAAAAATTTTTAAACTTTTCAAAAAAAATTTTTTTTCAAAAAATTTTTTATTAGGGTATTTGTGGTGTAGTGGTTAAGTGTTGAGGACTACCCATATTTTCAATGAAGGTTCGATTCCTTTCAGGGTAAAATATTTTCCTGTTTTCTTTTTTCATTTTTCCAGAGTTAAAAATAATATTTAAAATCACTACAAATATCCCTAATAATAAATTCAATAAAAAAAATTTTTTTTTGAAAATTTTCTGAAAATTTCGGAAAATTTTTTTTAATTTTTTCAAAAAAAAATTTTTTTTCATCGAATAAAAGATTTTTAAAGTTATAAAAAATTTTGTTTATTTTTTAGTTTAATATTCTAACATTATATCGTTTAAAAATAAAAAAAATGAGCCTTGGATATTTTGGGGATGTTAGCTTTTAGGATAGATTAATAGAGAGAGTGTGTGAAAGAAGGAGAGACGGTTAGAGAAAAAGAAGAAAAATGGCTGGTAGCTTTTGTTTGTAAGTCAATGTGTGATGATGGCTTTGTATGCTTTAAATAGAGAGATAAATTAGCTGGTTTGGTTGAAAGGATGTAGAAAAATCGTTAGGTTTGTGACCCCCTTCCCTCACCCCTATTTTTTAAAAATTTTTAAAAAATTTTCAAAAATTTTTGAAAAATTTTTGGAATTTTTTTTTATTTTTTCAGGACGAGAATTAATATGAATTGTTAATTTATTATTATTTTGTGTTTATTTTATGGCCAAAATTCAAGAAATGTCATCAACATCTTCAAGCAACGAACCCCCCTCACCCACAAACTCCACCGGATTAAATGGACAGAATGGACCCGTAACGTTTTTTGTGCCGGCAAATCAAAGAAACACTTCAAAAATATCGGCGGCTACACATGCTGCGAGTAAGTTGATGAAAAAGGTTTTTTAAATTTTTTGAAAATTCTCGATTTTTGGGGGTGTTAGGCAAGGGCGTAACCAGGGGCTGAAGCCCCCCCCCCCCCCCCGAAATCGACCCCCTGGCTACGCCCTTGGTATTAGGATCCCTGGTCCGAGCAATCTAATAATTTGGGTGTGGATAGATTGTCGTGATTTTCAGAACCATAGAAATTTTCGTGGGGAAAGAAGGCAGATGGCGCTTATTAAGGCGCTTATTATATCTGGCGCTTACTATCTGGCGCTTATTAAGAAGGAGGTTTGCTATTTAAAAAGGGCGAAGGCACATCGTTCTGGTAACTCATTGTCGGTAGAGTTCTGTCTGTGGTGACGAGAGCCTTTTGGCAATTTCTGCTAGAGGGTTGCAGTTTGATGCCTGCTTGGGGCTGAACTTTTACCTCTCTTTTTGTTTCTTTTGTTTAAGGAATCCGGTCGATAGAGAGAGGGAACTTTATCGATTTTTAAGAAACACAAATGTGAGACATTTGCTCCCTTAGAATTCAAGACTCCAAATAAAAATGCCGGCAAGTCACGATTTTCTATTCTTAATAAAAATGGTCGAAAATTCGAGATTGATCCAGGGTTCTGAGACTTCAGTAATTTTTTGTAAATTTTTTTCTTTTCTAGCAATGATGGTTAACAGCCTCCCAGCAGGCTTAGCAGCTCCTCAACAAATCCCCCAAACTTCAACACATGCAATTGTTGCCGCGGTTATTAACCCTGCTGGGCAGGGAATTCTTCCACTTGGATCGGCTAGTTCTGAACTTTTATCAGCCTTTGAATGTCCAGTTTGTTTAGGTTTTGTTTTGAATTTTTAAGGGGTTTGGGGTGAATATCCCCCCTTCGGTACTTTTCTGTTTTGCCACACCCTATTTTTTATTTTTCTTTTATTCGTACAGAAAGGTCAGTTTTCTTTCTTCCACAATTTCACTTAATTTGCTCTGTGGACTCAATCTTCCGTGTTCACTCGATTTTCCCAAATGTTGATTTCAATTTTGATGACATTGGAAAGAAAAATTAATCTTCTCTTTTTGGTGTCTCTCATTGAACATGCCAGAGGGAAAATTGAGGAAGAAAGAAAATTGACCTTTCTGTACAAATAAAGGAGAAATAAAAAATATATCCTGCGAATATATGGGTAGGGTGTGGCAAAACAGAAAAGTACCCCCCCCCCCTTCTTCTCCCTCAGGTTTAATTTTAAGATTAATTTTTTACTAAAGTTTTTGACGGTTATGAGTCCAATGAACCTTTATGAGTTGTTTGGAACAGAGATAGATTGGGCAGAGAAAAATGTCGAATAGGATTACGCTTAGCATTCGTTATGGCAAAAATCCCTTATGGCAAAAAATCACCAAAAGCTGCCGAAATGGCAAACGGCTTCATACCGGATTTCGAATCGGGTCTTCTAAGTTCTCGGATAGGATGTCGGATTTAGAAAGCCGCTACAGTTATAAAAAAATCTCAGCCTCTTGCGGCAGGAGAGATAAAGGGAAAAGAGAAGAAAGATTATTTTGACATCAGACGATTTTGCGCACGATTTAGGGTCGTTTTTTATGTTGTAAAGACGAGTAAAGCGACTTTTATGGGTAGCATTAGGACCAGTTTTTAGGCTTTAAAAATTTATTTCTCCATATTTTTAAATTATATTCTAGATTATATGCTACCTCCATATTTACAATGCCAGGCAGGCCATTTAGTTTGTGGAAATTGTCGTCCAAAAGTCTCGGCGTGCCCTACTTGTAGAGGTTTTTTTTGAGTTTTTAAATTAAAAAAATGTTTAAATTTAAAGGCCCAGTCCCGCACATTAGAAATTTGGGAATGGAAAAAATTGCAACAAATCTTCAATTTCCTTGTAAATTTGCACATTCTGGTTGTAATCAATTCTTTTTCCATCAAGAAAAAGTTGAACATGAAGAAATTTGTGAATTTCGGTTAATTTAAATTTTCGGGGTTTTATTGGATATTTGGGCAGACTTTGTTGTAAGATACTCCTTTAGGGATGGGAAAGGTATTTCAAATAGATGGGTAAATTTGACATTGTGACAGTTATAGTAGTACCATCTTTAAAAAAGTCCGCAAGTTCTATCTTGCTCATCAGGCCCGTAACTAAGATTTTTTTCGAGGGGGGGGGGCTCTTGGTTACGGGCCTGTTGCTCATAAAACTTGTGGTCTTAAAGATTGCTGAAGCAACTCCTCACATTCTGGCTGACATATAAGTGGATTTCTTTAAAATGAATCTTATCTGGTATTGGGATTATAAGGGTCCAATGCTTTGTTTTACTATCACGAAAATTTTTTTGAACTATTAATTTTTTCGTTTTATTCCAGTCCATATCAATGCCCATGCCCTGGTGCTTCTTGTAAATGGCAGGGAGGATTGAACGATGTTATGGGACATTTAATGAAATTGCATAAATCTATTACTACACTTCAAGGAGAGGATATTGTTTTTCTTGCAACTGATATTAATTTGCCTGGAGCTGTTGACTGGGTTTGTTATTTTAAATAGAGGGATGACATTTGATCCCAAAATAAATTTTTAGAGGGATTCGGCTAAAAAAAAATTTTGCTTAATTTTTCAATAGGTTTGGGACTTAAAAGAATATTTTTTTATATTTCCCTTTTAATCAAAAATTGTTTGGGCACCAAACGGGTTCGAACCCACGACCTCAATAAATGATGACATTTGGTACCAAAAATAAATTTTTTTGTCAATTTTCGAGTGAAAATTAATTTTCTAGATTTTTTAATATCTCTGCTACTAAAAGGAATATTGTTTTCGATAATTTCCTTGAATTAAAAATTGTTTGACCCCCAAGCGGGGTCGAACCCACGACCTCTTAAATGAATAAATTAGTTGTCAAAAAGCCATTTATTTTTTAATTTTTTTCCAGGTTATGATGCAGTCTTGTTACAATGCCTATTTTATGTTAGTTTTGGAAAAGCAGGACAAACAAGAGTAAAAAAATTTTTTCTTATTTTAAAAATCATTTATGTTTATAGACAAGGAGGAACAAGTTATCAAATGTTTTATGCTGTAGTACAATTAATTGGAACTAAAAAAGAAGCTGAAAATTTTGTTTACAAGTTTGTTGAAATTTTGAGGGGTTAAAAAAATTTTATTTTTTTAAAGGTTAGAACTTTCAAATAATAGAAGGCGTTTATTTTGGGAGGCCAGTCCAAGAAGTATTCATGAAGGAGTTGCAGCAGCTATTGCCCAATCAGATTGTTTAGCTTTTGATACAAGCCATGCAAATTTTTTTGCAGAAAATGGAAATTTGGGAATTAATGTTTGTTTCCTCTTTTTATATTTTTATGGGCTGTCCTACAATTAGAGACCCCTGGGGCTGAAAAAATAATCTTATAGGAGATGTATCTTAAATGGAGGGTATTTTATAATAAATTGTACTCTAAATAGAGGGTGTCACTTATACGTTCTCACGCCTAGTGGCTAAAACATAAAATTAAAATTTTACCCTGAGCGGGTTCGAACCTACGACCTCGCTCCCTCTGAACACAAAAATTTCCCACTTAACCAAATTGCAAAATTCTTTATATAGAGCTTGAGGGTAGAGCTTGGGTAGCTTCCTTCACCCCGTGGTTAACCAGATTTAAAAAAAGTATCCTATAATCAGGGGTACCTTAAATCGAGGGTATATTGTATAGAGGGTATCGCTTATACGGAGATGATGTATGGGGTATCTGGGGGTATTTTAGAATTTTGAATTTTTTAAAGGTAACAATTCAACGAGTTGATGGTGGAATGAGCCTGAATCGTTGAGATTTATTTATATCTTTACATTTTTTAGAAAAAAGGTAATTTTAAAAAATTAAATGAGCAAAAATTTGGCAACTTTTTTGACAAAGTAAAAATTGTATAATTTAAAAATTTTATGTGCATATTCACCTCAATAAAAAAAATTTTTTAATCTAATTTCTAAATAGGTTAGTTATTAAAGGAATTTTTTATAATTTTCTTGAATTAAAAAATATTTGACCACCAAAGGGTTCGAACCCACGACCTAAGTAAGGGGATGACATTTGGTCCCAAAATGAATTTTTTAACGATTTTTGATTGAAAACAAATTTACCCAAGGTTTTCAGGTTGTTTTTTGAATCAAAAATTGTTTAAACACCAAACTGATTCGAACCCACAACCTTTCCCCTTACAATTTTAAAAATTATCCACTTAACCAAAGGTTTGCTTGGTGGGTTTTTTACTTAAAAATCAGCATGTTTGGTATATATAGTAAGAGGAATGAATATATTTATTTTAAAAATCATTTTTAATTACTACAATTTTCTTTGAAATTGAGGCAAATTCAAGTTACTTTTTAATTAAAAATTGTACAATGAAAGAGTGTGAGGTTTTTTTGGTTTTTTAAAAGAAAACTTGAATGAGCCATCAATTTCAGACATTTTTATTTAAAAAAAGTGAATACTAACACTAAATGTATTTATTCTATTTATTTATCTCTCTCCAAATTTTCCTTGGCATTTTTTCTCTTTATTTAAGGTCATCAGGGTTGATTAAACCACGTGCTCGATTTAATATACTATCCTTTAAAAAGAAATTTTTTTTGAAAGGAAAGAAAAAATTCAGAAAAAAACCTTAGAAGCATCATACGGCATTTCCTTTGATGGAATTTCCAAAACTGTAGGAATGCTAGCAATGTGTTGATCAACTTGGTAACGAATCATTTCGGCAATGTGTTGATTTATTAGAATAATTGCAATATCTGAGAGAATTTTAAGAGAAAAATAAAAAAGAAATTTTTGGGATCTAATGTCTCAACTCTTTTTTGACCCTAATTTAAAAATTTTTGGAAATAAAAAAGGTTCTCCCAGGATGGGGTTCGAACCTTTGACCTTTGGGCAGTACAAACTAAAAATTTTCCAACTTAACCATGGGGACAAAAATTAGAAAAAGTATAATAAGCACATACCGTCACGAGAACAAAAACTTCGAAATGCTTCCTCAATTTCTGAAACGTGTGTATTTTTATCCACAATAAGAAAATTTGATTTGCGGGCCTTGTTTATTTGTCCAATTCCTCCCAGCAAAAAACCAACAACGGTGTCTTCATCCCCAATTACTGCCATCAATTTTCCTTTTTGTGCGAACGCCATTTTTCTGATTCTAAAACAAAAATATTATATTTTAGTAAAATGTTTGATAAAATATGTTAATATTTTTGTCATTTAATGACAATGGAAAGCCTTGATCTTCAGTCCGGATTTGTCGAAAAAATGCTTGGTCATAGATTTTAATTTACCAAAAAGACTGTATAAAGTTGAGAGAGTGGTTAGAGAGTAAAAAGAAAATTAGTTGAGACAAAAGTGTAAACAAGGACTGAAAATTTCATAATATCAACAGTTCTCTTTTGGGGGCAGACACAAATTTTCAATAAAGAGTATGTAAAAATGAGAGACTGGTTAGAGAAAGAAAGAAATTACTAGGAAAAATGTAAAATGACGTGCAGTTTCAAAACACCAACTTTCAATTCGTCCATTTCCAATTTTTTGGCCATTTCTTCCTTTATTTGTTTTTTTCTTTAACTTCTCCTTGTTTTTGCTTATCTCTCTCAAGTTTTGCTTTTTTTCAGAATTTCATTTTAACTTGGTGATGGGTTTTTTTTCGGAATTTTTTATATTTTTTAGCTTGTTCCTGCTTAGTAAACGTTTATTTTCTTAGATTATATACATCTTAATATAAGAAGCTTGGAGAAATCGTCAAGATGGGCAAGGGATTCCAAAATTTTATGTCAAAGAAGGATTTCCATCCTAGTGCATGGTGGAACCTTAAACGAGTAAGAATTAATGATTTTTCTCTATATTAGATAAATTTACTTCATTTTTCTAGAAATGGGAAGCAGAACAAAAGGACGAAATGGAGAAAAAGCGTCAAGAAGAGCTTCGTGTTCAATACCAAAAGGAGCAAGAAATATTCCAAAACAAAGCGCTTTTGGGTGATGAGAAGGCAAAACTTGGACTCTCATTTATGTATGAAGCACCTGCTGGAATAAATAAAAAGAAGGAAGAAGGGCCTGAACCAAAATTTGAATGGCAAAGGAAGTACAATGCTCCGAGGGAGGATTGGGCTAAAAATAATGAATTGATACAGGACCAACCTTTTGGAATTCAGGTTTATTTGGAACCATTGGGAGAGTAATATTTACAAGTTTTCAGGTTCGAAATGTTCGCTGTGTCAAATGCAAAGCTTGGGGTCACTTGAACACTGACAGGGAATGCCCTCTTTATGGAATGAGTGGAAATGCTGAAGATCATGGATGTGGGTATTTAAAAAAAATTTTTTTCAAGAGGATAGGGGGCCTCTGTTTCACAAAAATAGTTTATTTTAACTAAATAATTGTTTGACAACTAATCGGGTTCGAACCTTTGACCTCTTTCCTGTGGACCTACAATTTACCCACTTAACCAAAAAAAAATTTTTTGATGAATTTTTTGGCTGAAATTTTTTCTGTTTTATAAAGTACCAACAAATTTTTAGATGCAAACAATCCGTCAGATTTAATAAAAGAATTGCGTAGAGAAAAGATAGCAAATGGAGAAGGACCTAGTTTTGTGGTTCCCAAGAAAGAAGAAAAAGATGAGGAAGCAAAATACAAAATTGACAACGAAAAAGAAGAAAAAATTCGTTCAAAAACTAGAAGTGAAAGAAAAGAAGAAAAAATGAAAAAAAGACAATCTGAAATTGAAGCGAAAATGGAGGAAGATGATGAGGTTGATGAAGAAGAGGATAAGAAAAGGGAGCCTATTGCACAAGAAAAGCTGTTTGAGGATATGAAAGAGGAACACAATTTGAAATTTAAAAATGGAATTTTGAGCACTTTGAGAGCTGACGAAAATATAAAGGTCTTTTATTCTCTTTACCCATTCTATGCTAGGAATGTCGGGACAAACCAAACTGGGTACTTTTGGGATAAAGTTTGAGTCACTCAAGTTTGAGTCACAGTGTTCTTCAATATGTGTATAGTGGTCAGACTTCCTTGTACTTCCGAGACCAAACTAAAGGGAGAGGGTGGATAGTGGGGTATCCACAAAAGACTTTGAACTGAAAAGTTGGAGTCTATTTCTCGGTTTAGGTTAACCGAAGGTGTCGTTTCGTTTTTCGGCTAGGTTTTAGTTACCTGAAGAATTTGGCGAAACTGACAACTCTATATCCTAAATATTTTTAGAAGCTAACAACATCAGTTGCTGGTACTGGAGACAACGCGCAATTTCATTCATTCCTCATGGGATTAAGTGAAAAGAGGCGAAACAAAATTATGAGGTTTTTTTAAAGATTATCTGTTTTTTTTTCAATATATTATTTCAGGAAAATTTTCAAATCGGGAAACTCCGATGATGAAGAGGATAAAAAGAAGAGCAAACACAAAGACAAAAAATCAAAGAAGAGAAAGGAGGAGAAGAAGCACAAAAGGCACAGATCAAAAGATAGATACAACAAGGATAGCCGACATAATTCAAGGCGTTAATTACTTAGGGGAGTTTTATGCGGTCGAACTTCGTTTCTTGGATGTACCTAATACGAGGATTAAGTCATATTAGGTTAGGATACTTGGAATTTTGTTGGCAACTGGCTGGAGGGTCTGACTAACTAGGCGATATCTCTAGTTTAGAGGGAACTTCTTATATAAGATACGGTTTTTAATTTTGTTGGTATCTTTGGATCAGGAGGAACGACTAATGTAAGAGATAGCCTCAATTAGAGGGATCTCTCCTATAAGGTACTTTCCAAGGCATATCCAGGCCTCCCGCCGCCCCCTCTGAAACAGACCAGACCCCTGGATACGCCTTCGATACTTTCTCAACTTTAAAGCTTTGTCTAAAAATCGAGGTTCGACTTTATTTTGTCAGTCAACTAAATCTACACATTTCTTTTATAAATAAATAAAACTTTCGATTAAACAGTTTATTAACTGCTTTTTTTAAATGTTGCTTGCATATCTATATATTTTTTAAGGCTTATTTTAAATTTTTTTTTTAAATTTTAGAAAAAAATGAGTTTAAAAATAGTTGAGACATTGGAGAATTTAATTAAAACAATTCCTGAAGTTCATTCAATTTTAATTTTGGATTCTGATGGAGTTCCTATAGTTAGTGCTGGAGAAGAAATACGAAATAGAAGTCAATATTCTGCTTCATACAATACTTTGGTGGAGCAGTCAAGGAAGCTTGGGATGGGGACACAAAAATATTGGATTTTTCGTTATGAAATGAGCCAGGTTTTTTGTTTTTAATGTTTGATAATTAGCTGATTAGGGATTGGTTTTTAGGGGAGGTCTTCTTTCATAATTACGATCGATTGCGGTTCAACTGCTCTCTTAACTATTCTGCTCTTTCCTTTTTTCCTTAATCCGTAATTTATTCTAGACGGGTTAGAAGGTCACGAGTTCGAGCCCGTTTGTGAGGGGTAAAAGGAATGATGGATGAGATTAGGAAGAATGGTCTCTTCCAGTTTATATCCAATGTCAGTCATTTTTTTTTGATTCAATTACTGACATATGTGGGAATCCTTTTTTTTATTTTAAAATTAAACCCTTTTAAGTAACTCTTGGAAACCTTTAAACTTTAGCTTTATTTTTAAAGGTTGTTCTTCTAAGTATTGACCAATTTGCCGTTTTTGTTATGGCTTCTTCAAATGCAAATACTGGAATTTTGTGTGCTTTACCTACACAATTAAAATCTGTATTGGATGAATGTTCACAAATTGTAAAGGAAGTAGCAAATGGACAAATTGCACAAATTGTTGGACAGAGCCCTCGACGTTAAAATAAGAAGAAAAAGTTTCTATTTATTTTTAAATATTTAAAGCCAAATTAACAGAATCGTGTATAACACGTTTTGGTGTAGTGGGAAAATTCTGAGTTTTTCCTTAAGAGGTCTCAGGTTCGAATCCTACTGGTGGTAAAGAATTTTTATATTCGCTAAATTCGATCTATTTTCTTATTTAATTTATTGCAAAAAATTTTTAAGCTTTATTTAAATTTAAATTGGCTTCGTTTTTATGTTTATCTTTTTGAATAGATTTATTTTACAAATGTGAAGATGTTATCTTGTTTTTTTAAATCAATAATTACTTTTTCTTTGTTTCTTTTAATTAATCTTTTTAATGTTTAAAGAATCCAAAGCTTATGGAAGAATCAAATTTGCCCGTTAAACGAGAACGTCAAGAAGAGGATAATGAACATGGTGAAGTTTGAAGAAGAAGAGAACCTGCTTTGGCTGTTGAAACGAGTTTGTTTAAAATTTTTTCTGGGGCATTTTGAAGGGCTTTTTGGTTAGTTGACGATTTTAACGGCTGAGAGACTAAGGATATTAAGGTTACACTTTGAAATACTGGGTTTACATTTGAAGTCAACCAATTATATTGATTTTTCTATGTACCTTTGTGGCTTTGAAACCCTTCAAAATGCCCTTGAAATAATTTATTCTCTTGGTCAGTTATTTTAATTTATTTTCTAGTTTCTTCTACAACCTCTTCCAATGGTGCATTGGCATTGGCAAGTTTTATTGGCTTCTGTTCAGGTTTTGGGGTTGGCTCTTTGGGGTTTCTTTGGGTGAGTGTCCCTTTGGGTTTTCTTTGGTTGAGATATCTCGACGGTCAGTGCCTGTGAGTTTCTTGTAGGTCAGTGTCGTTGAGTTATCTTGGTGGTCAGTGCCTGTGAGTTTCTTGTAGGTCAGTGCCGTTGAGTTATCTTGATGGTCAGTGCCTGTGAGTTTCTTGTAGGTCAGTGCCGTTGAGTTATCTTGATGGTCAGTGCCTGTGAGTTTCTTGTAGGTCAGTGCCGTTGAGTTATCTTCATGGTCAGTGCCTGTGAGTTTCTTGTAGGTCAGTGCCGTTGAGTTATCTTCATGGTCAGTGCCTGTGAGTTTCTTGTAGGTCAGTGCCGTTGAGTTATCTTGATGGTCAGTGCCTGTGAGTTTCTTGTAGGTCAGTGCCGTTGAGTTATCTTGATGGTCAGTGCCTGTGAGTTTCTTGTAGGTCAGTGCCGTTGAGTTATCTTGATGGTCAGTGCCTGTGAGTTTCTTGTAGGTCAGTGCCGTTGATCTGCAATTTGGATGGGGGTCTAAAAAATTAAGATATTGTATTTTTTTGATAATAGGTAAATGTTTTTTGATACTTTGTTTGAGTTTTACAATGAGAATTTAAAAATTAGTTATCGGTCGGTCGATTATATTTTTACTATTTTTTGAATAAATTTATTTTACAATTTTATAACATCTTTTTGTTTTCAAAAATCAGTAATTATTTTTTGTTTCTTTTATCTTAATTATTTTAGTCAAATTTTAAAAAATCCAAAGCTTATGGAGGAATCAAATTTGCCCGTTAAACGAGAACGTCAAGAAGAGGATAATGGAAATGATGAAGTTAGAGAAGATGCAGAACCTGCTGTAGCTGATGCAACTAGTTTGTTTTTAAACTTGATTTTTTCTTGGGGGTTGTGTATAGGAATATTTTGTCTGCCCTCAGGTCCCTTTGTTGTCTTCACATTTTTGGCTCCCACGTATTCGATTATCTTTCATTCTATTTTTATATCAGGGTCGGAACCAAGAATAGGTTTTTACCCAAATTTAAACGATAGGTGTTTTTGTCCGCAAAATTTGTCCGCAATTTTTTAATCTGAATTTCCACACAGATTCGTCTCCTACCGCTGTTCTTAAAAATAAATTGGACATGTTAAGGCAAGAAGAAGGTGCTCTCCTTTCGTTGTTGTCACGACTCCGTTCGCATCAACGGACTTTACAATTGGAACAAAACAAATTGAATGAAATTTATGAGAACAAAATTAAGGAAAGGGAGAACAGTGAATCGTAGAATTTTAAAGTATTTGTTTAGGTTTTTTGTTTATATGTATTTTAAATTTATAAATAGACTTATTTTGGTGATGGTTATATTTTTAGGGTGATATCTTTGAAGTTTTTAAAAATATTCCCTGAGGCGGTTTAAGTTGTCCTTCCTATCGGTGATCTTTTGGGTGTAACCTGGGATGCCCCGAGGCGTCTCATTTAATTCAAAATATGTCCCGAGGCGTTTAAAGGCGTCATTCTCCTGGGTGGTCTTTTGGAATAATGAACTCGATAACCCAAAAGATCACCTAAAAAAGATCAACAAAGCAGGCATCGCAAAAGATCACCTATCAAAATAACAAGTAAAAAACACTTTTATTAAGAAAAAAACGAAGACATTATTTACAAAATAAAAATTACAAAGCAAAAAACTGACACATTTACTTCCTCTCCTCTCCATTCTGACAACCACAACCTTCATTAGGCATTGCAACAGTTAGTAAAATTGGGAGAAAAACAATTCCATGAAGCAGCGAAAAAATAATTACAAGGAAAACGGTTTTGAAGAAGATTAAAATAATCACAGCATCTACTAGTGTTAAAACCATAATTCCTACAACTGTGGAGAAAGCACCCTTTAAAATGAAAAAAATTTTTTTTTAATTTTGAATTTAACCGAACCAAAAAGACAGGCCAACCAAGTGTTTCCAGCGCTGCAATAGCTCGTTCATTTGACGATAATCCTTCTGGAGCCTTTACAAAAGCATAGGTTATGTGTGCAGAAAGATCAACAGAAAAACCGATGGACATTATCTGATTGTTAATTTTTAAATTTTGACATTTTTAAATTTGAGATTTTGAAAATTTAAAGTGAAAATATTTCAAAATGTCGACTTTAGATATTCTGAAATATTTTAGCCGAGTTGGTATTTCGAAAGTTGATGAAGGAAATTTTTCAAAATATCTAATTTAGACATTTTGAAAAATTTAAGAATAGTCGACATTTTGAAATAACTGAGGGGGAATACTTCAAAATATCAAAAATCGAAAAAACATTTTTTTAATAAAATTTGTCTCATTTTTTGGCCATAACTTTCTTATTTTTCGGCCGTTTCAAATAATTTTTTCACCGATCGATACCCTAAATCTGTAGATCCTTTTTACTTACAGGATCAATATTATAAGACTATCCTCTTAAAAGTTATAGACGTGAAACTCAAAAAATCACGATTGTCTGGACTTAATGGCTTACAACTTTTTAGGGAATGAACTAATCTAAACAGTCACTTTATAAAAAAGAATCAGCACATTCAGAGCTATCGATTGGTAAAAAAATTATTTGAAAATACCGAAAAATAAAAGAGTTATGAATTTTTAAAAATTGGAAAACTCACGATTGTAATCATTGAAACGCCTTAAAAATTGTTAAAAAATTATTTTTAAAAAATTTAAAAAAAAACTGCTTACTTTCAAGATTCACTCCCCATAAAGACATATAACCAATAACACCAATATCAATAGAAACAATAGCTGCAATAATGAAAAAAGCTGCTGGCCAACTTGGAATCATTAATAAAGCAATAAAACCCATACACAAAACTGCTATTAAACAATTGCGGTATAAAGCAGGTTTGAGTTCAATATACTGAAATTAAAAATGTTAAAAATTAATGCATAATATTAAAAATTTTAAAAATAAAAGGAAAACATTTTTTGACATGATCAAAACTGTTTTACACCATTGGGATTCGAACCTTAGCCCTATATAGGGGAAAACTCAGCGCTATCCAGTTAAACCAAACTGTCACCTAATAAACCTTTTAAAACTTCAGAAAAATGTAGAAATACTTATTTGTTAAAAAAATAAGTATAATTTTCAGCAGTGGGATTCGAACCCTAGACCTGCATAGGAAAAAACCCTAACCCTAACCGATTAAACCAAACTAACACATTATGGGTGTCTCATAAAATGTATATAGAAGACATACAAAAATCCACTTAAAATCCGAAAATAATCCAAATTTAATTTTAATCAAAAAATTTAAAAAAAATTTCAAAAACCTGATCAGAAAAAGGATAATATTCATGAAATGTTGTTACATTAAATTCAGGAAAAGAGTCAGCTATTGAACGCATTAAACGACATCCTTTTTTAAAAAAATTTTAAAATTTCTCCTTCAAAAAATTTAAAAAACCGTTTGTATGTTCTGTAGGAGTTCTATAATTTCTCAATCCAATTTGAAATCTAAATGCAACTAGGAATCCTTCAATCCAGTGCATATCCAATTCCCATAGACGACGACCTCCAGCTGATAAGAGCCATTCAAGACAGCGTTGATGCCATTCTGAGAGTCTTTAAAGAAAAGATTTTTTTGAGAGAGGAAGGGGGGACGGCAGGGATGTGAGCCAGAATTTTCGTGTGGCACGCCAAAACGTTAATGGAAGGGATTTTATATTTTTATGGATTAATGGATGGATTTTAAGAGAAAAATTTTTGTTATTTTTGTCAAAAATTGTAAGGTTTCAAGGAAAATCTAACGACGAAGACGGAAAAATTTTTTTAATTTAAGGAAATTGAAAAATTCTTCCCACAGGTATTTGACCAAAAAACAAAATGAAAACCCAAAAATCGATCTTCAAAAAAATCAGAATAATCCAAAAACCAAGGAGACAAATTCAAAAATCCCCTGGACCGTGAACTACCCCCTCCCTCCAAATATAAAAAATTAAATTTAAAAAATTAAAAAAAATAAACGTTTTCGGCTCGGAAATATTCCTCTCCATCAAATCCTCTTTTATTTTAGCATCAAAAGCGTTTAACCAAAACATTGTAGCATTGTGTTTCATTGTAAATTCTGTATCCTCAAATGATGACACTAATTGATTGAGCCTTTGACGTTGAGTAAAATTGACAAAATTTGGAGGATTGTTGACAACAACTTGTAATTGAAGGCCTGAAAAAAATTTAAAAATTTGTAAAAAATTCTATAATTAAAAGAGATACGAGTTGAATAATTTTTATAAAAAGAAAAATGATCTACCGCCAAAGGGACTCGAACCCACAAACCAAAATAGGGAAAACTTGGCACTCTAGCTAGCTACATCAAATTGACTTATAGTAAGAATAAGGTAATTAAGAAGGAAATTTTTGAAAATAAAAAATACAAAAAAATCATAAGCCCTGACACTCGAACCCACACTAGACAATAGGGGGACAAAGCACTTTCCAGCTAATCTAAACTGCCTTATTAAAGATTTTTAAAACAAATCTAATAATTATCCAAAATTAAACCCTATCACTCTTAAAAATTAAGAAAAAAAAATTACAAAATTCCAAACCTTCCCTCCAAAAAGTTTCATCAATTAAAACATAAAAATCAGTCAAATAAAAAGAAGATTTAACCAATTCTTTTGGATGAAGTCCTTCTTCCATGTGTGAAACACCCAATAAAGCAAACAATAAATATAGAGAATAACACAAAAATATATACAATTTTGTTTTTTTGTTAAGTAGAAAAGGGCCATAAACTTCTCGGAAAAGGCGATTGACAAAAGTTTGTTTTGTTGTAGGATTAGTATTTGTTGTTAAATCCTTAAATTGTTTATAAAGGGGGTTTTTTAAATTAAAAAAAAATAAAAAGGTGTCCGAAATAGAGATAGGATTAGACGGGTAGCAAACGGGAAGGGAAGGTACAAGACAATCAAGGAATCGAGATCGATATCTCAAAAAATTTCGATAACCTAGATTTATGGGCTCTCGTCTCGGGCGTTTTCAAGTTTAGAATTTCTTGGACAACAGAAGGGAGCAAAAGAAAAAGAAACACAACAGAAGCTCAAGACAAGAGCCCATAAAACTATCGGAATTTTTCATGATATCGATCGATAAATTTAAGTAAAATTTAAATCTGTGTCTTGATGACACAGAAGGAATTTTTTAAATTAAAAAACCTTTTCTTCCTCCATCGTATCAATTTTCTCCATTTTCTTCTCTTCATTCCAACATTTTTTAAATTCGACCAGCCAACTATTATCAACTTGTTTCTCTTCTTTTTCACATTCACTACGTGGAGGAGATCCAACAATTGTTAATTTTTCAAAATTTGTTTTAGCTTTATCCAATTCAATAGTTTTACAAAAAGGGAAAATTGAATGTTGCCCAAATTCTTCCATTTTTCCAGCAAAAGCCATTGCAGCAGCAAAATAGGTAATTTGATAAATATAAGTAAAAGTAATTCCAGCAAATGTGTACATACAAAATAAACGGACTCCTGGTAATGTTGTGAAGCAGCCAATGCCAAAAGTTAACTTGAAAAATGATAAAGATTTTAGGTATGAAAAAATAATTATTAAAGGATTAAGAGAGAGGAGGTTTGTAGCAAGAAAGGATATCCTTTTAAATTCCCTTTGATCTCAAAAAACTAAACTAATTGCTACAAACCCCCTGATAGTCCCTATATCACTTCAGATACTCTAATATCCCTTCTAATCCTCTGACATAACTGTAAATCCATTATATCCCCACAAATCCCACGATATCCCCAAATCCTTCTGTAAACACTTCAAAGCTCCCAATGTTCCTTAAATCCAATGATTAGCCCAATGTCCTCCAAATCTACCAAAATCACTCCCTAAGCCTCCTATTTAAACTAAACTGAGGCAACTACTAGAGAGTAGGGGTGTCGGTTCCTGGAAATTCTTCGGATATCCGAAAGAACCGAGGAACAGAAAATCCTCGGTTCTTCGGTTCGGTCCATAACAGACACCCCTACTAGATAGAATTAACCGTTAAAATTGTAACAAACCATATCAGTAAAAGAAGTAATAGAAATAGCCACAGCAGCTTCTGCTAAAGCCTCAGCCAGTCTTTTCGAAGTTTTCAGTTCAGGACAAGTTCTATGCCAAGCTGCCGTCATTAAAAAAGCGTCATCAATTCCAATACCTTTCAGAAAATTTTTTTTAGAAATTTCAAAAATTTTTCTAAAAAACAAACTTAGACAAATAAAAGGGCTAACATTAACAATAGCATTGTATAAACAACCAAACCAAAGTAATAAACCAAAAGCGCTTAAAGTAGCAAGTAATGGACACAAAAGAGCAGCTAATCCAAGTAAAGGTTTACTTCGAGTCCAGTCAATACCAATAATTGTTTGTTTTCCAGAAGATGAAGTGTCGCTTAAAAAATAAAATTTTTTGGAAGAAAATTAATAGAAAAAGGAAAGGTTTAAACTTCAAAAAAGTGTTTAAAATTTTTTTTGAAGTAAAGATTGCTTCGAAACAAAATTTTGTTTCAGATTTTGCTTCAGAAACAAGTTTTGCTTCTGATTTTTTTTGAAGAAAATGATGTTTCAAAAAAGATTTTCTTGTTTTACAAAAACATCCAAAGACTATTTTAGTAACAAAATCTCCATGAAAAGTTGCTCCAGGAACAAGTTTGTTTTAAAGTAAAATGCTTCAGAAGCAAAATTTTGTTTAAGAAGCAAGCTTTTTGATTCAAATTTTTTCCAAACAAAATTTTCTTCCAAAAAATTTTTTCTAAAGCAAAAATTCTAAAAAAAAATTTTAATCAACAAACCTAAGCAAAACAATACTGCAACCCATACAAAATAAAAAAAGAACAAATATACAACCACCAAATTTAGGCATTAAAGTATCCGCTACATCCTTAAGAAGGAAAAAATTTTTTCAAAAATTTTTTTAAAAATAAACTTGAAGTCCTTCGGGTAAGCTCATATTGTGATAAAGACCAAATTCAAGCAAATCTTGAAATGTAAAATTAAAAAAAAATTTTTTTTAATAAATTATACCACTGGCAGGTTCCTTATTGTCAGTCAAATACTGAAAATTAAAAAATTAAAAAAAATTTTTATTTTTAATTTTAAAAAATTTTTACGGGTCATTTCTCAGTCATAAATTAACCAAACTTAACAATATTTAAATTTATTTTATTAAAAAAATTCGGGGCCCGGAGCGTGTTCAAATGCACGACCCCCTAAAAAAATTTTTTTTAAAAATTTTCAAAAAATTTTTTTTTGGATTTTTGAAATGTTCAAGAGTTATTATCAGGCATAAATTAACCAAAATGAACAATATGCAAATTTATTCTATCAAAAAAAATTCGGGGCCCGGAGCGTGTTCGAATCCACGACCCCCTAAAAAAATTTTTTTTTAATTTCCAAAAAAACCTCAGCCAATTTCTTCCTCCATCTTTCACTAACTTGTCCAATTAAATTTCCATCTCGAACATTATAAGTTAAACGAATAGCACTAGCATAATTAAAATGTCCTTCAAAATCAGTTAAATGTACACCTCCAACAAGTGCTCCAAAATATAAAGGTTCGGTACCTCTCCAACCTATTGGGTAAGTTATTTTGACCTTGAAAAAAGAGAGTAAAAAAATTTTAGAAAAATTTTTTTCTTAAAAATAATTTTTTTGTCTGACTCAATACTTACAGCCTGACATTCGTGGCTAACGATAAGCCATGTCGAGAAAAAAATTTTTTATTAATTAATTAAAGTCTTCAGTAAGCTCATATTAGCATAAACGAAAGAATTTTGTTTCAAAAAAAGGTTCCAAAAAAATTTTTTTTGAAACAGACTGGCTTCTGAAACAAAATTTTGGTCCAATAAAGTCAAGTAGTTCACAAAATATTTTTCTAACTTTTCAAAAAATACTTTTAAAAATATTTTCTTTGGTGTATGTTTCCAAATGTCTCATATCCAAAAATATTTTTACAACAAATTTTAGAAAAAACAACAAACCTCTTTTTCAATAATATCTTTAGCCAATTCAACAATTTCTGCCTTTAAAAACCCCCCACTTCCAGTCCAATGCCCTTTAGGTTGTAACATTGTAATATGCTCATTTTCATAACATTTCCATGCATACGTCATACACAAATCGGTAAAGGAAATTTGTAAAGTTTGATTGTTGTTGGGTAATTGAAGTGGCACCGTTAAATTGTGAATAATATACTAAAAGAAAGAAAAAAATATTTTTGAAAAAAAATTTCGAAAGCAGCAAAAGTTTAGGAATACAAGGCTACAAAAATATTAAAAGAAAAACTTTTTTGAAACGAAAGAATCAAAAACCCTTTATTAAAGCAAAGCTCGGTACTTCCTTCTACAGGGCTCCATCAATGACTCTGTGTCAAGCGTTGCCTCCTTCAACAATGTTCCGTGTTTTGAAAGGTTGTGAAGGTAGCCTTATACTAGAGACCGGACCGAGACGAGATCTCGATCGAAAATCCTGATTATCGAAATCGAAAATTTTTCAAGATCTCGATTCCCGTACGACACTCCCAGTACAGTCTCTACTTTATGCTCTCACAAGTTCACAAGTCTGGAAGGCTTTATACAAGACTTGACAAAATTTGTAACATAAAGGAACGAGACTCCCCCAAAATTAAAATTTAAAAACCTCATTTATCCTTTCCAATTCATTCAAATATCCACTCAGCAAAATATTTGGTCTAGCCACTCCTTCCGGATCAAAATTAGATTTTCTTCTTCTACCAGCAGCAATAACATCCACATAACCGTTGTAATCATAAGATTTTCCAGGCCAAAAATGTTGTTCATCCAAAGGCCAATGTTGAGTTAAAACAGCTCTTTCATACCTCCAACGGGCATTTTCTGGTGAAAAAACAAAAAGTGGGTCCCTTGTAGTCTAAAAAATTTTTTCTTAAGAAAGAAAGTTGAAAATTGAAGAGCGATTGGAAAGGAAGATCGGAACCTCAGGCACGCAGCCAAAAATTTTTAGTGCAGGAGGAGGGTTCCCTGACTACGTGCCCGTTTAAACAGGAGCTTGTTGGGAACAAAAGAAACCAAAAAGCTTTATAAAAGCAAAGCTACTACCAGCTAATTCTCTAACCAAGGTCACATCAGGGATGTATGGGTTACCCGAAAGACAATTCTTCAATTAAAATCCGATATAGGATCCGAGAAATTTTTGAAAATCCGATCCAAAATCCAAGTCTAAACCCGTGACACTCAACAGGTTTACCGAGTTATTAGGACGGATGACCTTTTCTGTAACCTAATCCCTCCCAGGTCTATCGAGTTATTAAGACGGACGACACTTTTTTGTCACATAAACTCCAAATCCCTTCACCACTCCGCCTAACATAAACTGGACCCCTTATATAATTAATAAAAAAACCTGTTCTTCAATCCAAACAAATCCAATACTTAAAATTCCAGTCAACAAAAAAGGTAATAACAATAATGGCCATCTTAAGCAATAAACCAACAATCCCCAACGCCAAAAAGCTTTAATAAAGTATTCATCAAAAGCAAAAATATTTGGTTTTGGTAAGGAAGATTTTAAAAATTGAAGCATTTTTCATTTAGAAATTATTCTCCTTCTTTTGGTCATCCATTCTTTTCCTTCTTTCCCATTAAAAATCTGACCGGCTGGTCAGATTTACACGTCATCCACTCTTTCCTTCTTTTTTTCCCAAAAATCTGACCGGCTGGTCAGTTTCGCACGCAACAAATCAATAAATTGAAGAGAAGGGGAAGAGGTTTCCCGCTAAAAAAATAAAAAAATATCAAAAATGGGATTAAAACAAACTTGTTTTTTCGCAAAGAGATCGTCTTCTTAATCATTTCCTGGTTGATTTTTAAGTGATTATTCCTTCATTGATTTTTGATATTGAAAGGGCTAGAAATAAAAAGTAACATAAAAATAAAGTTACTAACCTTGAATAAACTTCAAGTCTTCTCCAAACGTGTTGGACTTGAAACATGGTAGCTGATTGAACGAATTTCCGTCACCGTCAAAAACGGAAAAGTCGAAGGCTAATCAACAGCTCTTCACGACATTTTTTCTTTGCGCTCTCATTTTTCAAAATAATCTCTTAAAAATAATTCAATGGTATATTCTGCAAAACCATATTTTGCCAATAAGGCTAAAATCCCGCATTTTGTCACCATTTTGTTGGCAAAACGTGTAATTTTAGACTTATTGGCTAAATGTGTTTTGGCAAAATGTCGCCCAACATTAATAATCTGAAAATAGTATGCAAACTAGAGAAAAATAGTCTTTTTACAAGACGGACGTTTTGGTTCGGGCTGGCCAGTTGAACTCAACCATTATTGCTCGCGCCAGTTAGTTCCTTTATCTGCCTAGTACACAATGCAAAAATGGTGCCTTTAAATTATTCTTCCGGCCGTCTTTTTTGTAAATTTTCGATTCTTCTTTTGTCAATATTTCTTCTTTTTTGGATATTTCTTGAAAAGCAACAATTGTCGGTTAAAACAGAAGATTTGCAAGTTCAGCTACGTTTTGCTAATGAACATATTAGCTCGTTAAGTGCTCAAATCAATGGTTTTTTTAAATTTTCTGTTTAATTTTTAAGAGGGGAAAGCTGCGGGAAAGGTTCTTATTCCCTTCCCTCCCCAGTCCGTTTCCTTTAATTATAAGAAATGTTATTTGAAGCTTCTGATATGAGCGTCCATGGTGTAGTGGTTAGCATTGCTGCCTTCCAAGCAGTAGGCACGGGTTCGATTCCCGTTGGACGCACAAACTTTTTTTGGATTTTTTAAAATTTTCTAAACAAAAATTTCAATTTAAACTCTTAAAAAATTATTTTTTTTTTCAATTTTCTAGTAATCTCCAAACACAAGGACAGAATTGAAGCTTTGTTTGCTAAAGAAAAGGAACGTTGTAATGAATCTATAAATCAACAGTCCAAACGTATTAGTCTTTTGCAAATTGAAAATGTTAGATTAAACGATCTTATGGAGAATATTAGTCAACAAAAGGTTTCTTTTATTTTTGTTTTACTGACCCGACCTCATACACCTCATTATAAGTGACATTTTCCCAACCTCCCTTTTCAAACTTTCAACCCCCCTTCTCCCTTTAAAAATTTTTCTGGCTATCGATGCTAGGTACACCTTACATTAGTTTAAGAACTTAATAAGACACTGGATGTTAGAGCTATATAAACGACCCTTAACGTATTGTGTCACTTAACCCTATATAAGAGACACCTCATTATAACGGACGAATTTTCCAGATCTCAGGGTAGCTCATGACGAGATATCGTATTTTTGAAAAGCCTGTTCCTGGGTTTGATTTATTGACCTGGACCGGATCCTGGGAAAAACCCAGCCCAGAAAAATCTAATGAAGGTCAAAAAATGCCTGGGCCTAGACCGTCTTTTAACCATCATTTTCTAAAAATTTTCTCCCAAATTTAAGTTACTCGAAAAACAACCTCCTTCAAACAACACCACCTTTCTCCTTCCAAAAATGGATTCTCCACCCTTGGAAACCAAAAACAATTTGGTACAAGATCCATTTGACAAAAAAGAAGAGGAAGAAAATATTCCCGCTGTTCCAGCACAAATTAAAAAACCTCCTAACATTAACAATTTGGAAGAAAGTCAATTGAAATTGAATAACAAAAAATCCTCTTTTTCGCGTAAAGAGCAGCCCAATGGAGGGGAAAAACATTTTGAAGAAGATTATAATATTTTTAGAAGAAAAAATAAACTTCGAGAAGATTTGGTTTTTAAACGAGGGGAGGGAGAAGGAAATGAAGGAGAAGAAAATAAACAAAAATTATCTCCTGAAGAAAATAAAAATGTAAAGGAAGAAGAAAAAGAGGAGGAAGAATATGTTGGAAAAGAATAAATTTAAAGAGGTTTTTTTTTAATTTAATTTTTCCCTTAATAAGCCCAAATTCTTGTCTTCAAAATTTTTTCTTAACACTTCAACTTATACATAACTTTTATATGTACAGGCCGGGGATGGGTTGGGTTACTCACAAAACTCGGTCGTTTTTCGGTTAGTTTTTTCCCGGTAGGTCTTTTTCGACTTTTTCGATCGATCCAAATTTTTTTTTGAAAATTCGATCCGAAGACCCGACCAGTACTGTTGGTATTGGGGACATTTGTTGACTCCGTCTCCGACCTTTTTCAAACATTGGCCTCGGCTCCGGGATTTTCAAATCTTACATTGACTTCGAGTCATACCCAGTATTTGACCCAACCCAATTTTTTTACTTCTCATCAACCCGACCCATCCCTAATATTCAGGCCTATAGTCACAAGTTTTCTTTTATTTTTGAGGGTAAGCAATCCCTCATGCATGGTGCTTCTTAAAAATTTTGTTTAAATAGGTAGCTAAAAAACATTCCCTCCTTAAAAATATTGTGTGTCTATAATTTTTTCTCTACTCAATATTATTTAACAACCAAACGCATTTTATATAATCTCTCTAATTATTTAAATCTCTTTCGTCAATAATTTTTTTGCCATTTAATATTTAAATAATAAAAAAATTTTTTTAAACTTCTTTTTTGTTTCTAAATTATTTAAGGCCAACAGATTTAAAGTCCCCGACTCCTCACCCGACGATGTTTTTAGGCCATTCTCATACCCCATTCTTACATTAACATTCTATTTCCTGACATCTCCCCTTTCCCCTGCAAAAGTTCTTTTCGACGGGACCAGCCCTAGATAAGGGACCCTGTATAGGTATCTCTTCTCAATTATCTTCAACCTAACAATTGGTAGAAGAGTGAAGAGTTTTCCAACCCCAATTAAATTTTAAAAAATTATTTTCTAAATTAATTTTTTATTAACTTCATTTTTAATTTAAAAATATATTTTTTGTAGAAAAAATATCTGTTTCGTTATTTTTTTAAAGTGATAGAATTCTTTACCTCTATTTTTTGAACTATAAAAAATATGGCACAGAGGCAGTTTTTGACAACACATTTTTTGTAAAAAAATTTTTTTTCAATTTAAAGAGCAAGTGAGTTACGTTTCTTTCCAAGTTCAAAAACTTCTTCAACTCCCTGAAATTAAAAAAAATTTATTCTGAAATTTCGGGGGTAGGCCCACCTTACAAGGATAGATTTAGACTCATCTAAAAAACTTTTTTCAACTCCCAGAGATTCCACGGCCCCGCGAGAGTGGAAAGAGAACTCCTTGCTGTTCCTCTATACCCCATGAATTTTAAAAAAAGTTTACGGCCTCGCAACACGGAGGTGATGGTAGTATGAGATCCAGAAAAAATCCAGGACGATCAAAGAATGCCTAGATATGGACTCTTAATCCGGGAAAAATTCAGACTGGATCAAGATCCAGACCGATCTCTAATGCTCACTTATACCCCAGGAAATTTTCTTCAAAAAATCCCAAGCTCCTCATCCCCCCCCCCCTCCAAAAAAAAATAAAAAAAAACCTGTCTAAAAACATTAAAATTAAAATCAATCAATCCTTGTTTTTCAAAATTATCTTCTTTAATTACAGCCACCAAAGCCAAATAAACATTAATTTGTCTCAAAAAAATAACTTGTCTAGTTCGTAACATAATCATTGCTGAGGTATCTTGATCAAAACCAATTGGACGATTTTGGTGTTGAATTTGTTGTTTATTGTTATTAGTATTTTGTTGGTCAACTTTGTGTCCATAAATTGAAGATATGTCTATTGTAACGTCTATCATATCACAACAAAGTTCATAAGTGGCCTGTGGAAAAAAAGAAAAGAAAATTTTAATAAGAGTCGAGGGCGTACCAGAGGGAGGAGGGGCTATCCAGAGGAAATCTTACCCATGATTACGTCCTTGAGAAATACACCCAATACTAGAGACGCTTCAAGATACGTTTTGAAAATTTTGGCATGAGTCACCTGCTAACCGAAAGTCTATAAAAAAGACGCGAACTCATTCCTGGAAAAATCCAAAGGTTCACATTGTGGGGGACCAGGTTCGGACCCGTTTAGGATTTTTTGACTTTGAGTGGAGGAGGGAGCTTCCTAAACGTTTACCTTCGATTTAAGGTACACCCCCATTATAAGGTACGATTTTTTAACCCCTAGGGGTATCTTATATGAAGGTTGCCCTATTAGAATTTCAAAAAAAATTTTTATTATTAACCATGTCAACAAGTGAAGAATCAGTAGCAATATATATTTTACTTGCAACATCAAATAAAAATGATTTTTCAACATTTGAACCCTTAAAAATAAAAATTAAGAAAATTATTAAAAGAAAACCTGATTAAAAATATCCAATAAAGATTCCAAAACTGACAATTGTTTAATCAATTTTTGAATAACTTTGGAAAATGCTTCGAATATTGAATGATCATAAATTCTAGAAATTGAAAAAAATTTTAATTTTTGCGGACACAAATTGCGGACAAATTTGTCCGCAAAAAAATTTTTCGGACAAAATTTTTTCTTAATTGCTAAAAAACAAAAAAATTTAGAAAAAATATTTACGAAGTCATGTGATAATTAATTCGAATATGATCCATTCCTTGATCGGCAAGATCATCCTGGACAGTTTGAAATATTTTTCGATGTGTTTCCATTTTGGTTTCATCACTTAAACCATCAACTTTGTGAACGAACACCTTTTTATTAAAAAAAAGTGGTAAAAATTTTACGTACAAACTAGAATAATAACCAAAGGTATTCAGATACGTATTCCCCTTCATATAGGTATACTTAAAAGTCAGGTGCCCAACTTTGCTGAATATTCGAGTTGTTCCCCGTAAAGGACCTCGGGGAAATTTTTCAAGGATAAAGCGCCTTGGAATAGGATTCTTTAAGGTCTCAAATTCCACGACTTAAAGAATCAAGAAGCAACTCTACTGAATCTGTCTTTAAAAAACTAAACAAACTAACCTCAAATTTAATATTTTTGTTTATCGAATATGATCTAATTATTGCTGGAACCATCTTCTTCAAAGCATCGTCATAATCCGCTTGGGCATCAATTACAAAAAGAAGAGCTCCGCAACGAGAAAATATCGAATTTGGATCAAATGACGCTTCAAAAGGATCGACTTGGCCAGGAAATTCAATTGTTTCAAAATTTATGAAGGAATCACTGACATCTGAAAAAGAAAAGAGAATATTAAAGGAAATTCGTTGGGAAGGTGAAACTAATGTTTTTCTCAGCACGATGAGAAAATTACAAAATATGGATTTTCACATTTTTGGTTAAGTGGGAAAAATTTTAAGTTTAACCGGTCCGGGTCTGAACCTGTTTTAAGTAAAATATTTTAATTTTCTTTGAAATCCTTAAAAATTTCGAAAAAGTTACAAACAAGACCTTTCTTGGTTAAGTGGGAAAAATCCAAAATTTTTTCCTTAGGGGTCCAGGTTCGAACCCGCTTGGGGTAAAACATTTTTAATTTCTCCCAAAATCTTTACACAAACTCCTAGCGCCAAGATCACCTTGATTAAGTTTTAAAAATAAAAAACCAAACTCACATTCATTAGTAACTCTCGCTGTGCTTTCAACAAAAAGCGTCTCGTTCGGGCTCATCTTTTGAAATACCACTTTTCTTATTGACGTCTTTCCGCTTCGTTTAAGTCCCATTATGACCCAAAAAAATTTTTTTAGAAAAAAATTTATAATTTAAAAATACTATTGTAGGTCTATATCCAACAGAGTAGACCGAATCTGTTTCATCGTCCTTTAACCCATATTCGTATTCCTCGTCTTGACGACAAAAGGCTCTGTTTGCCATATGAATTAATCGAAAAATAAGAAAAAATCTATTAAAAATAAAATTATTAGACTTACATTAGATAAAATTAAAAGAAATATTTAATTGAAAGACAGAAAAATTGGAAAATCCTCTCCCTGACTCAAAATGTCCAACTACAATTTTTGGTTAAGTGGGAAAAATTCAGCCACTAAAAATTTTTTTTTAAATTTTTTTTGATTTCTGGACATTTTTGAAGGGAAAGAATCCAATCTTCTGCTTCAACAATAAAATTTAAAAAGGAATATAAAAACACAAAAGTTTTTATTTCAGCAAAATAATATCAGCAAAAAAAATACAGAAATACGTTAAACTCCTAAAATTTGATCCATCCAAGATTTCAGAATTTTATAATTTGTAACGTCCACCAGTTGCTACTTGTCTTGTTAAACCTTGTGCAGCCTAAGAGAAAAATAAATTAGAATCTTAAAGAAATAGTTGGACCTCACTATAAGCTCCTGATTGACGAGAACTTCCTAGAAAGCTGCCCCCTTTTCCAGAACGTTTTCGAATTTGGTCGGCCGCTGTTACTCCTCATTATAAAAACAAATTTTTTTAACCCCAAAGAGTTCTTATAACGAGGGATATATTAAATAGGGGGTATAGCCTAGGAAGCTCCCCTTCCCAGTGATCGACCAAAATTTCAAAAAATATCCTAAAATGGCGAGATCCGAATCCAAAATTTTTTCAAAAAAAAATTCCAAACCATCATTCTAAGCGTTTCCCTCATAATTCTAACAACTTCTTCTTTTGCTCTTCTTAAGGATAATTCATCTCTAGCTTCAATAAATAAATAAAGTTTTCTGTCTTGTCCAGGTTTTGGCTCTTTTCCTAATGGATAATGAGTTCCTTTAACTGATATTCCAACATCAACAAATTCTTGTATTTGGGCAATAACTTCCTTTAAAATTTTTAAAAATTATTTGAAAAATTATTTCCCCAAAAGGGTTCGAACCTATGACCCCAAAAAATAATTTATCCCACTTAACCAAAAATACAAAAATTTTTAAAAAGTTAAAAAATCAGTAAAAGAAATTCCACTTACTCTTGAACAAACTCTAAAACGCAACATTTGTGGAAAATCATTAATTTCCAATTCTTCTTCAAAATATTGAATTTGTTGTTCAGCCTCTTTTTCTTTAAAATCAGAAGGTAAGTAATCAAGTTTTTCATTCAATTCCATTGCTTTTTGTTTGGCAAGCGAAATTCCCTATAAAAATTTTAAAATAAATAGTAAATTAAAAAAATATTTTCCCCGAAAGGTGTTCGAACCTATGACCCCCAAAAAATAGAATTAAACCACTTAACCAAAAATACATTTTTGGCTAATGGATTTTTAATGACATGGGTTCAAACCGATCTCGGAGAAGGTATTTTTATCTTTTAAAATTTACTATTTATTATTACAATTAAAGAAAAATTCTCTGCAAACCGTTAAATTCACTGGCTGGGCTTCCGTTCCTTTCATTATAGCTTCAGCTGTTAAATGCGTTGCATCTTTTTCCATAGAAGCTTGTCCCAATTTTGCAGCAATTTGTTCAGCCATTGCTCTTGCAGCTTCAACTTTCTTTTCTGTTGAAGGATCAGGCTTTCCTCTCCATCCAGCACCTGCTCGACGAGTTGTAACTCTTTTACTGCTTTTCATCATTCCAATCTTTAAAAAATATATGAAAATTAAATGTTAAAAAAAGAAAAAAACTGTAGAAATTCTTTAAAGTGGGAAAATTCTATCAAAAATATTTTTTATTGAAAAATAAAATATTTTTCCCAAAGGGGGTTCGAACCCACGACCCCAAAAATGAGATGTAAACCACTTAACCAAATGTGAGAACAAACAAGTAATGGTCAAAAAGATGAGCTAAAGTCTTTTATTAGAGATATTAAAGCTCTCCTAAATTTCGGAAAAATGAAGAAAGACAACCCACCAATCTAAACCCCAATCCCCAATAACTCAAACCCTATACCACTTAACCAAAAAACATAAAAAATAAAAACCAATTGATCATCAATATTTTCAGATTCATCATCCATTCCACTTTCTATTCCATGCATTAATTTAGTTAATTTTCTTTTATTCATTTCACTTTCATCCTCAATTTCATCATAACGAAAACCTGAACCAGAATATCCTCCACCGCCCATATGTATTTCTTTTCCTTCTTCAGCCATTTTTGTTTTATATTCTTCCCATAATTTCTTCAAATCTTCGGGTGGTTCGATTCCAGCTGTTTCAAAAGCTCGAACAACTTCTCCAGCGATTTTTTCTTGTCCAGTTGCCAAAACAAATGTATAAGCATAACCTTTATTTCCTGCACGCCCAGTTCTTCCAACTCTATGAACATAATCTTCATAATGATTAGGGGCATCATAATTTACTACCAAAATTAATTTTTTGACATCGAGACCTCGAGCAGCGACAGATGTTGCGACCTAGAATTTTTAAGAAAATTAAAAATAACCCACGCTATAAGAGACCCCAAAAATAACTACCCTCCAATTTGTTGTAATTTTGGTTAAGTGGGTTACAATTATTTTTGGGGGTCATGGGTTCAAACCCTTTCAGGGAAAAATACTTTTTTTTATTTTTTAAATTTGAGTTAAGAGACCCCAAAAACCCCAAAAACAAATACCCTCCCATTTGTTGAATTTTTTTGGTTAAGTGGTTTACATTAAATTTTGAGGGTCAAAATTTTTTACTTTATAAAATTTGGGTGAAAAACGTTGTCAAAGCAATACCCTCCTTCTAAAACACCCCAATTATAAAATACACCCTTTTTAGTCCCCGGGGGTCCCTAAATTAAAATTAAGCATACCATTAATTTCAATCTTCCAGTTTTAAAATCAAAAATAGTAAAATCTCTATCATCCTGATCTATTCCTCCATGAAGTGGAGCACAATTATAACCAGCAAGCATTAATTGCGAAACCAAATCATCAGCCTTTTCTTGTTTTTCAACAAAAACTAAAACATTCCCATGCTCCCAATATTGCCCAAGTAATTCTAGCAATTTTAAAAATTTTTGGTGTTCTTCCAAAACTAGAGCGTGTTGCTCAACGTCTTTACAAACAACACTGCGACCACCAACCTTTAAAAATTTGGAAAAAATAAAAATTAAAGAATACAGTCAAACCTCACTTGTAAGTACACACTCGGTTTTGAAAAAAATCGTCCACTATAATGAGGTGTTTCTTAAATAGAGGGTATCTCTTAAACGCATCCCCACCCAGTGGCTAATCAAGTTCAAAAAAACGTATCTCAACAGTTGTCTTATATTAGGGGTATCTTATAAAGAGGTGTATGTAGCCTGTATTTTACCTTATAATAAGTGTATATTAAATAGAGGTGTATGAAGCGCCTGACCCAGTAACCAACCAAATTCGAAAAAGTATCTTAAATTGGGGTGTGTCTACTAGTGAAGGTCCTCAACTGTATTTTAAAAATATATACTTACAACAATTTCCACAGGTCGTTCCAAAACCTTCCTTGCCAAAGCCTCCATTGTTTTAGGAAAAGTAGCTGAGAAAAGAACTGTTTGTCTATCTGGGCGTACATTATTTACCATTTTCATTACTTGTGGTTCAAATCCCATGTCAAACATTCGATCAGCTTCGTCCATAACTAAATAAGTAACACGGCGAAGATTGGTGACTTTACCTAGAAAATTTATTTTTGAGAAATTTAAAGGAATAAAATGGTCAAAATCAAAGAAACAAGGCTCTCGATCGTTACACTTCTCATGTCAGAATTAATTTTTTTAATTGTGAAATTTGGTTAAGTGGGAAAGCTTTGTGTTCATGAAGTAAGAGGTCGCAGGTTCAAACCCTTTCATGGTTAAATTTTAGATTCATGCATAAAAGTGTGACTGTCTTGAGAATCAATTATTTTTAATGAAGTATGCATCTTGGTTAAGTGGGATAGCTTGAAGTTCATGAAGGAAAAGGTCGCAGGTTCGAACCCGCTCGGGGTAAAAATTTAATTTTATGTAAGTTAATCGATTTATTGGCATGTAATTAACAAATTTCTTTAAAAAATAAAAAAAAACCATTATTAGCCGCAAGCATATCAATCATCCTTCCAGGTGTACACACCACCACTTCAGCTCCCTTTTTTAATTCCGCAATTTGTTCAGATATAGCAACACCTCCATAAACACAAACAACACGTATACCCAAATTTCTAGCAAATTTATTTGCTTCTTTCCATGTTTGTAAAGCAAGTTCTCTTGTTGGGGACATTATTAAAGCTTCAAAAAAAGAGATTTTTTAACCAAAAAATTAAAAAACCGATAGGTCCATCCATATCTTCCAATGGTGGCTGATCCAAAATATGTCTAAACATTGGAATAAGAAAAGCCAAAGTTTTTCCACTTCCAGTTTTTGCAATTCCAATAACATCCCTTCCACTCATTATTGCAGGAATTGCTTGGGCTTGGATTGGTGTAGGTTTTTGGTAATTGTGACTGAAAAATTTAATAAATTTTTTTGAGGGTAATGTCATGAATGGGGAGGACATGGGCCAGAATCCTCTACAAAAAAAACATTCAATTTTATTAATAAAATTTTAAAAAATTTCACCATTCAAAGTGACTTTCGTCTTCCCATTATTCCGTTAAAGAACCTCATAAAATTTGGTTAAGTGGGTAAACTTTATGTTTATGGGGGTGAGGTCAAAGGTTCGAACCCGCTTGAGGAAAAGATTTTTTAAATAAGAAAAATTCAATTAAAAACCAAAAAACACTAAAAACTTACACTTTTAAAACATTCATAACTTTAATATCAACTCCACATTGTGACCAATTCTTTATTGGTTTAGGAACATTCTTTCCTCTAACATGAATTTCATCTAATTCTTCACGATAATCTTCAACCTCCTTTTTTGTCATCTTAGCAATTTCAGGGACTTCAATATAAAACTGAAAGATGAACATTATTTATTGAAATACTTGATTAAAATATTATATTTTTAAAAATTATTTGATTCGGTAAATCCTTGTTAATAAAAATGAGGTCATGGGTTCGAACCCGCTCGAGGTAAAACTTTATTTTAAAGTGGAATTAAAATACTAGTAAATTCTAAGGGATATTTAAAAATAGAAAATGCCTAAAAAAATTTTTTCCCTTATTCAAAAGACAAAAATTATAGGGAAACACGAAGATCGTTGCGTTTATATGTAGAGATGAGGTCGTGGGTTCGAACCCGCTCGGGGTAAAACTTTATTTTAAAGTGGAATTAAAATACTAGTAAATTCTAAGGGATATTTAAAAATAAAAAACGCCTAAAAAATTTTTTCCTTTATTCAAAAGACAAAAAATTTTAAAGAAACCCAAGATCGTTGTGTTCGTGATGAGGTCGTAAGTTCGAACCCGCTCCTGGTAAAACTTTATTTTTATAACGAATTTTTTTGTGTTAATAGATTCCTAGGATTATTTAAAAACTTAACTTGTTAAAAAAAATTTTCATCACTCAAAAAGCTACAAATTTTGAAAAAGACCGAACTCTAACCTTCCCCATCTAAAAAATAAAATTAAATAACCTCTTTCCGAAAAGGCCTATAATACACTTTTGTGTGATCCGTTTGTGCCAACATTCTTCCTTTTACCAATAAACTTGATGCAGTTTGTTCAACATCAAGTTCATCTTGTGCCTGTTCCTTTTCATCTTCAGGTTCGACAATATCTCCCTTATTTGGGGCACTTTTAGAAACAGCTCCAATCACAACAACACGGGCTTTCTTGTTCTAAAAGAGCAAAAAAACTTATAAAATACTCCAAAAAATTAAAAATAAACCTCAGCTCCAGCTCTCGCTTTTTGTGAAATTTCTGCCATGTAAGCATCCAAAGGATCTTCATCTGCTGATTCATTGCTGGGGGTATTAGTTGAGGCTGTGTCCATTCTATATAAAAAATAAGTCGAATATAAGGATGGTATGAGTGATGTTGAAGGGAAAGATGAAAAGAAACAGGATTAAATGGGAGATGGAAATCTTGGGATGAGCCTAAACCGAAGACAACCAATTCCCCCCTCCCTACCCGTCATTTGTGTTGCAAGACGGGCACAATAGTAAATGTGCATAAAACAGTCAAAATTTTGGGACTGTTCAATAATTTAGAATTATGAGGAACCGGAACCGCGTTATGTCGAAAATGGAATAGCAATGGTCTTCTGATATCAGGAATCGAACCGAACAACAGAGCTGAAAGCCCCTACTTGCAGCCACAAAAAAATTTTCCCCCCAAAAAAATTTTTTTAAATTTAAAGAACAACAAACCTTTCATCACTCAAACTATTTCCATTTGTTGTTTCATTCTGTGCCACCACCCCATTACCCACCACTTCCCCCATATTTTCATCTTTAACAGTTCCATTCCCATTTTCAATTACATTGTCTTCATCATCATCTTCTCCTTCCAAAGTCCACGAAGATGAAGGTTTAGCTTCTTCAGGTAATGGAGGGGGAAGTGTTCCTTCTGCAGTCTTTTTTTCTTGAAGTTTTTTCTGTTGTTCTCTCCATTTTTCAACTTTTTCACGTCTTTTTTGAATTTCTTGGTCTAATTTTTCTGTTATTTTGTCCTATAAATGAGGGGGTTCTTTCTATTAATACTCACTTTTTTACGCTTTTGAAGGGAGGCCTCTACCCAGTTTAAACCAGCAATCTTTGTAATCTTGATGGGAAGTCCATTTCTAAAAGTCAAACACTGACTTAAACCCCCAAAAGTCAAATTGACCTCATCCACTTATTAGAACCGGGTAGAGGCTTCCGCCTTAAAATTGGCTTCCCCCTATTAATTATTAGAGACTTCCAAGACCGAAAGTTTCCAAGACTCAAGACTAGACACAAGACTGACTGAAAAAACCCCAAAAAGTCCTGAGTCAAGACCAAGAGTCTTGGACGACTCTCCTACTTATCCTTCCTAAAAATAAGTCCGGCGTAACCCACCCTGCCAAAAAATAGAAATATAAGGGGAAATTAAGGTTGGACATAACCAATTAACCGCCCGCTTAATTTTTCCCTGTGACGGGGCAAAAAGAGAAGAGATAAAAAAGACCCGCCACGGGGAAAAATTAACCGGGCGGTTAACCGGTTATGTCCAATCCCAGGGAAAATGTCAACAATCCCAAAAATCCCCCACTTAAAAAATTTTTTTTTTAAAATCAACCAAACCTTGTCAGCAGAATTAACAATTTCCCCAATATCAATTTCTCCTTTTTTCTTTTTTGTCGAAGATTCCTTTTCTTTTTCATTTTTTTCTCGAATTTTTCTCCCAACATTTTCATCCCTTTCTCGTGGAGATCTAGAACGACTTCTACTTCTTTTAGAGCCTCTTTCCCTTCTTTTTTCTTCCTTTTTTGAACGTGATTCTTCTCTTTCCCTGTCAGAATCTCGAGAATAAAATTTTGAAATTGTTGGCATTTTTTAAAAAATATTTTTCTAAAAATTAATTTAAAAACGAATAAATTGAAAAAATATTTGTGTACAGAAACTATAACTTTAGAAAAAATAGAAAAAACTTTAAAAAATCAATGTTTATCAAAATGCCAAATTAAAGCAAAATTTTCTGACTTTTCCGTTATACGCCCACAAATTCTTTTGGCTGTAGTTCAACTAATGACCGGTTCCGTCTTTAGATTTATATACCATTCGACTCATTGTCAGCTCAACGGTGTAGGATGATCGCGAATGCCTGCGGACCGAGATATAGACCCTTGAAAACTGAAAAACCAAAAGAGGGCAATGCTTAAATTTCGAGGTCGAAAATCGATAAGCTCCTTCGAACGAGCTGATTGTGAGTCGAATGACACCAAAATCAGCTCGATTCTATATTTCTAAAAAAAATTACGAAAAAATTTTTTCAGGGCGTATAACGGAAAAGTACTCAAAAAATTTTTAATAAATGGAAAAATAAATTAAATTACCACAAACCTAGCAATAAGTCTACAAACAAAATTATCTCAATCAATTCTTTTAATTATAGCCTCACGTGTTAACACACGATTACCACCTTCCACATGAGCAGACTGGTCTTCATCTTCTTTAATTGACACAGAAAATTTAATTTTTGAATTGTGTTTATTGACAAGTTGAAAGGTTGTAAATTTCAGTTTTTCATTAATTTCGACTTTAATATTTTCTGCTCTTTCACTTGAAATTCGCGGTCCAGAGATATTTTGCAATTCAATTTCTTTCACCATTTTTGTAATTTCTTGCGACGTTTCTATATGCTAAAATTAAAATTAAATTGGTTTTTTAATCAAATTTTTCTAATTTTCTTATCAAAAATTCATTCCCGATTAAGAATCTTGAGCCTTACAATATTTATACATATTAAGCAAAAAAGCTCAAAATGGTCAGGAAAAAAGATGAAGTAAACCTTGAGCCCTGACTTAAGAATTTTTATTAAAAAAATTTTACCCAGAGCCAAAAACGATGTTTACAAACCTTTATAATAAAATTGTAAAGAGTAGAGTGAAGTTGATAAAAAGTAATATTCAAAAATTTATTTCCTCCTTCTGTCAAAATTTTGCATAAAATGTCCATACTTCTTTCTTCATTAATGAAATTAATATAAACACCACAATAATTAGAAACTAGAAAATTCCACATAAAATATAAAGAAGTATGGCAACGAAGAGTAAGTTCTGCCCCTTGTAAATGTATTTGTAAAGGAAAATTTGTTGTTTCATTATCATAGTCAAACAATAAGTCAATCATTTGTGGATTAATTCGAATCATATCATGATTTTCATAATATTCGAAAGCACAATTAAAAATTAGTTTGAATAAATAACGAGCAATAGCCATTTCCTCTAGATTTTTTGGAAGCTTTGGCAATTTTATATAATATAATCCTGGAGAGAAAATTTTTCAAATGATTAAAAAATAATTTTTTTAGTTTTTTGAAGTAAAGAACGGACTGGGAGGATCGTAAAAGGCATCTCGAAAAATCTTGAATATCAAAAAAATTTTCGGGATTTACAATTCTTATTAAAATTTAATTTATAATTATAGGTAAGACAGGTCCGTAACCAATAAAAATTTCGATGAGGAAAGATGTCAAATGAAAACTATTTTACAAAAAACTTATTCTCACTCGATTTTTAGGTAGAGACAAAAAATTTCCTTATTTTTTTTAAAATTGGATTATAAACTCAAATAATAAATTAACCTCTGTTCCACCCGTAAGTATCTTCTTTCAATTCACAAACAACTGTGTCTATGTTTCCATATCCATACTCAACTGATGTTAAAAACGTTGAAATTCCATTTTCTATTCCACGTATCCACTAAATTTTTGAGTTTATTTAAAATGTTAAAATTAAAAAAAACCTTTTGTTCAAGTCTTTTACTTAATTTAAAATCATAAAGATGAGGAGGTATTTCAACAAAATTATTTTCCCCCCATTTAAGGTCAGAAATACTACACTAAAAAATTATAATTATTAAAATAAATTCAAAACATTACAAATCCAAGCCACTTAAATTTCTTCCTAGCCAATTCCTTTCCATATTTATCAACAATATTTTTGAAATAAAAACTTGTTTGTTGGAAAGACAATAATTGATCAAAATCAAGAAATTTGAACACATCAAGCAGATTCTCTTGTGGAAGGTTTACTTTTACAGACTTCCTATTGTTGATGTCAGCAGGCACATTGCCGCTTCTAATTGAAGTTAATTGATACGATTGACCTTCCTAAATTATTATTTTTTAATTTAAAAATAAATTATAAAAAAACCTCCAAACAATATTTAATCCCCTCAATAATTTTTCGAACCTCGCTCATTCTTGTAAAATAATTTTTCTAAAATATAAATTAGAAAAGTTGGCCTGTAAAATATATGAAATTAATTGAAAATAGATACATTTAATATTACTTAAAATAATTTTAAAAAACATTAAGTATGTATATAGAAATCATAACTTTAAAAAAAGAGAAAAATTTAAAAAATCAATATTTATCAAAAAAAAGTCAAATTAAAGCAAAATTTTTAAATAAAATAAATAGAAAAATGGCACTTAATCGTTATCCCTTACTCCCGTTTTCTTCAAAGGAAAATAAAAGAAAATGAGGGGATAAGTACCAAGGTTGTCACGGGTTACTCAAAACCTAGCCTCTTTTTCGACCCGATACCCGACCCGACTATTTTTCTCAACCCGTGACATCCCTGATAAGTACAAAAAAATAAATAAATTACTAAATTAACCTCTTAATCAATTCTCTTAATTACAGCGTCAAAATACGGCAGACGAGTACCTTGCAAATTAATATATTTGTCTTCATTTTCGTCAATTAATACAGAAAATTTAATTTTTGGATTGTAATTATTGACAAGTTGAAAGTCTGTAAATTTCAATTTTTTATAAGCTTGAATTTTAACATTTTCTGCTCCTTCGCTTGAATTTCTAAGTCCACACATATGTTCAAATTTAATTTCTTTCACCATTTGTGTAATTTTTTGTGATGTTTCTAAATGCTAAAATGAAAATTAAATTGTTTTTAGACGATGAACGAGATGAATAAAAGAATGTGTCTAACAAATATATAAAGTATGTACACTAGAGATCGAGCCGGGTCTTAACCGAGGCCTTGGTTTTTTCTGTACCCAGTCCAGGCTTTTCAAAAAATCTCGATCTCTAAAAAAGATCGAAATGGTCAGGGAAACATAAAAAAGTGGAGGGGATGAACAGAAAGAGTTTGCAAAAGTTTAGCCACCGGGCAGGATTCGAACCTGCGACCACCTGCTAGTTGTTGCTAGGCGCTTTCGCTCACTATATGCAGGAGCTCTACCTCTGAGCTACCGGGGCATCGACTAATGCTTTCTCTTTTTCCTTTTTAGATCGTTTATCCCCCGCCTAAGCGTTTTAAATGCTGCTAGGTGAATCATCCTTACATCTCCATCCCTACATCAGACCGGTCCCTCGGTCAAGCGCCATGACCGTGGATCGGCTGGTTCACCCAGCAGCAAGTGGGGATCCCTGTTAGCGGCACCAGAAAGAGTTTGCAAAAGTTTAGCCACCGGGCAGGATTCGAACCTGCGACCACCTGCTAGTTGTTGCTAGGCGCTTTCGCTCACTATATGCAGGAGCTCTACCTCTGAGCTACCGGGGCATCGACTAATGCTTTCTCTTTTTCCTTTTTAGATCGTTTATCCCCCGCCTAAGCGTTTTAAATGCTGCTAGGTGAATCATCCTTACAGAACTAAAATACTACTTTGAGCCCTTTAAACTCTAATTGAAAATAAACTAGGGCCCAGAATCGACATGTCCCAACCCCAGTTTATATCTATAGTAGAAATGTACAAACCTTTATGATAAGATTGTAAAGTCTAGAGTCGAGATGTGTACAAGTAATATTTAAAAATTTGTTTCCCCCTTCAGTCAACATTTTGTACAAACCAAACACAAAAGTTCTAAATCTCGAGGTAGGGCCTTGAGTTAAGTCATTAAATATATCAATGTCTTGGACGTTGTCATTAAACAGATATTCTGTATCATATGCATGCATATCAACTCTAAGTCGATTAGAAACCAAATGATTCCAAACAAAGCAAGGATCGTTATTCCAAAGAAAAGGTAGCTTTGTGTTTTGAGAATGAACTTGTAAAGGAAAATTTGTTGTTTCATTTTCGACATCAAACAATAAGTCAATCATTTGTGGATTAAATAAAACCTGATGAATTTCAAAATATTCAAAAACACAATTAAAAAGTAGTTTGAATAAATAACGAGCAATTGCCATTTGTTCTAGATTTTTTGGAAATTTTGGCAGTTTTATAAGATATAATACTGAAAAAAATTTTTTTAATGATTAAAAAAAATTTTTTTAGCTAACAAGAGACCGGACTGGAAGGGGAAAAATTATGAACCTCGAAGATCCTTTAGATAAAGAAATCAAGGAGAGACTTATTAATTTTGAAAAATCTTGTTAAATTTTTATAAGCCTAAATAATAAATAAACCTTTCCCATTGTAATTTTGTTCCAATTCACAAATGACCGTGTCTATATCTCTATACTGAATGTGAGATGATGTTAAAAACGTTGGCATTTGCTCTTCAATTCCATGTATCCACTAAAATTTTTCGAGGTTATTTAAAAAAACATCAATTTAAAAAAACCTTTTGTTCAAGTTGTCTACTCAATTCAAAATCATAAAGATAAGGTTGTATTTCAACAAAATTAGGTTTAACAAAACGCTAAAAATAACAATTATTATTAAAATCAATTTAAGGGACAATATAGTAGTACGTGGGAATATATAATCATTTTTTCTAGAAGACAAAGATTCGCGGGAGCAGGCCAACTTACCGCGAGCCCAACTTACCGCAGAGCTATAACTTCGTTCAGAATTGCCGAATCCGGTACGCCTTTGTATGATTCGATGCGTCTCGACGAGCTGAATCAAACTATACCAGGGTGCCCCGGATTCGACAATTCTGAACGAAGTTATAGCTCTGCGATGAGTTGGGGTCGCGGTAAGTTGGGGTGTACCCAAGATTCGCAAAGATACAGACTCTTAAAACTGAAAAATCATAGGGGAAGCATTATGGGAAAAAACTCGGTTATGTTTTGCGGGGCACGTGTCGAACAAGAATCAACGGCTTAATCTAAGTTGGTGCGCCCATATACTATAGACACCCCTAATTGTCCGAAACCTTTTCCTTAAGTTGTTTTTCAAATTTATGAAGATGAGGTTCTACTTCAAATTTACATTCAGCGAAGTTAAAGTCATTAAAAGGAAGCTAAAAAATAATTATTAAAATTAATTTAAAAATAAAAATACAAATCTAAGCGTAGAAAATTTCTTCCTCGCCAATTCCTTTCCATATTTGTCAATAATATTTTTGAAATAAAAACTTGTTTGTTGGAAAGACAATAATTGATTGAAGTCGAGAAATTTGAACACATCCAGTAGATTTTCTTGAGGAAGGCTTATTTGAATACACTTTTTAAGTTTTTTGATGTCAACAGGCACTTTAACTCTTCCAATTGGAACCAATTTATACAATTGATCTTCCTAAAATATTTTTTTAAATCTAAACATAAAAGTATAAAAAACCTCCAAATAATATTTAGTTCCTTTAAATTCAATTATTTTTCCATTCTCGCTCATTCTTATAAAATAAGTTGACTAAAAATTAATGGAAAATTTGGCCTGTGAATTTAATAAAAATGAGACGTTTTACTGAAAATAATTAAAAATAGTTTTAAAAAATAATTAAATATGTATACAGAATTAAAACTTTAAAAGAAAGAAATTAAAATTAAAAAAATGTTTATCAAAAAAAGTCAAATCAAAGCAAAAAAATTTTTAACAAAATGAAGAAAAAATAAATTAAACTACATGCGTGAGGTAAAGAATGATTGGCAGTAAAAAAGGAAAATTATTCCGAGACTCAAATAAAGAGGGAGGGCCGGATATTAAAAAAGTATACCCTAAGCTATATACCAGGGATCCTGCCGTCCCGATTCCAGAAAATCGCGAATTCCCGAAGTTTTTTGGGTCGGGATCCCGATTTCCCGAAATCGGGAATTTTGTTTTTTTATCGGCTAGACCTCTGATATACACTAGAGATCAGCACGGGACGGGATCCCGCACGAGATTTTACGAGATCCCGTCTCGGAATCCCGGATTTTGAGCGAAAAACGGGGTTACCGGGATTTACGAGATTAATCCCTCGCAACCCGTCCCGTACAAAATGTTGAAAAAAATCTCGTTTACAGGATTCCAGGAATGCGTCTCCGATATACACCTAACAATTAAGTCTAGATAAATAAGTTTATATCAATCAATTCTTTTAATCAAAATGTTAAATGATGGCATAAGATTACCTTCAATATTAGTGATTTTTACTTTCCTTTCTTTAATTCTTACGGAAAATTTGATTTCTGGATTGTGTTTATTGGAAAGTTGAAAAGTTGTAAATTTGAAGTCATTGTAAATTTCGATTTTAGTATTTTCCGCTTTTTTACTTGAATTTAGAGGCCCATGCATAACATAAAATATAATTTTCTTTCCCATTTCAGAAATGAATTGTGACGTTTCTATATGCTAAAATCAAAGTAAATTTTAGGTTTTCGTTGATTAATTTCAGTGGCTTTCGATTGGCCTCACTTCAAACGAAATAAATTTAAAAATTCCCAGAACAAAAAATGGACCATTTTGAGTCCAATAACGCTTAAACCTATAATTTACTATAAATATATGTCGCAGCCTAACTTAATAAGAATGTACAAACCTCTATCATAGAATCATAAAATATAGCTGATATTACGTGCATAAGAAATAACGGAAAATCTATTTCCTCCATTTGCCAAAATTTTAAATAAAGGATTGAAATTTTTTGATAAATCGATAGGTCTATCAATCTCAACGTCAAGCTGATTTGAAATCAGATGATTCGAAATAAACTTTATAGCATTGTCTTCAAAAACAAGTATTCTTGCACATTGAGAATGCATTTGTAAAGGAAAATCTGTTGTTGTTTCATCAAACAATAATTCAATCATTTGTGGGTTAATTATAAAATGAAAACTTCCAAACAATTCGAAAGCACAATTAAAAAGTAGTTTTAAGAAATATCGAGCAATTGCCATTTGCTCTAGATTTTTTGGAATCCTTGACAATTTTATATGATATAATTCCCCTAAAAAGATTCTTTGGGTCAAACTCGAAATTTTATTTTCCGAATAGAGCTTATTAATATTTAACCTCTTTTCCCTTTGTAATTATGTTCTTTCAATTCACAAACAATTGTGTTTATGTTTCCATACCGAGACGATATTAAAAACATTGGAACTTGCTCTTCTATTCCACGTATCCGCTGAAATTTTTGAGGTTACTTAAAATGTTAAAATTAAAAAAAAAACCTTTTGTTCAAGTTGTTTAGTCAATTCAAAGTAATAAAGATGAGGAGGTATTTCAACAAAATTTTGTTCGCCCAATTTAAAGTCAGAAATAGGACCCTAAAAATAATAATAATTATTATTAAAATCATTTGGTGCTATGCGTTTATACTCTCCTTTTTATCTCCCTGCTTCTGCTTTTTCAAATACATTACAAAATGGTCAAAGTCAAATAAAGTAAGGCTTAAATATCTGTACCATCTCTAATAAGATGACCAGACATTTTTCAATCATTACAATCCCGTTAAAATGGGTCATCCAAGTGGAGAGAGCCATTCTAAACTTTATTTATACCCCATATGATATTCTATTGAGGAAGGCATTCAAATTAAGGGTGCCATTCTATTTGAAACAATACGGCAATTTAATCCAACCTTTATTTCCCTTCAAAAATTTTGTATAAATCTTTGAGAAAGGAGACTACGAGAAGAAAAGGAAAAGATAAACGCATAGTACCAAAAAAAATTATAAATCAATACAAATTTAAGCTTTTCAAATTTCTTCCTCGCCAATTCCTTTCCATATTTGTCAACAATATTTTTGAAATAAAAACTTGTTTGTTGGAAAGACAATAATTGATTGAAGTCGAGAAATTTGAACACATCCAGCAGATTCTCTTGAGGAAGGCTTATTTGAATACACTTTTTAGTCTTAATACCAGCAGGCACCTTGTCGTTTCTAATTGGAGTCATTTGATACACTTGACCTGACTAAATAATTTTTTAATTTAAAAATAAAATTATAAAAAAACATCTAAATAATATTTAATTCCTTCATATTCAATAATTTTTCGATCCTCGCTCATTCTTGTAAAATAATTTGACTAAAATATAAATTAGAAAATTTGGCCTAAAAATTGAAAGAAATAATTAAATTAAATAAATATGTATACAGAAATTATAACTTTAAACAAAAAGGAAAAATTTTTTTTAAATTTATCAAAAAAAAAACGTCAACTTAAAACAAAAATTTTGGTAAAAGTCTCGGGTTTCTATTTCCCCTCCCCCTTTCTTTCATCCCTCCTAAAAATTCCTTTAGTTTGCTACATGATTCAAATTACCTAAATGATCCCATGTTGTTAACGCAAAGCCGGATATAAAAGGTACGCGGACATATCGGGACGGACATAACGGGGTACTTTAATGTACAACAGTTGCTCTACTGATTTTGAGACCACGCGTCACTGGGTCTTGGATAGTATATTGTCCTAATGAAGAATAACCATATAAAAACTGAAATTAAAAAAGGGGGCATACAAACCCGACTTTTACCCAAAATCTTTAAAAATAAAAAAAAAATAAATTAAATTGACCTAACAATTAAGTCTATATTCAGTTAATTCTTTTAATTGTTGCATTAAATGCTACCTCAACATTTTTATACTTAACATCTTCACCATTAAATTCGTCGTTTTCAGGTTCTTTAGCAGTTACAGAAAATTTAATTTTTGGATTGTGTTTATTGAAAATTTGAAATTTTGTAGTTTTACCATCAATTTTAATATTTTCAACTGTCTCACTTGGAATTTTAGATCCAAATATACATTCAAATTTAATTTGCTTTACCATTTCAGAAATGAATTGTGATGTTTCAATGTGCTAAAATAAATTATCTAAAATTTTTTTTTCAAAAATCCTTATTCGATTATAACGTAAAGACTGACAATTCCGTACAAAAAGCGGACAGGGGGACGGCCAATAAAGTACCAATAAAATATCCGAAAATCACGGGGAACAAAAAATTTACCATTTTGAACCATAACAATTTTTATAGAAAACAGATCGCGCCCCAGAACCAAAAAAAGTATCCAAAGGAGTCGATTTCAAAAGGGTAAAATGGGATGTGCGCCAAATTTTTTGAGTTCGGCACAGTTATGTCCGAGGGTTGTACGAAGGAAGACGTGCAAAAAATTAACAGTTTATCCAAAGATCTATGTAAAATGTGTAGGCGAAGGGATTTGGCTGGAAACAGACGAAGGAGATCAGGGACTAGCCGGGCTAGTATGATCCAATTAGACTGACGCTTACAGTGGCTTCTATAGTAGTGTCACCAATACACAACAGGAACGCTAATTTTTTGTACATATATTCCTGCCACAGTTTACCAAAAAATAAAAAAATGTGCAAACCTTTATAATAGGATTGTAAAGTTTACCGGCAACGCATAAATAAGTAATATTCAAAAATTTATTTCCTCCTTGTGTCAAAATTTTCAATAAAACGTCCATATTTTCGTCCTCGTAAAGGATACAATTAACAATTCTAACTTGATTACAAATCAAATGATTCCAAATAAAATTAAAAGAAAAATGATCCCGCGTATAAAAGTTTGCCTTTTGAGAATGTATTTGTAAAGGAAAATTTGTTGTAGTTTCATCAAACAATAATTGAATCATTTGTGGATTAATTATAGTCCGACTAATTTCAAAATATTCAAAAGCACAATTAAAAATTAATTTGAATAAATATCGAGCAATAGCCATTTCCTCTAGATTTTGTGGAAATTTTGACAATTTTATATGATATAATGCTGAATAAAAAAAATTTTAGATTAAAAAATTTTTTTATAGTTAAGGTTTGAATTTCCTCAAATACATTGAATTTCCGGTAATTTTTTACCAAAAATCTTTTTCAAAAATTTTTTGTCAAAAAAATTTTTGAATTTTGGCATATTTTTACTAAAATAGTAGAGACCAGCAAAATTGTATTTGCGGGATCCCGCATGCGGAAGTCCTTAAAAAGAGTGCGGAACTCATCCGAAAATATTCCCGCAAAATTCCGCACTCCCGTCCCGCTCCGGTCTATAATAAGCTCAAATAATAAATTATAACCTTTTTTCCCTTTGTTATTCTGTTCCAATTCACAAACAACAGTGTCTACATCTTTATAACCAGAACGTATTAAAAACATTGGAATTGACTCTTCTATTCCACGTATCCACTAAAATTAAAATTTATTTTTAAATTAAAATTAAAAAAAAAAACCTTTTTCTTAAGCTGTTTACTTAATTCAAAATCATAAAGATGAGGCTCTTCTATTTTAACAAATTCACCATTTTCACATTTGGAAAGCTAAAAAATAATAATTATTAAAATTAATTTTAAAAAATCGAAAATACAAATTCAAGCCTTGCAAATTTCTTCCTAGCTAATTCCTTTCCATATTTATCAACAATATTTTTGAAATAAAAACTTGTTTGTTGGAAAGTCAATAATTGATCAAAGTCGAGAAATTTGAATACATCCAGCAGATTCTCTTGAGGAAGGCTTATTTCTATACGCCTTTTAGCTTTTTTGATGTCAACAGGCACTTGACCTCCTCCAATTGGAAGTAAACGATACCACTGACCTTCCTAAAAAATTATTTTTAATCTAAGCATAAAATTTAAAAAAAACCTCTGAATAATATTTAATTCCCTCATATTCAGCAATTTTTCGATCCTCGCTCATTCTTGTAAAATAATTTAACTAAAATATAAATTAGAAAATTAGGCCTAAAAATTGGAAGAAATGTTAATTAAATAAAGCATTAAATATGTACACAGAAATTATAACTTTAAACAAAAAACAAAAAATTTTAAAATAAATTTATCAAAAATAAAGTCAAATTAAAGCAAAAATTTTGGTAAAAGTTTCGGTTTTGTTGCCTAAAAATTGGAAAAAAATCATTCCCTTTTCCTATTTTTCATTTTTTCTAAAATTCCCCACCATTTGCTTCATGATTAAAATTATCTAAATGATCCTATGCCGTGTATCACCAGTTTCAACAATCGACCAAATGCCAACGTTCAGTGGGAGGGGGGGGGGGTGTACTTTAACTTATTCCCTATAAAATCTTTTTTTGGGAATAGAAGGCCTTACTTACCCAGGGTATGAAACACACGCAAAACATTGGATTTCCAAAATACATAGATAATTACTTATCGCTTTTTAAATAAATTAAAATAAAAAAAAGGGGAGGAAGGGACATACAAAACCCAACTATTACTCAAATATTTTAATAAAATGCAAAATAAATAAATTAAACCTCATACATATTCCAACTTTTAAGTCGATAAATAAATTTATCTCAATTAAATTCGTTTAATTTCAGCATAAATTATCTCGCGAGCAGTTTCCACATCTTCTTCAATATAAACAGAAAATTTAATTTTTGGATTGTGTTTATTGACAAGCTGAAAATGTTCTTCTTTGTAGTAGATTACATTGATATTTTCTTCTTCTTCACTTAAAATTCGAGGTCCAAACATTTTTTCAAATTTAATTTTTTTCACAGTTTTAGTAATATCATTTGATGTTTCAAGGTGCTAAAAGTAAGATGTTACAAATTAAAAAAATATTTCCAAAAAACTGGCTACAGCTAAATTGACCATTTTGAGCCCTGATAAACTAAAAATTTTGCACGGTGCAATAAGCGACATGTCCCTATTCCTATTTCGTGTCAGGCTAACTCAAGGAACAAAAAAAAACAAGGAACGACAAGTCAAGGACAGCCCGCTTATGGAATATCTTTAAAATCTGAATTTCTTTGAAAAATCTGAAATATCTGATTTTTAAAATATTCTATGAGTTGGGCCTTCCTTGACTTGTCGTTCCTTGAGTTGGCATTCTTTGAGTAAGTCCTCACCCCCTATTTTATGAGGAAATTCACGAGCTATGGACCAAGAATTCGTAAATAAAAATTACATTTATTGCCAATTTTTGGCTTTCTACCCCTAACGGCAAGGGCGTATCCAGGGGGCTAGAGCCCCCCCCCCCCCCCCCCATGAAATGGGGGAAAGAGGGATACGCCCTTGCTAACCGATATTTAAAAAAGTTATATAGAGTAAAAAAATTTTTAAAAAATGTCCAAACCTTTATACTCCACTTGTAAAGGTTAGTGTGAAGATATGTAAAAGTAAGATTCACAAATTTATTCCCTCCTTGCGCCAAAATTTTAAATAAAACGGCCATACTTTCTTTTCCGCAACAGGCAAATCTATCAAAGTTTAATTGATTAGAAACCAAATGATTCCAAATAAAATTTGAAGAATCATTATTCCAAATATAATCTAGTTTTGCGGTCTGAGAATGTATTTGTAAAGGAAAATTTGTTGTTGAATCATCAAACAATAATTGAATCATTTGTGGGTTAATTAAAATCGTATCAATTTCAAAATATTCAAAAACACAATTAAAAAGTAGTTTGAATAAATAACGAGCAATAGCCATTTGCTCTGTATTTCTCGGAAAAATTGGCAATTGTATATGATATAATGCTGAAAATAAAAATTTTTTATTTTTAGTTAAAGAATGAAGTAGTGACTGACAATGAGACTACTTCATTCAAAAAGATCTCAAACTCTTTTTCTAGATAATTAAAACAATTAATTTAGCATTAAGAAGACATAGAAAGTCAAGGAGGAATTAACAAGCTATCCACAATACTCTCTTAATCCCACTGTTCCTGTTCATAATCCCACGATATTGCCGAGTGAAAATTTTCTTTTGAACAAACTTGACAAACGTCTGTTCAAATTATTATAAATGGAAAACCCAAAAAATTTCCCCATTTCAAAAAAAAAACCAAATATAATCCCAAAAAAATAGTTTAACCTTTTTTTCCTCTATAAGTTTGCTGCAATTCAACAGGAACAATCAATTATGAACAGGAACAATCAATTAAAAATTTTTTATTTAATTTTTATAATGAAAAAGAAAAAATTTTTTATAAAAATTTTCTAAAGCTTGAAAAATGCTTTGAAATAAAATATAAATTTAAAATGTACAAGAAAACTAGATTATATAAAAATGAATTTAAAGAGATCAGAACCCTTTGGTTTTTCAAATTTCAGGGACCTATATCTCGGTCCACAGGCATTTCCGCAGTTAGGGAGTGGTACCATTCGACTCAGCTCGCCGAGACAAATCGAATGACATATGTTTCGACCCGGTTTGGAGCGGGCCCTCGACTAAACTATATCGAAAAATTGTAACCCCAATGGCACAGTCTCTCCAACAAGACTAATCATGGATTTGAACTCGACCCAAGCAAAACCTAAAACCATTAGATGGGACATAAACGTTCTAATCTTTTTCCTTATATAGTATAAAACATAAAAAATATAAACCTATGATCAAAAAAATTCGTTTTAAAAATGAGATTTTTGTCCAGCATAAACAGGAATTAAGTATAAAAAATCATCCTTCTTACAAGCAATTAAGCCCAGATCTAAAAAATAATTTGAGCACAAAAATTTCTAAACTCAAAAATAAACCTTAAGAAAAGAATCCCAAGAAGCAGTGCATATAGCTGTTCCATCCGGAGATGTTCTCAAACAAGAAATACGATTTTCATGTCCATACAAAACGTGGGCTCGAACACATTTGAGTGTATCCCAAACAGAAATTCGATAATCACCATAGCCAGCAAATAGTAGACGACCTTTATTTGAATTTTTTAATAATTAAAAAATTATTTTAAAAAAAATTACCGCTAACAGAAAAGTCAACACCATTTACCTAAAAATTTTAAATTAAAAATTTTTTGAAAAAAATAAAACGGGAAGAAAATTGATTCTTTTTGGTAAACAGCAACTTGACGATCAGCACGAATGTCGTAGAGACGGCACTAAAAAATTTGTGAAATGTCAGTTATTAATAAAATTTTAAAAAATTAGCCTAGGCATAAGAAGAAATCTTCGTATAAAAAATATCAAAAAACTACAAAGTTTGGTTAAGTGGGAAAAATTTATGTTTGAGCGGATGAAGGGTCATGGGTTCGAACCCGTTCGGGTAAAATTTAATTTTTAAGAATGATTCTGACATGTGAGGTGACTCAAAATTGCCAAAATTACTGGAAAATAACAATAAAATTTAGTTAAGTGGGAAAAGTTTAAGTTTGTGGAGGGTGAGGTCAAGGGTTCGAACACGCATGGGAAAAACCAATAATTTTTTAAAAAATATTCTTCAAAAAAAATTTTTTATACCGATGCATCATCAGATCCAGTAGCAAAAGCATCTCCATTTGGATGGAATCGAATAGTATTAATATCTTCTTCGTGCCCATCAAAGCTTTGAACACACTGTCCTGAGCGGATATCCCATACGAGTGCGTGTTTGTCAGCGCCCTTAATTTTTAAAATCTAAAAAATAAAAATTTTAAAAATACCCCAGAAATAAAAATATTTCCTTTTTCTTAAGCTGTTTACTTAATTCAAAATCATAAAGATGAGGCTCTTCTATTTTAACAAATTCACCATTTTCACATTTGGAAAGCTAAAAAATAATAATTATTAAAATTAATTTTAAAAAATCGAAAATACAAATTCAAGCCTTGCAAATTTCTTCCTAGCTAATTCCTTTCCATATTTATCAACAATATTTTTGAAATAAAAACTTGTTTGTTGGAAAGTCAATAATTGATCAAAGTCGAGAAATTTGAATACATCCAGCAGATTCTCTTGAGGAAGGCTTATTTCTATACGCCTTTTAGCTTTTTTGATGTCAACAGGCACTTGACCTCCTCCAATTGGAAGTAAACGATACCACTGACCTTCCTAAAAAATTATTTTTAATCTAAGCATAAAATTTAAAAAAAACCTCTGAATAATATTTAATTCCCTCATATTCAGCAATTTTTCGATCCTCGCTCATTCTTGTAAAATAATTTAACTAAAATATAAATTAGAAAATTAGGCCTAAAAATTGGAAGAAATGTTAATTAAATAAAGCATTAAATATGTACACAGAAATTATAACTTTAAACAAAAAACAAAAAATTTTAAAATAAATTTATCAAAAATAAAGTCAAATTAAAGCAAAAATTTTGGTAAAAGTTTCGGTTTTGTTGCCTAAAAATTGGAAAAAAATCATTCCCTTTTCCTATTTTTCATTTTTTCTAAAATTCCCCACCATTTGCTTCATGATTAAAATTATCTAAATGATCCTATGCCGTGTATCACCAGTTTCAACAATCGACCAAATGCCAACGTTCAGTGGGAGGGGGGGGGGGGTGTACTTTAACTTATTCCCTATAAAATCTTTTTTTGGGAATAGAAGGCCTTACTTACCCAGGGTATGAAACACACGCAAAACATTGGATTTCCAAAATACATAGATAATTACTTATCGCTTTTTAAATAAATTAAAATAAAAAAAAGGGGAGGAAGGGACATACAAAACCCAACTATTACTCAAATATTTTAATAAAATGCAAAATAAATAAATTAAACCTCATACATATTCCAACTTTTAAGTCGATAAATAAATTTATCTCAATTAAATTCGTTTAATTTCAGCATAAATTATCTCGCGAGCAGTTTCCACATCTTCTTCAATATAAACAGAAAATTTAATTTTTGGATTGTGTTTATTGACAAGCTGAAAATGTTCTTCTTTGTAGTAGATTACATTGATATTTTCTTCTTCTTCACTTAAAATTCGAGGTCCAAACATTTTTTCAAATTTAATTTTTTTCACAGTTTTAGTAATATCATTTGATGTTTCAAGGTGCTAAAAGTAAGATGTTACAAATTAAAAAAATATTTCCAAAAAACTGGCTACAGCTAAATTGACCATTTTGAGCCCTGATAAACTAAAAATTTTGCACGGTGCAATAAGCGACATGTCCCTATTCCTATTTCGTGTCAGGCTAACTCAAGGAACAAAAAAAAACAAGGAACGACAAGTCAAGGACAGCCCGCTTATGGAATATCTTTAAAATCTGAATTTCTTTGAAAAATCTGAAATATCTGATTTTTAAAATATTCTATGAGTTGGGCCTTCCTTGACTTGTCGTTCCTTGAGTTGGCATTCTTTGAGTAAGTCCTCACCCCCTATTTTATGAGGAAATTCACGAGCTATGGACCAAGAATTCGTAAATAAAAATTACATTTATTGCCAATTTTTGGCTTTCTACCCCTAACGGCAAGGGCGTATCCAGGGGGCTAGAGCCCCCCCCCCCCCCATGAAATGGGGGAAAGAGGGATACGCCCTTGCTAACCGATATTTAAAAAAGTTATATAGAGTAAAAAAATTTTTAAAAAATGTCCAAACCTTTATACTCCACTTGTAAAGGTTAGTGTGAAGATATGTAAAAGTAAGATTCACAAATTTATTCCCTCCTTGCGCCAAAATTTTAAATAAAACGGCCATACTTTCTTTTCCGCAACAGGCAAATCTATCAAAGTTTAATTGATTAGAAACCAAATGATTCCAAATAAAATTTGAAGAATCATTATTCCAAATATAATCTAGTTTTGCGGTCTGAGAATGTATTTGTAAAGGAAAATTTGTTGTTGAATCATCAAACAATAATTGAATCATTTGTGGGTTAATTAAAATCGTATCAATTTCAAAATATTCAAAAACACAATTAAAAAGTAGTTTGAATAAATAACGAGCAATAGCCATTTGCTCTGTATTTCTCGGAAAAATTGGCAATTGTATATGATATAATGCTGAAAATAAAAATTTTTTATTTTTAGTTAAAGAATGAAGTAGTGACTGACAATGAGACTACTTCATTCAAAAAGATCTCAAACTCTTTTTCTAGATAATTAAAACAATTAATTTAGCATTAAGAAGACATAGAAAGTCAAGGAGGAATTAACAAGCTATCCACAATACTCTCTTAATCCCACTGTTCCTGTTCATAATCCCACGATATTGCCGAGTGAAAATTTTCTTTTGAACAAACTTGACAAACGTCTGTTCAAATTATTATAAATGGAAAACCCAAAAAATTTCCCCATTTCAAAAAAAAAACCAAATATAATCCCAAAAAAATAGTTTAACCTTTTTTTCCTCTATAAGTTTGCTGCAATTCACAAACAATCGCGTTTATGTCATCATACTCTATCGTTGTTAAAAACATTGGAATTTGCTCTTCTATTCCACGTATCCACTAAAATTTTGAATTTAAATAAAAATTTTAAAATTAAAAAAAAACCTTTTGTTCAAGTTGTTTACTCAATTCAAAATCATAAAGATGAGGCTGTATTTCAACGAATTTATGTTTAGCCAAGTCAAAGTTATAAATTGGACGCTAAAAATTGATAATTATTGTTAAAGTCGGGTATTGTAACTTATACTTACAATTAGGGGCAGGTCCGTAGCCAGGATTTTTTTCGAGGAGGGGGGGGGGGAGGGGGGAAAATCCACCCCCGGCTACGGGCCTGCTTACAATTAGAGAGGTTTTCTTGTTTTATTTTACAATAGAACGATTTAGAGAAATGAGATACAATTCGTAAGATCTCTGAAAAAAACTAGGAGTCGAAGAAGTTGATCCGAGCTCCCTCTAGTTCGACTCAGTTTCAAGAGCCCTTTAGAATGACCCTCCATACCCAAGTCAGTCCAGAAACAAAAACCCCCCAAATAATCGACTAAAATAAATTAAATAATACAAATTTAAGTTTAGTAAATTTCTTCCTTGCCAATTCCTTCTCATATTTAACAATAATATTTTTGAAATAGAAACTCGAATATTGAAAAGATAATAATTGACTGAAGTCGAGAAATTTGAACACATCCAGCAAATTTTCTTGAGGAAGGCTTATTTGAATAAGCTTTTTGGTCCTGAAGTCAGCAGGCATTTTGTCGCCTCTACTTGAAGCCATCTTCTGAGACCACTGACTTTCCTAAAATACATAATATCTATTTTATAATTTAAAAAGAAACCTTTTTATAATATTTGACTCCATCGTATTCAATAATTTTTCGATCCTCGCTCATTCTTGTAAAATAATTTGAGTAAAATATCTTGAAAATTTAGCCTGTAAATTTAAGAGAAAATGGCTGAAAATAAATTTTAAAAAATTAAAATAGAAAACTAAATATACAAAGAAATTATAACTTAAAATTAAATCAATTAAAAATTTTTTATTTAATTTTTATAATGAAAAAGAAAAAATTTTTTATAAAAATTTTCTAAAGCTTGAAAAATGCTTTGAAATAAAATATAAATTTAAAATGTACAAGAAAACTAGATTATATAAAAATGAATTTAAAGAGATCAGAACCCTTTGGTTTTTCAAATTTCAGGGACCTATATCTCGGTCCACAGGCATTTCCGCAGTTAGGGAGTGGTACCATTCGACTCAGCTCGCCGAGACAAATCGAATGACATATGTTTCGACCCGGTTTGGAGCGGGCCCTCGACTAAACTATATCGAAAAATTGTAACCCCAATGGCACAGTCTCTCCAACAAGACTAATCATGGATTTGAACTCGACCCAAGCAAAACCTAAAACCATTAGATGGGACATAAACGTTCTAATCTTTTTCCTTATATAGTATAAAACATAAAAAATATAAACCTATGATCAAAAAAATTCGTTTTAAAAATGAGATTTTTGTCCAGCATAAACAGGAATTAAGTATAAAAAATCATCCTTCTTACAAGCAATTAAGCCCAGATCTAAAAAATAATTTGAGCACAAAAATTTCTAAACTCAAAAATAAACCTTAAGAAAAGAATCCCAAGAAGCAGTGCATATAGCTGTTCCATCCGGAGATGTTCTCAAACAAGAAATACGATTTTCATGTCCATACAAAACGTGGGCTCGAACACATTTGAGTGTATCCCAAACAGAAATTCGATAATCACCATAGCCAGCAAATAGTAGACGACCTTTATTTGAATTTTTTAATAATTAAAAAATTATTTTAAAAAAAATTACCGCTAACAGAAAAGTCAACACCATTTACCTAAAAATTTTAAATTAAAAATTTTTTGAAAAAAATAAACCGGGAAGAAAATTGATTCTTTTTGGTAAACAGCAACTTGACGATCAGCACGAATGTCGTAGAGACGGCACTAAAAAATTTGTGAAATGTCAGTTATTAATAAAATTTTAAAAAATTAGCCTAGGCATAAGAAGAAATCTTCGTATAAAAAATATCAAAAAACTACAAAGTTTGGTTAAGTGGGAAAAATTTATGTTTGAGCGGATGAAGGGTCATGGGTTCGAACCCGTTCGGGTAAAATTTAATTTTTAAGAATGATTCTGACATGTGAGGTGACTCAAAATTGCCAAAATTACTGGAAAATAACAATAAAATTTAGTTAAGTGGGAAAAGTTTAAGTTTGTGGAGGGTGAGGTCAAGGGTTCGAACACGCATGGGAAAAACCAATAATTTTTTAAAAAATATTCTTCAAAAAAAATTTTTTATACCGATGCATCATCAGATCCAGTAGCAAAAGCATCTCCATTTGGATGGAATCGAATAGTATTAATATCTTCTTCGTGCCCATCAAAGCTTTGAACACACTGTCCTGAGCGGATATCCCATACGAGTGCGTGTTTGTCAGCGCCCTTAATTTTTAAAATCTAAAAAATAAAAATTTTAAAAATACCCCAGAAATAAAAATATTTCCCATATCAGATTTGGCAATGTCAACGGCAAAAACTTAAAAAAAATTTTTAACCAAAAAATTTAATTAAAAAATACCATCGCCTAAATGACCATGGAAATTTTGAATCATTTGACCACTTTCAACGTCCCACTAAAAAAATAAATTTTTAAGAGAAAAAATATATTTTTTAAATAAACCATAGCACAAGTTGAGTCACCGCTACCAGTCAATAACTTTAAAAAAAAAGAATTTTTTTAATTATTAAAAGGATAATCCAGATGGGTTGTCTAGTATTAGTTAGACAGTTACAAGTCAAATTCCCCACACAACCTTTTGTCGGTGAGTACCTATACGCAATAAGCGTAGATATTAGCAATAACTGACATATGAAGAGGTTGGAGTCTTCAAAAAAATTTTAAAAATTCAAAAATCTGGTTAAGTGGGAAACCTTTAGGTTTGTGGAGGCGGAGGTCCTGGGTTTGAACCCGCTTCAGGTAAAACCTCAATTTTTTTATAAAATAATCTCAAAAACCATCAAAAACAATAAATTCTCAAGAAAGGACCAAGAAAAAAATTTAAAAATAACCAAATTATCCGAACGAATAAAAGTACAGCAGCTCATATAAGAAGTATGAGTAGCCACAGATCGCTTCTTTTGGATTATATCCTCGTCAAAGTTGAGAGGTATGACAGAACATTTATTGTCCAAACCGCCACAGGCAATCATTTGCATACTTGGGGCAAAAGCGCAAGCCATGACCTATATAAAAAATTTTTTCTAAGGGGCAAAACACCGTCAGACCAAAATACCGTCCGGACAAGAGAATAGAAAAACTATTTTAACAAATATTAAATTCGACTTATGTCAACATTATGTCATCCCAACATTTTTTTAGACTTACTGGCTATTAGCTCTTGGTTACTAATTTACTCCAATGCCTACAAAATTTTATTTTAAAAACTATTCGCATTAAGCGAACTGGAAGGTAATTTGATAAGACGGCGTTTTGCCCCTTCATAACTAAAAATTCATACCCATGTAGTAGGCATAGTGATGGCATGTTCTTTATTAGTTGTAAATCCATCCCATACCTTTTTAATGTCAAAATAAAAAAATCCTCGAAAAATCAAAGCTTACAATGACTTTGCCATCTTGCGAAGAACTGACAATGTGTCTTTTATCCTGTGCCCAATCCATGCATAAAACTTTACTAGCATGTCCACGGAGTACACGTCGACATCTCATTCCACCAAGTTCCAATTTTGCCAATTTTGCGGCTGCTGTTTGGACTGAAAAAGTGGAGGGTAGATAAAGATTAAAAAACTGGGCCCGAACTTTGGCCTTGGGTAAATGCCTAGAGTCCAGGAAAAGCTCAAACTTAGCCCCTGTCCGGCAGGATCAGGGGCTAAGTTCGACCTAAAATAAGTCTGGGCTTGAGTTATTGATACGGCCCGAAATCCAAAAATGCCGAAAGACCAAGCAGGACAAACTAGCTTTAACCTAAACCCTCAAACAACAGAAAATAATAACAAACTTGGCACATCATTCAATTTTTGCCTTTCCTGGTCCAATTTTTGCCGGAGGTCTTCTGCTTCACGGACAAGCACTTCAATTTGATCGCCACTTCTATCGAAGCTTTGATTAAATAAAATATTGAAAAAATACCTTGAAGAGACATCATCAACCATTATTCCCTTTATAATAAATTTAAATAAATTTGTTAAAGCTTCTTAGAAATCTAAACAAAATTGCTTGTAAATTAGTACGAAAGTGAGGAAAAAACAAAAAAAACAGTCCAAGTCAACTCCCAAATAAATCCCCAGAATTATTGAAAAAAGATTAACAGCTCTCTCATATAATGCCAATTCCACATTTTGCCAATAAGGGCAAGAATATACATCTTGCCACATAGTCTAGTTGACAAAATGTACGATTTTACCCTTATTGGCAAAATGTCGATAGGCAGAATGTGATCACAAAATTAATAAACGCTAAATTAAAACAAATTTGCCTTCCTGACAAAATTAAATTTTGGTCAAATGAATTTTACCACTTTGAAAAACACTTCGCCAAAAATTAATTTTAACTGCCAAACGAAATAAAAATATAAACTTGATTTAAGCTTGAATTAAATTCTGGAAGGCTTTAGCTTCTTTTAAGCTTTCTAACAAAATTACTAACACCCCGGCAATGTCTAAAACCGAACCCAAAAATGCCGAACGAGTAACTACGTTGAAGAAAATACTTTGTGCTGGGAAAGGTTTTTTTAATTTTTTTTTAAATTTTGAAAAATTTTTTTCAGGTGAATTACCCAATTATTGTAAGGATACTAAAGCAATTTTTCATTATGAAGTCTTTTTGCCTCCTAAAACGAATAAGTTGGATAAGGATGAGATTGAAGATGCTGAACAGGCCAGGCTGGCCATATTTCCTCAGGACAGGTTTGAAATTTAGAAATTCGATTTTTGGCATTTTGACATCTTTTAGGGATTTTTTTTACATTTTTCTGGGTTTTTCGACATTTTGAAATTTTTTAATAGTTGACATTTTGAAATTTTACCATTTTGACATATTTTTGATTTTTCGACATTTTGACATATTTTTGATTTTTCGACATTTTGACATAACCCTACTAAAAATTTTAAAATTTTTTTAGATCCCTTTATGAATGTATTGATAGCACAAAGAAAGACTGGCCGAATGGTTACGGAAAACCTTTGGAGCTTATTTTTGGGAAGAAATTTCAACTGCCTTTGTTTGAAAAATGTTTGAGGACAATGCTGGTTGATGAGGTTTAAAAAATTTTTTAATTTTAAAAAAATTTAAGCAAAAATTTTTTTCAGATAAGCCAATTTGATGTTTACGATCCAAACGAACTTATCACCTTTCCAATGGTTTCAAAAAAGTTGAGGGATATTGGGCATGCAGAAAAGGTTTTTATTTTGAATTTTTAGGTCGAGTTTCCGGCACGTAAAAATTAAATGAAATTTCTTACGGACGATTTTTGCGGATTTTCCTATCCTTCTCTTAATTTTTTTCTTTAATATTTTCCAAAACGAAAAATTTTTCCAATTGATTTCTAAAATTTTCCAAAAAATTTCCAATCCGCAAAAATCGTCCGCAAATAAACATTTTTTTTAATTTTTCAAAAAAACTTTTAGGACCCAATATTCGCCAAAAAATACGAACATTCCCAAAAACATCAATGTGCTGCAACTGTTACAGAATTGGGTTATCCAGAATTGGACAAACTTTTGAAGGAAGGGCCTAGGCCTACTCGAGTTATTTTGCATTTACTTCAAGTTTTGAAGCCTGACCAGTGAATTATTTCAGACTTTAACTTTGAGGGGTAATTTCTTTTATTTTTTAGATATAAAGCAGACAATTGGCAGCTGGACGAAGTTCAACGTTCTAAACAAATTGATCAACTTAGAATTGAAGGGAATCTACTATTTTCTGAGGTTTTAAAAAATTTTTATTTTAGTCCTTTATGGCCCTAAAATTTCTGTAAATTTTGTCCGCAAAAAAATAAATCTATGGGTAAGTAGGTTATCGGTTCCACACCAGTCTTTCCGGTTAATTGAACATGGGCCTAGAGTAGAAATCGAGATTTTTGAAAAGCCTGGGCCTGTTCCGGGGTTCCAAGTTATTGGACTGGTCCTGTAGTCCAGGAAAAACCCAGGAAGGTCAAAAAATGCCTGGGCCTCGACTCTGGGTACAGGAAAAGCCCAGGACTTGGTCCAGACTCAGCTCGATCTCTGGTCTGGAGCGGGTTTGGTATTTTCCTGGACCCAATTCAGTAACACAAAACTTCAGATTTTGGTTTGGTATTGCAGAAAAAATTTTTAGAGGCATAAAATGAGCATGTTCTTCTAGATTTAAAATTGCGGACAAACCTTTGTGGACTTTTTTTAACATAAGGGAGAACTCGAAAAATTTTCCAAAAATTTTTACTTTTTCAGAAAGACTACCAAAACGCCTCATTAAAATACCGAGAAGCAATAACCTTATTAGACCAACTTTTGCTTAATGAAAAGCCTGGAGATCCAGAATGGCTGGAATTGGACCAAAGAAATATTTTTTTGTTTTTAAATCTTGCTCAATGTTTTTTGAATTTGGGACAGTTTTATGAGGCTATAAATTGTGCAAATGAAGTGTTGAATAGGGATCCAAAGAATGTTAAAGCTTTGTTTAGAAGAGCTAAAGCAAAGATGCAAATTTGGGATTTGGAGGAGGTTTGTTGAGTGTTTTTTGATTTTTATAATTTGGAGTAGGAGTGTACCCCGGACTCACAATCAGTTCAACCCAGGCAAGACCCGCTAAAATCTAACCCAGACTCCGTCTAACTCGGACCTCAACCCCAAAAACCCTGACATTTTCTCAAGTCAGTAGGCTGCCTTAATGTCGCTAGTGACTTGGAGAGGGGGATTTGGAGGAGGTCTGCTTTTATTTTTTGATTTTATAATTTGGAGTAGGAGAGGATCCCGACCTCTCTATGATCCCATATCATGACCTTGAAGGTCCTAATCCAGACCCAGAAGAACCGCGACCTCCTAAAATCGTTACTGAATTGGGTTATACATTTATGCCCAAATGTCCGCAAATTCTATCCGCAAGATTTTGCAGATATCTTTGAAGCGTCCGATGTTCATGCTGTGGAAAAATTGTGGATGGGAGATGGAATTGAACCATCACGGAAAGAGCCCAGACCGAAGCACAACCGACTGTGCCACCATCCAACCCAATGTTGGGTTATTTATTTTCATTTATATATTCTTTCTGCAAGTGCGGACACAACACTCCTTCCGCCTTGCGAAATCAAGCGTCCTCGCTTGTTGCTTGTCTTCAATAACTATCATCTGTTTCGATTTTTGGAGAGCACACACAGAAACCCATTTTGTGGCATTTGCTGCGCTTCATGCGCCTTACGCATTTTTATATTATATTAGCCTCGCAACACCGGCTAGCCTATCACAACTCAGGCATTTAATTTCTCACAGGGTCTTCTCCTTTTTCTCTCCACAGTGACAGAATGTCAGATCATTACAGCATGTAAGGTTCGCTGAAATTTCCTCAGGCTAAGCCTGGCCTGTCCGACTGCGCCATTTGTCATGTCCGATTGTTCGTACTGTGGAAAAATTGTGGATGGGAGATGGAATTGAACCATCAAGGAATGAGCCCAAACCGAAAGCACAACCGACTGTGCCACCATCCAACCCAATGTTGGGTTATTTATTTTCATTTATATATTCTTTCTGCAAGTGCGGACACAACAATCTTTATTGTCCGCAAAAACTTCTTTGGACTCGCAATCTGGACCAGATCCAATTTTTTTATTATAATAAAACCTTTTATTATCGGAGAGGGGTTTTCACCCCTTCTAGTTGGACCGGCAACATTGCCTTCTAAAAAATTTTTATTTTTCTAGGCAGAATCAGATTTACACCTTCTAAAGTCTCTGGGAGCAGATGTATCTTTAATTAATTCCAACCTGAAGCAATTGGAACAAAAACGGAAAGAAAAAGAATGTGAACAATCAAAGGCCTATAAAGCTATGTTTAAAGGAGCTTTAAATTTGGAAGAAGAAAAATGAGAGTGAGGTTAATTTCTTGTAAAATTTTTTGGGAGAAGTTTGAGGGGAGCTTAAAAAATTTTTTTCTGAAAATTTTTACCTACCCTTCAAAAAAATTTTTTTGAGGGGTAAGAAATTTTTTTTAAAAACTTCAAAAAAATTCGAAATTTAAAAAAAATTTTGGGGGTTCAAAAATTTTTTTTAAATTTTTTGGGGTTCAAAAATTTTTGGGGGTTCAAAAAAATTTTTTAAATTAAAAAAATTTTTCAGGGTTCCAAAAAAATTTTTTTGGCTAACCAACATAAATATTTAGATATATAAACTCTTCCTAAAAAGTTGAATAATTTTTTTCTAACATTTTTTATATACCCCCTCTTTCTGCAAATAACCAAAACTGTAATAATTTTTTAAATTGTTTAACTGTAATATTGTGATCTCTCTTTTATTTTTAAATAATTTTTAGAAAATAAATTTAATTAATTAAAGCTTACTACTACCATTTTCCTTTCCTAATTTTTAATTACGTCAGCTGTCCCTATCTTTTCTTTTTAAAAATAAATCTCTGATCAATTCTTATTTTATAAATTTTTGCAAAAATAAAAAATAAATTTTTATATTTTCCCCCTAATTTTATTTATGCAATCAACATCAACAAACAGTACACTCGAAATTAAAAACAACAAAAATAATAATTGTCTAGATAATGAACAAACATTTGATAATAATGAAATAGGTTAGCGGAAAAGTGTCGATAAAACGCTCCCAAAAATTTACCCAAGTGAAACCTTGACATTTTGGAATTTTAACCAAAAATGGTCTTTTTACCCAAATGAGAGGCGACATTTTGAAATTTCTAGCTTCAAAATTTTAAATACTTTTTTTGTTGAAAAATAGTTACCCAAGTGAAACCTTGACATTTTGGAATTTTACCCAAATGAAATTTGACATTTTGAAATTTTTGCGTTAGTTGACATTTTGAAATTTTTGCGTTAGTTGACATTTTGAAATTTTACCCAAATGAGTTTTGACATTTTTAAATTTTCATTAGTTGACATTATTAAATTTTTGCGTTAGTTGACATTTTGAAATGTTCTCATTTTTAATTAAAAAATAGGTTTACCCAAGTGAATCTTGACATTTTGTCATTTTACCCAAAAAAACGTTGAAATTTTGAAATTTTTACATTAGTTACAATTTTGAAATACTCGCAATTTTTAAATTTCGAAAATATTAATTAAAGAAAAAAAATATTTTTTAATTGTTTGATAAAATTGAGACAATCAAAAAATAAAAAAATTAAAGACAAAAACAAAAAGCTAACAAAATAACTAGTAGCTAGCTAATTCCTTTTCAAGTGTTTATCTTCGGCCACAATAAAAACAATTGTGTATTTTTAATTAAATGCGCAAATCGCTCAAAAATAAATCTAATATAAAAATTTATTTGTTTGTATAATTTATTTTATTGTTGAATTTTTGACTTAAAAATTTCCGAAAAAATTGGTTAAAAATTTAGTCAAATAATTTTTTAAATTAAAAGCTTCCGGTGAAGATGTGCCTTTTCCCGTTAAAATTTATTTAAAAGCAAATATTATTTTTTAAAGCCACCACTCATTGTTCTCCCCACATTGTTACACTCGCTAATCGGAAAAAGTGCGAGATTGCGGGAGCGGTATCCCGCAAAATTAGGCGCCGGTCTCTACTTGTTGCTGTTTTTAATTTTACTTGGGACAATTTCAAAATGCCAACTTTTGAAAATGCCATAACTTCGAAATGCCAATAAAACCCAAAAATTAAGGATCATTAATTATTTTCAAAATGCCATTCTCAAAACGTCAATTTGGGAAAAATTTACAAAATTCCAAATTGAACCCAATGACTTAATTGCCCTTAATTAAATTTAAAAAAATTTTTTAAAATTTTAAAAATAGGTCTATCAACAAATTTAATATCTTCTAATAATATGGCAATTTTAATCCACCCAAAAAAGAATTCCAACGAGGATATTATTCCCTCTTCAACATATCGCTGGTTTCTCTCCTACCGTATGATGACTGCAAGCATGTTATGCCTTTGCTTTGCTAGGCAAATTTAATTTTTAAAATTAAAAAAAAATTTTTTTAGTGTTCATATGATGAATGCAAATTTAGGAATGGCTATGTAAATTTAGAAAAAAATTTTTTCCTAATTTATAAAAATTGAAAGGGTTTGTATGGTAGACGATGATTACTCCCCTTCAATTAAAAATGAGAGTGATAACGCTTTGGAATACGAATTGAAAAATTTTACAAGTGTATTTGGTGCTGCTCCGAGAGTACATTGGTCATCGGAAGTAAGTTCAGAAACGTCCGACCCCCAAAAATATTTAAAAATGTCCAACCCCTAAAAACATTTAAAATGTCCAGAATCCAAAAATATTTCGAAATGTCCAAACCCAAAGAATATGTCAAAATGTTCAGAACCCAAAAATACCTCAAAACGTCCAAACCCGGAAATAGTTCAAAACGTCCATAAGCCAAAAATCTTTAAAAATGTCCAACCTCCAAGTATATCTCAAAACACCCTTTAACAGGATCAAGGCTGGATATTTGCAGCTTTCAATGCGGGTCTTCTCTGTATGTTATTTACCGGATTCCTAGCAGACAAATTCAACGCAAAATGTTTGTATACTTAATTTTCCAAAAATTAAATCCTCGAAAAATTTAAGATATGATTATTGTTAGTGTATTGCTTGCATCTATGGCTAATATTGCTATTCCTTTAACTGCTACTTTTAAGTTGGTTTTCCCCTATAAAATCCTCCCCCTTCCCTTAAAATCCTTTTTCCCCCTTCAAGTGTTGGTTATGCAATAGCTGCTCGTTTTATGGTGGGCCTAGCTGAAGCACTCTTACAACCAGCTATTAACTCGCTCGTTACACGATGGTTCCCAGCATCTGAACGGTCATATGCTTTGGGGCTAGCTACTGGAGGGAGGCAATTTGGTTGGAAACTGTTCCCCTTTTTAATTAAATGACCACAAATCCAAATTAAGGCACTCTACTAATTATCCCTACAGCAGGCGCATTATGCGCTCAAAACATTTTTCTTGGCGGTTGGCCATCTATATTCTATGTTTCTGCTTTTTCGGGGCTTCTATTTGTTTTGATTTATATTTTGGTTGGGGCTGATAAGCCTAGCAAACAAAATTGTATTTCTAAAGGAGAATTGACGTGAGTTACAAATTAAATAATCTCCCTCTATTCCCCTCCACAGATTTATAACAGTAGCAAATTCACTGGAACATATGGGACAGAAACGTATAAATCGCAAAGTTCCCTGGAAGTGTATATTAAAATCCCCACCAGTATGGGCAGCGCTAGTTTCTGTTGTTTGTCACGAATTTCCTTTAATGACTATGATAATGTTTTTGCCTGCTTATTTACACGATGTTCACCATTATGATTCTACTCAGAATGGAATTTATAGTGTAAAAATAATTTTTATTGGGAAAAAAATTTCCCAAAATTTTTTCTAGGCTCTCCCAACTTTAGCTCTTTGGATAAGCAAAATTACTTCGAGTTGGCTTAACACGTGGCTACAGGAAAATACAAAATGGGGCGTCTCTTATATTTCTAGGGTTCTTAATGCAATTGGTAATTAAATTTAAAAATTCGAAAAAAAATTTCAAAATGGTAAATTAAAAATGGTAAAAATTTCAAAATGGTAAAATACCAAAATGGTAAAAATCCCAAAATGGTCAAAATTTCAAAATGGTAACAATTTCAAAACGCCCAATTAAAAAACCCCCCAAATTTCAAAATACCCTATCATAAAACGCTATAAAAACTTTTTAAGGCTCAATTGGATTGTCACTCTTCATGTTAGGAGCAACCTTCTTAGACTCATCCAGAGCATCGTTAGCAGTCGTTCTCCTATGCTTTTCAATGTTTTTTACAGGATTGCATACGCCTGGATGTCAAGCGGCTTTAGTCGCTGTTGCCCCCGCATTTTCTGGTTACCAAAAAATTTTTGAAAAGAAAATTTTCTGTTAATTTTTAGGCGCTATAACTGGACTAACTTTCTTTTTTGTTGCAATAAGTGGTAAAAATACAGAGATTTTCCCTTTAAAAATTTTTTCATTCAAGGCATAATAAACCCAGGAATGACAAAATTAATAGTCAGAAATGGTTCTGCTGCAGAATGGAATATTGTTTTTTACATTTCGACTTTTATTGGATTAATTCCTGTGATTGTTTTTAGTTGGTGAGATATTTTGACATGGGACATATTGAAATATTAAAAAAATCTTAAAAGGTGGGGATCAGCCGATATCCAAAACTGGGCTAAAGGACCATCTTCAACCCCATCAACAGCTTCATGCCCTACATTGGCAACGATTGAGTCAATTAGTGAGGGAAAAAATGAGGTAAAACAGAAAGAATATCCCCAAAAAATAGAAGAAAAATACTAGGAAGGAAACTTTTTAGGTGAAAGATCTCAAATTTGTAATAAATGATTTATATGGATTGTAAAAATAAATAGAAAATAAATTACAAATTGTAAAAAATAAATTAAAACATTTTTACAAATTGTAAAAAAGTTTTAAACATTTTTTTACAATTTGTAGAAAATAAATAAGACCTTTTTACAATTCGAACAAGTTTTATTTATTTTCTACAAATTGTAAAGAAGTTTAAAACTTTTTACAATTTGTAAAAAATAAATAGAACTTTTTCTACAATTTGTAATAAGTTTTAAACTTTCTTTACAATTTGTAGAAAATAATTAAAACTTTTTTACAAATTGTAAAAAAAGTTTTATTTAAATTTTACAAATTGTGATAAGGTTTAAAATTATTTTTGCAATTTGTAAAATAAATTAAAACTTTTCTACAATTTGTAAAATTAAATTAAAACCTTTTTTTACAATTTGTAAAATTAATTAAACCTTTTTTACAAATTGTAAAATAAATAAAACTTTCTACAAATTGTAAAAAATGAAAAAATAAGTTAAACCTTTTACATATTGTAAAATAAATAAGCCTAACTCCTTTCACCCAATTAATAAAAAATTGTCCGACATTTGTGGAACGGAACGCTTTCTTCGATTTTTTGAGCATTTGCCCTTCTATTTAATTAAAAACAATTAAAATTAAATTTAAAAATTAACCTCCACAACCACAACCAAACATCAACATCCACACAAGTAAAATTATTTAATTTTTCGAATGTTTCTCGATTTATTGAATTTTTTCTTGTTTCACAAATGTTTTTGATTTCGTCGAGAATAAGCTGAAAAAAAATTTTTTTGAGTAAATTTAAAAATATTCTTTTTAAGTAGTAAACAGGAACAGGGAAGGGTCTGGGCGAGGAAAAAAGTCTGGTCGGAGTCCGCGTCGAGTTTTCAATTTTTAAGGATCGGAGGTATCAGAACGAAAGTCCAGGGTCTCGGGTAACCCAACCATCCCTCGGTATTTTATTTTCTATCCCGCTAGACAGGACTCACTAGCCATGAGCCTTTCCCCAATTTGAAAAAAATTAAAATTTGGTCGGAGTTTGGGCCAAAAATTTTTTATAAAAAATTAACTCAATCCACATCCGTTAGGCAGGACCCATTTCCCAATTAAAAAATTAATAAAAAAATTCAAACCTCACACGCCTCAATAGAAAACCCTCTAATTTGTACTTCCTCTTCCCCTCCACATTTTAACAATTTATTATTTTTTAAATTTTCCAAAAGACCATTTCCATATTCCAAAACATTTAAATAAGCAAGTGCTTGGGGTACTCTATAATCCGCAAACATTGTTAATTTATTTATATCAATAAAATCAGCATTAGAATCCTTTCCATGTAGACAAGAGTAAACATCGGCAACCAAAATTTGAGCTCGTTTAAGGAAGGAAACTGAAATAGAAATGAATAAAAATGCGTATTATGAAGGTTTAGCATTTTGAAAGTTTTGGAAATTGAACATATAAAAGTAAAAATAAGTTTTCTGAAAGTTTTGGGAAAACTGTACACAGGCCCGTAGCTAATGGGATAGGGAGGAAAATTTTTTCCCCCGAAAAAATCCTGGCTACGGGCCTGACTGTACGTCTTAAATTTTTTTTTATAAAATTTGACATTATGAGGCCTTGACATTGTGACATTGACTCTGACATTATTATCAGATGTCAATGTCAAAGTCACTTGACATTTTTACGAGAACTCGAAATTTTAACTTTCTTTGGGTAATTGGACATTTTTAAATTATTTTGAGGAAAAATTGAACATTAAAAATTTACCTTTTCGTCCACGATATTCAGCAAAATCTCGAAAATTGGGAAAATTCTCAATTATTAATTGAAGCAAATTTAAAGCACTATTTGAACATTTTAAAAGACAATTGTAAAAAGAGCCTCCAAATTTCTAAAACAAAAAAATAATTTTTTGATAATTATTTTAATTTAACCTCAACAAGTATTTTCCCATTTTCTCGAATCATTTCCGTTCTTTTATTTAAAAGAGGAATTGAAACATCTTGAAATTAAAGTTAAAAAATGATTAAAAATTGGACGTTTTGAAAGGGTTTTTGGTTTTTTCCTTAAAATTCATGGACGGTTAACCGCCCGGATAAATTTTCCCTGTAGCGGGGCAAGCTGATGTGAGAAAAGAGAATAGAAAAGATAAGAAGACCCGCCACAAGGAAAAATTAATCGGGCGGTTAATCGGCCATGAACTACTCTAATTTTGCAATTTTTAATAAATTTGGAAAATATGAACACTGGGCATTTTTAAAAATTTTGAAGCAAAGCAGGAGCTTAAGAAAGACACCTTAAAATTTTTTTTGGAGAAGTGGGCAATTTTACAATTTTTTGGAAAAATTGGGCAGTCGAAAATTTGACATTTTGAAATATTTTATAAAAAAATAAAGAAAACACCCAAAACCTCTATCTCCTCGAAATATTTCCTTGACAATTTCCTCTTCAATATTAGCCATATAATCTGCGGAAGTGAGCGGAATTCCATTTTCAAGGGCGCGGTTAATTGCCACACAAACACCAAAATAGCCACTAAAAATTTTTTAAAATTTATTTTTTATAAAATTTTAAAAAACCTCTGAGTTGTTCCATTATGGGTAATCTTTTAAAAAATAATTTGAAAAAAAATAAAATTGAAAAAAAACCTCCCAATGATTAATCTCTTCATCAGGCCAAAACGAAAAATTAATTGTGTCGATAAAGAAGATCCTAGGAAAAAAATGAGAATATAATCGGACCTAATTATAGGATACCCAAAAATCTCGATACATATACTTTTAAAATTTGGTTGTTTTTGAGTGAGGAAGTTAATTAAATTTTCTAAAAAAATTCCAGCATATACTCTAAATTAAATATACGGGAGCAGGCCAACCTACCTCGAGCCCAACCTACTGCCAAGGCTATAAATTCCTTAAAAATTGTCGAATCCGGGCCACCCTGGTATGGTTCGATGTGCCTCAACAAACTAAAACGAACTATACCAGTGCATTCCGGATTTGACAATTCTTGAACGAAGTTATAGCCTCGGCGACAGGTTAAAAGTAAGGTCTGACTAAAAATTTTTTAAAATTTGAAAAATTCCAAACCAATCAACAGCAGCTTTGTCAGCACTTTTCGGGTGAAATTCACACTCATCAAAATTTAATTGCCCAATTTCTGTTAAAGTCGAATTACAAATAATTTCTGCCACTTCGACAACTGCCTCATTATTTATTTTAATTAAATTTGTTTCTGCGTTGTTTACAATAAATTTGGCTGAATCTCTAGGATTTAAAACATCTGAAAATTAAAAAATTTTTTTAATAAAAATTTAGATATTTTTCGAACCTTCAAACACAAAATTGGTAAAAATGGAATTCATGACACTAAAATGAGAGAAAAAAATATTTTTCTAACTATTTTTGCAACAGCAATTTACAAAATACAAAATGCCAAAAAATATTTTTTTGTCGAAAATTATTTTTTAAAAGCATGACACTAGAGTCTTAGTGCAATTTTAGTCAGTGCATTTTTCGGGGCCCGGAAACCGGATCTTGAATCTCACACTCATGCCGGACCAGATCTGGCCGGAGTCCATTGCGGCGCCAGTCCTTAATTAATGTAAATACTAGGCCATCTTCTGGATTCCATTTTTATTCTTAAAATTTCTATACCGTAGTCGGTTTCCTATAGATACACTGAACACATCGAGGTGTGCCTGACAAGATTAATGGAGGGAGGTTTTTAGATTTATTTGGATATTAATTGGAGCTGTAGTTTAGCGCTCTTATGGTTCTTCAATTTTGGGGACTTATAACTCGCTCCAAAGACACTTCCTCACTTAGATGTGTAGTGGTATCACTCGACCTCAGACCTACGAATTGAATGATATATGAATCTACTAGAGACTTCTAAGACCGAAAATTTTCCAAGACTCAAGACCTAAGACCAAGACTAGACCTAAGACCAAGACTTGACACTAAGACTCAAAACCAAAAGTCTTGGAAGTCTCTAGAATCTACCCATTTTGTGGTGGGTCCTTGAAAAACTATAGCCTAACTTGGAAGTGAATTTTGGTAATGAATTAATTGAAGAATAAAGCAATTCACCTAATCATTTTTACTCAATTTTTGAGATTTAATTTCTTCCATCCAACGCTAAATTTAATTCTAAAATATCTCCTGCGTACGAACATTAAAAAAATTCAAATTTTAGAGATGAAAATCAAATGAATTCCACGTTAGTAGCCAACGACAAAGCTGGAATCCAACGAATTGGTAAGTTAGCTTTAATTCCACGTTTTAAAAACTTCTAGCAATCAATTGACGCAAATAAAAATAAAAAAAAATTTTTTAAGTATAATAGGCTTAACTTCCAAGAATAGCAACAAATTTTATTTAAAATTTAAAATTATGAGGAGGCCTTTGCGTTTAATTTATTTGAACAGCTTGACAAGAGTTATAACGCGCTTGAATCTATTCTTCTTACAAGCCTTTATAAGCCGCTTCAACGAGTAGGAGAATATCAGTAATCCCATATTACTTGTTAAATCTTCCTCTCTCCCAATACCTGTTAATACCTTCCTCTCTCTACCAAGAAAACTTTTTTAAATGAAATTATTAATTTCTATCTTCATTGGCTTTTTGGCCATTTCTATATCCTTACAAGGTGGGTGTTTGAAATATATCATAACTTAAACTCAGAATTTTTGAAAATACGAGAGACTTATATTTTTCTAATTTCAGATGATGTAGCAACACCAGCTGCCGAGTTTCCTGATTTCTGTAGCAATCCAAGTCTTAACAAGAACGCAAAAGTGAAAGCTTGCTGTGAGGCAGTTACAGAGGCAGCAAATGCTGGAACATATAAAGGTGCAGATGGACCAGTACCGGATAAATGTACTCTAAAGAGTTGTGGACGTGTTTGCAATCGCTTTTTCAACCAAAAAGGAAATGATGTGACAGAGATGCCAGAAAGCACAACAACCGAAAGTGAGTCTTCAGAAGAATGTGAATGTGGAGATTCAGAGGATGAAACTACAACAGAAGCTCCACCAACTCCACGAAACCCATACCCATCTGGACCAGAACCTACTCCAAAACAACCTGGATATCCCCAAGCACCAGCATCACCAACTCCACGAAACCCATACCCATCTGGACCAGAACCATCTACACCAGGAGGACAAGTAGCATCGCATAAGCCTCCAGCAGCACCTTCTACTCCACAGCCTGGCTATCCTCAACCACCAGCAGCTGCATCAACCAAACCTCCACGAAACCCATACCCATCTGGACCAGAACCTACTCCAAAACAACCTGGATATCCCCAAGCACCAGCATCTACTCCAAAACAACCTGGATATCCCCAAGCACCAGCATCACCAACTCCACGAAACCCATACCCATCTGGACCAGAACCTACTCCAAAACAACCTGGATATCCCCAAGCACCAGCATCTACTCCAAAACAACCTGGATATCCCCAAGCACCAGCATCACCAACTCCACGAAACCCATACCCATCTGGACCAGAACCATCTACACCAGGAGGACAAGTAGCATCGCATAAGCCTCCAGCAACCCCTTCTACTCCACAGCCTGGCTATCCTCAACCACCAGCAGCTGCATCAACCAAACCTCCACGAAACCCATACCCATCTGGACCAGAACCTACTCCAAAACAACCTGGATATCCCCAAGCACCAGCATCTACTCCAAAACAACCTGGATATCCCCAAGCACCAGCATCTACTCCAAAACAACCTGGATATCCCCAAGCACCAGCATCTACTCCAAAACAACCTGGATATCCCCAAGCACCAGCATCTACTCCAAAACAACCTGGATATCCCCAAGCACCAGCATCTACTCCAAAACAACCTGGATATCCCCAAGCACCAGCATCACCAACTCCACGAAACCCATACCCATCTGGACCAGAACCATCTACACCAGGAGGACAAGTAGCATCGCATAAGCCTCCAGCAGCACCTTCTACTCCACAGCCTGGATATCCTCAACCACCAGCAGCTGCATCAACCAAACCTCCACGAAACCCATACCCATCTGGACCAGAACCTACTCCAAAACAACCTGGATATCCCCAAGCACCAGCATCTACTCCAAAACAACCTGGATATCCCCAAGCACCAGCATCACCAACTCCACGAAACCCATACCCATCTGGACCAGAACCATCTACACCAGGAGGACAAGTAGCATCGCATAAGCCTCCAGCAACCCCTTCTACTCCACAGCCTGGCTATCCTCAACCACCAGCAGCTGCATCAACCAAACCTCCACGAAACCCATACCCATCTGGACCAGAACCTACTCCAAAACAACCTGGATATCCCCAAGCACCAGCATCTACTCCAAAACAACCTGGATATCCCCAAGCACCAGCATCTACTCCAAAACAACCTGGATATCCCCAAGCACCAGCATCTACTCCAAAACAACCTGGATATCCCCAAGCACCAGCATCTACTCCAAAACAACCTGGATATCCCCAAGCACCAGCATCACCAACTCCACGAAACCCATACCCATCTGGACCAGAACCATCTACACCAGGAGGACAAGTAGCATCGCATAAGCCTCCAGCAGCACCTTCTACTCCACAGCCTGGATATCCTCAACCACCAGCAGCTGCATCAACCAAACCTCCACGAAACCCATACCCATCTGGACCAGAACCTACTCCAAAACAACCTGGATATCCCCAAGCACCAGCATCTACTCCAAAACAACCTGGATATCCCCAAGCACCAGCATCTACTCCAAAACAACCTGGATATCCCCAAGCACCAGCATCTACTCCAAAACAACCTGGATATCCACAAGCACCAGCATCACCAACTCCACGAAACCCATACCCATCTGGACCAGAATCATCTACACCAGGAGGACAAGTAGCATCGCATAAGCCTCCAGCAGCACCTTCTACTCCACAGCCTGGATATCCTCAACCACCAGCAGCTGCATCAACCAAACCTCCACGAAACCCTTACCCATCTGGACCAGAACCTACTCCAAAACAACCTGGATATCCCCAAGCACCAGCATCTACTCCGCAGCCTGGATATCCCCAACCCCCAGCAGCTCCATCAACCAAACCTCCACGAAACCCATACCCATCTGGACCAGAAGATCTACCCACTACAAAAAAGCCAGTCAATATAACAACAACTTTGACACCAAGACGTAATCGTTATCCAGTTGGGCCACCGGAATAAGATGGATGAATATGGGGAAGTTTAAGATGACAAAAGAATGAAGTAAAAAAGAAAAAAATGAAACTATGGGATGAAAATTTTTGGGGTAATTCACATGATAATTAAATGGACTATTTAATAAATTTTTCATAAAATTGGCATTAAATTTGTAATAAATATTTTGGGTTTATAATTTTATTTTTTACCTCTCCTCTTCCCCCTTATTCTCCTTTTCTCGGTTAATTTCACGTATCATTTCCCCTTCAGCTTTAAGCTCGGCCATTGTCTGCCGTTTGCGTTGACTTGACTTTTTCGTTTTTTCTTCAAGTTGAGATATTATACGGTCAAATTGAACAGAATAACTATTATCTCCATTCAAGTGTTTGTCTACTTCCATCTGTTAATTTAAAAATTTTTTTTTTGGAAAAAGGGATAGGACACCTTTAAGCGTTCATAAGCAATTTTAATATTTTCTCTCAATATTCTAGATTGGTGTACCTTAAATTTTATTAAATTAGAATGGGTTTCCTTTTAAAAATCCGGGGAAAAATCCCCCGATATCTCTTACTCCCCTAACATCCGTCATTTTTCCTTCCATATTTTTGAAAAAGCCTGTGGTGCATTCATTCACTCACCTCCCCCAATCCCAAATATTTCGGCATCTCCTTAAAATAACCTTAATCCCTCTATTCCCAAACCTCACAAATTCTCTGATATCCCTCCTAATTTTCGAATCACCAAATACCCTCGTCACCCCTTCTGGTCATTCTATGTCCCTTTATGGAGATTGAACCGGTGCTTAGAGGGATTGAACCGTGCCGACTGAAACGAGCCTGGACTGAAATTAACTTTTCCGTTTTGGACATTAGATCCCCATAAATTTATTTGAAAGGTCTTTAGAGTCCGAGACCTCAAAATTTGCTAGAACTGGGACTTTTTAAAAAAGTTTATATCTACCTTAACAAAGCAACCAGTCGGTTTATGTTTTAACAAAACAGCATTACTAGAAGAATTGACACAGGAACCGCCTGGGCCCCATCCTCTAATATATTGTTCTTCACAGTCTTTGGGCAATATTTCTGGAAATTTGTAGTTTTTTAATAATCTTTTGGCCGTTGAATGTGATGAAAAGCGAATAGAAGATAAAGAGAGGGCATGAGCATAAAAATTATTTAAGTGAAGCATAATTGACTGAAAAAAGGAAAGAATGAAAATATACCCTAAGATGAAAAATAATCCCGACAGGCGAGAAATTTACTCAAAATAGCTTAAAGAAAATAAAGACTGCAATGGATTTATCAGTTTTATATCTTTTAGAAAAAAATAAAAAATCATAAGAATAAATTAATAATAAGATTTAACGTTCAATATTCATCCAAGTCACAATCTTCAGAAAAACATAATCTCCACAGTAAAATAACTCATAATTAGAGACCGGACCGCAGCTAGATTTGGAACAAAAATCTGGGGTACTCAGCTCGATATGCTTTGAGATATTTTAAAGATGATCCAGCTATCACTTAGAATGCTTAGTATGGGGTTAACCGAAAATAAGGAGAAAAAAGAAGTGGTTAAGCACCTAAATGTTGCTAAACTCTCCCAGTACGGTCTCTACTCATAAGTTATTGTAATCGTAATCAATCATAAGTATAATCGTACGTATAAGTAAAATCGTTAGAATTAAAAGTACAAGGAAAATCATCAGAATTAAAAGTAAAATCATCAGCACTAAAAGTACAAGGAAAATCATCAGCATTAAAATCATCATAACCATCTGATAAAAAATAATTTTTATAATAGAAAAGAGGGTAATAATTTGGTTTATAACCCCGCACCCCCCCCCATTTTTACCCATTTAATTTAAGGTATCTTTCTCTTTTTATACCTAAACCAAACTATTAGCAAAAAATGTACTTTTTATAAAACTTACAATTATAATATGGATTTTCACAGAAAATTTGAAATAAACACTCATGCTGTCTACCAATTGAATCACTGAATTTTATATTGCGCGCAATGTATGAAGAATACTCGTCAGATAATTTATCAATAACAAATTCATCTCCCAACGTGAAAATTGTGTGTTCATTCGAAATCGACTAATTTTAAATAGAATATTATTATTAGGGTTGGGCAAAATATGAAATGAATATCACCATACATATGCACCGAAAATGACCAAAATATTAAAATGTTAATTTTCAGAAAAAAATCCCTAATTTTTTAAGGGTTATCAACTATAACTTTAGAAATATTTGATAAAAAATTCTGAAATTTCTGGAGAAGATAGTCAAGAATTGTTAGAGAAAGTTGAGAAAATTTTCACGAATTTAGCTTTCTCCCAAGTGCCAGTTACGAGTATCGCTCCAAAACGACCCCAACCCCATAAAATCAGGTTAAAGCAAGGCAGAAAACCTTTTCAATATTTACCTCGAATTCCTCTCTAATTGAAAATTTTGCAGTAAATTCAATTCGTATCTTCAAATGTTCACTACCACGATGCAGGAGTTTGAGATCTTCTATAATTGGAACAATAATGACCTCCAATTTAGTAAGGTAGTCGTTAGAAGAATTTTCCACTTCTTCTAGGTAAAAGTTAACGTAGTTAGTGAACTCAAATTCCATATATTCAAGATTTGGGCAGCAGAGAAGCAGAAAATCTTTATAATTTTTGAAATGGTCGAGAAAATAGTTCATTGATTCCATCTCAAGCCTACACTTTGTTACAATCTTCTTTGTACGCTCATTAACAATTGGAGGTCTAAAAATAAGTTCGAAAGTCGATCGAGTATAAATTCATTATAAAAAATTACTCATTGGACGAACTGCATTCAAAAATAAGATTTTTATGAATATCAAATTCAATATTCTCTGCGTTAATAGAAAGTAGAGTAGCTAGATGCTTTTCTGTTAAATAAATTAAATTGCAGAAAGTAAACTCGAAAAAAAACTAACGAAAAGTTCCTGCATACTCATAAACATGCAAATTCGAGATGTTTATTAAGCTTGAAGTAGATGGAGTATGTAAAGCTAAATAACGAAATATTTAAAAATGAAGAATTTTAAAATTTTGGTAATCTTAGTTTACTGATCCCTAGAAAAAATAATTGGGAAATGATTATTCAATATTTTTTAGGGTTGCCAGTAGAGTTCAGAATAGTTATGAAACTTAATTACATTATTATTTAAATCAACTCGGGTTCGAAATTGATAAATTAGAAAAGGCATTTTCTGATTATTTTTTCTAGTAAACAAAAAACTATCCAAATTTTAATAAAAAAATTTTTTAAACCTTTCATATTTTCCAAATGTTCAAATGTTTCATCGGCAAAGTCATATAAACACTCATTTATTTGAATGTTTGAAATACGTAGAAAGCCAGCACGTTGAAGATCCAAAAACAATTGCTTAGAAACAGAGTATGGTCCAGTAAAATTATTCTGAAAAGTTGATACTTTTCCTTTATCCCTGGACGTTTGCGGACTTTTTTTTTGCGGACACTTAACAAATGACCACTACTTCCAATGCCCACTACTTAAGCATGTTTTTTCAAAAAAGTCTCTTTCACCATTCATTTCCCCCACATAAACTCTATAAAATAACACTCAATGATAGCATGTTAATTGCGTCCGCAAAACTGCAGAAAAGTCCGCAAAATTCTGCAGGAATTATACAGAAAGTAAAAAAATACATTCTTTTTCTTGACATCCCATGGCAAAACTTTGTCTTTATAAAGATCAATTCTAAATTCGCCACAAGTAAAAAATTCAAGCACCTTTATCTTGGTAAAATTGGAAAGAAAAGCCTGCATGTTTTTTGCACTGTGATACTAAAAATAAAGGTAATTCCAAGGCTGGCCCCCCCTTTTTCCTTTCTATTTTTTCGATTTTTTAAACTTTTTATGGTAAATTATATATCGTTCGAGAGAGCTCTTCAAGCTGAGTCGAACGGTACTAAATTCATCGAAATCCGACTTAAATAAACACAGTTATGACCATTTGTTTTAATCCCTTTCGACATCACAAAAAGAGCATGTCCATCGAGGATTTAGCTTCATAATTCTGCTCAAAATCTCCAAATCGAACCGATCATAGTACCATTCTACTCAGCTCGAACAGCTCTTTCGAATGATATATTGTAAATTATATGTCAAGCAAAAAAGCTCAAAATGGCCAGGCGAACAGAAAAAAAGGGGGGGGGGGACCAGCCTTGGAATTACCAAAATAAATATTAATAGATATGTGAATATAAATTAAATAAAAACCATGAAAAGTGTATAACCAGTCAATAAACGCAAATCCATTTGCTTCGAGTCTGGTCGTCGATCTTTTCGATACATTTCTTCATCGAGTGGTTTTTTAAAGAGTAGCTTTTCAGATATAATTTGTAAAACATCGTTGGATAATTGTGGCATTGACGACATTACACTAAAAAAGTGATAAGCTAAATTTAATGAACAACGAATAGGAGGTGAAAGGAGAAATACATATAAACCGGCACGGAAAATAATCCATAAGTTGGGGTGAGACTGAAACGTCCCCTTAGAAAAAAAAACAAAACGCCAATTATTAAAAAAATATAAATGGACAAATCGTCACACACTTAAAATACTAGAACGACATAACGCCAGAAGCACCAAAAGAGACAAAACGCCGATTTTAAATTTGCAACCTTCAAATAAATATTTTTTGTTGCCTAGACAACTGGAATTGCTTCTTAAAAACTTGTTTGCCTATTTTTACTCAAAATAAAATTTAAAAAAATATTTAAATTAATCAAATACATCCATCAAAATGAAAGTAAATTAAAAATTAAATTAAAAAATAATTAAAAAAAAATTTTTTAAAGTTACTCTTTCGTATCCACAATCCTCAATTATACGGTAATGGACCTTTAATTTCTGAATGGCGTCCGGGTGGAAATAATATTGCGGTGGCTGGACCTAGCGGTGTTGTGCGTGTGTTTAATCGTTACAATGAAGTTACTGAAGAATTTAATATAAACGAGTAGGTTAAGACTGAATATAGGCTTTCCGGAAAGAGTTATTGTATACCTATATATTTTTCCGGAACGTTTTATATTCAATAGTATTTTATGCAATGTTGTATATTTTCCGGAAAGTCAATACATAATATTTTTATATCTTTCCGGAAAGTGGATGAATATTCCGGAAAATTATTATTGGAGTATATTTTCCGGAAAATATGTATTGGAAATGTTCCGGAATGTTTTATATTTTACTGAAGGTGTATTTTCCGGAAAGTCAATACATAATATTTTAATATTTTTCCGGAAAGTTGATGAATACATAATTGAAGTATATTCCGGAAAATTATTGTTGGGGTATATTTTCCGGAAAATATTACATGTTCCGGAATGTTCTATATTCTACTAAAAGTGTATTGGAAAATTCCGGAAAGGTTTATATTCCCATTTATAATTTCCGGAAGTTAAATTCCCTTTCCGGTTTATTAATAAATTCTGATTTTACAGCGAAGTAAGCGCTCTATGCTGGGATTCTCAAGGCGACTTGCTCGCTATTATAAATGCGCGAACTCCAGCTTTGGTAGTCTATGAAAGCTCCAGTGGACAAATTCTTACAGTGGACATTTCTACCGGGGCTAAGGCTGTGCCCACCGTACTCAGGCATTAAAATAAATTTTTTTTATTTTTAAAATTAGTTTTTAGTTGGAATCCACATAGAGCACTTTTACTAATTTGTGATAATCGCGGAAATTTTGTTTTGTTTGATTATTTGCTTTCTAGGTGAAGACATTTTTTGATGTTTTTTTCAATTTTTAAAATTTTCCTGAACAGAAAAGTCCCAATTATGGGAAAACATCAACGCTCTATCCGCACCTGTGCTTGGAATAAACAAGGAACACTGTTCGCCTTGGGCTCTGATGATACTCAAATAACTATAAATAATGCTGAAGGGGAAACGACTAGTACATTTTCTTGCAATGGGGAGATTATTGAAATTAAATTTGCCCATTTTCGGAATATTGGCTCTGAGCGGTCTGAGGACTATGTAAGGAGGATTTTTTGTGAAAAAAAATTTTTCAAAATTTCCAAAAAATTTTTAAAAATTTTCCTCAGATCAGCGCCATAATTGCCCACAAAAATTTAATGATTGTTCGTCTATCAGAACCAGAACACCCCACAAATCTTCAATTTCAAGAAAGATATGGTAATTTAATCAGCACTATCTGGTTCGGAAATGGCAATTTATTGGTTGGATTTGATGCTGGTTTTATTGTTTGCCTTTCTGCGGAACGTTCAAGTGATTCAATTTCTCAAGAATTATTTTCTATGCAAGAATACAAAAATGGACTTTCGCATTTATGCGTTAATGAGACAATGTTTAGACTCTTTTCGATAGGCGATAATTTGTCTGTTTAATTTTTAGTATTTTTAATTCTGATTTTTATTTAGAATGAAGAGTAGAGATTTGGGAAACTTGTGGGTATTTTAGTATTATTATATACATAATTCTGATTTTATTTAATTCTGATTTTTTGTATTTTATTTGTGTTTTGTAATTCTGATGTGTTTTTTTTTAATTCTGATATTATAATTCTGATTATGTTTTGTTTTCAAATTCTGGTTTTCTTTATTCTGGTCTTGTGTTTTCCTATAAATTCTGATTTTTCCTTTAATTCTGGTTTTGTATTTTTCCTTTAGATTCTGATATTTAATTCTGATTTGTTTTTGTTTTATTTGGTGTTTTACAAATTCTGATTTTCAATAATTCTGGTTATTTTTGTGTTTCATTTGTGTTTTCCAATTCTGATTTTGTGTTTTCTTTTAATTCTGATATTATAATTGTTTGTGTTTTATTTACAATTTCTGATTTCTAATAATTTTAATATTTAAAGAGGGGAAATAATAGACATTGTTGACGTTGATTCTGATGGCAGTGGTCTTCTACGAGTTTGTTGTTCCGAAGACGGCTCAATGACAGCAGTAACTTCCCGTTCTGGCGCCCTTTGTGTTTATTGTTTGTAAATTGTATTTTTACATTTTACAATTTTTGTTTTTACAGTAACTCGTCTTCCAATGGTGGCTTCAGCTTCTCCCAGTTTTATAGCTGTGTTAGCCTCCCTTTCAGAAATTTCTATTTATCAGGACGGAAATATTGTATTTTTTTGTGTTTTTTAATTATTAAATTTTTGTATTTTACCAGTCACCTGCACAAAGCTTAAATATTAAAGTTGAGCCTTCTATAATTGCTGCAGGGGTAAGTTTACAAAGCTTTTTACAATTTGTAAAATTTTTACAATTTGTAAAATTCCTTTTAAAGTCAAAACACATTGCAATTGTACTCAACAACAAAGCCTGGTTTTATGAAATACGCCGGAACACAAACATTTTTCTTTATGAACATGACTATATTACTGTAATTTGAGAGATTATCTAATTTTATACTATTACTCATTTTAGACCATTGTCAAAATGAAATTGAGTCGAGATTTTGTTATGGCAAGGCTGGATAAACGTGTGCACTTACACAAGGCAAATAAAGATCAGAAGATCTCACTTAAAAGAGACACCTCTATTTAATAGACACCTCATTATAAGAGACCTCTATTTAAGATACATCTTATTATAGAGACCTCCATTTAGCATACCCTCTATTTAGGGTACACCTCATTATAAGAGACTATTTAAATTACACCTCACTCTAAGATACACCTCTATCTAACATACCACTCACACCTCTATTTAACATACACCTTACTATAAGGATTATATGCAAGGGTGTGCCTTACAATAAAATCCTAAAATAACACTCAAAAAATCCTCTCAGATTCTCCGTGGAGGAGCAACAACAACAACTCCTTCCAATGTCAACACCTCATCATCCACTACCACATCCACAATTTCAAATGATATATTTTTCCCTGATTGTAATGAAAATTCTGCTCCAGACGATTCTATTTTGGATTCTGATTTGGCAGAAAAATTTTTTATTTATTCAACCAAAAGCCATTTAATTTATTATTATTCTTTGGCATATGGACGTTTTGTTTCTGATTTTAGACATTCCGTGGCTATATGTTCATTGTTTTGTGAACCTGATGGAATTAGATGTCTTTTTCTAGGTACTTTTGACATTAGGACATATTTTTGATTTGGAAAAATTCCGTCATATCACCCGGAAACCGATTCGGACAAATGATATGTCATTCGAAAGATCTCGCCGAGCTGAGTCGAAAGGTACCAAAATTTGCTGGGGGACTCACTTATGGGCCGAGATATAGGTCCTCGAAAATCGAAAAACCATAGGGGGGAGTAAGCATAGGGGGGAGTAGGGGGAGTAAGCAATTTTGGGGTGAAAAATTCGATTTTTCTAATGATAGCTCATTCGAAAGAGCTCCTCGAGCTGAGTCGAATGACAACAAAATCAGCTCGAAATCTTGATTATGAGCCGAGATAAACAATTTCAAAATGGTCAACGTAAATCTATGGGGCGTCGGCGAGGCGCTTGTGCAAAACCCCGCGCTTCGCGCGGGGTTTTGCGGCACGCGCCTCGCGGGGAGTCTACGGGCGCTGGGTCCGGGCTCGTAACATAAACCTATTCCTATCACCCTTGCTCTAGACGTATTTGGGGCCTCCATAGCAGCAAAAATCTCCACAGATGCCATAGGTAAGGAGCTAAAATAAAAGATCATAACTTTGTCAAATCAAGTCGGATTTCGTTGATTTTGGTGTTATTCGACTCAGCTCAAGGAGCTCTTTCGAATGAGCTATCACAAAAAAATCGAATTTTTCACCCCAAAATTTAGCTTACTCCCCCCTATGGTTTTTCGATTTTCGAGGACCAATATCTCGGCCCATAGGTGAGTCCCCCAGCTAATTTTGGTGCCGTTCGACTCAGCTCGGCGAGATCTTTCGAATGACATATCATTTGTCCGAATCGGTTTCCGGGTGATATGACGGAATTTTACCTTTGATTTTTTGGCATAATGAAATTGACATTTTGACATTTTTATGCTTTTTCGACATTTTGACATATGACTTTTTGACATTACGACATTTTTTTCGATTTTTTGACATTTTGAAATATTTTTGATTATTTGGCATAATGAAATTGACATTTTGACATTTTTATGATTTTTCGACATTTTGACATATTTATGACTTTTTGACATTTTTTATTTTTTGACATTTTAAAATTAGATGAACTTCACGACATTTACATTTACTCGCCATCCGATGGCAGATTGTGCAAAATATTGCTTCAAGGGCCCTTTGAAGGAGGACACCAAGTTTGCATCTAAAAACTATTCAAAAATTCAAAACAATTTTAAGCACATTGGCTGCCTTTGGGAGACCTTTACGGTCGACAAAGACACCTTTTTAGTCCATGGAAAGCACCACATTTATGTTTTTATGTTGGCCAAGGATGTCCATCAAGGCATCTTTTTGTTAGAATTTTAATAGAAAATTTCTAATTTTTAAAGAGTTAACGGCCAACTTTATTAGTCAAGTAAACATACCTCAGGGGAATGTTCCTTTACTGCTTTCTAAAGGAATTGTTTATTGTCATACTTTTAATGGAAGGTTAAATACGGTTTTGTTGAGGTCGCATAAGACGGAGACTGTGGTAGATTTATTTTTAGAAATTAAAATTTTACCCTCTATTTTGAGTTCACTGGGAAAGCTCCACAGGAGGTAGGTTAATAAAGGGATGTGTGTGAGGGTTCTTTGACTTAAAATAATTATAGCTTCGAGAAATGTTGAAACAATCTCTTCTACTCAAACGGTGGCGAAATGCTTGGAAGATATGCGAAAGTAAAAATATTGAGGTCGGGGCTGTGCGCCATGGCGTTTTGCGCGTCACGCAAAAATTTTGGCGCACAGCCTTGATTTTGGACCAGACCTGGTCACGGATACTGATTTTGGTGTCCGTATCTGGATATTTATGGCGGATACCGACGGATATCCGCAGGCATCTTGATATTATCTGTATCCATATCCGTATTCATGATCAGGTCTGGGACAGTTAACAACTGGAACAGTTGTTGGGGACATTTAAAAACTTGTAATTTAAGGCTTAAAAGAACCAAACAGTTGGAAAGAGTTTGCAAATGCTACAATGAAGGATTGTAATATTGAATTATGTAAATAATTCTTCTGTAGCTACAGTAACCCAAAAATTTTGCAATTTTCAGCCGTTCGAATTTTTCGACATTTGGGAGACGTCGCAATGGTTTGGGCATTGGAAGAGCTTTTAATTATCGGTTGGGTCTTTAACAAATTTTCCTCAAAAAATCCCCCTTTTAAAATCAAAGAAGACCAACAAGTCCTTAGCGGCCACATAGCTTCTTTACTTGGAGATTTTGATTTGGCGGATAAACTGTTTTGCGATTCGAGTGAGCCTAAGCTTGCGTTGGAGGCATATTTTTGTTTGAATAAATTTGAATATTTTTTGTTAGATGCGCCGTGATATTCAACATTGGGAACGTGCTCTAGAGTTGGCTGCACAAATCGCGCCGGATGAGTTACCGTATATTGCTAAGGAGGTGAATTTTAAATATTTCAAAATGTCAAAATTTAAAAATGTCAAAATGCCAAAAAATTGAAAAGTTTCAAAATGTCAAAATTCGAAATGTCAAAAAAATTTAAAATAATTTTACTATAAAATACAGTATGCCATACAACTCGAATTTATGGGTCAACATGAACAATCTATTCGTTACTATGAACAAGCCATAATTCCAATAAGAGAAGAGGATTATGAAATTAACGAAGAATTGGATGAACACAATTGGGTGTGTAAATCTGGGTGAATTTTTGAATTTTAATAATTATAAAATAATTTAAACAAGGCTGGCAAGAATGGCTTTACACACTGGAGACCTTAAAAGGGGTGTTGAAATTGCTCTACAATTGCCTAGTAGATTGGCTAAACGAGATTGTGGGATAGTGTTAGAAGAGCTTAGGGTGAGTTGACCGTTTTGGTAATGGACATTGTGAAAATTTACCATTTTGAAATTTTTCTGAAATTTTACCATTTTGAAGTCTGATGCGCCAAAAAACTCGGACATTTGGCCACCTGAAGTAAAATCGGACATTTGGTCACGAAAGCTAAAAACGGACGTTTTGTCACGAAAGCGGAAAACGGACATTTGGTCACGAAAGCGAAAATCGGACATTTGGTCACGAAGGCTAAAAACGGACATTTAATCATTTAGGTGAATATAGGACAATTGATCACATAAAGTAAATTACACATTACCGTCTTTTGCTTTACCATTCCGAGATATTTAAAAATTATTTTTTTAGCAATATGACGAGGCTGGGGCAGTTTATGAAGCTGGTCAATTCTACGATAGAGCAGCTGCTGCCTATCTAAAGGGCAGAAATTTGTAAACTTGGAATTAAAAATTTAGAAAAATTAGAAAATCCACTAGATTAAAAGTCCACAAATTAATGGAACAAGTACGTTCTCCAAAATTATTGTGTCAATATGGAAAAATGTTGGAAAAGGAAAAAAATTTTGAAAGGGCTTATAAGGTAAATAAATGAATTTTAGAATTATTTTATTTGGAAGGCATATGAGAGGGCTCAAGATGCAGAAAATCAAATAAGAGTGCTCTTGCGTCATTTGAATAAATCGGAGGACGTAAACTTTTAATTTAAAAAATTTTTCTCTTAAAATTTTTTTAAAAGGCCGTTAGACTGGCAAGAGAAAGCAAAAGCATTGAAGGCTCTAAATTAGTGGCAAAGTATGGGGAAGAGAATTTATTTTAATTTTTAAAAATTTTAAAGTTATTTCTCTGATTTTGGGCAATTCGACACTGCAATTCAATTTTTAATTATTTCTCTTTGTTATCAGGTTGATAAAAAATTAAAATTAAAAAATTTTCCTTGATAAAAAGTCTGACCCACTTGGCCAAGTCTGACCCACAAAATCTGACATTTGACCTAAAAGAGTAAAATCGGAAATTTGGCCACGTAATGTAAAATCGTACATTTAATCGAAAAGCGTAAAATTGGACATTTGGTCGCCGTATGCGAAAATCGGACATTTGGACACATGGACTAAATAACATTGATTATTAAATTATTTCTTAATCTTTTAAAGGAAGCTTTTGATTTGGCAAAAAGTTCTGGAAATATTCAAATATATTCTTCTGCATTAGAATCTTCTGTTGACTCTCAAGACCAAAACAAAATTAATTTAAATAATGACAATTCCCAGCAACAAAAGGAGGCGGCTTTTACTCAATTAGCCGAATATTTTAGAAATGAGGGAAACGTTTTGGAGGCTGGGAAATTTTCTGGATTTTCTAAACATTATAGAACGGTAGACTTTAAAATGAGTATGTCTCGTTTGAGTATGTCTCGTTTGGTCACATAGGCGAAGAATGGTCATTTGGTCTTAGTGATGTAATTAGCCATTTGATCGCATAAGCGAAAAATGGCCATTTCGTCACAAAGGATAAAAATGGCCATTTCGTCACAAAGGCTAAAAATGGACATTTTGTCACAAAGGCTAAAAATGGCCATTTCGTCATATAGGCAAAAATCTACCAATTCGTCACCTAGGCGGAATAAATAAATCTCGTCACTTAATAAAAATTAAGGCACTTTCTCTTCTAACAAGCGAGCTCATCAGTCCAACTGTAGAAGAAACGGCACTTCAACTAGCTGTAGAATTTATAGCAGAATCAAAAGACAAAGAACTAATAAATGAACTAATATCTTATTTAATGGGGGAAAGAGAGGGGGGAGATGGAATCCCTAAAGACCCAAAATATTTATTCCAATTATACGTCAAATTGTCGATGCACGAGGAAGGGGCTAAAACAGCCTTGATTATAGCACAAGAACAACAATTTAAAGGGTTTTATAAGACTGCACATGACCTTTTGTTTGGTAAGTGGATAGTTGACATTTTGAAATTTTTGGGGTAGTTGACATTTTGAAATTTTTTAGACTAGTTGACATTTTGAAAATTTTTGGCTAGTTGACATTTTGAAATTTTTTGGGCTAGTTGACAATTTGAAATTTTTTAGACTAGTTGACATTTTGAAAATTTTTGGGGGAGTTGACATTTTGAAATTCTAGACTAGTTGACATTTTGAAAATTTGATTAATTTTTTTTTTCAATTTTAAAGAAATGTACCAAACTCTCAAACGTGAAAAAATTAAAATTCCTTCTGAAATGGAAAATGCTTTAATGCTTCTACATAGCTACAATATTGTTAAGGGCCTTTTGAAACGTGGGGATAATTATACTGCGGCTAAATTGCTATGCCGAGTTTCTGAAAATATTGGACAGTTTCCAGCTCGTATGTTTATTGGGGCAAAAGAATAATTGGCATTTTGATTTGTTGGACTAGTCGACATTTTGACATTTTTTGGACTAGTCGACATTTTGAAATTTTTTGGACTAGTCGACATTTTGAAATTTTTTGGACTAGTCGACATTTTGACATTTTTTGGACTAGTCGACATTTTGAAATTTTTTAGGCTAGTTGACATTTTGAAATTTTTTAGGCTAGTTGACATTTTGAAATTTTTTGGGCTAGTTGACATTTTGAAATTTTTTGGACTAGTTGACATTTTGACATTTTTTGGGGGTAGTTGACATTTTGACATTTTTTGGGGGTAGTTGACATTTTGACATTTTTTGGGTGTAGTTGACATTTTGACATTTTTTGGGGGTAGTTGACATTTTGAAATTTTTTGGACTAGTTGACATTTTGAAATTTTTTGGACTAGTTGACATTTTGAAATTTTTTGGACTAGTTGACATTTTGAAATTCTCAATTTTAGATGCAGCACAAATACTCACGTCATGCGTGATTACCTGCACAAAGGGTAGAACGGATTTTTAAATTATATAAAGTTCAACTTAAGCCGGTCTGAAAGCCTCAGCCTTCAAAACAGCCTCTCAATTATTCCAACCAATTTATAGACAAAAAATTGACGAAAAATATAAAAAGAAAATTGAATTGGTTGTTAGGTTGTTAAGAATATTTTTTGAAGAAATATTTTTTTAAAGAAAATTTGGTAACTGTCAGGCAAATATTCCTTATTGTATTTTGACGGTGAGAAGTTGTGTTAGTGAGAATATAAATCAGAATTTTGAATCAGAAATTGAATTTAAAAAATCAGAATTAAATCAGAATTTTTTTCATTAAGATCAGAATTTTGCTTCTCTGATTAAAGTCAGAATTTCTGATTTCCTGAAAAAAAAAAACAGAATTTTCTAGTTTTCAGATAAAAACCAGAAATTCTGATTAAAAATCAGAATTTCTGGTTTTCTGATAAAACCCAGAATTTCTGGTTTTCCTATAAAAATCAGAATTTCTGGTTTCATGATAAAAATCAGAATTTTCTGGTTTCTGATAAAAACCAGAATTTATGATTTAATATTGTCGTTATTTAAATTCCTTTTAGGGTAAACATATTATCCGTGAGGATTTTGCTCGTTGTCCAAAATGCAATTTCCCTGGGCATTTGTCAGAATTTTACAAGTACTTAATTAATTAATCCATTAATTTGCTCTATTTTAATATTTTTTAGATTAACGGATTTACATTGCCCAATGTGTTATGAACAAATTAATAGAGATCAAATTCAACCAGAAAATTTTGCTGATTTTATATTAGAAAATTCACAATTTTAAAAATTAAATTTTTACTTATAATTGCTTTAATAAAGTTGATTTTCAAACGTCTATTTGGAATAAACCAGCTAAATAGGGGATAGGATGCCATAATAGGCTAGATTTTAGTTCGTTAAGTTCCAATTGATAAAATCCAGATTATTAAGGAATCCTATCCCCTATCTAGTTTGAGTTATTGGAAATAGTTAAACGAATTTTATAAGTTAAGTTTCAATTGATAAATTCGAATCAGCATTAAATAATGTATCTAAATTACCACGACGAACTGTACCCAATAGATATACCGTAAGATATTTTAGGATTTTTAATATTGGGGTATTTTTTTTTTTGACTGACAATCTTCAAATTGGATTTTCTCGATGAAGATAACTGCGACTGGAGGATTCGATATACCATTCGAATCAGCATTAAATAATGTATCTAAATTACCACGACGAACTGTACCCAATAGATTACTGTATATTAATTGGGTATAGTTCGTCTTGGTATATTAGATACTATATTTAATGATGATTCGAATGGTATATCGTAACCCAATTCGCGATGATTACTTCACTGGGCAAATTTACTTTAAAAATATCAGTCAAAAAAAAATAACTCAAAATTATTAATCCATAAATAACTTACTGTATATTAATTGGGTATAGTTCGTCTTGGTATATTAGATACTATATTTAATGATGATTCGAATGGTATATCGTAACCCAATTCGCGATGATTACTTCACTGGGCAAATTTACTTTAAAAATATCAGTCAAAAAAAAATAACTCAAAATTATTAATCCATAAATAACTTACTGTATATTAATTGGGTATAGTTCGTCTTGGTATATTAGATACTATATTTAATGATGATTCGAATGGTATATCGTAACCCAATTCGCGATGATTACTTCACTGGGCAAATTTACTTTAAAAATATCAGTCAAAAAAAAATAACTCAAAATTATTAATCCATAAATAACTTACTGTATATTAATTGGGTATAGTTCGTCTTGGTATATTAGATACTATATTTAATGATGATTCGAATGGTATATCGTAACCCAATTCGCGATGATTACTTCACTGGGCAAATCCACTTTGAAAATATCAGTCAAAAAAAATAACTCAAAATTATTAATCCATAAATAACTTACTGTATATTAATTGGGTATAGTTCGTCTTGGTATATTAGATACTATATTTAATGGTGATTCGAATGGTATATCGTAACCCAATTCGCGATGATTACTTCATTGGGCAAATCCACTTTGAATATATCATTAAAAAAATAACCCAAAATTATTTATCCATAAATAACTTACTGTATATTAATAGGGTATAGTTCTTCTTGGTATATTAGATACTATATTTAATGGAAATTCGAATGGTATATCGTAACCCAATTCGCGATGATTCCTTCATTGGGCAAATCCACTTTGAAAATATCAGTCAAAAAAAAATAACCCAAAATTATTAATCCATAAATAACTTACTGTATATTAATAGGGTATAGTTCGTCTTGGTATATTAGATACTATATTTAATGAAGATTCGAATGGTATATCGTAACCCAATTCGTGATGATTACTTCATTGGGCAAATCCACTTTGAAAATATCATTAAAAAAATAACCCAAAATTATTAATCCATAAATAACTTACTGTATATTAATAGGGTATAGTTCGTCTTGGTATATTAGATACTATATTTAATGGAGATTCGAATGGTATATCGTAACCCAATTCGTGATGATTACTTCATTGGGCAAATCCACTTTGAAAATATCATTAAAAAAATAACCCAAAATTATTAATCCATAAATAACTTACTGTATATTAATAGGGTATAGTTCGTCTTGGTATATTAGATACTATATTTAATGGAGATTCGAATGGTATATCGTAACCCAATTCGTGATGATTACTTCATTGGGCAAATCCACTTTGAAAATATCATTAAAAAAATAACCCAAAATTATTAATCCATAAATAACTTACTGTATATTAATAGGGTATAGTTCGTCTTGGTATATTAGATACTATATTTAATGCAGATTCGAATGGTATATCGTAACCCAATTCGTGATGATTACTTCATTGGGCAAATCCACTTTGAAAATATCATTAAAAAAATAACCCAAAATTATTAATCCATAAATAACTTACTGTATATTAATAGGGTATAGTTCTTCTTGGTATATTAGATACTATATTTAATGGAGATTCGAATAGTATATCGTAACCCAATTCGTGATGATTACTTCATTGGGCAAATCCACTTTGAAAATATCATTAAAAAAATAACCCAAAATTATTAATCCATAAATAACTTACTGTATATTAATAGGGTATAGTTCGACTTGGTATATTAGATACTATATTTAATGGAGATTCGAATGGTATATCGTAACCCAATTCGCGATGATTACTTCATCGGGCAAATCCACTTTGAATATATCAGTCAAAAAAAAATAACCCAAAATTATTAATCCATAAATAACTTACTGTATATTAATTGGGTATAGTTTTTCTACGTATATTAGATACTATATTTAATGATGATTCGAATGGTATATCGTAACCCAATTCGCGATGATTACTTCACTGGGCAAATCCACTTTAAAAATATGAGTCAAAAAAAATAACTCAAAATTATTAATCCATAAATAACTTACTGTATATTTATTGGGTATAGTTCGTCTTGGTATATTAGATACTATATTTAATGATGATTCGAATGGTATATCGTAACCCAATTCGCGATGATTACTTCACTGGGCAAATCCACTTTAAATATATCAGTCAAAAAAAAATAACTCAAAATTATTAATCCATAAATAACTTACTTTATATTAATTGGGTATAGTTCGTCTTGGTATATTAGATACTATATTTAATGATGATTCGAATGGTATATCGTAACCCAATTCGCGATGATTACTTCACTGGGCAAATCCACTTTAAAAATATCAGTCAAAAAAAAAATAACTCAAAATTATTAATCCATAAATAACTTACTGTATATTAATTGGGTATAGTTTTTCTACGTATATTAGATACTATATTTAATGATGATTCGAATGGTATTTCGTAACCCAATTCGCGATGATTACTTCACTGGGCAAATCCACTTTAAATATATCAGTCAAAAAAAATAACTCAAAATTATTAATACATAAATAACTTACTGTATATTAAATGGGTATAGTTCGTCTTGGTATATTAGATACTATATTTAATGATGATTCGAATGGTATATCGTAACCCAATTCGCGATGATTACTTCACTGGGCAAATCCACTTTAAAAATATCAGTCAAAAAAAAAATAACTCAAAATTATTAATCCATAAATAACTTACTGTATATTAATTGGGTATAGTTCGTCTTGGTATATTAGATACTATATTTAATGATGATTCGAATGGTATATCGTAACCCAATTCGCGATGATTACTTCACTGGGCAAATCCACTTTAAAAATATCAGTCAAAAAAAAAATAACTCAAAATTATTAATACATAAATAACTTACTGTATATTAAATGGGTATAGTTCGTCTTGGTATATTAGATACTATATTTAATGTGATTCGAATGGTATTTCGTAACCCAATTCGCGATGATTACTTCACTGGGCAAATCCACTTTAAATATATCAGTCAAAAAAAATAACTCAAAATTATTAATCCATAAATAACTTACTTATATTAATAGGGTATAGTTTTTCTTGGTATATTAGATACTATATTTAATGGAGATTCGAATGGTATATCGTAACCCAATTCGCGATGATTACTTCATCGGGCAAATCCACTTTGAAAATATCAGTCAAAAAAAATAACTCAAAATTATTAATCCATAAATAACTTACTTATATTAATAGGGTATAGTTCGTCTTGGTATTTTAGATACTATATTTAATGGAGATTCGAATGGTATATCGTAACCCAATTCGCGATGATTACTTCATCGGGCAAATCCACTTTGAAAATATCAATCAAAAAAATAACCCAAAATTATAATCCATAAATAACTTACTGTATATTAATAGGGTATAGTTCGTCTTGGTATTTTAGATACTATATTTAATGGAGATTCGAAGGTATACCGTAACCCAATTCGCGATGATTACTTCATCGGGCAAATCCACTTTAAAAATATCAGTCAAAAAAAATAACCCAAAATTATTAATCCATAAATAACTTACTGTATATTAATAGGGTATAGTGGGTATAGTTCGTCTTGGTATTTTAGATACTATATTTAATGGAGATTC